GTACTCCTTCTCAATCTTACTGACCTCATCTCCTCTGCAGACTCTCCTCACCGTGACCCAGGAGCGTGACAATGCTCTCGCCCATTCCCAAACTCTCCGCCATGAACTCGACATGTACACCAGCGTCAACATCCCACACGACATGAAGCCCAGAACCACCATGACCCGGGTCGGTCGTATCCCTCTGGGCCAAAGTACAAATACACGGTCAACGGTTGGTCCCGTCCATCGTTCACACAGCTCGAATGGCTCTGGTGCCAGTGGTGATATGATGTCGAAGTCTACGTCTGCTAATAGGTACTCGACTGTATCGGAGAATGTGGAGGGCGAGATGACTTTGGATGACCTGGCATGAATGTGTTTAGACTGATACTTGGTCGTGTTGCTTGTGCTTGAGCGTCTGATTTTATGCTTTCATCTTCGTACCCGCGTCGCATATGTACTCCTATCTTACTACACCACCAACCCGCGCGAAGCTTTCCTAAACATCAACGCGGGTGTCTCCGGACATCCTTCGGGTAAGCTCCACGAAGTGCCAATGAAGTCTTCCTTGAGCGTGACTTCTCAAATCAATCAGGTCTTTTTGAAGAGTACACCACCAACCCGCGCGAAGCTTTCCTAAACATCAACGCGGGTGTCTCCGGACATCCTTCGGGTAAGCTCCACGAAGTGCCAATGAAGTCTTCCTTGAGCGTGACTTCTCAAATCAATCAGGTCTTTTTGAAGAGTAGTCTCTAGGGAGATGCGCAGAAGACTTCGATGAGGTTCACGGAATGTGCGCAAAAGGGTCAATCAAGTCTCGCTGATTAGGCCTTTTTTGGGTTTTTCTTTTCTTTTGGTTTTACTTTCACTTTTGCTTTCTTTCTTCCTTTCGGTACGAGACTCTCAATCATTGCAGTTGGTAGACAAAAACATGTATATTGTATGTACTTATACATGAGGATGAACAGAGATGTTGAATACCGAGAAATTACTTCACAAGAAGAGAGGTTGAGGGAATACAGGTGCACGAACTTAGCGACAAGACATATTTATCATCGGGACCTGACAAGACAGGTGGGACTCTGCAGCTGGCCGCCGGGCCCGTGAGCGCACCTGAACAGCAGACTCCTCCACATACCGGCTGCTGGCACTACTGATCCTGTTGAGCGAAGACTGTTAATAGACGATGGGCACACGCACCAGTGCCAGATCGTCAAGTTGCACAAGTGAGAAGGAGAGGGGGAAAGAGAAAGGAAAGAACGCACCTTGCTGTTCGCTTCGAACTGTGGCTGGGGGCTTATAAGGAAACCCCATCTTTGATGTGCCAGTGGGGCCACCATCATCGATGACGCGCGTCGACAGGTTTGCTCAGGGAGACGCTGAAGTATCGTTGAGTCTTTTGCCCTTCGTGGATGTTGACCGTGGCTCTCCAGAGAAGATTCAGTGTCAAGACTTCACAGGATCTTTTTCTGGAACGGGGGTGTAGTCTGTACCCTGTCCTCTTACCTTCTCCTTGTCATGCTTTCTTGAATATCACATTTGCACCACATAGCGTGTCACAAGTCTCGTATTCCAAGAAACAAAAGCCTACAGACTGTATACAAGTCAATCATTTCGTCATCGTCATCGCGGTTACAACACGAGTCGCGGGCCTTGAGTCTGGTCTGGAGTCCAACAAAATACAGTACTATGCATAAGAGATATAGCTCGACAAACTTCCTCGGCAGTCTCTTCTCCCTTCACCTCATTGTCCTTCAGCATTCCTTGATATGCGCGAGGTGTCTATGAGTCGTCGAATCCGCCCTCGAAGAGGTAGTTCGCCGCCAGCTCCTCGTTCTTGTCGCAAGCAAAGTAGGCTTCGATGACGGCCTGTCGAGGGAAGCCGAGCGCCTCGAGCTAGATATCACAGGAAAACGTCAGCTCGGGTCCAGAAATCGCGACTAGTCACACAAAAACAATGGCACCAAAGATAACGCACCCTCTCAATCGCCTGCCTCTCCTCCTCCGTGATATTGATGACCTGCGCACCAGGAGGCAATCCACCTCCCTCCCCATCATCCTCAAAGTCCAAACCATTTTCGCCCCCGAGCAACTGAAACAGCGCCTCCGGGTTCTGGGCGATCAATTGTGCCAATTGAGGGTTGCTCCCCGCCAACTGCTGGATCAACGGTTGAATGAGCGCAGGGTTCTGAGCGACGAGTTCCCGGAGTTGCGCGATCTGTGGGTTATCGCGTAAGGCGGAAAGGTCGAAGTTTCCTCCGCCTCCACCGGCACCTGCACCGGGAGCACCACCAAGGGCACCAGCACCGACACCGGCGCCTCCTTGCTGTTGTTGCTGTTGAGCGAGCTATAACGGTAGGAGAAACGATAGAGTTGAGTGAGTGTAACCAAAAGATGGAAGTCGAGGAAGTTACCTGGAAGAGATTCTGGGGTGCTGCAGGTTGTTGGGCAGCGGGCTGGGGTGCGGGAGCAGCTGGTGCCGGGGCAGCAGCAGGTGTCGAACCGGGCGCAGGTGCCGCGGGTGCCGCTCCTGGCGCTGGTCCTGCAGCCTCAGCCTGCAAATGCTCGGGAATACCCTGGATGAAGCAATCCACATCGTATCAGCTCGATAGATCGATCCATTGCACAGCCCTTGTATGTCTAAGAAGAGGACGGCAGGCAAACGCACAGTCATGAGGTATTCGACCGCCCGATCTGGGTTATTATAGCTCGCCCTCATAGCCCTCAACACCTGATCTCTAGGGAATCCCATTTCGACCATGTTTTGGATAGATGATTGCAGAGCATTGCCGGTCAGGAAAGAGCTCATATCACCGAATTGAGCGGGGGTTGCTGCTGGTGCTGGTGTGGTTGCGGCCGGGGCAGCAGCAGCTGGAGCAGGAGCGGGGGCGGCTGGTGTGGCAGGAGCAGGTTGAGGCGTAGATGGTGCAGGAGCTGCAGGGGTGCTAGGTGCGGCGGCGGTACTTGAAGAAGCAGCGGGTGTGGCTTTGGGCTGCACATAATTGTATGAGCAAAATGAATAAATATCGGGGAGCGGTAGGGGCGTCGAAAGCGACAGTGACACAGTGGGAATGATATAAAAAGCAGGGCAGAGGGCGTACCTTAGACACCATGAGAACCAAGAAGTCCTTCTCCTTGATATTACATGACTCTACCGTCTTGTCATCTGGCAGAACTTTGCCTAAAAGGAATCAGAAACAACACGTGAGCCCATGTACTGAGTCTGAGGGATACAATGGGTCGATGAAGCGCACCAGAGTAAATGATTTTCTGGTTCTCTACCGGGTGGCCTTGCAAGTCATTGATCTTCTTCTTCAGATCGCCCACCGTCTCTGACCCCTCCGCATCAAGCTAACAAACAGATCAATAGCGAGAGCGACCAATCCAGCCCACAGAAAAAAAGGTGAACGTCAGTAATCGCGTCCAGGACTTTAGCTTATTGCCTTCCATAGCAGTAGAGCGCACCTGGAACACCTTCTGCTGTAGTGTCTTCACTGTAATCTTCATGCTGGATTACTGAGCTACAGGACAAATCTGAGCCACCCAGAAGTAATCGAATCGTCAGTAAGTTTGGACGAGAGTGAGCGGGAGAAGATGGTGGATGATGGACGTACCGATCTGAGGTTGACAATTGCAGTTGGTGCGGTCTTTGAGGTGACGCGTTCAAGCAGTCGCGTTACGTAAGACGTGTGGCACTCGCCGACTTCCAGTTCAAGGGCTACATATTCGACGGCGAGGAGTGCGATTTCACTTTGACAGTAGATGTATGGAAAAACGATTCAAACGGTACATGCTGTTAGAAAGCAATTGAACGTTTATTCATGGGAATACAACATGATCGTCGCAGCGTAGAATACACAGTAAAGAATACAAGGCATCATCGGCCACAGTCCACAACGAGTAAGCATAAAAGGTCGTGTAACATCATAGATATCGCCTGTCTATAGTCCACCGAGAAGATTAGCCCTTACTCTAGGCTTCCTTCGCATCCGTAGGTGCATTCTCGCTCGGAGGAGCTTCTGGCTTCTTCTGGTCGGCCTCACGCGCCTTCTGGTAGTTCGCAAAGATAGTAGGCAGGACAAGGGTCTAAGATCACGTAGAATAGTGTTAGTGACAAAAGTACACGGAGACCGAGAACAAGAGGAAAGATATGAAGCCTCACCTTGACCACCTTTCCGATGTCGTCCTTGAAGGGGATCTGATCGACTGGAACGCCCTCGGGCATCCAGAACGGCCAGGTCGTACCCCACTCGAAGATGAGCAGCAAGACGCCCCAGTACTGACGTCTAGAGGGGTCGGTGCCGTCAATGATGTACTCACGGATGTCTAGAAGGCTATAGAAAGACGTACCCTTTCTTGAATGTCTCCTGCCACTGTTCACTCCGAGTCGCGTTCTCGTTCGTCCTGAATAGCCACAGCCATCGTAAGGTCGTGACGAATCGTGAGGGGAGACTCAGCCTTCCAACTCACTCAAAGAACTGATTGACGTCCATATCAGAGCACCAGTCTATCCGCTCATACGAGCCCCAGTTCTTGCCCCAGCGCGTGTCCTTCATTTTGTTGATGCGGATGGGGACAGTCATATCCCTCGCAGGGATCCAGGACTCGGAGGTCGGGTAACTAACATGAATGCGTCTATTTAGCAACATTTCTCGTTCATTAGAGTCGAGGTATGAAAATTACACACCTGAAGACGGCATGAAGAGCGTAGGCCGCATAGCGCGCGTTCTTCTCGTCCAGGCCAAGAACGATGAGACCGCGGACGGTGTCTTCCAAGTGCACGATACCGTCTCCGTCGGTATCGAAGAAAGTAGGGGTCTAAATTCAATAAGGCAGCCTCAGCGACCATATGCACAGAATCAAAACGATACGAACCTTGCCTGACATATTCATAGCCTTGACAGTCCACCCTCCGACCTCCCTAACAGCCTTCACCGGCAATCCATTAACATACTCTAACCCTTCGCCCAGCCCTTGCAACCCATCAATAGCCTTCAACCCACTCGCGACAGGCTCAAACACCTTCCCGCTCGTCTCCGCCGCCAAATTCACGACGCCACCCACAGCAGTACCCGCAAGGTCCAATGTGCCGACAGCGACGTTGCTCGTAACGTTCACGCCCGTCTTCGCTACATTCTTGCCGATGTTGAACCCTGCAGAGGTGATGTCCCCGAGAGACCCTACGCCGGTGGTGACAGCAGAGTTGATACCTCCACCGATCCCACCGAGGACGCCTCCGAAACCGCCACCACCACTGGATTCGGGAGGCTGTTGGGGTTGAGAATCGAGGCCAGTCTTTGGGGTGGTGAGTGCGGGATCTGGTTTGGAAGGGTCTGGCTGAGTGTTTAGCTGCTCTTTGGTCGGGTTGAAGGCATTTGTGGCGGATGAGAGACCGCTGGAGACACCTTGTCCAGCCGCGTTGACAGTGTTACCGACGGCGCCGAAAGGTTTCTGGAGGAAAGACATGGTAGGGTACGGGAGCGAGAAAAGGCGACGGGGGAAGGTTGGTTACAGGGTGTACTTATAGGGGGAGAGCGCAGCTGTGGAGACCTATAGCGTCACTGTTGGCTAAGGAGACCTAGGCACGGATAGAAATAAGGACAAGGTTACACTCCCGAGATGGCTAGTTTCATTCCATGCTTGACTGCCTTCAGCGAATGTTCTGCGACGTGATATATTATGCCTGGAATGGAGGAGCTCTGTACGCCAAAGTCGCGACTCGAAGAACAGTGACAATGGTATATATCCTGGAATTGGGGCACAGAGCACTGACAGGATAGCAAATATGGATATGGTCGGTGCCGCCAAGAAGAGATGCTGTACCAAGATTGTTACTGTTAGGACTAGAAGCACATATTTTCCGATTGGGCTGAGGTCTACTCGTGCTCAACATTATCGACGGTGATGAATGAGTTCAAGAATTGTGGGCCGCAACTTTTGCCAGCCCCTGACGTACGCGGTTACGTAAGGGGTGTAGCCCCACGCCTGTCTGGCACACTTGCAACGGCCTGCCAGCTGCTAGCGCTGGGTCATCCCGAGACATTCGCCGCTATCCTAGTTCACATATCCTTCTACTTGTACCATCACCATCTCGTTCTCGCGATTAACTCTGCCGACGGCGACAACGACGACGATGGCGACCACAGAGCATGAGCCAGGCGATGAATACATTCGTCGCACGGCCAACTTCATCAGGACGAATGAAGCCAGGCTAGCAGAGGCTGGTTTCTATCGTCGTCGCAGAAGTGTAAAGCGACCTCCTCCATCGTCTGTGAACGCGTTCAATCCTCTCTCATGGTTTGCCTCAGAACCAGCATCCGCACCAACCAGCCGTCCTCCACCACTCGCGTACAGCACAGACATTCACCGACTCTTCTACCTCCTCATGCGCCTCGAGGCTCTCGGCTTTGAAACTGGCTCACTCGACGTCAAGGTCGACAGTCCATCACGACCACTGAACTACGTCAACCTCTTTTCGGACGCTGACAAGTCGGAGACGATGTCGCTATCATCCATACGCTCCTCCTTCTCAGCCGTATCCCGGCTCTCACTCGGGGCTGGACTTTGGGGTCGTCCGGAACCTCCTAGCGTGGACCAGGAGCTGAAGTACATCTTCAGTAGCTTCACCAAGATCCCTGCCATCTCACTACATGCTCCTGGACCCAAGAAGATTGCAGAGCTTGCAAACGATCCACCCAGCGAGAACGCGCTGCCATTGGATGCATTCAGGAATTTGCAATCCCTTGAATGTATAGACATTGATCCTCGTGCACTCCTGGGTTGGGATAGGTTGGCTGATAGCTTGTGGAGTTTGACGATAAAGAGGAGTGGTTTGGACGACGTGTCGGATGTCTTCATCAGCGCGGTGTTGGACGATCAGGCAAGGAGAGCAGGCGAGATCACGAGTCGGAGGCGTAGACTAGTCCACGGCCCATCACGACAATCCTCCTTCTATAGTTCACCTCTCCCAGAAGCAATTACTGAGGATACAGAAGAGGCGGATACACCTACGACGGAGAAGCCTCAACAGCCGCCTCTACCTCACTCGGACTCGGATTCCGACCTTCCTCAATTAGGCTCCTCGAAATGGGCTTTCCTACGATTCCTCTCCCTCTCGGATAACTCTCTGACGTTCCTCCCAACATCGCCATTACACTATCTGACATCACTCACCCATCTCGACCTTTCGTCAAATCTGCTCGTATCTATACCTCCCGGCCTCTCACAGCTCTACAACCTCATCTCCCTCAACCTCTCCGATAACATGATCGACTCAGTCCTAGGAATCTACAAACAACTAGGCCAGATCCTCCGACTCGACCTATCGCATAACCGTCTCGATTCCCTCTGCGGTCTTGAACGTCTCATGGCCCTCGAGCGTATTGACGTCCGGCACAACCTCCTCGAGGACACCGGCGAGGTCGGCAGACTCGCAACATTGCCCAACGTCAGCGAAGTGTCGATCGAAGGGAACCCTTTCGTAGACATCGAGGAGAACTATCGAGTGAAATGCTTCGATTTCTTTTGGAAGGAGGGAAAGAGCATCCTGCTGGATGGCACACCGGCAGGGTTCTACGAGAAATCGCAGTTGTCAGCTCAACCTAACCAGCAGATGACGTCGGCGCGACCCGTCTCGAAGGCTTATTCACCGCCCGTCATCCCTGTCGGTGCAGTCGTGCCCGCGCCACATATCAATCCAGCGAGCTCGTCAAGCAGCCCTGGCCTTTCCCCGTCCGGTTCAGCGCATAGCGGATCGCCGTATGTTCCTCCAGTAGTGAGCAAGGGCAAGCGGAGGAAGATTAAGCGGATCGTGGATTTGGACGGCGACGACCAGAGCTTGCGCGCGAGGTCCACGAGTCCTGTTACACGCAATGGAGCTGGACACGCTCGTGCTGCTTCAGCCGCAGCACCCATAACTTCTGCAGCAGCACCTCCACCACGATCCGCTTCACCAGCGCATGGTGAAGATACTACACCTCGAGCTTCCGCCATCGCACCGAACACGGGTTCGATACGACGTCCGAAGACGAGACATCAGCGTTCACAGACAGACGTGATCATTTCAAGACCATCTTCTCCTCCCCACTCTTCACCGTCACCACCAACACAACCCCCCTCCACCGTCTCTCCGCCATCCGCTTTCACAACCACCATGTCCCGCAACGGAGCCGGACATAACAGTCTTCGTGTGAAGGGCAACAAGAGTGCCGCTCGTAGGGCACGAGCCGCCGCCTCTGTCTTCGAGCCTCCACCAGATTCTGCGCGGGATGGTGTGAGCCTTAATGGTCAAGGAGGGGCACGAGGAGGGAAGTCGGTGGCGGAGGAGATGAGGGATGCGGAGGCGTTTAGAGCGAGGATCGAGGCGTTGAAGGCGGATATGGGCGAGGGGTGGCTGAAGGTGTTCAGTCAGAGTGGGATGGGGCAGACGGGGGTCCAATCGGGTGCGTGAGTGGAAGTTGAGGTGGATATTTGGCTCAGTTGAGGAGGTGGACGGATGGATGGATGGGAGGGTCTGCTTGTGTACCATAGAGTTTTGTTTTATGTGTTTTGGTGCTTCTTTATTCGTCTTTGTGCGTTTCTTTCTCTCCGTCTTCCTGCTCATGTGCTTCTGATCTCATCCGGTTTTTTTGTGCTGTTCTCTGTTTCCTTAGTAGTTTGTCGCGTTGTTCCTCTTGTCCTTATTATAACTGGGTTTCGTTGGATCTCAATATTGCTATCTACATATGCCACACCTATTACTACTCCGTTGTCACTTCACGCTACTCGTCCTGCATAGACTCGACTTATGACCATGGTTCATGCACCACGACATCTACTTTTTCCTCGCCTGTTTTCGTTTTCCGTCTCTGTCGTGCTCCGTTGTGCCTTTACCGCGTCGGTCGTGCCTGTACTATTTTGACTGCTCATCCAAGGAAACTTATATTCAGGACGTCTACTCTTCGGGCAGGTCGGTAGTAGACACGGAACTTATGGAATCGAAGGATATGGTGGATTTGTGAGAAATGTATGTATGTCAACAAACCAGCTGAAATCTCTAAGCACTTAGATCAAAGAGGCGACATACACCTAAGAAGAGAAACGAAAATGACAATGACGATCGACCTTTCAAGAAAGACCCGACAGCATACGAGAGCGATGATTTGCGAAAGCGAGTAGGGAAAAAATTATAGGACGAAGGTAACCGAATAGGTTGTTTGGGAAGGCGGCGGTTACAAAAGAAAAACGGGTAATCGTGGTCGATTAGAGCCCGCTCTCAGCGATGCCGAATTTCGCAGTCCATGAGTCGACGAGAATACGAGCGCGATCGCGTAGTGCGAATTCGGCGTCGAAGGGGATCTCATCGAGAGTAGCGAACCGAGACAAGGTTTGGCCCAGTCCGCTCGTCTGCGTCGTGTTATGTCATGATGAGGAGAAAAGGTCAGGAAGTTGAATCAAGAGCGTCGATCAAGGGAGGACAAACCTGTAGGGCGTTGAGGTCGACGTGGCTCTTTATGCGGTCGATATCTCTGAGGACACCGCTGATAATGCTCATGGCCTGAACGTTTGGCCCGATTGCGGATGAAATCAGGACAGAGAAAGACAAGATGATCGGCGAACACACACCTGGTGATCTGTCACACTTTTCCCTTTGACAACCTTTTGGAACACACTCGTCCAGTTCGCGAGTAAGTCCTCGTCAAAGCTCTCTGCCAAGTCGGTCGCCGGGACGCTTGCTCCCGTATTTTCAACGTCAATTACGGGTACGCTCGAGGAATGTGCGTCGGTGTCGTCGTTCTCCAAACGTCGCCTTTTCGCCGCACGACGAGCACGCTCCGAAACTTGAGCGGAGGAAGGGAGAGAGAGCCTGGCTGGGCCGTCCTCAGAGATTTCGGAGGTCGCACTGCGGGAGCGTGAAGTGGCAATGAACGAGACATCGAGGATGCCATGAGGCCCATTTTCCAGCGGAGGGAGGATAGTGTTGGTGTACCTCACACGAGACTATGTGAAACAAAAGTGTCAGTATATGTTGTGTACATCAAAGACCGACAAGGAAGAACGGGTAGGAGTGACGAGGTCTGAGCGTATACATACTGGTTTCGGTTTCGGCTTTCTGCCAGCACCTCTCTCCAAATCCCCTTCCCCAAACATCATCTCCAGCATGTTGGCAAATGTCGAAACAGAGGAAGCTTGAGGACAGATGCAACCATTCGGCAGATCGTTGTATCCAGGGTATTTTGCGCCTATGCTTTCGCTCTGAGTCAAGTATCCGCGCACCAACCTCCTTGCATCCATTGAGTAGCGCTTCAAATATGACCTCTCCCTCTCATCCATAATCACTTCGCCACTCTCGTCAACGGGGTAGACATCCTGGCTGGGCACTAGCGTGATTTCGGCCGCACCCAAGCACTCGTCAAACTCGTGTGTCGCAACGTCGATCTCTTCAGGAATAGCAGCGAGCTGGCGCCTTTTGGAGCTTGCCTTCGAAAGCACAGGTGCATTTGAGGGCGAATCCGAAGGCGGCGAGGGCGCGCGGGGTGGAGGAGCGGATGATGAAGAAATAGAGAGGACGGGACGCGGGATGCGGGGAGGCCTCGTTGTCTGACTGACTCTGGACGCATCGTTCAGCACTTGTACGAGAGACCGAGCGTTGCTAGTGAGAGGCGAAACGACGCCGGACAGATCATCCAAGGGCCCATGAGTTGCAGAGGAGGAAGGAGACGCAGGTGCGGGATTAGGGAGATGTAAAGGGAGGGAAATAGGGTCCTCAGAGGGAAGTCGAGGCAGGAGAGTCCCGTTCGACTCGTCGTGAAGGCCAGAGTGCTGGGAGTTGACTCGTGGGGTTGAGTCATGGCTCTTCTGAAGTGGTGGGAGTGCATGAACCTTCCGAGGTGGGGACAAAAGGATCACATCCCATTCTTCCGAGTCTACCACAGAGTTCTGAAAGATATATTTAGTAATTGACCTATTGTGAACATGCAGAAGGATAATTTTATGCTCACTGCAGATGGCGCCTTGACCTCGGTAAGAGACCGAATCACACGAGACTTTCGTGCCTTGGCCAGAGCATGGCGGGACGGGAGTATAACACCCTCGAGTTTGCGTGAAGGTTTGGGGCCACGTCGTAGCGGAGAAAATGACTGTGTGGCGACGCTACGTGACACAGAGGCTGTCCGCGAGCCTTTGACGATGTGGCCTAAGCTCGATGCATGGTGCAAATTGAGAGCAACAACCAGAGGGTTAGGTGAGGACTTTCTTGTGATTCCTGTTACGGAGCCTGATGTTGGGGTTGTGCTGTATGTTCCAGTCGAGTTAGAGGCAGAGGTCAAGAGTTCCTCGACGTCGTTCCGCGAGACTGTTGATGTGTCACTGATCTGTGACTGAGTGTGACCTGTGACACTGACACTGTCACACAGACCGGTAGCCATTCGTCCGATGTCTGAAGATGTCTGCACATCATTCGAAATTGAGGAGTGATCCTGCTCTGCTCCTTCACCACCAGAGTTATCAAGAAGGACTTCCCAAGCTGGGATGTCTGCTTGTCCAGGATAGGAGAAATTGAAATAAGTAACAACAAGATTTGCAATCAACGGTAATAAATATCACCTTGATCATCCATATGATAGAAAACTGAAGGGTTGAACATCATGGTCAGAATCAGATAGGAGATGCAAGTAGAAAGAGTGATCAATCAAAGCTATAATCACAGACCGTCTTGTTGTAGGTTAGTATTCTTTGAGATTGCTTGTGATAACGAGGGTGACCTCAGTGTAGATTCAAATTGTGAAGGGTATGGAAGTTGCATGCTAGGTCTGAGAAGAAGGAGGATAGGGCTAGAGAAGAACCAGTTTGTGCTCCTTTCACAAAGACAAAGCTATAGTGAATACTGAGCACCAGCTTAGGAAATGCTCTGCAGCAAGGGAAAAGATAGACGCACTAGTGATTACACTAAAAATACAAGTGATAAAGTTCAGTATCATTTATATATAATGAAGAGGTTTGTATATATACCTTTGAAGATAAGAGACACTGATGTGATGGAGGTGACCGTGCAAGATGAAGAAAGGAAGGGCGAGAAATAAGATTATCTAAATAGATATATTTATCATAAAGATAAATAAATATATGTCACTTGTCGAGGTAGGCTTCATATATTAATGCAGAAAGGCTGAGCCTGCCAAGGTCGGAGCCAGTGTCCAGCCGAGCGGAGTTTGACCATATGTCATGGCCGGGCTTACTCAACGTCAATCTGAGTGTCTTCCACCGCTGACCCAGGTCCAAAGGTGAAGAGGCGATTTGAGGTTGCAGGTGGTGTTCACAAGACAGTCTGAAGAGACAAGGTTGAAGGGGGCAAAAGATAAATTGAGTCAGAAAGCTAGTCCAGGTGTTGACGAGCTCAAAGATAGGGTACGTAGATACATGCAGACCACTATATATACTATGAGGGGCTAGAAGCTGATGGAGAGGGTCTGAGCCAATCGGGTAGAACGTGAGAGACAGAAGCAAAGGGAGGCCGGCCAAGTTGGTTGACGAGATAGCCGGACTCTTGAGCATAGCTGGGTAACTAATCGGAAAGGAGAAGTAGTTAACCGTAGCGACACATATTGTATGTGAGGGAGCCAATTGGAAGTGATGTGGGAGCGTAGAAGAAGTAAGGTCCCGAAAAGTCGGAAGTCATAGTCAAGGGTATGTAGGAGAAACTCGGAGTAAGTGGAAGGGGGTGTGTTCGAAGAGGAGGGAAGTGGAAAGGCTAGAGGGAAATGTGGAAATAAATGGAAAGGGAAAAAAAAAGAATATGTCCGTATGTATGCTCCTTACACTACACATTCCTTCATGTTCATGCATGTCACTCCTCGAGTCCTTAGTTCGTTCCACTTCCTTTGATTCACAACTTTTCTTGTTCTTTGCCTCAACCTTCGTTCTCACATTTGTTTTTATTAATAGACTCTTTAAGCTCCCCTTTTATGATACCCTTCATCACTTTTACTTATAATAGCCAACGGTAATGGTCAAATTCCCCTCCCTCACCTCAGGCTTGTTCAGGGAGCCAACCAGCTCCCGCTGGGTCACAGTTAATTGCTAATGCCTCAAGTGACCATATACCCACCAACGGCCAGGCGGTCCCCATGGGCACAAACAGTGGTGCCAACAACAGTGGAAATAGCCAGCAGTCCGCCCCTCAGCAGCCTAGTGTACCTTAGCTCGCCATTCAGCCTGCCGCTCAACAACACACTTCTCAATCCGCTGTCCAACCGCCCGCTACCCAACCACCTATCTAGCAGCCCGCCTAGCAACCCGTCCAGCAGCCCACCCAGGGATCTTTCCAAGCTGCCGTGCCTGCTCTTGCTCAACCTTTCCCGCCTGCTACCAATATGCAAGCTGCTATGGTCGTGTCAGCAAAGGTTACCAAGCACGCACATGCTGCTGCTGCTACCATTTCAGGCAGAACAAAGCTGATTCCAGATGTGGTTGAAGGATTTACTGCTGACACTACTGAGTTTCGTAAGTGTCTAATTATCTGTCTTTCCTTTCCTTTCACTTTCACTTCCTCTTCCTCTTTCACCTTCACACCTACCTCTATTCCTCATCTTTATTCATTATCACCTCTATACATTATCAAACATTCTGTTCACAACATCTCAACTCCTTTGGAGTTCCTCATAATATCACACATCCTTCTGTCCCACTTTCATTATATAACACCTTCTCATTTTACATCCATTCATGTTGCATATCTCTTTTTGTTATTTGGGCTTGCCCATCCGCTTTCATACTCGTTCAGGCTTGCCCACCTGTAACTCTTTTGCAGATCATTCGTGGCCTAGTTGCCTTGTTTCATATCTTCATCTCATCATTCATTGTCACTGACAAATTTTTGTCTGCATATATGCTGTTACAGCGCTACCAGTGTGGCTCCTCACCACCATCAAGAACATCAAATTCATTCCATATTGTAACTTAACTGTGGCTGGTCATTGTGTCAAACCACGTCAGGAGAACATTACTCTCAGTAATGTCCTCGGTCTCGCTGACGCCCCTCTCAATCGCTCTGGGGAAAAGGACCTCATTTTTGCTGAGTTCATACCTGTCACCCCTGTGGTTGTTTGTCTTACCAAGGAAGTGTATAGGACTCAAGGTGATTGTCTTGAGGCCTATCACCATACAGTTGCGTCTCTCAGCTACCGACATAATTAAAAAATTGTGCCCACTTATGACATTTGGTATTTGTAAGAAGGCCACGGCTAACCTTTGTCATGACCTTGCTACATTTAATGCTACCGAGTACGGCCTCATCATAGCAGATTTCACCTTAAATGCCGTTGCTTCTAGCGTAGCACCACTGATCACGGCTCCGAATGTTGCTCCTGCTTCGCTATTCTTCTTGGCCATGCCTACTCCTTCATCCTCTGCCGCTTCAGCTTTCACTTTCAATAGCAATAGTGGTCCTCTGCCTCCTTCCAGCAGTTTGCAGCCAGTATATAAGAAGGCTCATGTCATGAGCGTCCGAGCCGACGCTAGCAAGCAAAGGTGAGGTACCCGAGCCGAAGCTAGCAAGCATAGGCGAGGAATCCGAGCAGCAGCGAGGATTTTTATGGCCTTTAATTTTTTCTTACACCCTTCTTTTTTCGTATCTTTTTACACATTCAGTAGACCCTCTCATCTACTCCTATCACACTCCGCTTTATTTCTCAATCCACTACACCATTCTACCCCCTTCATTTCGCCCTTCCTTGTTATTTGCACTACTGTACATTTTTCCGGTTACACATGCTCTCATTTTTGGTTCTACTTCGACCCCGACCACTCTCCTCTCTCTCTCATCATCCCCCTCGACTTTATACTCTCCATATATTTTTCTACTTCGATTTTCACTTCTCAGGACGCACAGGGATCACCTACAACTCTCTACTACACCTCAGGCTCGACACCTATCATTCCCACTCAAGTATGGCTTCAATATCCGAGGATAATTGCTTGCTGGACTTCCCCCCACATTATTCTTCGTGTACCATACTTTCCTCGCCTTTCCACTTCATACTCCAACGACTCTACACGAGGAGAGTAGCCTGGAGATGAAGCCTATGAGCTAGAACAGTCTTCTTAGAGGTTCCCTGGATTATTGAGGATGGCATAGGACATTCCGGCAGCCTACCTTGCACATACGAAGCGGTTACATGTCCATCCTACCCTCTAAAAGTGTCTCACAGTAATCGGGCATCATTACAAGTCCTAGGAAATATTACCAGACCTCCACACCCTCCACACCTGGATATCCCAGTAGTATGCCTATCTGATTTCGCTTTCCTAAGAGACATTTTCCCTACCATCCTCGCCCATGAATATTCACAGACGGAATAAAAACCTAGAAGACATGCTCAAATTCTTTCCAGCATTTATCCAATTTTATTGGGACCTCCACTCGCAGACCACTCTGGAACTGGAGATCGTGGGAAACACCCGGCTAACCCCGGAAGTCGCGTCCATTTCGACTTTTCCTCCTCCCTCACTTATAATTGCATTGTGAGGCATTTTCCCGGACAACCTCTGAAATGTCTCACATGCAGAGGAAGATACACAACTCGAGAAGTCTTCCACGATTTTTCTGGCAATTCTACCATTTTATTCGAAGCTCCCAGCAGTCCACACCCCGAGCAGAGCTCAGGAACCGGAGGTCGGGCCGAGCTCCTGGTTCCTGTAGATCGTTTCAAACTCTGCTTCCCCTGTCCTTCCTCAGCTTGCACTCGCTCTAGAAAAGGCTGTAGGGCATCTATTAAATCCAAACAAAATGCGCGTATACTCTATGGATCCATACCTTTCGATTAATACCATTTATGGAATATTCGGAGCAGAATTGGTGTAGGGCGACATTTCTGAGACACAGCTCATCTCAGGGCCATCTGATAACAATGCATCCCCTATTTTTCATCTTCCACCCGTCCTAACTCCGAGTATTTGGTATAGATCGAAAGCTATAGCATTCCCCTATCGCCTCATGTTGTTGTTTTGCCATTTCATCAGATTTCCGTACCATGTTCTGATGAATACTTAGGCTTGGCTTGAATCTGTGCCTGTCCATTGTTCTCTTGATTGTTTTTCCTCATTCTGGTCATCTATATTTTACTGTACACTCTCGTCTCATTCTAGAGACCTCTTCTGGCATGCTACAATACATCTGCACAGTTCTCTTAGTGTTTATTGTAGTGTACAGCGATGGGTACATTTATTATGACTTGCATGACTCAGACAGTCTCCTTACCTTAGAACATTTGTCATTCTCTGCTTTTTCGTACAAGTCTCGGCTGGATATGACTCGGACTTTCTCTCGTATAAATAGGATAGCTCAGTCATATATTTACTCAGTTTCAAGATCGTCTATTCCTGGATAGTCACCCAACTCAATTTACTCTCCAACCCTGTCTGCACAAGGTCTCTCCCCTCTCTTCCAGTGCTTGTGCGGATTATATTCTCTCTTAGTAGTGTAGAGTGGTCTTGAACCGAGAGTGTCATGACCTTTCATCATTTCCATGCCTTTTCTATTATTTCCTGGTGTGTGCCACAGTTGGGCCACACTTTTCCGAGTTTCTGTGCCACTGTGGCCTGGGTTTGGTTGTGTTTGGTTCTGGCTAGTATATAAACCTACCTACTTCCTGTTTTGTACTCTAGTCTTGAGATCGTCAATCTCCCCCCTATACAACCTTTTCCTCGCCCTTGGTGTGTGTTTCTGAGTAAGAGATCGCCTGCCAGCAACCCCTCTTTGTAGGACATGGTTGTTCTGGTATGGTCGTGATAATGACAGATGTGTCTACTATATATACTAGAGTCCGTCTGAGCCAATGTTCTACCCAAACGACAAAAGGAGCACCAAGTGACAAATATTCTAAGCTACAATGACTGACTGGCTGTGTAGGATGAGTAAGACAGATGTCCATCAATGTACGCTACTGGAAACACCAAGTAGAGCCTTTAATGGAATTGTAGCATGTAAACAGAGGTCGCCAGAACAAGACGAGAATTTACAAGATGAAGAAAAACTCATGTACAAGGCAAAACATTCAAGACAACAATGGACACAAAGTAGGCTAAGTTCGCATATGGGTATCTCGTGTTCTTCTTCCGAGTTTGTTTCACCCTCACAAGTTTGTAGCTCGGAGCGTGCATCAGGTTCATTCAAATGTTCATTTCAAGAGCAGGATTTTGAAGAATGATGTCCTTCCAAGATCAATTGGAACTCCGCTCGGAGTTCCCCGCTTCACCGATGCATGCTCCCACACCCACTTACACTGTACTGAATTCAAGGACACTCTGATTCACAGGAAGTGTCTTCTCCTGCAGACCTCGGTCTTTCCATTTGCGAAAGAAAACTGGTGGCAATTAGTTAGCTCAGTGAAAAATCTGGATTCCTATTGAGACTAGAAATAAATTCATCTCATTTCGGAAAAATAATGTTTTAAACAAATGTGGATAGGCCAAGGATAGGCTGGTTTGAGTGTTTGCAATGCCATTCATTACCAAATGCAAGTGTTGTGTAGGATTGAATTTCTTCATAAGGTGCTTGTCTGGTTTACATATTTTGGTGTTTGGTGCACGCCGAAGATGGGTGTTTATCGTTCTGAAAGCGGCTGTGATGCTGTAAATGGTGGAAGTTACCATGGTGTTATCACTGCCATAAGCAGAGAAGACAGCACCAAATGCGGAAGCGACAAGCCTATTTGGTCGCGTCGGTCGCGTGGCAAGTTTGGGGTCCTCCGCCTGGCACCGTTTCGAGTGTTGACCGACCTTGAACTCAGCATTCCACCCCGCCTCGCCGCCGCCTCCCTTCTCTGGCTCTTTTGCCTGCCCCCTTCTCCCTGTCGTTCCTTACCTTCTATTCCTCCAACCTTCAGTCATCATGGGTGCAAACCTCTCGAAAGCCCTCGGTATGTGAACGTAAACTGGCACCGGTGTCGTCTTTACTGAGCCACGGTTCTCGCTGTGTATAGGCAAGATTTTCGGCAATAAGGAGATGAGGTTGTTGATGCTTGGACTTGACGCTGCCGGAAAGACAAGTACGGCGGTCTCTGCCTGTACTTACATGTGTGCTGCGCTCACCGTTCGACTTATCCAGCTATTTTGTACAAACTCAAACTCAACCAGTCCGTTACCACCATCCCAACCGGTACGCACAGCCGCTGTCACACATCATATGCGTTTGTCCCATACTTACCACTTTACCAGTCGGCTTCAACGTTGAAACCGTGACATACAAGAACGTGAAGTTCAATGTGTGGGATGTTGGCGGCCAGGATAAGATTCGGCCGCTTTGGAGGCATTATTACACCGGCACGCAGGGTCTAGTTTTCGTTGTGGATAGTCAGGATCGTGAGAGGGTAGACGAGGCGAAGCAGGAGCTGCATCGGATATTAAGCGATAGGGAGATGAAAGAGTGTTTGTTGCTTGTGTTCGCGAACAAGCAGGATTTACCCGGAGGTGCGTCTGTGATATGCACCAGCTCATGCGCCTTCTTTCTGATACATACTCCCTCGTTTCACGCAGCCATGTCACCAGCAGAAGTCACCGAGAAGCTGGGGCTGCACCGGATGCGTGACCGTGCGTGGTATGTGCACCCAAGGTGAGCCACTCCGTTCGCTCCCAGGGTGCGAAGGCCGCGTTCGTTGACATCTTTCCTCTTCTATAGTTGTGCCACCACAGGAGAGGGCTTGTTCGAGGGTCTCCAATGGTTATCTCAGAACGTGAAAAAGCGCCAGCAATGAGTTCGTTTCATATGCTTTCTCTTTCATTTTCGTCTTTTCCACTTGTCCTCTTTCTTTTCCTTGTTATGGGTCCCTCGCTATTCCCTTATATCATCTTCTCGCCATATACCCTACCATTATCTGCTCCAGCCTCTTGACTATGGTCCCAGATGACACCCTCCCACGCGCTCCCCCACCGGATAATGGTCCCCTGAATCTATAGTCTTCTTTTCCCCCGCCATGATCTGGTTGCCCAGACTTGCCCTTGTCCGATACAGCCCATCAACCTCAACCACTCGTTTCTCTTGCTTTTCAAGACGTTCTTTCTGTGCTTCTAAATTTCGACGGACAGCATCTTATTACTCTCTAATGATATGGTACGGCGCGGCAGCTGATTTCTGAACGTATGATGCATGCCAGAAGTGCATGGATACGCTCTCGTAATTAGCTTCGGTAGGGGGTTGCGGGTCACCAAACCCGTTGGCGCGCTGCAAATTTTGTTGGCGCGTGAGGTCTGTATCGTAGCCCTGCTCGTATAGCACTACATGAATGATAGCTCGCGCTTTTCTCCATTTCGTCTCTTGAGCGGTGTATGGTCGTGTGGCGTAACCCAGTAAGCTGCCACGACTAACGTCGCCACTCTTTCCTTGCACGCATCGCGCATAGATGACGCCTTTACTCGCAAAAGTCAGCAAATGACATCTCAAAATATTCTGTCCACGCTCGTCGCTTGACCACAACTTGTCTACGAACCGTCATGATATCTGCGCTGCGTTCGGTGTCCAGGGTGGCCGGTCGGTCACGGAGAGGCTTTACCACTCAAGCCGTGCAAGGTCTCACTGGCGCCGTCGGAAACACCCCCTTGGTGCGCTTGACTTTCATCCACGACATCGAGGACTTGCTCTCGGCTTACTATAAACCTCTCGATATCTCTAGATTCTGTTGAAGAAACTCTCAGAGAAGACTGGCTCGCGTGTATATGGCAAAGCTGAGTTCCAGAACCCTGGTGGAAGCGTGAAGGATCGCGCTGCTCTCGGTCTCGTCGAGAATGCGGAGGCAAATGGAAGGTGCGTGTTTTACCTGATACCTCCTTGGGATGTTTTAGAGGCTGACTTCGTTGCCCAATCTATCATCTTTCTACCTGCTATATTTCTATGGTCTCGCAGTTTGAAGCCAGGAGGTACAGTCGTTGAGGGTACTGCAGGAAACACCGGTATTGGCCTCGCTCATGTCTGCAGAGCCAAGGGCTACAAGTGCGTTATCTATATGCCAAATACTCAGGTGCGTTATTCATTTCCCACTGTATTTCATGCGACCCTTGAATCCGTCGGGGACTCCGTGCTGAACGCGTTATTCTCGCAGAGTCAAGAAAAGATCGACCTTCTTCGCATGCTCGGCGCAGACGTTCGGCCTGTTCCTGCAGTCGCGTTCGAGAATCCTCTAAATTACAATCATCAAGCTCGCGAGTACGCTGAGAGCATCCCCAACGCTATCTGGACAGACCAGTTCGACAACACCGCGAATGCCGAGGCACATTACCGGACGACGGGTCCTGAGATCTGGACTCAGACAAACGGAGACGTGGATGGTTTCATCTGTGCGACTGGGACGGGGGGCACACTCGCTGGTGTGGGGAGGTATTTGACGGAGAAGAGTCAGGGCAAGACGCAGATCTGGATTGCTGACCCGCCGGGCAGTGTGTTGCACAGCTATATCACTAGCGGTGGTAAGCTGAAGGAGAGGACCGGCAGCTCCATCACCGAAGGTGCGTTACTTCCTCTATCAGGGCTATTTGTGATTAAAGTGAGTGAGGGGTGTAGGTATCGGCCAGGGACGTATCACGAACAATTTGGGCACATTCGTGGAGAAGGTTTCTGGCTCTCTGAGCATCGCGGACGAGAAGTCTATCGCTATGATCTACGATCTGCTCGACACTGAAGGATTGTACCTCGGAGCGAGTTCCGCATTGAACGTCGTGGCAGCATATGAGATGGCTCAGTCGCTCGGCCCAGGTACATCATGACTTCCTTCACGATCATCCAGAGTTGCTAAATATTCGTTTCTGTTAGGCAAGACTGTTGTTACAATTCTTTGCGATGGGGCCTATCGTTATCAGAGTCGGCTGTTCTCGAAGAAATGGTTGGAGAGCAAGGGTCTTTCGGACGCTATCCCAGAACATCTGAAGAAGTATGCTGTTTTAGACTAGAATTAATCATGTACTGCGATGATGCAAATAAAGCATTATTTCATGTATGCCAACTCGAATTTCTTGAGTACATAGAGGTGAAGTGGCGCTGAGTGCCACAGTAACGCTTCGCGTCCGGTCACAGTGACAAGCGCGTCGCGACATCGTCAGTCGTGTCGTCAAGCGCTTGCGTCGTCAAACAGTTACAGCATAACGAACTGTCCTACTGGATGGCGTCCAGCTTAAACTCTCCTTGGATTCGACAATACGTCATTGGAATTGCTGAGACCGTCGGCAGCGATCTGACCAAAGTCGAGACACATGGCAAGGGCAAAAAGGTCCAACTCGTCGAGGTGAGTGACTTATCGCTTGCGACTTCAACCAAGTTTTGCCTTCTCAATCACCGCATATTCCAGTTCTTAACGTTTCCGAAACATCCCACTGCCGTACAAGATGTATGGGCGAGGATCTCTGATGGCAAACACAAAATACTTGTGTGCTTCACGCATGACGCTGTGAAGCGATACAACCAGGATAAGCAAGTACATAACACCCTCGTCCTTTTCTGGTACTGCTCCTAACCTGAGGTTCTGCGCAGCTTCGTTGACAGCCAAGGCAGAGCTCTTACATCCCACCGAACCGCTGTCATACAAATCAAGCAGTTCAGGCTCGGATTCAGACGAGTCCCAAAAGGCAAAGGTGCAGTCGGAATGAGCCTACACCAATGCCTGGTTCTGGATGTGGACAAAGTCGAAATTATTGGGTCCTCTGGAGAGGCGGAGTTCGAGTCTCAAGCCATCAAGATTCAAAATGATCCGGAGGTCAAGGAATGGATAGAAGGCCTGCGGGAGGGCGGAGGCAATGGGTGAGTGGTATTCGATGCCATTCTCTAATTCTCGGTCTCCGTTGAAGCCCATACATTGTGTCTACCAGTAATGTGCTCAAAGTGAGACGTGAAGATCGTGACAGACCCGTGCAGGAGGTTGATTACTTAGAGCCTCTGCCTGCACCGGCGTCTGGGTCCCGCGTGAGACATGCATCCTCTCAGTCACCGGAGCGCAGTAGAGACCCTCTTCTCATCAGTACCGAGACTCTATCTGTAACTATCGGTTCGATGGACGTTGACTTACCCTGGAACGAGTTCATTATTGCCGACGACGATACGCAAGAAACCAGTCGGGTGTCAGGCGGACAAGCTGCGTCTCCGGAAAAGTCTCAACATATCGAGAAAAGAAAGGCCCCTAATCGGTGTCCAAGTAATAAACCGCGCACAGGTGATCTTCTTCGTCTGTCTTCGTGATGCACGTCTAAACTCGTCCCTGTAGACCCTCTTCACATTCCAAGCTCTCAAACTCCGCCGTCTCAGCGTAACCCCGAACTTCCTGAAGAACCCACAACACCCTCCGACTGGGCACCCACGAACCCGGGTCACTCATCAAGGCCCGCCAGTCCTGCTCAGCTGAGCTCGTCCCATTCCAGCCCTTCTTCTCACCGCGAGTCGTCTCCGCCTCTCCAAATCACCCAATCGTCCGTACAAGAGTCGCCTCGACTACCTGCTCCGAGGTTTGTGTTCCAGCCTCGCGAGCACACGGGTCTTACATCCTCCTTGACCGCCCCGACCCCAGCCCAGCGGCAGAAGCCACTCACGTCGTCTTCACCCGTACATGCCTCTTCCTTTCCGTCTCCCTCACCGATTCCCAAAGACACGTCATTCCCTGCAGAAAAGCGAAGGGTTCCGCGACCGCCGGTAGTGGAGCATCCTCCACCTGATGGTGGAAGCGGGCGAACGATCGTTCCAGATACTGATATTTCAGGTTCTGCATCTCAGCCCCGCACACAGTCACAGGATCGTGGCCACAGGGTAAATCCTGCTGGGATTGGCTCCCAACCTGATGCGAATCGCGCTCAGAGGGACTCGGTTTTTGTGGAGCTCGATGACGACGATAGATTAACTAAAGCGCGTCTTCAGAGGCGGACTGGGAAGGGTGTGTCAAAGGCGCCGCTTACTCCTCCACAGACATCGACATCTTTGGCGAACGTCGCTCGGTCACCCCTGCCACCCTCGAGTCCGGATCCATCATCCCAAGAGCGAGGACATCAGGCACGCGGGAGTCACAGCCACAGCCAGAATGCTCATCCAGTCAAGGTCGCGAAGCGAACAAGAACGGGGGCGCATGAGCGTTCTACGAAAGACGGTGTGGGTTGATCGATTTGCCCAATATTCACTTATCTTCATCCATCTGACATTATTCGTTCCAGCACTCTTCCTCTCCACCTCGAAAGCGTGTACGATACGAAGGCTCCCCTTCACCGTCAAGCACTAGACGAGAAGCTGCGCCGCTCACAGATACTCTACCTATCGCCGGCCCCTCGAAACCAAGGGAACCCACAACAAATCGAGCTGCGACTTATCCACACACACTCAAAGCAGGCTTGAACGCCTATCTTTCACAATCAAAACCTCGTCCACCAGAAGACCCTCCCTGGAAACGTCCCAAGATCAAGACGAAGCCTCCTGGTCCTGGCCAGAATCGTAAGTTAGGTGCGTTGTTTCAGGATAGGATATGGCCCGAGAGTAACTGGACGTTGGATTATTATGCGGAGCTGTTGGATGAGACGGCCGAGACGAGAGAGGCAAGAGAAAAGGAGTTAGAGGATGAAGGGATGAAGGCTGAGACGCAAACGCAGAGAGAAAGGGACAAGGGCGCAGACGACGAGTCTATGGAGTTGTAGAATGTACATTCATGCAGCCGTTTCGTTGGCTTGTTGAGGTATTCCATTAATCGTTGTTAATCTTCTTCCGTTTGGAACCATAGAAGGCCGACGCAAAGCTTGGGTTTTTGAGCCAACATAATATTCCTAGCTACTGTAAAAGTCGGTCTCACAAGCAGACTACATTCCGTGCAATGAAAGGCCAAAGTAAAACACCCGCAGAGGCAGCAACAGATCATAGCAAAATCCAAACAGCAGTCTCTCCATTCGAAGAACTATCCCCCCGTCCTGCGGCCGAACGATATTGAAGCGCGGCCTTATACTCTCCTAGAGCGTCCCGCGTCCCATCACTCGCATTGGACCATCCCCCGCAGATTAAGGCTCTAAGAGAACGACTGACTCATCGCGGCATTGCGTGCACTTCTCGGCTGCACAGGCACCTCCGGCTTGAGCGAGCAATACAGAAAGTGTCGTCGAGGCCCTGTAGCGCTCGCCACGCCCGCTACAGCGGCCACTCGTGCACCGAGAGGAGCAGTATCAGTACCGCTCCCGCGAATGCCGAGCGAGAACATGCGGTCGAAGACTTTGCGCGTCGACGAAGATACACCCGCGTGGAGATGCAAAATATAACCACAAGACACATATACAAACGCCCGGGTAACCTCTGAGTGCGCGAAAGATGCAGAAAGGAGGGATAATGCTTACGTGTGGCGACGAAGGCTTTAGCGGTTGTTTGGCATGCGAGGTGTGAGAGTGCGAGAGGGGGACTAACGCCTTCGAGTGTGCGCAGGTACCGAAACACCATTGAAGGTTGGCATGGTCCGAAGCGAAACACCGCAGCATAAGCTTGTCGCCATTTATCTTCAAGGAGGCGAGCACAGAGACTGGGATCGGGACAGGTTGGGCACTGAGTTTTGCAGTAGTGGTCGTGAGATGGGTAGTATAGAAAAGTGAACCAGAGGACGAGAAACGTACGCATTCGTATTCTCTCGCGATTTGGAATAGACCAAGTTTTAGGACTCGTTCGAGGAACCATGTTCGTCTGTCATGACAATGATCAATTGAACGTCGTCACGGACGATTGGAGGAGCAGACCTCTTCTCAAGCTTCAACAGAGTCTCGTGGCTAAGCGCACTCATTTCTTGCTCTGTCCACCCGCCCGGATTATCCAGGACAAACCTGGAGGACTCCCGATACAATTCCTCCTCTTCAAACAGCTCGGCAATGCGCATGGCTTTGATTGGTCGTCCAGCGGCATGTGTTAATAGGAAGGTAAGACATTTCTGCTGAAGTCCGTGAACACATAGTTTATGTGCAATATTCATGAGGCCTTCGACGTTGTTCCATGTGATGGTGCATTCCATACTATACCACAGGAGAACCAATTGATTCAATTCAGTCGAAGGGCTGAACTAGCAGGTTTGCACACCTTGGATAGACGTAGCGAAGAAAGTCGTGAAATATCATAGCCTGCAGTTCGCTTTAGAATAAGGTCCCGGGTCGGCAAAGAAGAGACGGTACATACTTTCTCCTCCTTCAGCACAATCACAGCATCAGGACCGTTAATCTTTTTCCGACGTCTTACAGCGGCCTCTGGGGTTCCTTTCTTCCAAGAAAGCCTCACGGTGTCGCTCTTCCCTTTCAACTTCTCCTTCGGCACATTGCTCGGGCCTGGGACAGCCTCAATCTCCGGAGGCATAGTCGCCTCTACCTTCGGAGACAAAGTCCCTCCTTGCAGCCTATCCAAGCTTTCTTTCCTTGCACTTTCCTTCTCTTCTGGACTCTTGGCGCTATCCTCTCTCACCTTCACCTTCTCCGTGTCCTTTTTCGGCGTATTGGGCGACGAATCACTCGTCTCGGCCTCCGTCTCGCTGGACTCGTTGATGTCAAGGTCAACGTCTAAGTCCTCGGGGTCAATGTCAGGATCCATGGGTGCAAAAGTCATTTCGGTAGGGAGATCAGAATGACGTTTGTCTCCGGGAATTGTTGGAGGTTGAGAGATAGTAATGACCGAAGACATGGATGCTGGGCGACCGGTTTCGGCCCAGTCGCCACTCAAAGCGGCCTGGAAGAACGGCGACGCGAAGTACAGCACCTCCTTATGGGCCCTATTCAAAAGTATCAGGGATCACTTTTCATCAATGGAGATATGTGTTATGACGAATGGGACGCGCCAGAATGTTGTCTTCTCCACCACTATCTTCACAGTACCGGGAAACTCGAAACTCTTTGTGAACGTCTGGTCAACATCAATTGGGTCTTCTGAATCATCAATGCTAAGTTCAGATACAACGTCGGTGTCAACGCCTTCAAGGAACCAAGGAGGAGAGCCAGAGGATCTGAAGATGCCTGCCGCTGCAGCATGGGTTTCTGTAGGAGAACTGAGAGATGCCGAAGGGTTGTGAGTGCCTCTCGAGTTACGGGCGATGAGTATATGGGATGGATTCGTCATCGTGGTAGTAGGAAAACAGTTGAGCTGCCTGTCAAGGGCTGTTGCTTGGGAAACGCATGAGTATTCAAGAGAGGAGTGTGGCGAGCCACAACTTGGGCACACCGCTTTGTGGCGTGCGGAAATTACCGGCAGGAACTCAAACTGAACTCAACCAGAATTTCTTCTCTTCAGACCAGCCCCTTCTCCCAGGATCGGAAATTGTCGTTAGGCAATGATATCGATATTCATCATTAGACTGTGTGACGCGTAGGCGCATCGATTTAAGATAGGCAGAATAGTGAAGGGGCAAGGTTTTTTGAGTCCGAGAGGGTGAGTTCTCAAAGTTCTCAGGCTTCTGGCTGACGAACTTCCTTCGACAACATACCGCAGATAACTACGTTTTACAGATTGTAAACACTTGCGTACCGGTCCTTGCGTTCGATGTGCCTAGCGGTATTCCGAGCCTCCTATTCCGACGTTGAAACTGCACGCAACTCGATATATCCCTTCCGACTCTTTGGCCCGTATCGTTGATCATGCGACGTACATATCTTCTGTAGGTAGTACAACGATAAACCGCTTCACGATGTTTTCGGCAATCTAAGTCCCTACTATGGGCGGCTGCAATTCGATGGAGATAGACGATACACACGGTATCCGTTATATCACGAAAGACGCATGCCCACACCCACCCATCTCAACAGTCTCTCATCCTCTCCTCTTGTTAATTCCGCTCATCCTAGGACGTTTCAATGAGTGCGCTGGTTTCAGAGAAGAAAGTTATCGAGGGAGAAGCTGATCACGGAAGTGGGACAACACGCTCTGGCAATCAGAAGCCTGAGGTAGACGTCTTCGTGGACGCCGATGATCACCAAATTCGTTACAAAACCCTGAGTTGGCAGGTTCGTTCAGCAGTCCCCTTATGCGTCTGTCGATGCTTTCTAAATACATACAATTGCAGTTTGTTGGTATATTGATGATAGCGGAGGTGAGTGTCTCGACCATACTACAAGATAGAGCATGAGTTTCGTTGAGTCTGATGAGACTGGATGACTAAAGACTGTTAGCAATGGAATGCTCTCGCTCCCACAAGCAGTAGCTGTTGTGGGTAGGCACTTTCTCATTCTTATTACACCAAGAGCATCCCTTCATAAAGCTTCAGACTAATAGCTGCTGCGCACAATTCAGGACTCGTACCTTCTATCATCTTGACGGTGTTTCTGGGAATGTTCGGTCTTTTCACGGCTAAACTGCTGATTGACTTCAAGCTAAACCATCCCAATGTACACAACATGGGTGAGTGAAATCTGCCAGTAAAGTATCCATAGTTCCATTTTGGCTCACTGTCGCGTGGCCTACTTCAGGAGATGCGGGGTACATCATGTTTGGACCTGTGGGTAGAGAGATTCTTTCTGCTGGAACTGTCATCTTCGCTATTTGTGCCACAGTAGGTTAATCACTATATCTTATGGTCGCTTATTCGCTGAAGCTATATCTCAAGGGCAGTGAACTATTGACCGGCCAACAAGCACTCTCAGTCCTCTCGAATCAAGGACTATGCACCGTCGACTTCGTAGTCATCATCTCAGCTGCGACATTCATTTTTGCCTTACCGCGCACTCTGCATGGGTTGAACTTCTTCGCATTCGCCAGTTGCGCCTCGATCACTCTCGCTGGCGTCTTGGCCATGATCGGCGCAGGTCGTAACCCGACTCCAGGGCGTGTCATCGACGTGACGGTCAAGTCAAGTTTTTTTGAAGCATTTCTAGCTATCACGGGTCCAGTGCGTTGGGTTTCGCCTTACCAAATGTACCCAGCTCATATTCGCTTCGTATTGTCCAAGGTTTTTGCTTACGCAGGTATGCATGATATCATTCACGTCGGCCAGATTAGTGAGGACTGATTTCAGATCCCACAGGTCATTTCATGTACGAGCCCTCGGCGACGAAAATATTCAGTTCAACATCTCAACAATGCACTGTGTTCATCAATTAGGTTCTTCATCCTGATCTCAGAGATGCGGCACCCGGAGGAAGCTATGAAGGTTTGGTCGTCTCTTTTGCAGGATTCAGAGCCCTCTGTTAAATATACAGCCATTATGTTTTGCAGTCTGCCTGGATGCTTCAAGGCTTCTCCACAATCTTCTACGTCATCTTCAGCACTGTCATCTACGTATACATAGGGAGCACCGTCCAATCCCCAGCCCTTCTCTCCCTACCTCCAGTTTGGTCGAAAATCACCTTCGGCATCGCCCTTTTGAGCTTTCTTATGCAAGTATCGTACTCTCTCGTGGTAGCTAGCGCTCACTACTAATCACGACGCACAACACAATACAAAACAGAACTGGGGCTCTCTGCTCCCACACTGCTGCCAAACTGGTTTTCGTCCGTTTTTTTCGTCACTCTCGACACGTCTATACCCATACGTTTCTCGGATGGTCAGTCTGGGCCTTCCTCTGTTTCATCATGACCGCCACCTCCTGCCTCCTTGCCATCGCTATTCCCGTCTTCTCGGACCTCGTCGGAATCACGGCTGCTCTGTTCGCATCCTGGTACACCTACGGATTGGCTGGCTTTTTCTGGCTGCATGATGAACGGTATCTTAGGGGAGGGTTGGGGAGGAGGAAAGGTTTGCTGGTTATTGCAATATTGACGATCATTGCGGGAGGCTTTATGTGTGTGGCGGGGACGTATGTGAGCGTGAAGGCGAGTCTCAGTCTGCAGTGCTTTGATCATCTGGTTTCTCTAGTGGCTGAAGCTAACTGTGCGTTACAGTTGATCGTGGATGCATACAAGAGTGGGACTGTTGGCAAGCCTTTTACTTGTTGATTTGGTCCCGCACTCGCTTGGGGTCCTCTGTATAACACCATATTATGGTGCCATCTATGGGAATCTGCGTGCCCTCTCATCAAGATTCTGATATATTCTGATACAACATATATCTGAAAGGCTGTCTGGCGGGGCAGCCTCACTCGGACCAATCTAACAGGATCAAACCGTCTGCGTTGCGGTCAGAGAACGTAAGGTCCGGTAACGGTAAGTAAGAGTAAAAGATTCATACCTGCGTTGCGGTCAGAGAACGTAAGGTAAAGGGGACCGCGGCGCAGGGAGGAATATTATCGTACTGTTTGTACTTGTTTGTACTACGAAAGCCACGCGTAAATTACCGGTTAACGAATATGTGAGCCCGCCAGGCTTACAATATCGTAGTCGAAGGTGTGCTCATCTGTGTCAGAGGTAACAGGAACCCTACCTCCTATATAATGGTGTTTTGGGGGCCGCTGTTCAACGATCATCATAGAGCGTGCGGTGCGATGATGGTGCCCTTCCAACAGTGATCCTTCTCGGGGGTCAATGTGAGTGCTTGTTCATTCCATCTTCCATTTCTACTCAGGCTCATGTTTTGCTCTCAGGCTTCTCCTAGTAACACCTTATAAATCAAAAGCGGCTGACTCTGGTCTGAGGGTCCACGATGGAATTATGCGACTCTCGTGCCGAACGCTATAGACGCATCACGGATCCTTTGTGATCGACAACTGGATTGGACCTGCGACCCGAGCAAAACAGGTCCTGCGCTTGTTCGTACGCGGGACATTGTGATGGTCTCCAACTCGTCTTTTGACGATCTTGCCTCCATATAAGCTGTGTGAGACATGTTTTTAGGGGACCTCATCCTTTGACAGGCCTAGATACCTTCCTGGTTATTTCCCTCCCTACACCACAGCGACCTCCCGTGGAGTTGCTTATTAGCCCACTCTCAATGATTCATGGCTGAATCTGTTCCAATCTCTTATGAGAGCGCTCGAGCTCAACTGTGAGTGGCTATCACCTCTGGTTATCTGCGGACCCTCACTCGGTTTGTACTGTTTATACAGGAATACAAGCTCTATACTATCCACTATTTACATAAGTGACTGCTTTCCGCATTATATACCTTCAGATTGTTGAGTCGGTCTCTGACGCTGTCTTCAGCCATACTCTTCTATGACTATCTCATAACCCTCAGCTCCGAAGTGCAATTGTTCTGGCCGCCACGCAATAAAGTCACCTTCCCGTCGTTTCTTTTCTTTGCCTCCCGCTATGGCACGATCCTCGGTCATATCATCCTTGCTCGAGAGGCTTTCATATATCCTGTAGACGAATCCGTGAGCGATCCATCTATCTCAGAAAAGTCGCGAGCTAACTTCACAACTTGTTCCGCGCCACAGTTGTAAGTAGCCAGAGCATTGACAGCGGCTCACGAGGCGATCTTCCGGCTAGACTGATTTTATCCGTGTATCATAGCTGTAGGCGAATGCATTATCTTCATCAACCCTACGTCGCCCTCATTCAATTCATAATCGCCAGTAAGCTCTCCTCGCGTCGTCTCTGAAGACTGAAAACTCACACACTCTGTATCGCTCTACTTTTCCAAGTTCTTTGCACGCTTCGAGTGTCTGCAATGTATCGCCATCACATCCGTCATCGATGCGTCCTGGCCCTGATGGTAATCCTTCTCATGGCTATGACAGGCTCTACCCTGGTACGGCTTGTCCTTTCACGATTTTCATTTAATCTGACCGGGACGGGAGCCTTGGTTTGAAAGTAGTGGGTTGTGGTAGCTGGAAAGGATGATGAACCTCTGCGCTTGCTTGTTCTCGACATGCCAGGGTGTAACCCATTCCATACTGAAGCACAGTGCGCTATATCCTCTATCCTCCTCACTTCATTTCTCGTTCTTTGAACAAGATCTCTGATATACTTGTTTGTCATAACTTGCAGGGGCCGTCGTGAGTTTAAACTGTTTGAGGATTTTTCCCGGCAGTTAACTGCTCACACATTCGTAAAGGCCTCGCAGTTCCATGGAGCATCATGGTCGTTTTTGACTCTTGTGTATTTGTCCTCATCGCACTTCAAGCCGCCATGGTTGGCTGGAAACATCCAAGAACACTTTTTCGGGTGTTTCTACGAGACGGTTCGTCTCCAAGCCTTCGTTTCGGTTCTCTTTTTTTGTTGGTACGTGCTCATGATCTAACTTGCGCACATTCGTACTAGGGAGCCTATACTTCATGTAAGTACCTCGTTTCTCTGGACTATCATGTGTTTCTTCGTCGTCCTGACATGGCTTCGCATGGATAGCGTTCTGGTCGGTGTAAACTTGGCGAACGTGTTGATGTATCTGGTGCGCCCGGGTTCTCTCTCCTTACCCACAAAGTCTTAGACTCTCACTGAACTATCTGATCCCCAGTACGCTCCTGTACGTCTTTCTCCCCTGACCTGATCCATACTTTAACTGTTGATTGACTCTCATTAACCATCTCTTCGTTTTTATAGCCCCTACTCAAAGTCAGAAACACCGCGCTGAGCAACATGTACGTGTGAACCTCAGACTTAAGGGTGTTGATATGGGAGGCTCATAATTATTGTCCCTCCTGGACCACGTACAAATAAACAGACTCTCCGCGACTCTGATGTCGCGCATGATGCTGGACTTGCGAGCCCTTGCCGAGAAACGGATGGATGACAGACTCTTCGACCTCGTGATACCGAGGAGCATGGGTGATATACCAGGTTTAACTATTCATCGTCCAAGTCAGGACTGCCAGTCGGAGCAGACAGAAAATGTTGTATGACTATGTAATATCTCTGAGCCGAGCGAATGGTGTACTTATGTGGAGAGCTTGAGCCCCGGGCCTACTATTACTTTCTGGATCCTTTCTTGTCGAGTTCGACTCCCCTTCCCTAGAGACATACCTCTTATGAAAACATGCACCAATTGTACCATATCGCCTCTCTGTCCCAGGTGAAGTAGTTTATAAAGGCGGTCGTGAATGTTGAAAAACGCGCCCAGTTACTTTTGACCTACAGGCTCCTACACCCATCCAAGGCTTCGGATCTTGGCTGAGATGCGAATTTGAAATCACTTGACTCACCGCACTGGGAGCGCCACACTATGTAGCAAGCTACTCTTCTATCTTCTTCGCCAACAAAATCTAGCAACCCCCACCACTTTGACCTTACACCATGGCCTCCGTCGTAGAACCGACCACTGCTCAGCCAACACCCATGGATGTAGACGCACCACTAGCTCCCGTAGACGACGGCCCCGTTCCGCTCTCCTTCCCCGCTCTCCTGAGAAACTCAGGTCTATCCAGCCGCTACGCTTATCTTCAACCTACCCGCGAACAAGTATCCAGGTCTGCCTCCTCTCCAGCAGCTCCCAAGAAAGCTCTTCGTAGAGACGACAACGAAGGTAAACGCTGGCTACGACGGAAGGAGAATGGTACGCTCATGACCGATCCTGCTCTTTATCTGCGTCTAAGTGAGGTGTACAATATAATTTAGCCCGGTTTACGGGCAATCCACACATTGCGGCACCGAGTAAGAGGGATATGATGCCTTCCATGCCAAACAAGGTCCCGACGTTCCCTGTCCCATTACCGCCTTATCTGCCACGGAGCGTCTCACTACCAAACACTATCCCGCCTTCTCCCTCGCCACACGATGCTAATGCCGGTCGATTCAGCCTTTCTCTCAAAGGAATGCGTCGAACGCTTCGTAAAGCGGGGCCGCAGACCCAGCTGTTAGTACAGGACGTCGAAGAGACCCTCATGATGTGGCTAAGCGAGGGAGGAGTCATGCTGCAGCCTGACGGAGGTAATAATGGTGAGGATGGTGTCGAGTATCCTGGTAATATGGTTGGAGGTCAGGAGGGGGTACGGGAAGTGGAGAGGACGCCGTTGAGATTGGTTTGGTGGATTGAGGATAGCTGGGTCCGGTATGTCGTGCACTGTTGCGCTCGGTACCATGAAGTCGTCAGCTTCAGTAAGTAATACTCTTTACACATCTGGCCCACACCACATCATGATCAGTGGGCCCGAGGATGCTAATCACGCTCTCTGGATTCGTGTACGGCCGCACAGGCAAAGATACACCGACCCACCGTCTCACGCATCTCCTCCGTCCGAATGTCACTCGTCCAGACCACCTCGCCCGCGCCCGTGCCTCTCTCGACACGCCACCTTCAACGGACCTCGAAGTCTCATCCCTAGCATCTTACGATTCCGACCTCGTCTCCGCCTTCTCAGAAGAAAGCGGCATGTCTGACATTCCATCCGAATCCGAACCCGAATCCGACGTCGGACCCGGTCACGAGCTATCTCTGAACTCGGACCGGCGACGGCCTCTGGATACATTATCTGATATTACCTCTTCAGATGGAGGTGCAGAGGCTGATGTTGAGCATGAACAAGCTGGAGGTTTAGGTGTCGGATCTAATCCAGCCTACTCATCCTCCCGCGACTCCATATCCTCTCTCGCCCGTATCGCTCGTCTTGAAGCAGACGCCTGGTCCGTCTCCGGTGGCAGCGATCACGAACTCGAACATGGCGTCGAATCCCTTTCACTCTCCGATCCCGACCACGCTGTACCAGTCCCAGTCTTCACCTCTCACAATTTGACCGAAACCATCACGCCGGTCGAGGCCGAAGTTGAACGTACGGACAATGAAGAGACTCCTCGCGCTCGGAGGACAGCGGCGTCTTTCAGATCGAGGAGTGCTTGGGATAGGATGAGGTCAGGGTCTTCGCCTTCGAGGTCCCCGGCTAGACGAGGCGCACGGAGGAGGGTGACACAGGTACACGCCCCTCCACCGCCTGTCGTGCAGATAAAGCGCAGTGGGGACAAGAGGAGTTTTTACGAATATTTGTTTGACTGAAGTGCTTGAGTGTAGATGTAGATGGGATGTGGCGCCACATTGGGTGGCGTAAGTACGAACATCGATGTTTTGTTTTGTTGCTTGACTTCATCGTTGCTTACTCTGCTCAACAAATGTATCCGAATTTTCTTGAGGTGTTGCGTTCGTGACGCTTCCGACGAGATTAGTGTGGCGTAGCCGTGGTGGTGTTCAATCTTTGTACAATGTCGATGTAGAACTAGAAATTCCAGAGTGTGATCCACGGGCTCGCGCAGCGAGTCAGAACTGTCCTGGGAGAAGAAAAGGGAGATCCGACCAAGCAGTTATAGTACAGAAAGGTAATAGCAACCAAGAGGTAAACGTAAATGGCAAAGGAAATAGAGCATAGATAGAGCATAATGAGAAAAGATACATCCGAAAGGCCCGAAATGGGAAATGGAATAAGGGAGAAACAAAGGGAGCAGAAGTAAAAAAAGTAGTAGTGTGTTCAGCGTTCAGCCAGTGAAGACGCGGGCAAGGAGATACATCGTCGATCCGGACAAGCGCTGTATGATCGTCAACAGCAAATAACTCATAAGCAACCCAGAACGTGTAGACGGACGGGACTGTGTGGACTCACGATAATGCTGGTCAGCGCGACGAAGCAGAGGACAAACGTGAGGTAGGCTTTGGCCGCGGTGAGGGTACCCCCAGAGAAAGTATCCGTGGACTGACTCCCACCCAAGATCCCGACAAGCAAGAGTGCCTGAAAAAACAACGAGATGCACCCAATACGTCAGATGGTCAGCGTTCGCTCTTGGCCCACACAAAACTGCCACTAAAGGACCACTCACATTCGACAGTACCCAAGCCAATAACACGTTCGTTCTCACACCCGCATAATACTCTTTCGCCGCCTGCTCTTTCTCCGCCGTAGTCATCCCAGCTTTATTATTGCCCTTGTTCACAGGAGTCCGGTTTTTCAGGTTTTGAATAGACTCTTCGTAGAGCGCGTTGGCGTCGGCGGCTTCGGCAAAGAATTCGACGTCGACCTTAGATTGAGCATCTTGGATGACGGCGCCGAGGTCAGTGTCGGGGACGTTATCTTCTTTAGTACCCCAAGAGATCTGGAATGGGGAAATGGGGAGAGAAGAAATGGAAAGACATTAGCGAGGTAATAATGTGGCGTAGATTGGTGTGGCGTACGTCATCGAGGTTGGAGAATGCATAGCTGGAGAGGTAGCATCGTGAGCGACGAGAAGGTTAAAGAGTCACCGAAAGAGGAGCGTACATATTGAGGACATTGACATATGTTGGCGAAAGAAGCATATACGGCACAAAACTCGTGAACATATGCCAAGGATCGAAAGCTAGGAAGCTCGAAAAGATATATACTATCGAACTCCGTCAATTATCATCCACTGCACTCCTTCCAAGCTGAAACTACTCACCTCCATACGTGATGATCAGAGAAAACCACATGACGGTATATGCTTTGTCGCCATTTCTCGAGGCAGCGATAGCGCACAATACGGCAGCGGCGAGAAGATAGACCATGAGCACGGCGAGGAATATAGAAACGAGCTTGTACTTCCATGCAGCCCTGCATATACACCCCGTCAGTTACAACCTTAGGTTGAATGCGAAAGACTTACGAGCGCGGCTTGTTTCCCATGGAGAAAAGGAAGCAGGCAATGACGATGGAGCCCATGATGTACTGCCAATACTGCATTAGACGAGAGTGGTGTCAGAAGGAGATGCAGGCAGCGTACTTGGACGATGGAATTGAACCTCGCGATGCCATTCAGGTTGAATGTCGATGCCTCCAGCGACGATGTCAGAATCACAAAGAACAGATAAAAGTTGCCCTTCGCGCCCATTCATAACCATCAGCACTTGTCGCCAAAGCTACCCTTTACACAAGACCGGATCAGAGAATTACTCACAATCGCGAACCACGACGAGATCAGATTCAGAACATTATACCCAACCTGTATTAACAATGCAAACTTCCTCCAGAAACTGTGTCCCGAGCGCAACATCTGCCCGACGTGAGCAATGGCATAGGTCGCGGCAAAGAAGGACCCGTTGAGCCAGCGTCGTCGTTGCGAGATGAATTCAGGGAGAGCGTCGGGCACGTCGGTTTCACTGACAGCGCTCTTGACGTAGCGGAGGACCCTGAGCGACAAGTATATGAGAATAAATAAATAAAACTGGGAGCAAAAGACTTACCAGTTCGAGTTGGCTTTCGCGACGAGTTCGAAGCAAAGGATACGCTATGAACAAGTTAGAGCAGTGGGTACTAGGAGCTAGGTCGGAGACGACACATACGTCTTCGGCCAGATCTGAAGGGACGAAAACGTCAGGTTGTTGTCATCTCATCGGTCTGGGGAGTATTACGGAACTTACACATATTCGAAGTGAAGATATCCGTGTCGCGTCCATGAAGCACCTCTCCTTTGAAGTACGAAGCTAGCGGTCCTTGGCCAGTGCTGTTGTTCTGCAGTGCAATATATCTATATGCAGAAAACGCTCCAGGCTGCCGCATTAAATATGAGTTATCACACTGTAGAGAACGATGAAGGGGCACCCTACCAAAACGCTAATATAACCAAACAAACTCTCCGTGGGCTTGTCGAGGATGCAACTGATCTTGTACTCGAAGTTCTGAGCAGCGACTGTGGTAAAATTGCAATGTGATTAGATATCGGATGTTATAAGTATGTGTAGAACACTGGGGACGCACCTAGAGGGTTGAGCAAAGCGGACCAATTCTTGCCCTTATACGCCGCGATCTCGCCACACGCACCCGCCACATTCGAGTTCAAATCGAACGCCTTCCAGAGGTGATAGATCGACTTGCGTTTGGGCCGCGTGCCCACATCCAGGAGCACGCACACATTGGGCTGCGAGTCACACATGTCAGTTTCGCATACCAAGCAAGAAGCGTGAAGCAAGCTTACCTGTAGCATCGATCCAAACGCATTGAAAAACCACCTGTGGCTATTAATCTTCTTCTGATTCTTCTCTTTCATACAAAATATAATCTGGGTCGGGACGATTCCCTTATCAGGGTAGCGGAAGTGGAGGTTCGGGTCGAGCGCGAAAGACGTGGTGTACTCGAAGACGTGTGCGGTGACTGGTTTGTTGTTGATCATATTCTTCATGTGGCCACCTGGTTGGTAGACACCGAGGAGGGTGAGGCAATCGAGGACGCGAGGATGCACCTTTTTGCGTCCATCGGCGACGATGCAGACTACGACCTGAATGAAGTGGGTTGCACAGACTTGGTCAAGAAAATTGAAAAGAGTGAGAAAGCCAGAGACGAACCTTCTTCCAAGCTTCGTTGCCCCAGGTCTGGGAGTTCTTTCTAGAGCACAAGTGGGCGATGTTCTGAGAATAACCATCAATCAGTGTCTGCATCTGAATTAGGCCAGCGGTGAGGGCGTACCTGCATAACGCCATATAGCGTCCGACAAAATAATATCTCATCTTCCTGCAAAAAGAAGCTTCAGCATCAATAAAATCACAATATTGTCATAATCGAGACGCGCACGTTAAACATTGTGACACAAATAAATAACTCCGTCTTCCTCCCAGCCTCGTTCTGCCTCAAAAAGAACCCATTCTTCTCAAACTCGTCCGGATCGCACGTCACCGCCGTATACCTCATCTTCATCACCTCCAGATCGCCCTTCCTCGGAAGCACCAAGTTCGGAGGCACGGGTATATCGACGACCAAGTTCCCGTTCGTGAGTGAGACGCGCTTCTTGGTTTTGTGGCGGCGGAGAACCCGTCCTGTGGGCGCGGGGCCGAAGTGTCTCGTCTCGACCAGAGCGCTAGCAGTGCTCTGTGTGAAGACGGAGGACGAAGGGGTCTTTTCACCGTCGGCGGCAGGGAGGGCAGTGGAGGTGGAGGTGGGTAGGCGAGCTTGGACAGTTTGTGTGGGGAGATCGTCGAGCTCATCGCCATCTTCTGATTCGCCTTCGGAGTCTAACTTCTCGTCCACCTCGTCTTCATCGCGCTTGTCTCGACGAGGAGTGGGCGACCTTGAGCGTGAAAGGTTGACCCAAGACCCACGCTGATGAGATCCAGAACTGAGCAACGCTTCACTATCGCGGCGGAAGTGATCCAGAGGCGAACCCGCGACTGTAGAGTTTCTGAGTGGTTGATATTGTCTGTTGGGTGTCACAGAAGGGAGCTGTGAGGCCGTATAACCCTGTGTCTGTCCTGTAATTTGTGGAGTATGGGTCGAAATGGCATCGTGATAGGATGATACGGTTGAGACAGGCCGCGATTGATTAGAAATCAGAGATGAACGGATTCCTGCAGCAGAGTCGGTAAAAGGATCATGAAGAGAACTTCGTGAAACAAATCCATCCCATTTGAGGGGTTCGCCCATGTCCATGGTAGGAAGTCTAGGCAAGAAAGAGGTTGTAGACGAAGTATGCGAGTTATGCGACTGCAGCATTCCTGTCCTCTCATTCTCGTCGAATCGACCGGCCTCTACACGGTCCAGTGCAGGCGAAGCCCCATACTGAGCATATCCAGGACTATTTCCCGTGCGTGGGGTCTGAGGCGAGGCTGAATGTCGCTGAATGAGTCGATTAGGTGTCACTGGCACCGGAAGCGAACGGCGATGTGACGAGCTGGAAGAAAAGCTTCCGTCTGTGGCGTGATTGATGGATTGGGTTGTGTCGTTATGGTCGTCGGCGCCAAGGAATTGCGGCGGTGGTGTGAGCTCCTGGAGTGCATGTCGCATAGTATGGGAGGCGGCAACGGGGCTGGGATCTCGAGAATGGCCGTTGGATGAGGCATTGTATGTCGAAAGCTCTTCTTCAAGCGACTCTGAGTAAGAGGGGACCGGCTTCTTCCTGGCAGGCATGATTCGTTAGTCGTTAGTCGTGCAGTCGTGTACTGGGAGAATTGTACAAGGACGAGAAATGTCCTGAGGTGGCGATAGGTTGTGGCCGTACGTTCAACAGATGCGAGCTTCGACGCGTCGCGTCTCAACAAACGAACATCATCACGTGATCGTGTGCAGATCAGCGCTTTTTCGTCATCATTCCACGACCGTCGACCACAGAAATGTCTTCCGTAAGGTTGTGTCGATGCAAATATGCCTCACAGTCCGCGGATGTATATGCAGCCATGGATATATTTCCCTCCATTGTGAAATATCTCCAAAGATCGAAATAAAATAAGATACACCACCGCCATCAAATATCCGTCTATCGCGCCAGGGCCTAGTAGCCGACATTTACATCGTCACACAACAGACAGAGGAAGCGGCTGAAAACGCACTATGTATGATAGTAAAAAACATGAAAGCGAAAGGGAAAGTGGGTAGACAGAAGAAGCTGAAAGTGAAAGACTATGAATGGAGGTGACTCCGAAGAGAGAGGGGGAGTAGGGGCTGTAGCACATGAGAGATCGAGGTGGCGACGGCACGAAGACCTCTGTTCGCGTACAAGCAAAAGGGAAGGGAAAAACAGAGGCTGAAAGATAGTGAGAAGACGGGAAGGAGATAGAGACAGATGTTGGCAGTGGATGATTGAGAGACAGACAGAGAGGATGAATGGTTGGGCATGTGGAGGGAAAGATAGTGAGTGAGAGAGAGAAGATGGTGTGCAGCCTGTGCCGGGGTATATATAGATATGTGACATAGAAATGATAGATGTAAAGAGAGAGAAAAGAAATGTGATAATAAAAGTACGAACAACTGAGAACTGTACCTATGCCACACCAAGTAAATGAAGAAAACAAGAAAGTAGATAAATACGTGGGTCCCATAGAACCCGAGAAGAAAACCCCGCAAACACCAAATGAAAACACGAAGGAAAAGGGGCAGAGAACCGCTCAGCCCATCGATCGATACCAACACAGCGGGGAAGGATGAAGATAGTGTCCGACAGTCCGTTTGAATACAGTTACTGATAACACAAATGATAGTGGACGAATCGGGGTGGAATGAGATGGTACGAGGTGGGCAGTCGGCGACGGAGAAGACGTTTAGAGCGATAATGGAGGGAATATTTCGGGGGCATATTCCACCATGCATTCAACGGACAGGGCCTTGCCAGCCATGTCACTGAATTCGGCACCAGGATCGCGAGATCGCATGAGCGTCGCTGTAAAGATTTATGCTACGTTAGCAGTGTGACATCATAGGAATTATAAGGCGTGAACTCACGTCCAAACACAACGCCCAGATTCCGTGCAGTCATGAGATTGTGTTCGCTCCGTTCGTGAATCCTATCCCAACAATCACAACGTAAGCTCTCCTTATGTCGATCCCAAATAGACCTGACAGGAGACGTACCGATGAAGATGTAGCATCATCAACCTCAACGTATAATAATGCTCCGTCGGCAACTGCTTCACCAAATCCGCGTACTTCTCCACCTTCTGCTCCTGATCCTTCGTCGTACTCGCATGCATAAACTCGTCATGCAGCGCATACGTCAACAACGGGTTTGGCAGCGCACGGAAGTACGACTTGAGCACGGACGTGATGCTGCAGATATCATTGAACTTGTCCGTGTCGTGGAGGTCGAAGGCGGCGTAGTCACCGCGCTCGAAGAGCTGGGTGATGACCTTCGACTGGCCGGTGCCACCGGTCTTCCGGTAGATACCTTCGTAGTCGAGGGCGGAGAGTTCGACGGCTTGGATGCATTTCTCGACGATGATGGGGACCATGCGGCTATCTCCCCTGGAGTCTGCGCGGACTTGTTCGATTAGATCGCGACCAAACATGGACGGAGCTGTGCACGAAAAGCATCGGTCAGCATAATTTCTATATATCAAAAGCAACTATACGCACGCAAAGGTCCATCATGGGCAACATTGGTGGTCGGTGCTTGTAGCGAACACGTCGTAGTGAAATGATGCACACATCTCGGATGAACAGACACATTACAACCTAAACGCAGACACAGAAGAAACATCAGTAACCTCCACACAACAAGACCAGGATCAAGCTGGAGAGTAATTTTGACGATACTCACTCGTGCATCGAAGCAATGACCCCCAGAGTTTGTCCCCACAATGATCGCACCTCGTAATCCTCAACACGCTAATCGACTGGAACGTATGTTTCCCCCTCGGCGGGCCCTCATCCATCGGCTGAATCAGATTCAAGCTCTGTTTAGGAGGCTCCGGCGACGGATTCACGACGACCTGAATATTCTCCTTGTTGATCCTATTCCCCGCGCCACCGCCACCGCCACCCATCCACTTGAACTTGCCCCTCAACGTCTGTGCGTTCTCCGCGTTTGTACCAGCAGGTGCACCATTACCACCACCGCCGGCGGGAAGTTCGTTCTTCTGCACCTTGACGAACTTGTCAGCGCTGTCCTCCGAGCCGCCGTACGAGGAAGACGTCGTCAAGACGGTGTTCGACGCGCTGATACCGCCGTTGCCGTTCACCGTGCCGTTAGTGTTCGTCCTCTGCCTGTCGAACGAACCTGACCTCTTCTCCATACGCTCGAGAATGATAGGTGGAACGTCGACCATGTGGTTATCGATTGGCGCGGCTTCTGTACGACGGGCATAAAGTGCATTGAGTTGCGCGAGTTCTTCGTTCCTGGCGTTGAGCATAGTAGTTTCCTCGAGGAAGACATCCCGTGCAGATTTGAGTTCAGCAATCTCTCGCAGGAGGGCCTCGCGCTCTTCTGTGAGAGGCACAAGCTCGCGAGAATATTGGGACTTGATGGTATCGAGACGGATGGAGAACGAACGGCCCATCCTGGAAGTTGAGGCTTCGTCGACAGTGAGGTTAGGGGAGCTGTTTCGACAAAATAAGTACAGACCTCTATACTGAAGAGTAGGAACGAAAGGATGAGCACGTACGTCTTCGACGAAGCCAGCTCCTCGACCTCCGCAAGCGTAACATCCCTCTCCACCTTCAACTTCGAGATATCCTTCTCCAAACCACTCAAATTATCCGTAAGCTCCCGCTCAAGCTGCTTCTGCACCTCTCCTTTCCGGCTCTCGCTCGACATAGCGGTGATACGTGCCGCTTGACCGGAGAGCAAGATGCGCAACCTCGTGACCTCAGCCTCGGCCTCTCGCCTCGCACTTAGCTCCTTATCGTACTCTTCTTGGGCGACCGTCAGACCATCCATATACTGCTTGCTCGCTCTCTGTGTCACACCACGCCCAAAAATAAAATTAGTCACCATTCGACACAAAAAATATTCGAGTGCAGAGACAGAGAAACAGCCAAAGAAACGCACCTTCATGCCATCCAACCTGCCCTTCATCTCCACATTCTCCGTCCTCCTCTGCTCCACCGCCATCACTATCGCCTGCACAAACTCCTTGTCCAGATTAACATGCGTAGCCCCCCTCTTCGCTGCATCATTCAACGCCTCCTGCAACCTCCTCGTCACAAGATCGTTCCCCGTCCCTGCAGAAGCAGCACTACCACCAACAGCAGCATCTCCAGCTCCTGCCCCATACTTCACCGGGCGCAAAACACCCCCGCCCGGAGCTGTCACGGTAATCTGAGCACCAGACTGATACGAGACATCGACGGCGGAAGCGTTTGAGTCGAATCGTGGTCGTGGGATCAATGTCAAAGCCGAGGCAGATTGTCCATGCCCTCCAAACTCAGACGACGCCGACCGACCATGTTGCGAGGTCCCGTTCCTTTGCTGCAGTCTCAGCTTATCCACACTTCTGCTCCCCAGGCTATTCTGCCTCGAGACCTGCTCCGCTCCGGCCCTTGGCGCGGCACTCGACTTCATCGACATATCGTCGTGCGATTGAAGACTCGTGGGCACGGTGGACGTTCCGTCGATAGTCGTTGTCGCGGAACTAGCATCGGAGAACCTCGACGAGATGGTGCACTCGCTGTTACTCGTAGGCGTTGCAATCGGTCTCCAAGTCATGGTACTATCCGCACCCGTACTAGCCGCCGTGGGCGGAGGCGTGGTCAACGGAGTGTCGGTAACCGGGGGAGAAGCCGACGCAGAAGAGATAGCGTCGAGTTGCGCGATCGTATCTTGGCTGAGTTTCGCGAGCTGGTCGAGGGACTTGAGCGAGCCTCTGTGGTCCTTCGAATTACTGACCGTCGTGAGGAACTCGGAAAAGTCGCCTGGACCCATGGAGAAACGAATAGGAGGGAGAGCGGGCGCGATGTATGTTGAATGCGAGACCCGCTCGACGGGTGACGATTCGTCGGAGTCGTCTACGAGGCTGTTCTCTCTCCCCCTTGTGGTCACTGTGGACGTGGGCGCCGAATCGTTCTCCTGGGACGACGACGACGACGAAGAGACTTTGTTCCCATTCGATTGAAGCTTGAGTTGTTCCGGCCTAGGTCGATACTTGGGCTCTTTCTCGGGGAGCGAAGGCGGCTTGTCGTCCTCCGAGTCCTCAACACCGTGCTGATCGTTCGACTTCTCGTCCTCGCTCTCCTTCGAATCGTCCGTGCCACTCTCGATCCCATGTGGCACGTCGACACGATGTGCAGGCGACGTAGGCCTCGACCTCCCACTCCCAAGGGCCGACGAATACCCATTCCTCGACTTCTCCACGTCGATGCTCAAATTCGTAGGCGACGTCCCACGGACGTTCAAAGGTCTCGCGGCCAGTCGATCGTCGAAGGACCGTTGTGGGCGTATACTGCCAGCTGGAGAAGGCGCCCGAAGCGATTCGGAAGAAGCAGCAGCGCTAGAAAGCGCGAACGGGCGGGGAGGTACTCGGTCGAGAGTGACGCTGGGTCGCAATGGTGGTCTCCCTGGCCCTAGCGAATCTTGCGGTTTGGGATGCTCGGGAAGATAAGTGCTCGAAGATTCCGCTCTAGTCCGCAAGTGAGGCGACTCTATCCGCAGGTCTCTGTCCTTTGATGATGGATTGGATGAAGAGTGTTCCATGGGAGGTCGACGCGTAGACTCTGCGGAAAATTCTTCTTTGAGTGGGGATGGTGATGGTGATCGGTAGGGAGAGGATCGGCCATTTCGAGCAGACGAGCTGTAAGGTGGAGAATTGGATGACTCTCTGATTGGGGAAGTATTTCCTGCTGATGTCGACGACGAAACACCGTTGGTATCAAACGCGGTCCCAGGGAGGATGGAGCCTCGCTTAGCAACACGCGACGTCTTCCCAGGGATGCTGAGTGCCGCAACTGAGCCGTTCGACGTGGGTATATTAAGAGATCGACCGTCGAAGCTTTGCCGCTTGCGGAGCGAATGGTCGCTGGATTCGCTGGAAGGGGATAGGAGGTCTGAGTTTATCGGAGGTGACGCGGCGGATGCATTCTGGGATGTTGAGTATTCGTTTGGAGAAGCCGTGACGAAGGAAAGTGAAGGTCGTCTTCCCTGGGAAAGGTACGCCTCAAGACCGTTGATGTCCGGAGGGGCCAGAGTGGGAGACATAGCAGACAATGGAGTAGAGCGACCGTTGGACGGATGGGATTGTAGAGGGGCTTGGCTGTTGTCGTTCAAAGAATTTATAGATTGACGTCTATTGGGCGCAATTGGAGAAGACGGGTGGGAGTCGTTCAAAGGCAATGTGTTAGAGCGAGAAGGTATGGCGAGAGGAGGTACATCTCGAGATGGAGTGGACGACTGCGCAGTAGAAGGTCTAGTAGCTGAATATGGGGGGCGCGTCTGCAACAATAACGATTAGATATAGGAACAAGGTAGAGACAAACAAGTACGCACTCCGTTCTCCTTAGATTTTGCGGACCCGCTACCTCCAACACCAACGGATCTATCTCGCTCTTTCTGCTTCTGAGCATGCCGTCGACTTCGAGCTACGCGCTGGTGGTGACAGTTCATGCAATAAATGCCGTGACTTGTCTTGGCAAACATGAGCTCGTCGATGCGGTTATGACATGCTCTGCATTTGAAGCAGTGCGCGTGGTAGCTGTCGTCGCCGGTCATGATAGCCTCGTCGAGGATGGGTTGATGGCAGACACTACAGGAGTACGAGCAGTTGGAACAGACGGGCTGGCCGTCGGAGAGGAGGAGTAGATTTGTGTCGGCAGTAACTTTGTTGTGGCATTTCGCACACTTGAAGCAGTCGACATGGAAGAAAGATTGGCTGACGTCGGGCTTCCATATGAACATTGCTATTCAAAGCGGAAATGATGTGTGATAAACGCACCCGAAAGCAATGACAACCCCGCCGTTTTCATCCATCACCGACTGTTGACATCCCGGGCAGACTTTGTTTTCAGTAACGCCTGCTGCGGCGGCGGAGAGGGCGGCGGCGGAGCTTGCGTCTTGGACATTGTAGGAAGACATTAATAGGTATATTCGTTGTGCGCGCTTCGAAGAGCGGCGAGCATAAAATGGAAGTGCTGATCGGTGTGGACGTGGGTGTCCTTAGCGGGCGATCTGTAGTTGGAACGGGGCGTCGGGTGAGGGAGCGATAAGATGGTGGTCGGGAGAGACCAAGCCAAGAGAGTGCTAGTCCAAATATTGTCCTGCCAGCGCCGCGGTCCGCACGTCGTCGGCGAAGTCAACCAAGTTGTGGGGGACAGCGACGGGCGCGATGTGGGGGACGCCGACGAGCACAGCTGGCGGATGAGATGGGAGGGTCTGTCAAGCTCAGGTCGAACGTTGCAACTGATCTCGGGCCACGCTACATATCGAGCAACGCGATGTCGCCACATCCCACGCTCCGTCACCATCTCCCCCGTTCTCCCAAGGCACATTGCTATACCAGCCCTGATTGTCTTTAGCATCCCTTCGTTCATGGCTTTTATCGGTCTTCGAATCCCACCTATTTCTCTATCAAGCTCTCGGTTGTCAGACCGCCTCGCCACCCTGCTCTATCTGAATGTTTTCCCTTCTCACCTTCATACGTGTCATGCATTTTCTTGGTATCCAAGTATACACGAGCTGCATGCTTTGACGCCCTCGGAACACTCTGAACAGTGCGGTCTTCTTAATCCTGAAGGCCGCCGTCTGCTCTTCCTGGTGTTCCTCCGGTTTCTCCCTCTGAATTGTCGTCATGTCGCAGCACATGCTCCCCTTTCCTGGGCAGTGCGACACAATATTATTATGTACATCAATCGGGCTTTGTGGCTTTGAACCTGGGGTTTTTTGTTGTTCCCTGTTGTCCCTGTGCACCGCCATAGCCGTTTTGTTGTTGTGCGGATGGAAACTGACGCCAATTGGTGCCGTACATATCGACGAAGCGCCGTATGCATCTGTGCGCCAACCCCACAACGCCCAGCATTCCGATACGATCTAGACCTCGCGAGTCGTTCTCGAGTCTTCATCTCACAAACGCACGGACGATCAAACATGTGTTGGCTTCCCCTTAGTACAAGCAGTGCTACCACCCGGGAACTCGTCGCTCTCGCGTTCTTTCTCTCGCCACACACCCCTTCGCCACACTATGTTGAATAACTTGCATGCTTAAAATGATCAATTGACATGGCATGTCCTGTCAACCACTACCGCTCATTAACCTGCCAGACGAAATATCAACGCCTGGTTCATCTGCCTTTAATATGATGCCCGCTCGATCCCCAAGTGACCCGCATCTATCAATGATTGAGCAGGCCGCCGACACGCAACCTGTATCTAGGCGATGTGTGCGCCCTCAGGTGTCTCTGCAGCTTTGCTCTGTTAAATTCCATTAAATAATGTTTGCGCGAGGATGTGGTGACCTTTCCTTCCCTGCTATGCTCTGCTTAGGACTCGATGGGCGAAAGGGGACCATCAACCATGGCTGTGACATCTCGTATGTACCTCTTCCGATCCTCTTACTTATCCAACCCTTCAATCCACGAGTGAAACTGCACAAATGAAACTGCACAAATCAGTCCAAAGCAAAACCTCACGATGGGGAGTGTAACCATTGGCAAGTCGGGGAGAATGGCCTGTGAACTCGGGATCGTCTGTTCTGAGCTGGCGTGTGGATATTCGTCTCCTCCTCGCTGACTGGAGAGCGCTTTGAGTTGTAGCCCATCCTTGCACATAACTATTCATGAAATACTTCAGTCACGCCAGTTACAATTACACTTTACCACTCAGGAGAACTTCCTACACCTCACCTCATTCGCAATACAACTGACCCACATACCCATCCGCCTCCTCATCCCCTCAAATTCTCCTCCAAATAAACCCCAAACTTCCTCGCCACACTCTCCTCGCTCCAATCCACACTCCCCTTCTCCACCGTCCCGAGCGTGATCGCCTTCTTATGCACCGTGACGAACTGTCTTTTCAGCCTCTGCAGCTCTGATAGCGTGACCGTCCGTGGCGGCATCGATATCGTTATCCTAGAGGGTGTCTTGTCGGAATTGGGAAGGGTGAGAGTAGTGGGGCCGCCGGAAGATGGGGAGGAGATGATGAGGGAGAGCAGGGCCGTTGTTGTTTGTTCGAGGGTGTGCAGGGCGGAGCTGGGGGCTTTGGCGACCTGCAGAGTGGCGGGACGTCGGGATGTGGCGTGGTGTGGAACGCGGTTTCGTCAACCACATGTATAGTGCACAAGGAGGTCAATTAGGTCAAGGACAAACTTACAGCTTGTGTCCCAGCGTTTGGAGGCTTCACGTTACCCTCCATGACTGCCTTCCATATCTGATCCGTAGGAACCTCGTCCTCCCACAACACAGTAATCAGGGGCGAGTCCCATCGGACCATAGACGACGGTTCCTCGTATCGTTGGATCAGATTCTCCAGACTATGTCATACTGCGTATGAGTCTGAATGTGGTGATGAGCGGTGTTGTGTAGAAAGACTTACGTTTCGGGCTTATACGCCTTCCCATCCTGTCTCTCCTCGTTCCATCTCTTACATGATTCGGGTGGCGCAACGACATGTACCTATACACTTCCACGCACATCAGTCTCTGGCGTCATGACCACCATCAAAAAAAATCCCAATACTGGCCAAACGAAGACCTCTCTTGGCCAAAGAGGGAGGGAGGGCAGTGAAAGGCCGAGGAGTGCGAAGAGATAGACGCACAGTGCAAACCCTCAGCTTGAACTCTCTCGCCGCACAATACATCTGATACCTAAACCCTTTAATGTAATTCATCCCATCCACGATCAACAACGTATCCTGACCCATCTGCCTCTGCATCGCCGTGAAGAGAGCGCCACGGGCTGGTTTCTCTGACCGACTGTCTGGACGAGCACCATACCACCATGAGTTGAGTAGGGCGTATAAATAGTATCAAGGGCAAGTCATTCACCATCGTAAGCGCTTCTGTCCAGACCTAGAGTATCATCCGAGATAGAGACGACCTTGAGCGCCGGACCGGCGTAGGATGGGTCTTTGAGACGATCTTCGAGGAAGACTTTGATCATCTCTGCACGTCGAGTTTTCCCCGAGCATGGGTATCCGGATATTGTTATCAGAGCCATATATTAAGTCGTACGATGCCAAGACGTCGGTGATCAAAAAAGAGGACGAAAGATGGGAGTTGGAGTGTTCTGCTGGGATGGAGGTCAAGTCAAGTCTTGGGCGCGCGCAGTGGAGGGATAATGTCTCGCACAATACATTTTGATGAAGATCAGGTCGGACAAATCTAGAACAGCAGAACTAGGTGTACGAGCAACAGCGAGATAGAAGAGCTAAGGGGCAACTCCGAGAGTGAGGGTACAAGTAGAAGGGAAAATCTCGATGAAAATCGAGACAGTACTTTGAGATCCAGGTGGCGCTCGGAGTGTGGCGCCACTTCCCGATGATTGCCAAACTGCTTGCCCCATCGTCTTGTCCTTTTCTTGCACTGTGGAGACACCGTCTAACTCACGTATGTCTTCCATTGTTCACACTCACTTAATCTTGCGGCTGTCTCCCTGAAGATACAAAACATTCTCTCATTTATTGTACGGAAAACAATCAGAAACCCGAGAAAAGGAAACACATAGAAACGCTGCGACAATATGCGTACATCAGAAGCAAACTCCGTAAACATACAACCTCAAGCAAGGTGGGGATATGCAAGACAACATAGGACACGACAGCAATGCAAGACAGAAAACAAACGTGCGCAATATGCAACAGAACGCAGACACTCGAGAGCTCAGAACCAAGGCTGATAAACGTCCATCATCTTCACGAGATTCATGGGATCCGAGGCCATCGAAATCAGGTTGACGACAGTCTCAACGACAGGCACTTGAGCAGGGGGGTTCTGTTCGGCAGCATGAGTAACAATGTCGGCCAGAAAAAGGAGAAAGAGAGACTTACTGCTTCCCGTTCGAAACGACATGCCATACTCTCCGCGCGCTTCACAATTCCTTCGATCATAGCCTGAACGCTCTTTCGGAAAGCGAGGTCGTGGACCAGATATGGCCGCTTGTTCGCATGCAGCCATGTGATGACCTCGTCTCGCGAAAGCAAGCAGAGCTGCGACTCAAGATCGTACTGTCGAGGGGGAGAAATGTCAATTGAGGCAAAAATACATATCAGACTGGCCATTTATTTACCTGAGGCTGCGTCAGACTTCTCCCTATGGCTAACATCCCGGAAGTGACGATGCCCTCTGTGTGGATAGGACCGATGAAATGCTGAATGTTTGGCGTGAACCGGAAGGAGACCTGGTCTGACGATGCCATGAGTGGATACTGACCGGAGAACCCTGTATTGAAACGAAAATATGAGAGGGCGGTAAAACGGAGAAGAACGTCGATCGTACCTGGTAAGAGCTCGCTCATCGCGATGAGACCAGTCGTCCTCGACAGATGGAACCTCGTCGGTGTGCGACTCGTGAGGCAGAAGAGGTAGGTCATGAAGTTGGTGGCCGCAATCTGCAGAGAGAACTGTTTACGCATTCGCCACAGTTCGGTGGGGCCGTCCATCGTGCGGATCAAGTACTGCAGATAACGTATAAGTACGGCTGGCATGTTCGAAAAACTCGAGTCAGGCTTACCTGGCTAATGACGCTGTCGGGCACAAGATGCGCCTGGATATCGTCGAAGACCTCCTTCTTCATGCTGAAGTATTCAGCCTTGCTCGGCTGCCCATTGCCATTGGGGTGGTCCTGTCGATAAATCCGAAGTGTTTTCTTGATCTTCTCTCCAGGGACGAACACAGTATCGTCTCTATTGACGTTAGACTCTTGACAGTACTTTTCGAAGATATCTCCGAAAGTGACATAGGACGCGTCGTTCTGCATCAGGCGAAGAGCAGGGCTGCACGGCACCGTTACTGGTATGTGGAAGACGAGATTGCGCTTTCGAGATTCCTTCTTGCGTGCCAGGATACTACAGCAAGTAGCATGAGCGGGAAAAAATGTTCTAGAACAGTTGAATTGACATACCCATTGAACGTCCGCAAAACCTGCATGATACGTTCTTCTCTGCGAGTGTGCCGACCGAGAGGAACCTGCACAGAGAACGATACCTGCGTGTTGTCGCTGGCGTGGATGGTGAAACGACGACTGCAATAGCCTAAAGAACGGAAGTTCTCGACATGGGGACCAAACCTCGCGATCTTTGCGAAACCCGCGTTGTTGTCTTTGTCCTGCACGAGCGTCAGATTTGACTATTGTGAAGTACTGAGGAATCACGAACCTCAGTGTATTGCCCCGGAATCTCAACGTCATCGAATCTTGTGTACTGGAAGTCCGTCATCCAGTGACTGAACAGATCTAGAGGTTGAACTCGGGGTCGAGCACTTAGAATCAGCTCGTATCGGTCTCGCCATTGTTGCAGGCGACGGATGTATTCCGAGAACGAAAGCGTAGGGTTGATGAAGTCAGCTTCGTATTGGGCCTAATATAACATTAGTGATGATCGAAGAGATATTATGTTTTCTGGATACAGACCAGCACGAGGGGTTGTCTCTTGAGATTCACAGAAAAGCGCTTCAAAGTTGGCATACAACCTGGGTGAAGCTCGTCGTTGTCTTCAGGAATAGTAAGACGTTTCTCATAGTGCTGAAATCAACGTGAGTGACATGCATCGTCGGAAGTCAAAAGAGTGGGCTCACCCCATATGCGTCTTGGAGCAACATGCAAATCAAACGATAACATTCTTCGTCTGGAGTGGTGTTGAACTTCTCGTGCAATTGGGCCACCATGGTCTCCATAGTCATGATCAACAACGGGAAGGCAGTTCGTAGAATTTGAGCGACTTCCTCGACAGAGTCATACGACTTGGGAACAACCTCGGCTTGCGCCAAGTTCGGCTTGGTCTGTTGACCTGTCGAAGCCATGGCCTGATTGCCGTCAGGAACTCCTCCATTATGTCCTTCGATCTTCGTCGGGCTGGGTGCATTTGAGCCCGGCTCCTGCTTGACGCTCATGTTCGCTTGCATCGCCCGCTGCTGAGCCTGTTGCTGAATCTGCTGTTGCAACAAATTCTGTTTCCTCATGGCCAACATATCTTCTCTCGTGGTGCGGAGATGGAAAAAGAGTGCCTGGAGGAGTGTTTAGTACGATGCAAGCTCTCCTGAAGAATAAGTATCATACCTGTGGATACAGCTTGGCAAGGTTCAAGAGAATGAAGCGCGCCTGCTTGACTTCGCGATGGGAGACCGAGAGACATAGCTGCGGGACGAGACTGATCCAGTACCAGAACGCATGGTCTCCCTTGAACTGGTCAAACGCGCGTGCGACTGTGGCTGAAGGGTCATCGATGCTCAAAAGCCATAGAATGCGAGTAAGAAGTGGGCGACTCTTCCCGTTCTTGTACAAGCCGGCCGCCTGAAGGTAGCAGCTGATCGCGTGAGCTGCATAAGACATGGTATCCGGATTTTCCTTGAACATCCTGTCGTTCCACTTTCCCCACTCTGCCCAGGCCTTCGCCTGACCCATGTCCATCGTAACGGCCTGACTGAAGGTAGAGTCCGCGTCGTCTTGTCGACCTGCTTTCGCGTGGAACATGCCCTTCAGAGTATAGAACTCTGCCTTCTGAGACATGGAGAAGAACACAAGGTTCGTGTTGTTGATGACTTCCATGCTGGCCTGGAGGTCGTTGGGTTTTTGGTAATGACAGCGGGCCTGCTCACGAAGCTTCAGGAATGCCTCTGAGATCTCGATATTGGGCAAGGTATAGATCTTGTTCAGTAGGCTGAAGCAAACCTCGAGTAGGTCGTGTTTGCGAGCGGTATGTGCGAAACGATTGATGATCCAAGCCGTCTCGTGGTATCCGCGGTAGCCATAGGTGTTGCTGTTGGTCCCGGCCGGAGCCTGTGCTGCGTCGGTGATCAGAGGAACGTAGACCCTGTTGATCGCGTTAAAGACGTTCGTTCTCCATGCCACGAGATCGCTCCAAACGCTAATGTCGTCGCAGCGGTTGGGAAGCCGTTCTCGCCACGCTTGAAGGACCATCTTCAGATCTGATGACCTCTTCTCCAAATTCTGAGCCGTGGTGTTCGAGAGTGAACCAAAGATTTGGACAGCCTCTTGAAGCTCGACGAACTGTTGGAAATGCTGCAGCAATGGTACATGCGCGGTGGAGAGGTGTTGGGGAAGTGCGACCCATTTACGAAGCGTGAGTTGCATGGCGTCTTCGAGCAGTTTGGTGAACTCCTCATTCTTGGAAAGGGCATTGGGCATCTTCAGGAGGTTGACGAAAGCTTTGAAGACGAGACTGCGGGGAGTGGAGGCGGATGGGAGAGCGGCGATCTGCTCCTCTAGCGTCTCGTAGTGTTCGGCCCAGTCCTTGGTCCTCCACGCACTCTCTAGCATCAATTCCTGGTTGTTGTCACTTCGGGCGTATTCATACAAGATGTCCCATTGTTGAAGCTTCTCTGCGGCCAGAATCCAATGGTCCTCCCATAGGCAGTACTCTTGCTCTGAGAACGGCAGCGTTCCTGAACGTACTTTCCCTTGGGCGGCCTCGTAAACGGCAGCCGCTTGCTCCCACATTCCATTCTGTTCGAAGGAGATCCCGATGTTCGTATCCATATGAAGAGACCGACGGCGCCATAGACCATAGAACAGATCGTCCTCAGCTAGTTCAGCGTAGAGTTCGGCCAACGCGTCCTGAATGGAGTCGCGTACGGCAGCTTCGTTTTCCAAGCTACGGTTCATTGTCTGCAGGATCTCGAAACCAGGATGCCAAGCCCCGTACGCCTTTGCCAAGTACTTGACGAGATGGGGCGGAAGTGTCATCGGCGGCGAGCATGCATTACTGCCGGTCAGGAGTGTCTGCACGACGTTCGGACGTAGCTCAGCCTGACGGCTGTGATAATCCTTGCTCAGCAGAGAGATCATTTGATGGGTGATGTCCGACTGTTCTCGTCGAGTAATGGACGACCACGCCGCACTGAACAAGGACACCCAGATATCATGAGCCACGAATGGATCGAGGAAGAGAAGACGTTGCATAGGTCGTATGATGTCTTGGACGCGCCGCTGGGATGACATGGTGGTCGATGCCGTGGCCGATAGCGACGGCTTCCGGTCGGAGAGCATGGGAGTATCTGGATCGACGGTACCGAGAAGAAGATGTAAGGCCAGATAGATCCAATGGCTGTCGGCGAGGGGCTCCCAGCTCTGGACGCCGAGGATGTACGATAGTCGACTCGATAATGACCGCGGCACGCTGACATCTAGAAGGTCGATGAAGCGTTCTCGTATGCCCGGATCTCGAGCGCGACAGCCCACTAGGAACGCGGACTCCATCTTGGTGGTCAAGTCACTTCGGCGCAGCGATGGCTCAGTGTAGATTTCGTAGATCAACTCCAAGTACGAGTTGAACAAGGTGTCACCACGCGCCTCGAAGGTGAGCATCTTCAGCAGCACCGTTGCCTTCTCCTTGACTATGGGATATGGTTCGCGCCGGTTCAAAGCCCAGTCACGCGCCATGTCAAGCATGTAACGGCAGAGACTTGGACTCTTGGACTTCTCGACGAGGACGACTACAGAGGCAATGAAGAATCGGCGTTGGTCATTCCCGAGGAAAGAGGCTGAAAGTTGGCAAATTTCGAGGATCGCAGTGATAAGACGGACAGTGTTCTCGAACGTGCTGGTCATTGCCTGGGTCGTCGAATGGTCTTTGGCGAGCTTGTTGAGGAGCTTGACGAGAGGTCCGCTGAACGTTTCGACGCGTTCGGGAACGACTTGGACGACAGATTTGAGCATGAGGAGAGTTCCTCGCAGGGTAGTACCGTTACGCAAGCCCTCGCCTATGGCATCGTGCACGAACTTGTGGAAGTCGGAAGCGTCACTTTGCTGTTCTTCATCTTCTTTTGGAAGAGGAAATAGACGCATCAGCCGTTCGAAGACAGGATAGAGAGCATCGTGCAGCGCAGGCTCGTCCGTGACCATGCCCTTTCGCACAAGGCGTTGCAAAATAGTCGCATTCTCCGGTTCTGTGAACCACTCGTCGTCTTTGTCCGCAGCCACAACTTGAAGAACCTTGGAGGCGCTGATGGCTACTTGAATCGGTGTCTCGGCGTTGAGTTCGTTCTGGTCAGAACAATAGGGTTAGATATAAGACTCTTAAGATGACTGAGAAGATGTCTGACCTGTTCCAGTTGACGCGAGAAGTAATTCAATTTCACCGTCACATCGCTCCATCCACCTTTCCCGACCATTGCGCGCAGTAATTCGAGAGCTTTCGGAGTCACCACTTGCCTAGACGAGGGATCGTGTGCTGCTGTGGCAAGTCTGACAGTGTAACTGACGATGCTCTCACGGAATCCCAGGGGAGTGAGCCAGGTCGGTGGTGGACCACCAGAGTTCTGTTCCGCGATCGCCTTCTGCTCCCACTCGAAGATTACGCGCATCATGTCGATGGTCAGGAGGCGCGCTTCACCCGATGCAGTGCCGTGAAGACCAAGTTTAGAAAGCGAGTTCACCATGTGAGGGATGAAGAGAGCGCGGACAGGATAGAACAGATCCGACTGGCGAACGATGAGCTGGTAGACAATGATGAGTTGCGAAAGGCCGTTGCTATCCTCAGCTAAGAGTCTACGCGTTGTCTTCGCCCATTGCGGGTAGGGTCCAGTATCTTGAGGAAACGCTTTCGAACGAGGCAAAGCTGGAGCGAGTGTGTCGAGAGCCTGGCGAACAAGATTGCGTCCCTCGTGGTGAGGAGGCTTCAACAAGCCCGTCCAAGCACGAAGAATGAACTTGAGAGGAGTGTCGGTGGTGTCGAAGAAACGAGCAGCAAGGAGGTAGGCAACCTGCTTCACGATCATGTCCTCGCTGGTGATGTAGTGCCACGCGCACTTGACGATATCTTTCCTTGCAATCTCAAGCTGGTCGTGGTAGTATTGGACGATGGTGGTGGTCAGATGAAGCAACTCGATGCTGAACATGTCGTCTGCGTCGGAGAACGTCCTTCCGTCGTTGACGGGGTGCCATAAGGATCGATGAATGCCGGCAACGAGATCGTCGTCGAGCAATCCATCTTTCGATGGGCCCTTTGCCCGGATGAGAAGCATTGGCGTGATGATGACTCGCATGAAAAAGGTTTTGCTTGCCCATCCAAATTGCGGGTCAGAGAACCACTTCAAGAATCGATAGAGGATGTTGCGTTGGAATGCGAGGTCTTCACTGAAAGCTGCGTGTTGGTAGAGGAAACGAGTGAGTCGAACGAGGTCCATGGGAAGGCTGCGAGTATAGATTGTGATGATCTCGAAGAGGAGGTCGACACGAGGGCTAGCTTGGAGGGCCTTCTCAAAGAGCGCGATGATCAGAGTGTGCCGTTGAATGGCGTTGGAGATCGCCTCCGCATCCTCCTCGGGTGGCGGCGTTTCCGAGCGCCATATTCGGACGCAAGCATCGATGACGTACGAGTTCTCGACGACCCACGCAGGAAAGATATTCGCGAGGTCCAAGCAAAGCTGCAACCCGGGTATGATGTACGCCGGATGTTCCATGCTCAGACAGTCGGAAACGATAATGTGAGTCCGCGCCGCCAGCTCGCGCTGAAGATGCGGTGCTCTCTTCTCCTGGAGGATATTCCGCAGGGTCCTGAGGTGTCGAGAAAGTTGAATATGCTTCATGAAGAAGTCCATGGCCTCGATAGGATAGCGGTTGAGATATTTGGCCAAAGGCTCTGAGAAGGGGCTGGGACCGGAGAAGTGCATCTGCGCCTCCACTTGGACGATGACGTTGACGAGATTCTCGAGGAAGATATTCGCCGCTGACGGCAAGAGATGAAAAATGTTCGTCAAGCGTACGAGCTTCATGATACCGTCGTTCTCGGCCAGCGGTAAACGCGATGATTGGTGCAGCATCTGTGGATCGGCCACGATGCGGAAGTGGTCCAAGAGCTTGTGCCCGATCTCGACCTTGAAATAGTTGTTGAGAAGCTCGAGGAGGCGCGCCAAGCCTTCCAGTCCAGGTACGGACAGACGTTTGGGATCGGCAAGGTTCATCAGAATAGGACGAAGACCGGTCTGAAGTAGCTCCTTAGGCAGGCGACTCTGGTGCGTGAGCACGATCCGTAGGCCTTCGTGGGCGGCGTCCTTCACCTCCGCAGATGGCGAATAGAGAGATTTAAAGTAGACACTCGTTACTCTATACAAGGTATTAGTACCGCACTAGTATCTGAAAAAGAGTGTGACCGAACGAACCTCTGTCTCGTCGGAGGATACTTCGCAAAGAAATCTGTCATCGGCATCGAGGCCGTCAACAGTCGGATAGACGCCACGCGGAGCTTCATGATGTCGATACTTCCTTGACGGATATTGACCCGTCCAAGTAAAGCCTGGTCGTCAGCATCTGCGAGAGCCAGCGCCTCGTGGAGATGCCTGATGAGCTCTTCGTTCAGCTCCGGGAGAGGTGGGTCGAGACTGACACAAAACCGCATAGCGTCGATAAAGCCGATTTGCATGGCAAAGGGAAGAGCTCGAAGAGGCTTTTGATAGATGGAGTTCAGAACGCGGTCTCGTTGGGGCATTATGAGGGCCGATGCGGATTTTCCTACGATAGTGGAAAGCAAGCCGATGCAGTTCTCCGACGCCTGTCTGACGACGGGGTTCATGCTGAGGAGCTCGCCGTAGAAGAGGCCGATGATCTGGGCTATCTTCGGGCTCTCCGGGGCGGTGTTGGCTGTCTTCAGAATACGGGTCAGTATGGAGAGAACCTCCTCGGTGTCCTTGGTCAGATCCTGTGGTATGTTCTTCAAAACGTGGAGGAATGTCCGAACGATATCAGGTTCCCGCTCAGTGATCCACCTCATGCCGAAATCGGGAATATCGAGAATGAGTTTCACGGCATTACAGCCAGCACGTTTTCGGATCCAAGGCTCGTCGACGCAAAGGGCGTTGAATCGGCCGGCGACCTGGCTAAGAACGATGAGCATATCGCTCATCGAACCTTCACCGGGGCCACTCGCGACGAAGTCTTGAAGGATGGACCCGACGAACTCGTTTGCTTTCTTCGCCTCGTTGACCGACTCACGGGCCAGGCTATGAGCCATGGCGTCAAGGTAGGCGCCGAACGGATGACTGGGGTATCGCCGCGCTGTGACGTCGGCCGTGGATCCCCTCTGGACTTCTTTGGTAAAGATCTGTCGCGAGAGGTCACGGATGAAAGGTTCTGCCTGCGTCTGAACCTCCGGTAGATGAACCGCATCAAACAGGGCCTCCAAGCATTGGACGAACATGTCCTGCGCGTTCCGACCACGCACACCCTACCAAAATAATGTCAGCGGATGTTGTAGACGAGTCGAGAAAGTATACGAACCTGATGCCACAAAACTGTAACCGTATTCTCCAAATAATTGTACGCGTGCACTCGGTACGTACTCCCCGACCTCTTCAAAGCCTTCGTAGCAAGCACCGCCATTGATCCCAGCTCCAGCCCTTCGGCGTTCCCGCCAAACGAAATCATGACCTTGGGTATGTCGGAGAGGAAATTCCACTTCATTTCCGGGTCCTTCTCCAACAACCTCCTGTTCCTGCCTCCAAGCTTCCCCAATATTCGCAACGCCGAATGTGCATGCTGATGATTTGCGGGTAAGGGCTTCAAATGAGTCTGCAGAGCCTCCATCAGCTCCCGTAGGACGGTGTTCAACGTCGGGTCGAGGAAATCAGGAGTCAGGTTGTCGATACAGAGTTCGAGGGTACGAAGACCCTGAGTAACGAGCTCCTGACCACCCCGCAGAGCGTAAACGAGAGGTTTCATGAGATAGTGAAGATGGGGAAGAAGATGGGTGAGTCGAAGTGGGACTGTCAGGCAAAGCTCGACGATCATATCGCGAACCCAACCGTCAAAGAGCATGAGCTGAGTGTTGAGGTTCGCCAACATCTCCGGGAGTAGCGGAAGAACTTCCTTGTAAAGGAGCTCGTATTTTCCCCCGGCGGCACCCATGGCACGGAACAAAGCTCGAAGAAGGTGATAGTAGTTCGTCGGCTTAGAGCTCTTCGCAGCAAGAGGGAAGCAGTCCATGATGAGTTTCGAGAGATGCGAAGCCAGGATTGGCTCAATCAGGTGAGGAAACGGAGAAATCGCGTTGAAGGTCATCTTGAAAAGCCTGATCGCGACGATGGCTGTGGTGTCATCGTACTCGCCCAGCTCTGGGAGAAGTCCGATGAGGTGTCGAAGGAAAATCGCAATCAAAGTTGGGGCCGTCGACTCGCGTTGGAAGGCGGTTTGGCAGATGTGAAGGAGACCTGGACGCTTCTGTGCGGCTTTGAAGAAGAAGTCTACCTTCTGCGTCCAGACCTCTTGGAAGATATGGAGATTCACTTCGGTCAAGGCTCCCGACAGCCAATCGAGGGCTTCATTGGCGTCTCGTGCGTCGGTGTCGTATAGACACATACACCGAATGCAGCCTTCGAACATGCGCATGATTAAGGAACCGTCTTGAAGAGGAGTCTCTACCTTGCGGAGGCACGTAATGCAAGCGCGGAATCCGTGGATGAGCGTCCGGAAGAGCAGTCGCGATTCTGAAGGGTAGAGCATGAATAACACGGTAGGATGTATAGAGGATGGCACTTACCAGCGACGACGTCCTCTGGTTTCTCTATGGCGTAGACGGACACGGCTACGGGTCTCGCTTTCTCTACCATATAAACCTTTCCCGTCTCAGGCTCCTGTTTCTTCGATCTCTCTAACCGCACATTGACTTCGTCCAGCACGTCGATAATGGAGTCCAGCTTATCCACGCACGTCTCCATCAACATCAAGAATATCTTCGCAGCACGCGCCGGCGTCTCCTTGACTGCAATCGTATCCACGAGGTTGAAAATCATCTTCGCCGCTAGCGTATGGACGCTATTCTGCATACACGGATTGTGAATGTGTCGGGAATACACCTGTATGATATGCGCTAGCTGTTGGGTCGTTAGATCGTTGCGTAGATGGTGAACGAGGTCTGCCACCGCGGCGAGGGCTGTCGCTCTACACCGACAACCGTTAGTAACCCGTTCAGGAGGTCTCAGCTATATGACTGACCTTAGTGTCTCTCTACTTCCGACTCCTGGTCCAAGCAGTATGCTCTCGTCGAGCAACTTGTCAATTTGTGGGAGCAACACTGTTCTGTAAGGAGTACCCAATAGATGCCGGAACACGATCATAAAGTCCTGAAGCATGCCTGTCAGAGCAAACGACCTTGAGATGAAATCGAAGACGTACTTTACGAGCAGGGACGGCATGCGCTGGAATATCCTGCAGTAGCCGCAATGATACGAGCAGCAGGGTGTTTCCGTAAGTGTCGTACAATTCTGCCGAGTGCCTGAAGATATATGCCAGGTACGAGACCAACTACAGAACAATAGCTTAAATAAAGCAAAGCGGAAACAAAAGAAACGAACAAACCTTGATTTGCGCGATGATGAAGTCAGTGTACGCTTGAGGGTTACGAATGGTGGGGGCCATGCCAGCCCAAAACCGTCCCATCGCTTCATAGTCTTCTCGCGCTTTCTTCTGTGCCGGAGCCTCCAGCGACAGTACCTCGAGGTTGAGAGGTAGGTTCGACTGGATGACAGAGGTGACGGGGGTTCTGTGCACCTGCGTGAATGTTACGATGATCATCCCCATTTCGATCAAGACCTTGAAGCTTCGTTTGCTGTGTAGGACAATGTTGGGATCCTGGGGTGCAGAGTCCTCGGAGAACAGCTCGTCAACGACACCCTTCATGTTACGAAGCACGTCGACTAGTATGGCCATGAACTGGTTGACAAGCTCCACAGATATGGTGCGGTAGATTCGGACAATGTCCGCGATGATCTTGCAGCAAGTAACGCCGTTCTCTTCGTTGTCTTGTCGTAGAATGTTGAGAGCGCCTTGCATGAGTGGCCCAATCTGTTGGCGTATACCTTCGGAGGATGTGATTCGGTGTAATATGTCGAGGAGTGCGCGGCGAAATTGGTACTCTGGAGAGTCCTTGCGAATAGAGACTTCGGTGTTGTGTAGTATTTCGAGGAGAACGGGGACCATTCCTGGGAAGATTTTGGTTGCTTCAGCATCGCGGACGGTGTCTATCAGCTCTCGGAGTTCAGAAGCAGCTTGGATTTTGGTCTTCAAGTCTTCATGCTAAGTTCAGTACAAATTACGAAGAAGAAATTGAACAGGGCGCACCAAGGTTGGGATCCGCCACACGACTCGCCCGCAACTCTAAATCCTGAGACGACCCCAGACGGGGGATGTCGTCCATTCTGCGTCAGTCGTAGTCGGCAAGAATTCTGAGAAGGGTAGTGGTAGGAGCTGGGATGTGCCGAGGACAATGGGGAGGAAGGGTAAGGGGGGAGGAGGAGGGGGATGAGGGGAAAGTGAGAGCCACAATGGGCGGCGCGGATAAAGGTTAGGTCAAAGCAAGGCGCGCCTCAGTCACATGATGTCTGGACACGCGTGTTCAAACTCCGCCGGACACCAGCGACGCCACACTTTCACGTCGCCACAGCCGCTCTCCCCTTGGCCTCCTGCCATGATCCACTTCATGCCCATGCAGTAACGGCTCGCAATGGAGGCTACCTCAGACTCCTATATTCATAGCTCTGACTATGTAATTAAATTTATCGCTAGGTTCACCAGGAAAGCTTTCAATCTAACACTGATCCAATCATGGAGGGCGACTTCAAGTTCTCGGGATTTACGGTCGGGAAGCTGTATACTGGTTAGTGAGTTCTTGCTCCTCATACAGCTCGCTCAGGGCTCGACCTCTCGCTCAGGGTTAGCAAACGTCATAGCACCTCCCGATATCTAGCATACGGAGATCCGTATGTTCTATTTCGACAGGCCCACGCAAGTTTGTCAGTCAACCACCACCGCGAAGCTCCTCCTCGACCCTCTGAGCGACTCATCCCCACGGCGTTGTTAGACCTTTCCATAAGAAAACACGCCCTACCAGAATTAGGTGATCTCGGTGTCGCCGACGCGTCTTCATCGCTACCACCTTCAGCCTTTAGGTTCCACCTTGATCGTGACCGGAATGCATGTCGATACAAGGCGCGTTCGGCTTCCAACAACGTGTCAACCCCTGAGGTTCCGACGGCTTGCACAGGTAGTGTTCCTCAGCTGTTCACTGGCGAGTCAACGATGTATTGTTTCTGGTAGCCGAACTTCGAGCCCTAGCTTTCGCCATGATCTCTCCTGCGTCTACCACACACACGTCATAACATAGCGTGCATTCAGAGCCATTAACTGCTCACAGTAGTATGGATCGCAACGAAGCTCAGCCAGAAGAATCTGTCTCCTTGTGATATTCACGTTCTTCACTCCCTTTTTTCAGCATGAACATGATGGAGATCTGTTTTCTCCAAGCAGTCTTCAGAGCAATCGCATCTGCTATTGTGCTTATCTTTTCACAAAGTTCGGTTGATATGATCTCGGTTCTGGCCAGGCATTGACGGACAACTTCTTCGTACCATGGTCTCTTTAGGCTTCCATACTACGTACACCTCGATCCTCATGGGGATAACTGTCGTCTACTGACGAAAAATCTCGGGTGAAACGATCGGCCCCTGTATCGATAGGGATGACTCCTTCGCTGACCTGATACAACCGCATCCACAATCTTATAAATGGCCCGCCCATCGCCAACATATGCATTTCAACGCCCCACTTCATTGGTATAGATCTCCGCTAGCTCTCATTGGAAATGACCATTTCACCGGCACCTTATGCGTATTCAACTCCTAATAGCGAGTTGATCAAGCAGTTGAAGTTGCAGGTGCATCCTGAGGGTGGTCAGTAGCGTGTTTTCGTGTTCTTTGTCTCCGGTGCGTTGACTTCGAGACTGACCTTTCGACGAAGGCTACTTTGTAGAGACAGACAGACGAGAGGAGCAGGTCCCTTCCCCATATGCAGGTAAATCCGAGTTTGAAACTGTTGATTCACGTTTCTCGTAACGTCAGTCCTCATGACACCTTTATCATTCTTCAGGCGGTCAAGACCGATCATTAGCAACGTCGATATATTATCTCCTGACGGCTAGTCAGCCTAACGGCGTTTGGCACATGAACAAGTCCGTGGTGAGTACGCCCACTTCAGCTCACACACCAATGTTACCTCCCGGTACACAAGGCACAATGGAAAATTGATATCTCTCCACGAACGCAATTTTTTTCCGTCAGACCTACCACGTCCTTCACCAAGGTCGAGCTGAATACACTCTCATCCACCCCACAAACCCACCTCGTATCGAGACAATGATCATGGGCGATAACGCCGCTGCCGGGGAGACGCGCATGCTTCTCGTAGGCACCGGCGTCTGGAAGAAGTCTCGCATTCTTCCTGAGGATCTCAAAGCAGCTCAAACGGATGAGCAGAAGGAAAGGGTAGGCTGCTTGATCACCGAAGTCGTGGTCCCCGGCTTCCACTGGGAAGATCACAAGTATCTGACGATGGGCGAGTTCGATGCGCTGTTCGAGGGTGCGTCGGAATCGGATATGAAGGACAAGGAGACTCTGAGAGCGTTCGTAAAGAAGGTTTAGCGGTGTGTCTAGGTGGATTTTTGTCCTCCATAATGTGGACGTGAGGCGTAGTCGATCATAATATGGATATCTACCTGCAGCAGCCAGAAGTAACATGTAAGGCGGACGATCGGGAAGGACGACTGCACGCATGATAAACGTGTGTGTGGGCATTACTTCATGATTCAGAGACACGCAGCGTCAGTCCATTTCGTGTTAGTCAATGATGTTGGCTCCCACTGGACCGTCCTGGAGCCGCGATTCCATCATACCGCCACCTCGACCAACCCTCCCTCTTCGGTTCCCGCACCAATACCTACACCCAACCCAATGTCCTCGTTAATGCCCTTCATCTGCTCACCAATTGCCATCCCCTCCTTCATATCCATCCCCTCCGGCCCTACGCTTTCTACACTTTGCGCCACTCCGCTCGCCACATCCCTGTACATATCCCGCGCCTGTACTGTTACCGGATCGATCACATTCCTGAGAGCATTCAAGACGGCGCCAGCGGTCATTTGAAGAGACCAGAGCGAGACTGTCTTGATGCGATGGTTCATATTGGCGGAGGTGACGTGGTATGCTAGGGCATCGTAGACCTAAGTGAGGATTCGATAAGTCAAGAGGAAATATTCGAGATTCGAGACGAGAGTCTTACTTTGAGTGAGATGTCGTCCATGAGGCCAGCTGAAAATGTGGAGTGCGGAATGAGTATCTGTGTCATGAAGGTTACATAAAAGGTCCGACGTACTCTCCCACATCGTCCATGCACCATCGAAGTCGCTCATATACTTCACAACCCGGCAACGAATGGGCACCAAGGTCCGGTTTGCACTACGCAGAGGCAGTCAGTCTTAGACACGGAGACCAAGAGCTGGGGAGTGGGGCATACTTCATAAATGCAACTATTGGCCTGATGAGTGCATTCGAACTGTAACTCAGGTCATTCGTCCAGATCGGCACCGCAGCTTTGATATCCCTGAACCTCAAATCAATAGCCACCGATACCTCCTCCACTTCCTTCTCCTCCTCCTCTTCTTCTTCGTCGCTACCCCTTCTCTTCCTGCGTCTCTCAGATTTCCTTCCGTCCACAGAATCATCGTCATCTGGCACTGTCAAAGGTGGTTTAGCCAACTCTCTCTGCCCTGGTATCCTTTCTACCATGGGCGCCACAGCATCCGTCAGAGCATCGATGAGAACGTCGAAAGTATCGGTTGTGGGTCCGGAACGAGGAAATTTGATGTCGAGAACTGCATCGAGTTTTCCGGAGGTGATCCAAGAGATGGGGCCCTCTTGAGAGGTCATGGATTGAATATGGTCGATATTGACGCCATCAATGCGGATACGAGACTACGTCGGGCAGTAATATCGGATTAGCACGGTACCTGGCAAAACGCCCGAGCTGAAAGAGACAAGATACTGACCATAGTTGACCAACCGCCATCTTTCGCGTCCTGTTCATTCGTCCTCCCAATACTTTGCGGCCTGTGCAGGCTGAACAAACAGTTATCGAACTGTCCTACAATTCCCTGGGCCTTCAACAGATCGTAGAACAGCCATTGCTTCCGGAAGGTACCAATGTCCGCACGAAAGATGGAGAAGGTGTAAGGCCGGAAACCACCAGGTTGGTAGACGGTGATGAGGACGTCTTCGAGTTGGAGCGATTCGAGCTCAAAGTCGCCAGGTTGAGAAACGTGTCGGAAGGAAGCGGGGTCGAGGTTGGGACTCCAAGTCACTCCGCGGCGATCTATGTCGTCGGTTTATTGATGAATGAGATTGAAAAAAAGGTGAGCGAAACGTACCTAGGACGCCGCGAACACCTTTGACTACCGCATCCTGCACAAGACCTTTGCCATCCAACCATCTCCACAAGCTCAACGTGACGTCCACACTATCAACATTCAAGTCGAACATCGACCACTTCAGGTCTTCCTCCGTGTGTTCCTTCTCCTTCTCGTTTTGTTTAGGAACACCATGAACGCTACCTTCCTCATGTTCTTCTACAGACACGTGATTGGCAGGGTGATTGCTCACATCGTATCCCAAAGCAGCTTGGTGACCAGAGTGTGTGAGTCGGGCAGGAAGAGTGGCGGACGGTGGTCGACGTGTGATATATACATTTTTGAAGGAGATGCGGGAGTCTTTCCATTTGGGAACGATGGCTGATTCGAAAATGATGGTCACCCCCGTTTCTGAGGTGAGGTAGTCACTTAGAGCGCGGGCAAGGTATTCTGTGGAAGTGAAAGATAAAAGTGAGGTGTAATACGGACGAGCTTGTTGATGACAACGTACGTTGGAGACGAAGTGAGCTAGCTATGGCAAAAATGACGGACGCGAAGGTCGTGCTGATTTCGTAGGATACGTCAATATATTGTTTTGTCCCCACAATTAAGACAGTGGCAGTGTCACTCACGTTCCGACCAGGATCCACAAACCCTGGCTCATCAGAAACCAAGTGATAAACGCCGATATGTCATCTGCGTTGAACTTCCGAAAGTTGCGGATGAAGAACCATCGAAACCGTACGCGCATGCGTTCGACGAAGCCGTTCGCAGCATTTAAGAAATCTTCGCGTGTTGGACGGGTGAGATGTGGGAGGGACATGGCGAGTCGACGAAAGAAACGAGGATAATTTTCGTAATTAGCAGGTTGCTGAAGCTCGGTGGGTGGTTCACCAGGTCCATCTGGAGGTCGGTGTGAGGCAATAGAAGGTCGTGATGGTGAACATTTTGAGCATGAAGGCGGGGGATTATGGTCGTGTAGCGCGTCCTTTTTTGTTGGCTCAGTAGTATAAAAGCGTGAAATATGAGCCCTTTCTCGTAAGAATCTGTTGGGATCAGAAACTACGCGTCCTGAGACAAGTCTTGAGTTGGTATGGGTCGTTGACTGGGATGAAGTCGGTGGTCGTGTGAAGAATGAATGGATGGCTCGGTAGCGGTCGAAGCCAGCCAGATTAGATTTGGGTATGGCATGTTTATACCGCCTAAGCACAAGACCGCTTGAGGAAGCATATAGCGACGACCTTGCCCTCACCGCTGCCAACGACATCGACGAAGAAGAGACGAGCGCGAGAAACCCACGCTCGACGGCGATGGAGGGAAAAGTGACAAATGACGTAATTCTCCCCTTCTCCAATTTTGACGAGCCCGGGAGTTAGGCTGAGTCAAGCCTCTCTTTAGTGAGCTCAGCGATACCTAGCGATACTCACTGATACTCAGTCTCCAGTCTTTAGCGGCCTCTATCTCAATGCCTCCGAAGAGTCTTCTTACCACTCTTGGAATCTAGTTTGTTCTTCGCAGAAAACATCAGCGGGCATGAACTGTGTACGGAGGTCGACATGGATGTCTGCCAGGTTTCCATTCCTGTAAGTACTCTAGTAGGATCTCCAACGTTTAAATCGCTACAGATATGCTCTATGGTGACTAGACACAATCCCATGGATCAGACTTCGGTAACCGACTTTACTCGGCTATGGATTTGAAACGACCAGAGCCGTACAGGCTCAGCTGTGTGGTATCTCAGAGATCACCAACCTGGGGAATGGAATCATTCTCAGGTGGTGCCTACCGGAGGTCCCGCAGAGATCGGAGAATCCATGGTTCTGTTTGTGGCAAAGTCGGGTTGTTCGCGTCTTCGTTCTTTTCTACCTGGCTTTTATGGGTACCAGAACTATTTCACAGTCATCTCTACATCTGGCTAGGCTCTTCCTTCATGAGACTTATCCACTGCCCAGGATGCTGTCATAGACTGCACAAGGGCCGTACAAGGATGAGAACCGGGGAATTGACCTTATCTTTCAGGGATGCTGTTTGTGTTAAGGGTCTGACTAGACGTGGTTCGCTGTGCATGATGTGACTGATGACTTTGGCGCGACCATGGGGCCATCTTTACAGTGCCGATATAAAGGACTGTAGCCTCAACGGTAATCAACCTCCAAGACACATTGACCCTCGACTTCTCCCCATCATCTGTCAGACACCATCCCTCCATCGCTGAACTGTCTCGTATGCGCTTCTTCACCTCGCTCACCTCCTTCTTCGTCGTCGCCGTGGCCCTCACTATGGGCGCTAATGCCTGCGGCCAATCGTACCCAACACAAGCCGAATGCGAAGCCGACTGTCCCACTAGATGCGCTGGTGAGCATTTATCCATCCGACCAAATCAGCTATAATTGTTGACAACATCATTGACTTCGTCCCAGGTACTTCGGGACAATATACTTGTAAGTGGGAGATGCCTTTCCTTTCAGCTACTCCCTCCCTGGCCTTCGAAGGAAAAGTGACTCTCATTAATTTGTGCTATGGTATCCTTCACTTCTTCGTGACATCGACAGGTCTTTGCGAGTGAAGGGGTCGTGATTGTTTTTGAGCTAGGAGGGAGTATGGCGGGTTAGTAGCGTTTAGGGGTTAAGCATATCAGAGGCTACAGTGCTTCCATTTCTTGCAACGGTCTCACCTGATCGACGGCATTGCGAGGTGCATTGGAATGTAACATCTCCCTCTTGAGAATCTCGATGCACATCAACACATGAGACCACCATCGACACAGAGAGTTGACGATGTAAAGCCTTCAGTCTCTCCAGACTCGGAACACCGATGAAAGGGTAGAGATACCACAGCTCCTCTCTGGGCTCGAGAGAGCTCGAGAGAGAGAGCGCGCCGACGTCGGAATCTCCGGAATCTCCTTACGCAACTAGGGACTGAAGAACGAATAACAGACCGGCAATCTTCTTACTGTGAGCCTCCTTGAATGTGTTACATCGTTCCATTCCTGATATCCTTCCATAACATCTCTTCTAGCTTTCGATCACAAGGTTTTGGTGGAATGGAAATTTCGCCACACAAGTCATGCTACCTCGTGATATGATACGGTGACTCCGAGCCGAGCTCGCACAGAAACAGCCGTTCTGGACCAGCGAAGGACAGCTGCGCTTCAACCGTGCTACTTGAACGCTAAGTATCACGACGGAGTCGGAAGACACGTCGAAATCGACATTGGGGAGATTGACGAATATTTCTATATTTTCCACGAATTCTAGGGCGCTATCTAAGCTCCGATCTACTCACCATGAAACTCTCCAGCTCTTCCAGTATTCTCACCGTCCCCGTCCTCCCAATGGATCTTGTTGCGCCTCCACAGTCCCACTATCGACGGGACAGTCTGGATCTCTTCCGCACTGTCAGGCGCGCTCAACACTTTTCCGGTACCAAGCTCACAGGCTTGACACACCGATCGCGAAGACTAAAGTTTCAGACACCCTGCTCAGGAGTGGCCCCCACACCGCAACCACCCTTCCGCTGAACTCTGTCGTCGTCCTCATGCCTTCTGTTTTGCCTCCTTCCACAGTCCTTATTACTGGTGCTTCCGGCTTCAGCGCTGCCTGGGTCGTCAACGCGCTTCTAAAAGATGGCTATCGAGTTCGTGGTACCGTGCGCTCCGAAGCAAAGGCACAGTATCTCAAGGCCTTGTTCAAGCAATATCTTGATCGATTCGAAACTGCTATAGTCCCAGATATTGCCAAGGTTCATCCCGTTTAACTTGTGAACAACACCGTATTGAATGACCTGGACAGGCTCATGCTTTTGATGATGTGTTGGACGGTGTATCCGGCGTTGTTCATATTGTGAGTCCCTTCCTTCAGACCGACCGGATCACTGTTGCCCATTGTGACCTTGAAGGCTGGTTCTGTCTCTTTGATTGAGGGGAATGGGAACGGCGAGTCTGAGCAGTTCTCCTCCGAGAACTTGTATTCAGTTGCGATTCCTTCCAGAAATTATGAGTTCCAATGTCGAAGGCGTTGGACACTTGATGGATTCCATGAAGACTCATGGGTACGCTATCTTACGCGTTCTTTCGCACCCTTTCTCACCGCCTTCACTGTAGCCAATCTGTCAAGCGCTTTGTCTACATGTCTTCAGCGAAAGCCTTATTGGGAAACCCTCAGCTCGACTACGTCTATGGCGAGGTACTATGTCTCCCGACGAACACGATGAGAGCCTATCTGTCACTGACTCAATGTCAAGAATGACTGGAACGACAAAGCGGTAGCCTTGGTGGAAGAGCAAGGCAGCAGGGCAGACGGTGAAAGCGCTTATGCCGCTAGCAAGGTCCTCGCTGAGCGTGCCATAATCAAGTTCACCGAAGACGCCGATGTTTCTTGGGACGCCACCCGAATCGTACCGGCCTGGGTAAGTTTCAAGTTTCTAATTATACGCATCCACTGAGCGGGACTGATGCTCCTTTTGTTAGATCTACGGGGTGAGTTATTTGCGATATAAACACCGCACAGACCATATACTGACATTTTCTCGGTGTAGCCGATCATCCACGATGTATGTGTACACCTTTGTCTCTGCGAATAATGTCTAATCTGTCATCTCCCAGTGCAAATCTGTCGACGACCTCAATTTATCCACGAAGGTCATGTACCAGTACCTCACATCCCCTCCGGATAAAACTCTCTTGAAAGGGTATTGTACAGACTACATCGACGTCAGAGACGTTGCGCAGGCCTTCTTAGCCGCCCTCAAAACCGAGGCCGCTGGCGGTCGTCGATTCATACTCGATGCCGGTGGGATGGTAATCACAACACTTTATGTATTCTCGTACTGAACTGTTTTTCAGGAGCGGTAACATACCAGAACCTTTGTGCGCAGAGCTCTTCGCGCGCGGAAACACTACATGCTGACTGTGTTACTAAATTTGACCATAGACGATGCAGTGCACGCGATATCTCCGGATATGCCCCAAGTTCCCTACGGAGATCCCAGCGCTGAGAAGTTCTCCTTCGAGGGCGCGTTTTGCGACTCGACCCCAGCCAAGGAGGTCTTGCATCTGAAGGATTTCATAGGGATCGGAGTCTGTGCTCGAGACACTTTGACGAGTTTGTACGAGAAGGGTTTACTCGGGGAGACCCATATGTGATCACGTCAAGCTTGGACTAGGATTCAAATATTCCACAGCTCGACTCTTAGCGCTTATCGCTCCGTCGAGGAGCTTGCACCAACCCAAACTGACTTGTATCCAAAACGAAGCGCCATCTCGGGTTGGACAACTGTAACATCATCATGGCTGCATATGCGCACCTCGACAAGTTGCGAGCGGCTAGCACTCAATCAAATGCTTCCTATTCTCGGATGAACGCATCCACAAAAACGCCTACCTTTTACGGCTCTCCTCATGTCCCAAAACGGAGGCCTGAAAGAAACTTCGGGATTCGCCCAAGCGAACCCGCATATCAGTGTTGGTATCTTTCGCCACCCAGCGCTGGTCTCTAGCCGCTCGAGTATGCAGACTGAGTTCGGGTGGGATGATACTTAGTCGAGAGGAGAGTGGGAGGATGTAGGTGTAGCAAGATATAAAGAGGAGAAGGGTGTCGTGCAAATAACTGACCATCATCATCACCATATAGACTGAGAACCACTTATCCCAGACCCTATTCAAGCGTCTGCAATCAAACCTCTACAACCTCACCCCCCTTCTAAAATGCGATTCTCCGTCCCCTTCAGAGTCCTTACCTTCATCATTTTCACCATGACGCTTGCCCAGACTACCAACGCCTGTGGTCAGACGTACAGCACAGCGGATGAGTGCACGTCCTCTTGTGACTGGCCGTGTCTGGGTGAGTTGCAGTCGAATCTGCAATGACGATACATGGCGACTGATAGATTTGACGTGGAACTTGTTTAGCCGCCAATGGAGGATATGTCTGTAAGTGATTTGGGCGAAATCTGGCTCTGATTCTCATCGAACTCTACTACAGGTCTTTGTATCCATGGACACTGAAAGCTGAGGACCCGTATCCGTGTCCAGCGATGAAGTGGTATGGAGAGAAGGATGAAGAATGGTGGCGTACCGATCGTTAGATGTTTCAATTGTCCACTTTCGCGTATAGCCTTTGCGGAAGGCTATTCTGTGGTGGGCTGTAGCGTTCGGAGATGTGGCGTTATTACGCCACGCCAATTTATACCCTTAAGCATTGTCCTTATTTTGGCTACCTTCGCAGCATCGAGATGCGCGGGACACTATTTGATTGCGGGTATAAGTACTTCGACCATGCAAAAGCGTGTCTGATTCTGATCAACGGGTGTTGATGAGTGGATCATTCAGGATGCACGGAAGACCGCACCCACCTTCGAGGAACGTTGCGTTCAAGTCAGCCAACTGCAGAGCAGTATCATCATTGGGAGAATGCCCGAGGATCATGAATAACTCACGCGTGCGGCGTAACGTCTGAAGCAAGAGTTTGAGGGTCCGAGTTAGACAGAATCGCAGAAGAACGTTCGCTGATTCTGTGTTTCACTGACGCTGGTCGAGGCCCGTTTCAGCGCCTGGTCATGGCCATTGGGAAAACACAAGGGCTATTTCGGCGGTCGATATGATAGCAGCCCAATTGTCGACAAGAGAACTGTAGAGGAGAGTGGACCAAGCGCATCATCATGAGGGTTACAGAAGAGATAGCCGGCGGCGGTACAATTTCAAAGCATGGACCCGTTGTACCGGATATGGGATGGTTGCACCGCCAGAGCGGCGGATGGGTGATTGCGAACAAAGGACGCGACGAATTCGCTCCGGAGGCGCACATGGCGGCCACAGCGCCCATCGCTCCCTGACAGCCATAATCCCCTCTTCCTTCCTCCCTTCATCTCCCTCCCTCAACATCCCTCGCGCTCTCGAAGACACACAGCACAGCGCGCTCGGCGATAGATCTCCCTTCGTGATCGTCTCATAGACCGACTTCGCCATCATCCAGCCCATCATCCATCCCACGCGCCCCGCCGCTGACGCCACTCCCGTCTTCTTCTCAACCCCCACACACAGCCCTCGTCTAAACAGCCCTCTACCCCGAACACTCACCATCCGCCGATAACGACGACGACGACGCCATGCCGCTCCCCGTCGTCAACGGCTCCCTCGCTCTCCAGAGCAACATGCGGCCAGGCGAGACGACCCAAGCGGTCCCCCTGAAACGGGCCATGCTCGTCCGCATGTCCGAAGAGACTCTCGACGCCCTTTCCGCATACCCTAACCACCCCTCGCTAGAGTTTAGCTTCTCCAATGGATCACAGGTGCGTCCCTTCCCCACTCTCGATCTCGTTCACACCGCTCACTCATTGCGTCACTTGTGTCAATACAACAGGGCATCTATATTGGAGATCAATTCTTTCCCATGCAGACTGTCCCAGAGACAGCGCCACATGAACTCTATCTTCGCTCTGCACCTGTCAACAAACCCTCCGCACCACTCAAACTCTACGCCGACATTACCGGCAAAATCCTCGTCGAGCGCGAGCTCGGCTCCCGTGTCGAAGACCGTGTCCGCGAGTCCACTACCCAGGCGGCCAAAGCGCACAAGAACAAAGGAATAGTGAGACTCAATGAAGCACCTCCCACTCCAACAACCGCCACCAGTACAACGAAGAAGGGAAAGAAGTCGGGCTCGGGGGTGACGGTGACGAGGAGGGTGGCGCCGCAGGTGCAGCCGATCAAAGCGAGGAACGAGGGCACGCATTCGGCTTCTGCAGTGGTGTCTTTTGACGATCATCCTGCCAGAGCGAGAATGATCAGGTATCTGGCTATACAACAGCGGACGGCGGCAGAGGCGATCAAGGCTGTGGGCGGTTCGAGTCTCTCGGAGTCAACAGCCAAGGAGTTGGCCCAGCTCCTCGAAGCGGTGCGTTCCTCTACTTTTGTTCATTCGTTGTTTGCTTCTACGACTGCGAATTCATTTGTTTCGCGATCATCGTCCTGAATTTTGAATTTGACCTTGACTGATATTTCGATGTGGCGTATATCAGGTGGCCACACCTATTCCAGCGAAGAAAGGCTCGAAGGACCCAACAGAGTACAAACTCAAATCATCCTCTTTCCTGGACGTCCGCCCATACGACTGGGACAACCTAGCAGACAAGGAACGGACAAGCATCGCCCGCGCAGGTCGCATTGCCCTAGCCGATCTCAAAATCCCAGAGTCTGATCCTCGATGGGATCAATTCAGATACCGGTCTACAGCCTCCGGCTCCAGCACGACGGGTGGTGGACCAAATGGTTCGGGGGCTTCGACACCTGTCCAGAAGACACATGCTGTGTCTACACCTCCGTACACGCAGACGACCGGGACGTCCAAACGCACTAATGGTACCACGACGACTACCACGTCTACCGCCACTTCCAATGCCGCCTCATCATCCAGCAAGATCAGACCTCCGGCCACCAAATCCGCCGCAGCATCTAACTTCGAAGCTAAAGACGAATCGACACAACCCTCCTCCTCACGTCAAAACCCCACCACATCATCTTCTGCTCCATCAACAGCAACAACATCGACACGAACGATCCATGGACTCCCACCGAAACCTCCAACACCGACTATCCCTCCATCCATCTCAAATTCCAGCTCTATCGCTGGTCCCGCGAAACGCAATCCACCAGGGGCTTCCGGGCTCCGGACGTCGTCCACTCCGACCACCGCGCCTTCCACCACCCCCTCTTCACATGCATCCCACGCCCACGCACATTCCAACTCCAACTCGACCACTGCTTCTGGGTCTGGTTCGAGCAACGGCAACGGAAATGGGCCAGAGAAGCCAAAGAGGACGGGCCCTGTGGATGTGAGGAATAGGGATAAAGTGGCGAGACCAGAGCCTGTGCAGAGCGGGAGGGCGACGGCGTTGCCGCCTATTGCGCCGCCGGTGAAGCAGAGGGATGTCGTTGGTGTGAAGGCGAAGGAGCGGGAGAGGGAGAGAGAAAAGGCGGAACGTGAACGAGAGAGGGAGAAGGAGAGAGAGAAGGAGAAGCCGATTCCGAGGAAGAAGGCGATTGTGAAGGATGAGGGGAGGGATAGGGATATTCTACGGGAGAAGGAGAGAGATAGGGTGAGAGAAAAGGAGAGGGATAGGGACAGGGACAGGGATGATGTTGGTGTCAGTGGAAAGAAGAGGAAGACGGATGAGGAGAGCACTGTGACAAAGAAGAGGAAGATGGAGGACGGGAGAGCTGTTGCGTCGTCTTCGACAGCGCCAAAAATCAAGAAGGAGGAGAGGGAGCGAGACCGGGAGATAGACCGGAAAGAGAGGGATAGGGATAGAAAGGAGAAGGATAGGGAAATCGCGAGGATACCCAAGAAGTCGACGGCCGCGAACGTTAGGGACAGGGAGCGTGATAGGGACAGCAGGGACAGGTCACCACTACCCTCCCGAAAGAGCCTCGGTAAGCGTGAACGCGACGACTCACCCGACCCGCCTCTTCGAAAAGTCAAACGCGAGCCCGTAGAACCGTCACCTCTACCCTCCTTCTCCCGCCACCACGATAAGACCCGTACATCCAAGACGAAGACGAGCACCAGCGCGAGCAACACGACGGGGATGAGTCATCGTGGCGAAGGGATCTACACGAGTTCAGAAGACGAAGATGATCGTTCACCTCCACCCGCGCGCACCTCTACCTCCACTAAATCCTCCAAGTCCTCCTCTACATTAGCGTCCTCCCGAGCTTCGGCCCCTTCCGCTCCACCTCCTGTACCCGCACTTACTGCCCCCTCACCTGCTACATCCTCCTCCTCTGGTGCCGCCTCCCTCAACTCCACCAACACCAACTCTTCCTCGCACTCCCGGTCGCGGACCTTCACCTACCGTACGCCACCCACGGCACCGCTCCCCAAAGAACGCTCCGCCCTCGTCGCGCGGTACGAAGACGCGTACCCGGAGTACATGGAGACTTATGCGATGATAACGAAGCAGAGGAGGTTGTTGCAGAAGTTAATGAAGAGGGTGGAGCAGGATGAGGACGCGGAGATGAGCAACGAGGAGGATGTGTTGGAGCCAGAGGAATACCAGAAGTTGAGGGACAATTATGAGGCGTGGACGCAGGAGTTGGCGGGGATCACTGAGAAGTGTAGGAGGGTGGGCGTGGAGTTGACTGGGCTGGCTGAGTGAGGCGCTGTGTGGAATGAAGCAGAAAGTAAAAGGAAGAAGCAGTTATTGGCTGATAGTTGTGTGCATACCCCGAGAAGTGGAATGCAGCCATTGTTGCCTGTGGACAAATGGCAGTATAGTGTACAGGATTCGAGTGGTTTTTGTTCCCCTTCCCTTCCCCTTTCTCTTTCTCTGGATTCGTTTCTTTTTGTTAGCGTAATTATCTGCTTTCGACCGCGCCGGTGACCATCTTCCTTTGAGTCATTTGGCAGCGGCTTGCTCTCGAGTTTGGTATGGTCCTTGTGTGGTCCTTTCTAGGAATCATAAGTTTTGTTGCTTGCTCTTTGTCCTGTAATATTATTTGACACTCTGGTTGTGTTTCCTCGAGTTCCATTCACTGCGACGGTCGAAAGAGTCGTTGGATCTTTTCAGAGTTTGAATTCTATTGAATGTAAGTTACGCGCTTGTTGCAAAGTGCCACCGCCACATATCCCACGTGTTATCATATCTATCGGCAGTTGCCGCAAGTGCTGTGAAATGACTGCCTTTCTCAGACTCTCGGTCTTCACCTCCACGGAGACTTGACGGAGACAAGCCTCAAGCTCTGTTCAGTTCTCAGGTGGGCAAGGCTCAGGCTGAGCGATTCTTTAACTCTAAGTATTTGCTTATTTCTACAGAAACAGGCCAGTCTCGACCGCAAGAGGGAGACCAGCTGCCCATTCGCACTCCTTTCTTCCGCGGGACGAGTCCTCCGGATGGGCTCCTTCTTCGCGCGCTGAGTATCAGATTGTCCCGGTTCGGAACTTCGGATCCTCGAAGTCGCGATACGAAGGAGCCTATTATGGTAGCCTGAACAAAGCAAGAAACCAGTTTGGCTTCCTTGGGTATCGTCCTTACCTCCCTCACGCTCCTGGTCCACGCTCCTCAGATCACCTTGGCCCCTTGACCTGCCGAAGGTGCCGACGTAGTTTTGGCTTATTGTTTGCCGGTAGTATGTCCACACACTCGCCCATTCACATTTCTGTGTAGACGCTTAGGCAGATTCAGCCGTTCACCTGTCAATGATCTTGTGCTGTGCTAACGCCAGCTGGGTGAACGCAAGGACGTGAAACGCCTGAGAGGACTCTTTCGATTTGGTCAAGGGCCATCGTATGTAGCCAAAGGCGCTGCACGTGTCAAACGTGGTCGTCCTTTGGCCCTCGAATGGGGAATCCCGCCGTGGTGGGTTTCGTGATTGGATTCGGTGACAGTGACACAGCGCGGTTTAGGTTCGCTTCCGTTGTTCGGCGAGCTATAAAAGGACGCAGGTCGGGGCAGGTGGACTAGCTTGGGCGTCTTCTCCTCCTTCCTTCCTCTTCCCCATCCCAACCATCTTTTTTGACCCGCCGTGCGCCATCTTAGGGCGATCCATCCCGCCTCCCCATATACAGCCTCTTGCAGAGCCACTTCTCACGCGCAGACACTCTCTCTTACTCTCATACCTCCCCTCTGCACTGACCCACTTGCATTCGCACTATCACGTACACGCATTACTGCTCTATCAGTGAGCCACTCCTGACCCACACCGAACCTTGGAACCCATCGCCCACTTGCACTTCGAACCAGACCAACCAGTTCTTCCTCGACCATGGCATTTTCTCGCTCCCTACCCTCCGATCTCGACAAAATGCACTTACAACCCCCAACCATACGTCATCCTGTGCCATCATCGCACTCGCCCTCCCCACTCCCACCATCCTCGCACTCACAGCCCTCTTCTCCGGCTTCTTCGCCGTGTCCCACACCACCACCCAGCCTGCCCGTCGCGGTCGCCGAAAACAAAGTGACCAACCAGTGTCTGTTACCGCCTGATGCGTTCGATCCACTCATGGCGACGTTGAGGGCCATCGGCAAGGATAGGTTGGATTGCCAGCAGGCATTACAAGGGCTCGCAGGTGTACTCGAGGAACTTAGGGAATTGGAGAAGGAGGAAGAAGTTGAACGCGAGGCGAAAGAGAGGGAAGGGGCTGAAGAAGGCAGAGGCAGAAGGAGGCGGAGGGAGAACCTTGGTGACCATAATGAAAAGGACAGCCACGATAAGGAGATGGAGAAAGAGGTCAGGCGGCGGGAAGAAGAGGCGATTGGGTTTGATGCAGATGACGAGGACGAAGATGGGGACGAAGACGAGGCCGAGGGCGCTGTAGAAGGAAGGTCTTCTCCTGCACATGACCATCATCGGAATCGCAGGCATCGTTTCGATGATCCGAAGAGGGATGATGGGCTTGCCAGTGATTTCGATGATGATGATGACGACGATTACCTCGATGATGGGGACTTCGACGGAGGCGAAGCTATGGATGTGGATGAGGAGTTTGGAGAAGTCTTGCATGCGCTGGATGGGTCGTATGAGAGGCTATACGAGAATATGTGGGCTATGGATGAGCGATTGAGCAGGATCGAGCAAGATGTGAGGGAACTGGGTGGTGCGGGGTCGATGTTGGCAGTTGTTGATGGACAAGCGCGATGAGCGGGGCTCATGCAGTTGTACCAACGATGTGAGTGTCGAATGCAGACCTCCCTGATCTTATGATCCTGACACTGACATCTGCCTCGATGTGTAGTGTGCCGTGTGTGTTATAAATTATCGCCGTATATATGTTTTCTACATCGTGGACGTTGTGTCGTCGTTGCTTTCCTTCCTGTTTTCATAATGCATGGTCGTCGTTGCCAGATGTACGTACTCAGAGATTTGCCTCCGCTAGCCTCCTTCCCGTTTTCATTGCCCGTTTTCCGGTCATCGTCCTCTTTAAACTGTACGAAAACATACACGACTTCCTCCTGGGATCCAAGTCTCCCCCGATCACCACCTTATCATCGTAGAGAACCTCTCAGATCCCGAATACGGTTTCTCCGGACTCGAATTTTCTAATAACTGTTTCTACCCGTCTTCACTCCTCAGTCTCTTCTGTATCTACCAAACCGTGAAATCACCAGCATAGACCCATGCCACCCTTCTCGAAACAAGTAGCTCTTCACACACGCGCGTTGGACTCTTACAGTCAAGACCCGTCATTGTCGAAGAAGTAACATTGGCCTTGCTCAGGCTCTAAGATCCAGAAGAAGAAGATTGAACTTGGAACTCCTGAGTTTTGAAGGCCCGCGCACTGGCATCACCTCATGCTAAACGCATGTCCTCCCTCCCCGCGAAGTTCGCCTTCCCCATCCTAACAAGTTTCCACCACCGCGTTGGCGGGGATAAATTTTGCTGAAACGTTCAGCTTGTTGATGCGGCCATGGGAAGGCGACGGTGATGCGAGTCGTTATGGTAGGTAGGAAGATGGGTACTGGGTTGTGTTTCATTGGTGCTGGCGGCTGGGTCAGGCGCTGAGTTCGTATGTCGTATGAGGGCAGCATTTTAGATTTATTCGTGTTGGATAAGGGCATTAATTCAGAGGTTGTCTGGCTGGGTAAGAGCATACACAATTCATAGATGCCAGTGCATTAAATCGGTGAACAGATTCGTGCTCTGCGGTAACCGTGGGAACCTAAAGAAACGCGATTTCACCCGACTCGGGTTTGGGCCACAATGTGCCTGTCAGAGAAAAACGCAACAGACGCTGTTCCAAGTCCACTGAACTAATGTTATGCAAGATTACAGTCTCGACATATACAAAGCCTATATCACACCAGTCCTTTTGAAAGACAACGCAAGTCAGAAAAAAAATTGTCAGCTCTCATAGTACATTCTAAGGGCCACTGGGCACTCTGACAAAGTTGACAGACCTGCATTCTCAATCTCCATACTCTGGAGTCTCATGACTCGCAATCCGGAGTGTGGCCCGCACAAAGATCATCATGCCACGCCAGTGCGGCATTATAATCGTCCGTGGTACACGATGGCACGTCCCCCACACATCGACCCCAGAAAATATTGAAGTTGGCACACGTGCCGCCGGTGCAGATACAGTCGGTGTCATTGAAGCTATTGAATTCGCCCGGATGATTTAGTATGCGTATGCGAGTGAAAGGTCGGGTTAGCTCGTCGCTCTGCCGACGGGGAATGATTGACGCGGAGAGGAGGTGGAAGACGAAGGGGGGAGAAAGTGAAGGATAATGGAAAGACGTACGAAGAGCATCCTGAATTGGAGAGAGCACTATCTGCACAACCTTGCTCGCAGTCCGGGAGGGTAGCATTCTGCGCGAGGACGGCTGCCGGTCCCAAGACAGCCAGGCTCGATAGGATAAGTACTATGGCAGCTCTCATCGTTATATTGGGTGAATGGGGGGCCTTTGGACGACAAAAAAAGACTAGAGAGGGAGGTGAGCAAGGTTCTGCTCAGGTGAGTCGTAAGGAGGGGTCGATGATACAACAGTGCGCTTCCCCTTCGGTGGTTTATATGCTTTTCGACTCGGTCGTTACACCGAGGCTTTTAACGCCCCAAAAATGCATGATTGGATCAACGCGTCCGTCACAATACACTTCGCACTGCTTTACCTTGTGAGGTGGCATGTGGAAAGCAGCCTTCAGATAGCAGGGAAATCAGAATATAGTTTGGAGTTTATCACGTCGGCTAGTGGGCACCGCGTCAGGCGCCTCACGCTTCGCCTTGGGTCAAAGCTCCAACTACAGGCACCGAGATGAATAAGCGAAAGACGCCAAGCAGATACAGTTTAGTTCGAGTCCTACCTGTCTAAGTCAGAGGGTAGCAATTGAGGAAAAGAGCTGAACTGAGAGGCGGAAGGAAACAAGGCGGACAAGCGCGCTTAACGGCGTTACTCGAGCTGCCTAATTCGGATACTGATGCGGACACACTGGCAGCCATGACGGAACCAGAGAAACCCAAACCAAGATCTCACCTCGTAGCTCTGAAGATGCCGTGGAGGATGCGAACAAAATGCCCACCCGGGATATCACGTCCGCTTCTCAGCACATGAAGACAGTCCGAGTCGTGCGAAGAGAAGTCCTTGAGCCAAAGCACACTACCTGTAGTGTTGCAATCTAGGGTCTGCGGAGCCGGTATGGGCACCCAGCTTTGCAAGCATCAGTGTCCTCCGACGGGCGAAAACGATTGAGAAGATCTCACGACCGCAACATTCTTCGAGGCGTAGCAGTCTATACGCTGAACTGTTTATCGACTACCCCACATCAACAAACTCGAGATTTTGGACACAATAAGCATATAGTCCATCGAAGTGACCTGAACGCCACAAAGCTCTTGAGAATAAAGGTACCGGGTGATCAGGGCAACGCAAGGAACAGAGGCATGAGCGCCGTCATGTTTGGTGTGCCCACTCCTATCGACGCAAGAAGGACCGAGAGACGAGGTTAGCCAGCACGCAGATGGAGAGGAAGAGGGGAAAGACGCAGAGGAACTCGCCGGTAACAGGATCCCAGCCCTTTACGCTACGATTACGAGGAGGGTGGAGTTATACGTTAGCAACAGACATGTTTTCTATCGTGTAGGATGGTGGAACACCTACGCAGTGAAGCCGACAGTGCCTATGAATCCACAGGTAGGTAAGAACAATGCGAATAATACAAATGGATGCTTGAGAGAATTGAAGAACGCACCACAGCCTTGGTTCGTGCCGTTCGTGATATCGTGGAACGCACCCGCGAAGTCAGTTGAATAGATCTACAGCGCCCGCATCGTTGGACCAGTTATTCACCGATGTGAAGCGACTGAAAGCGTTTCAGAACGTACCGCAGGGTTGATAAATCCTACGCCACAAAGTCAGCCACTAAAGAAATACTAAAGTGAAAGAAAATAATTACCGACAGGTCCTTTCCCAGCAGCGATCCTCGCGTCGTTGATGAGTGCGATGATAGAGCCAACAACTGGAGAGGAAGCAGATGTCCCGAAGACCAACTGGAACTCGCCATCGATGCCTACGTCGAATTTCAGTTGAACATATCCGAGTTCTTATTTGAAGCAATGATGATCGATAAACATACCAATCACGTAGTTCGCCCTGCGCACAACACAACACAAAAATTTCAGAGATTTTATCATTTGGAAGAAACGACGACATACCCATTCGCAGACAAATCTGGGAACGCGCGACTCTGTACCCGCGCTAACATCAGCCCTCAAGTTCCGCAAGTGTACTAACAATGAGAAGACCTACAGTCCCAGAGTTGTTGAACTGCTTCGCACTATACGGAGGCGGATGGTTCGTCAAGAAGCTGGTGACGGCGTCGGCCTGGTAGGAAGGCATGTTGAAGATGTTGGAAAAGCCCCCGCCACTAAAGATCTGCGTTCAGACAAAACAACGCCGTGAGGGAGCATCGCGCGCCAATAAAAGACCGATGAGTGATTCAGGATACAATAACAGTGCCAAATGGGTGATACGTACCACTTGCTCACAAGCACTCTCGGGATCGAACACGGTCATGTTCGGGCTCACTTGAGTAGCTCCGACGGCCGTGATGAACGGACATCCGGCCTATCATGACCCCATGTTGTTATCGCCATTGAGTCTTGGTCAGTTGTGGGTTTTGACTACATATGACTGAGCGAAATAAGGCTCACAGGGAAGTCAGGCTACAAGTAAACCACACTATATCAGCTGAGTTCACAATAGATGACATAGTAGCAGAATAAAAAGCATACATTGAACATGATCGCATCGGGATCTGTAGACTCAGCCGTCCCATTCGGAGTGATACAACCACCGTTCCCAGCTACTCCGGAATCGCCAGTGCTGTACAAAACGGTGGTGCCCATCATGCCTAGCTATTTAAAAAAAACCCGCGGTTAGCTTTGAACATTGAGCGTGATAGCTATCAAGGAAGGGTATGCGAAGAGGAAAAACAGGGTATGGGGAGGATAGCAAACGTACTTTTCCATATTCGGTACACTGGCGTGTAGCATACGCCACGGTAGCCGTCACCTCATCCTGCCCGTACGAGGTCGAAACAACGTTCGGCGGTGCGATGATTCCGCACGACTCGCTCTCTGTGCTCGCAACGCCACATCAGCACCTGCTCTCACTTTGGTAAGAAAGATCAGACGCACGATTGAACCCCCCAGGTTCGTCATCTGGATAAATCCCATCCTGACCGGGCACGTCACCACCATCAAACGTACAAAAGCTCGCATCAACAGCATCCAACCAGTTATCAAACCCTGCGCCTTCGACGAGGTCTCCCGTCTGCAAGAGGGTGATATTAAGAGGGTTGGTGAGCCCCATCGCGTATTCGAGGTCAAGATCGGATTCGCCGTTGAAGTCGAAAGATTGATTTTGGGTTTGGGCCACACCTGGTGTAGCGTCGGGCGCCACAAACGATGGAAAGTCGTCAGTATTATGTTGGTCGAGGGAATATAAGAAAGGAGATGGACCTCCGTCTATGGAGATGAAGTTGGGACGTTGGCCGACTTGCGAGGGCGAGAAGTTGCTGTCTCGGCCAGACAGAATCGGATTCTCAGTAAACTAGCTGGGCCACACGGAAGATCGTAAGCCATACTCACGCGAAGAATAGGTCGAGATCACCAGGTAAAAACGCTTGAGGGGTGAACTCAACGATGCCACTGAAGAATCCAGGGACTTTGGTCAGTATATGGGCGTTAATATTGATGAAATTGAGTGTGGCGTGACGCTTACTAGGAGTTCTTGTCTGACGCCACAGGGGTATAGTCGATAGAATATAACGCCCTCAAGCAGTCGAGCGTGATAAACTCGTCGCCTATTTAAAGCGCAAAGTGAAAATAACTCAGCATTTGCAATCATTCTTGATGACGAACATGTCCGACTCACAGTTGGCCAATGTCGGTGGGAGGGTGACCTTCTTCCCATTTGTTTTCGGTCCATTGTTAGAGGATGGCATGCCCAACTTCGTATCGGTTCGCTTGAATTTCTGGCTACGTTTGACAGGATCGCCACTAAGGCGGTGGTTGAAGTGCACAGTAGGTTTGACGAGATCGACGTGCTCGCGGATATGTTCAGGGAGGGAGTACGACTCACAACCTTCGTATACAACCATGTTTATATCAACATCATCCAAAGTCATCGTACGCGGAACAGACATACCAATCTGCTTAGCCCCCGACGGGTGCTCATACGCATGATACTCCGTCTTCAACAAACTCTCCACTTCCTCCACACTCGCCTTGACCTCAACCCATCCCCCATTCCCGCTAACCTTCACCCTCTGTCTCTCGATCCCCTCATCCTCTAACCACCCAACTACACTTTGCACCGTCTCTTCACTCGGCCTAAAATAATCAACGACCTGTTTCGGGGTCCAATGTTTACCGTACTCGGGCGAAGACGGGTGCGAAACGGAGAGTAGGAGTTCTTCGAGCTTGTAGGTGTTTTGTTGTTTGAGGCCGATACGAAGAGGCAGGACAGAGGAAGAGGGGAGTTTGCGTTTAGTCCATTCGCGGGGTAGAGCCGAGTGTGGGCGGGTCTCGTGGATTGTGTGGGTGGAGGTCGTGTGAGGGATAGCGAGAGCTGAGAAGGCTCCGACCCATGAGACGACGCAAACGAGCTGTGTGATACGCATCGTGAGCTAACCGCAAAGCCTGGGTAAATGTCTGTTCTCGTTGTTGGCTTGAGACAGACAGCCGTACAAGCAGACGGACGAGGGGAAAGGTCGAGCAGCAGCGAAGCTCAGGTATAAGTAATTCAGAATTCCCGTCGCAAAGCCTAGCCGAGAAAGCCATCCCACAGTGTTCCATAGTAGAGTGATGGCAGACAGCTGTCGTCAACTGAAGCCGGGTCGGAGGAAGTCTCACTGATAGTAGGCAAGAAGCTGCTTGCGGATAAGCAAGCGGGAAAAGTTGGGGAAAGGATGTCCTATATTTGGCGCATGGAGTTATATTCGGAAGCTGAAGACAACCAGCAATTTTGAGACAGCGTGACGTGCATGGGAGATCAGAATTCGTCGATGCCAGTGGTGAGAAAAAGATAACTGCCCATGATATAGAGGATAAATCCGAAGCAAAGTCACAAGATGAGGATACACTATCTTGGATGCTGACCCTGCGACAGTTCTGAGTCGAGCGAAAAACCTAGCTGTGAGCAAACAAACCTTGTCCGGAGTCGTGATACTCGTTTTCACGAAGCAAAGTCTCGGACTGGTCCGTTCAACTGCCCCAATACGCGATCTGATGCGGCACTCGGGATGGTGATGAAACAGCATCAGCCCGTCCTTCAATTACTGGTCTCGAGGCTGCATCGACGACGTGCGAGTGGCGAAGCTAAAACCAGACTAACCACAGCTATATACGGGGCACAGCGACGGGTCAGCTGTGTCCAATGCGGATGGCCTACCAAGAATAATACGGTGATGACGGCGGCAAGCATGGTTCGTAGTGAGAGCCTCGTACAATTTTCACACAGTGCACAGTGCACCAGTGAATGAATGAGTTAAACCTGGAACGCTTTGCAGACGATACTGAGAGGCAAGAATCAAAGTAGTGAACTTGGCTCTATGCACACTCTACCTCCCTTGCCCTCGACTAATCTTTGCGCTTGAAAACGTAGTGCCCGACTCCCCACCTACGAAAAAATAACAATTTCAGTACACACCTCTTGCAACTCGTTTACCTGCCTCTGCCCATGATATGTGATAGAAAGAAGACAAGAAACACTCACTCCTCCCCACCCCTGAACCCAAACAACTCCGCACAAGCAATATAAAACACTCTAAACCTATACCACGTTTTCCTCCCCTCCCCTCCCTTTCCAGTTCCCAACTTCCTCTCTGCATCCACTTCAAGTTCCTTCAATCCGGCCTTCGCATTCGAATCTTGCAAGTTGAGCCATTGCGTGAGCGTGCGCGCGTAGTGCGTTCCTGGGATGTAAGTCGACTTAAGTAAAGTGAGGTCGGATTGGAAGTAGGCGAGCAGGTCGTGGGAGGGCATTGTTCCGCCTATTCATCGTTGTGATGTGATTTGAAAGCGAGATGAATTGGATCAGTGGACGAGGTGTGAATGAGTAGAGGGAGCAGAAACAGACCAGAGAAGAACGTCTGCGCCATCCATCCATCATCATCCTCAAAGTCATAGACTTGGCTCTTATGGCAAAAGATATGGACGAAAAGCAACGACGGATCTGCATCCTCTCCTTTTGCCTGGTCTTTGACAGCTCCTGTCAGCGATGAATCGGAGGGTTGTAACCCGTTGCTCTTAGATATATGACCGGGTTTGGAGGCAGAGGGTTTGAGCCAGGTGGAGATTTTACGGAGGAGGAGATCGTAGTTCTTCATGTGTTCAAACATCTGCGCGGGTTAGGCTTGCATCAGTCGTGCAGTCAAAACGGAGGGCAGTCGATGAAATGACAAAGGATAAAGTACCTCTATGGACAACACTCGATCGAATCTAACGGACAGTAAAGTGTAAGCTGCTGAACCGAGCGAAGAGCTAGACCGAGTGGTCCAACTTGGTGTCAACGTGCCTCTCATTCTCGGGAAATTCAGCGAAATTTACATCCGCCGTGATAATCTACAAGAATAAGAAACATCAGCATCATGTGTTATCACAAGACAAGGGTGAAGCATACTTTGACGTTGGTCAAACCGCGTTTCTTTGCCTGCTCATCAATATATATCTTCTGGGTAGCCGAATTCGAAAGCCCTGTGATTCTTGATTTGGGATACCTCTTCGGGAAATAATGAAAGGTTCGCGGTTAGTTCAAACTACAAACTACAACCTATCATATCGAGGCATAACGCACCTGACCCAAGTACAAAGACAAACTGCCCCACCCTGCCATATCGGCCGTTATGCGTTTCATTAGAATATAGTGGCGAGAAGGATAGAGGTACGTTAGGAGGCGTACCACACCCAAGGTCAAGCACATCCTGTCCATCCTTCAACTTCGCCTCCTTACAATACAGATCCATCATGAGCACCTCCGCTTCTTCGAGTGATTCTTTCCCAGTGGGGTAGAGACAGGAAGAATATTTGGCGTAGGGGCCGAGACAGGACATCATAAAATCTGTAGACACCTGAGAATAACAACATTATGAGCAAGAGCGAAAGACATTGTACGTGCTGTGCAATTGGCCAAAACCATGGAAACAACAGGAGGCGAAAAAAGTGTGCAGATCGATTCAACGAACTTCATAATGCTGCTCATTCGCCTTCTCTGGGACGTCCGCTATTGTCTGCCTCGCTTTCGACCTCTCTATCCACGCTATCTTCGCAGCGTGGTTTGTTGCGATGGAACCATGGTTTATTTCGCGGAGACGTTGGTGTAGAAGGAGGCGGATGGCGCGCCGGAGAACGAAGTCTGGCACCAGACCCTGTGTATTGTCAAGCAAAGTCAGAGAGGCAGTCCGTTTATTCTCATTTTGAGACGCAAGAGGCAGGCCACATACCCTATCAAGAAGGTCATATCCTCTCTGAAGAACGGCGTTGGCGATGGCATCCATATTATAGAAAAGTGGTTCAACTTGTGATTTCACGTAGCCTATACTGACAAGATGGTGGTGGTAGTAAAAGAGCAAGCAGGGACGTGTACCGCTTAAGAGTATGCATCACAATTTATGTCGTCGGGGATAGTGGGCTTGTGGTAGAGACGATCGTTGATGTCGTTGACCTTCGCATCGAACCGCGACCAAAGCGACCAGAAGCAAGCTGACGTCAGTTCCCCTGTCATAAGGTGCCACTCGGTGTGGCCCAAGTCGTTTTGAAGTCACAGCAGGACCGCGACGGAAATCAACTCTCTCCTTGCTCCCTCCGGCCCTGATGTTCTTATCTGACTCGAGTAAAATCAGGTATACCTCTACGAAAGGCTGGTGGAACCTCGGGCTGCACAGACGCTCAGTTTAAAGATATACTTATCTCCAGAGTAAGGACTCGAAATTCTCTTGACATCCCTGGCCGCCTGTGTTAATCCTGTGCAGTCGCATGGTAGTAAGGGTACTGTAGTAAGGGCTTCGAGAGCTTATTAAAGGAGGGAAGGGGCTTGAAAAGGCAAGAAGGCTTCTATGGCTTAAGCTCGCTGCTCTACTTACTCTTTGGGTATGTTGAAGTCGTGGCAGCCTGCAGCTAAGTATGTGCTCATCGTCGAATCCCTTTCCTTTATACTCGCCCGATCATCATCGGCCTTGGGACTATGGGGTAAGTCATGATGTGGCCCTCCCGCCACATCTCTCGCTTTCGGTTGCTTTGTTGTCCAAATCGGGACCGGACGATATCGGAGAGCCTTGTGGAGCCGGATCACCGTCACCACCGCGCTGTTGTTGCCAACTCCTTGTTTTTGAGGCTGATGTGCTCTGAAGTACGCAGACAGTTGCTGACTCACTCTGCCTTCTTTTCCGGAACACTATTGGCCTTTACCGTACTCAACGCCCAGAATCTTCTGCTTGTCATGGATTCAAAAATGCTACGGCTCGGCCAGGACTCCTGCGATCGACTCGGATCGGGCTCTCTTCTGGATAGCATTTTCTGTTCTGCATTCATTCAAATGGAATGATGATCGTCCTGAATCAGAAAAAGGTTTTTGAATCTGTTGCGAAGATGGTCCTTCGGCACAGGCGACACAATGGAAGGCTCTCTTGAAGAAGCCGACAGTTGGCAGTGTCCTGACACGCCGTTATGGTTCGATACGCGAGGATACGCCGCGGGGGATATGATATCCGGTCTTTTGTTCGACAAACTCGAGGAGATTCGCTCGCAGATACCGAGAAGAAGAAACGTAAACGCGATCACGGATCTGTGTCTCCATCGAAACTCGTTCTGGTATAAAACGTCGTGTCCCCCACCAGCTCTCCTCTCACCAAACCGACACGGTCCAAACTACACTCGCGACCTCTCTTCACTCAGACCAGAGCGACCTTCCCGTGGCTTGCCGCTCGTGTGTATCCTCTGCCTACGCGATCAAGGGTTCCAGTCTATCATCAACAAGATATCCGCGATGCCTTCTTCCCCCACTCGCCAACGCACTCACGAAGACATGATACTGATCTTGGCCACAGCAGCAGGACGGCAAGCTGTCGAGAACTTTCTGTCTCAGCGGGATGAACCACAGGTGTGTGAGCGCTGGCCGTCACTTTGAACCTTTGTTGCTGTCGACACCATGTGGTCGGACCGTGACACTGACACTGTGGCTGTGGTTCCTCCTTTCATTCAGGTTCCACCGCCCCCTCCATCTACTCCGACCTCAGATTCCTTCCCTGTGAACGCTCTCGACACTGAAGCCTAAAATCTTGGAACTAGGGATGCTTGGGGGACCTCAGACGGTAGGAAAAGCAGGCTTAGCTTACTGGCGGTGACGGTGCTCGATATTCTCGCTGGCCGAGTGGTTGACTCCGTCACGGTGCCGTCGAACTGTGGGCCCGAATCCTCCTTCGCTCTTCCGAATCTCTGTGAACAACTTGCCTTCGACCGTCTCGTCTTGATCGCCTTAGCGTATGCCTGTGTTCTGGTCAGCATCTAGATGTCCTCTGCGCCAACCGTGTCCATCTGTCGCCATCGACACCACGGATTCCTTGTGTCATAGATTTCTTTTTCTCTTCTGAGTCCGTCGCCTAGAATACTTACTTACTTCTCATCCACATCTACATGCATACCGATACCCTTTCCATCTATGCAACTATCTCGTATCCCACCATGCACTCCATCACACTATACCACTTAACTGTTCTCAACTATTAAATATTGCGTCGAAGTCTCACATGTTTTGTCTGTATTGTATGATAGATTCGACTCATGCATTGCGAGCGGTCGAGGAATTCACACAAATATGTTCACACCAATTAGACGAAGCAACCAGAGGTCCAAAGGACCAATCACTGGGCATTGTTAACCACGAACGTATGGGCAGATATACAGAGAAAGATTTACTGAAGGCATGGGTGCGACGAGTGATAGCAGGAGAGGGAAATTGTCTGGTAATACACACACTGATCTACAAGTCCGGAAAGTGAACACGGCGATAGAGACTAAGCAAGAAGAAGGTCTGAAAAGATATGGCACCGCCAGATTCACACCCAGGGGAATAAAAATAGAACTCGACGCGAGAGAAAGAAAACAAACTCGACCCTACGCCCTACACCAAACACCCGACCGACAATGCTCAACAAAGATCGTGCACGACGTGCGCAGACCGACGCCGTAGCCTCTTCGCAGGCATCCGACGTTCCGTCTCCTCATCCTCATCTTCAAGCTCGTCCCGCCTTCGCTTGTTGATTTGATGATGTGGTGCTAGTGGCGAACCCTTGACACTCGCCAAGTGTAGCTGATGTGCGGGAGATAGCTGAGAGAACGCGTAGGACCGTCGTAGTCGGCTCTTGGGTACGGTGGTCACTGGAGGCGTGGTGTGCCTGATTATCTCTAGCATCTTCGCGTCGGTCTCCTCGGGTGACATCATCTGCACATCAGATGCGTATCTGGGTTGAGGCTGCACAGGCGCGAGGGCGATGCGATCGCGAGAGGAAACGGAGGGTGAATCATCGACATCCATGCGATCTTGGCTCTGTGGTGCGGACATCGCGGAGAGATCGGCGGTGGTAAACGAGTGTGTTAGTGGTGAGGGTGATGAACTTTGTCTGGGGCTTCGACGTGGGGTATCATGGTGGTGGAAGCTGAGATGGAGAGTGAAGCGTCAGAAGAGCCGTCACTCTTAGCAAAAAAAAAAAAGGAGACACCTACTGTAAATTGCGCAGCATCGCCTCTAAGCCCAAAGATCCTTCAGAACCGAGTCTCTGTCCTACCCCTCCAACTTTATTTGGTGACAACCCATCAATCGCATCAAGAACTGGAGCCGCGGCCCTTGCTTTCGCGAATGTTGAAGGAGTTGGACGCGGGGTGTTCAGCGATTTGAAAGTGGCTTGAATGGATGGGACGCGCTGAACACGTTTGATGGCGTTGGACGCGTCGTATGACTGCATGACACACTGAAGCACGCTTGAAGTTGGAGAGGGTGATATTATTGCTTCGTTGATCTATATCGCAGACTTTATCATGAACACTGGGCAGTGGTAAATGCCCAGGGCTTTGACCCACCAACGAAGCGCCACACAAAAACAAAGGACTGGCGTCAAAAACCACGTTGACGTCTGGAGTGGTGACGGTCTGAGAACGTTCTTTCTGTCTAATACACGACTACTGGATCGCAGAGCAGGACAAGAGGGGCTCTGAGAGTGGTATAGAGTAGGCGGGGAACTGGGACAGACGCGGTCGTGGAGACGATGATGGGTGTCAGAGGAAGAGTCAGGATGCGTCGTGGAGGTTCGATGGCGCTTGCCTTATGTGGGCTCGTGGGAATAGATTTGTCATGCGCGTCACCGAAGATCCGGATTGACTCTTGTGGTGGCGGCGTACGGCGCCTCTCTCAGCCTCTTGCACTTACCCATCACCGTCGTTTCCTACAGCTTTGAGCTCGCTGTTCGACATGAGCAACTACCCAGTCCCTCCGCCATCCTATGGCTCGACAACTCCTACCAAGCCTCATGCCCAAGAGAGTGCGGAACCCTTACTCGGCGGACAGAGATATAACGAGTCCGGACCTAGCTCTGGAGGAGCATTCTACGATCAACCTGCGGCTGGGGACCTTCCTGACGACTTCAAGGTGGGTCTATTATCGAGGATGCTCTCGACAATTATTCTCATTGAATCATCTCTGGCTAGTATGGTGTCTCTGTCACTGAGAGTTCTCCTGAGATCAGGAACGCTTTCGTGAGGAAGGTATACTCTATCCTCTGTAAGTTATTATCTTTTTCGAGAATGTTCTGAAACGGGCTGACGCTTGCGTGTACCAACAGTCTGCCAAATTGTACGTTGTTGCTGTGCTTATACTCTAGCGTCTAATCTCACCAGCTTCACACAGCTCGCTACTACGATCGTCAGCGGTGTTCTCTCCCGATCCGATGACGCTGTTACTTGGGTTCAGACGCAGTACGTTCACCATGCATGGACTGCGCAGCTCTATCCAGTGCTGATGTACCATCTTTCCAGCTCTTGGTCCTTCTACGTTCCTCTCTTCGGCACTCTGGTCGTCCTTGGCCTCCTTTACTGGAAGCGCCACAGCCACCCTCTCAACATCGGCCTCCTATCCGTTTTCACCCTCCTGGAGGCATTCACCCTTGGAATCGTCACCGCCTTCTATCCCGACACCGTCGTTCTCCAGGCCCTACTCATCACTACCGGCGTCTTCTTGGGCCTCACCCTCTTCACGCTTCAGTCCAAGGTAAGTGCAGTGTTTCTCACATACGTCTGTGCTAGGCAGCTAAACAATCGGGTGTAGTATGACTTCTCTGGCATGGGCCCATGGCTATTCGGTGGTCTCATCGCTCTAGGTAAGTCCATTTTTGCTACATGTTTCGTACGCACGCAGGAGGGATGATGCTGATTTGATCGCTCGTTGCTTGTGTCTGTTTGATGATCGTTGGACGCAGTTATGACGGGCTTTGTCGGAGTCTTCCTGCCGTTTAACAGTACGATGGACCTTATCTTCGCCATCGGCGGAACTTTACTGTTCAGTGGCTACGTTGTCTACGACACCTACATCATCAACAGCAAGCTCTCACCTGACGAGTACATCATGGGTGCTATCAGCCTTTACCTCGAGTGCGTTGATCGCGGTTTGGATTTTCCTCGCGCTTGATGTTCTGACCAAACTTACTCGTTCGCGTTTCCAGCTTTATCAACCTCTGTAAGCTTTTCTCATCGTAATTAGCACAGTCGCAGTACTGACTTCGCATTCTTAGTCCTTAATATTCTCCGTCTTCTCAATAATGTCCAGGAGCGGTAGATACAGGTTCCTGGCCATACAGCATGACCACTCGATCGTGCTCGGGCCTTGCAGGCCCACCAGATACAATTTCCTCATTTTGGTTGTTTCCATCCGCTGTTATGCGTGTTATTGTCTCGACTTTCGGAACCCTCGTGTACTAGTACAATTGTGACCAATTGGCGTTTACTTGATTCTCTTACTTAGGTCGGTTGTTAGCTTTTCAAGCTCGGAGTTATCCCTCTCATATATTGTTGGAATGACGGGTGCATGAGAAATATATTTCTCGGTTTTCTCACCATGGTGTCCTCCAGCTGAGATCGATTATCATAGTGCAAAGTCGGTGGTACTTTTGGCGAATATAAATGGGTGCGCGTTCAAGGTCGAGATCGCCCTTCATTAGTGCCATCGAGTCTCGCTCGATAAAGTAGCCAGCAATGAATATATGGATTACTGTCGAGAGACAACAAAATGTGCGTATAGGAAGAGGCCCAAGGGTCAGCCAGAAAATATGCCTTGCAATCTCAATCCTCCCGCCTGTCGTTAGATAGATCATCAACATCGTACACGACGGAAGCCGGGCCGCTGTGAGCAAGCCGTAAGTCAGTTAACTGCAACGCGTGTCCGGTGACGGGAATTGGCGTACCTTCGCTCCTGTCCCTATACATGCGAAACATGGTCAGTAAATCGATGAGTTGCGCCGTAGAGACAAGAAACATTTACATCCTCCATCCACGAAATATGAGCTTTGAGCTCCGTGAGCCCAAAGGAGAGTACGACCTCATACTCCAAACAGTAGTAGGGTGTGCCTAAACGACTCCTGCGTCGAACTTTAGGGACCCGCGAGAGGTCAGCAGAAATGGTGCACAGAGCAGAGAACTTGTCTAGAAGAAATGTTCGTATGAGATGAAGTAGGAAATTGTCAAGGTAAGTATGGTGCTAGTCACGAACTTGGCTCAATATCAGTCCACTGGACGGCTCCACTGCCCTTATAGCAGAGCACGGTGATCGCTTGGACAGATTGATCGGGGTCGTCCCGGGTTTCATATGGGCACAGGCGGCAAAGACCCTTCTCGAATTTTGTGGTTTCCGCGACTTGCGTACCCTACGAAATGAAGCACTGGTCAGGGCGGAACTTTTCTAAGAATAGGAAGGGGTGGAAAGCTACAACCTTATTGAGGATTGATAAGAAACTGTCAGGGATCATGACATGGCCAGCAAGGTTCGTATACTTCTTGAAGGCACGTTGTTCGTGGTCTCGAAGTCCTGGACGATATCTTGTGTTGGATCGAACACCGTAGGTGTATCTTGCTACCCGAGTGGAAACGAAATGATCGATATGGTAAGATACCGCACCCTCCGCGACCGCCTTGTTTCTGATGCCTCGTATGTGTGAGATTGAAAAACGAGCAAGCGAGGGTGTAAGAGAGAATGCTCACGTATGATTATCCGGACGGAAGAGATTGAGACCTTGACCTTGCAAGTGATCACGAAGCGAGCTGTAGAGATGTTCGCTTGCAGCAAAGCCCCCTACCAGAAAGAAACTCTATCGTCCGCTTGTCAGACAAAAAAGATAGCAAGCTCTTTGATGGCTCTAAGAACATACCGAGACGGCGGCCGGCGCGGCCAAGTGAGTCTGCTCGTCGACGATGCGAATGATCTCGCGTATAGATGGATCGAAAAAACCTGTGACCTCAGCCCTACACAGGAAAAGTCTGTGGACGTTGAGATGTTGTAGGTGGGTAAGTACTTACATCGAGAGCTTGAGCTGGCCGTTGCGGATCCCATTTCTAGCATCCGTGTCGCTTCTCATGCCACTGAACCGAACATATGAATCGCCTGTTCCTCTGAAGCGTTTCTTCGTCGTCTTGTCGAATTCTTCGGCAATAATATCGAGGTATGATGCGGATCCAAAACGTGAGTCCGCGAGTTTGCCTGCATAGATCGGTTGTAAGTCAAGGCCATGGAATTTTGGAATACGATGGGTACCCACGCCTAATGTAGTCTTGCGCGCGATTGCGCACCATGACCGAACCTTGATAAATACCTACGAAAGAGATAAGCGTCGAATCGCACGAAAAACATCACAGGGGCTCACACTCTGGAGCCGCAATCTCCCTCACAGACATTGGCGCTACTTCGTTGATGGTATACGTGCTGACATCCACTGTTCCGCCTCCCGCATCAACGACCATAACACTTTCCCCGCTCTATCACAGATGGTCTGTCAGTATCTGCACAAGGGAACGGACTGCGGGAGTTCGTACCCTGATCGCCTCCATAACAAGCCCACTGCTGATACAGTAGTGGAGGCTAGCTTCTCCTTCAGTGACAAAATGAATGCGTTCTCGACCCTCTCTCGTGTCCGGAACGAGGCCTCCCTTCACAGCCGCCTCTCGTAAAGAACTTTGTTGACGTCCCTCCCAGCCGTTCGGGTGGGTAAGAATGAAATTGATATCGTCGGCAACGGACTCCCAGAGGATAGTATGGGTTTCTTGAATAAAAATACGGGCGTGTTCGAACAAGTATCGATAGAAGTCAGCATAGACGTCCACGACGTTGGTCCTACCCTGCGGCAGTGTTATCCTCGGTATACCGTCTTGACCCTGAAGGTTCTGGCGTCCTAGAAGTAGTTTGAACCTGCGGCGAAACGTGACGATTATGAGCAAGTCGGATACCAGGGAACAAGGAAAATCCCAAACGAAGGTTATGCCTTACCATTCGACCTTGATGGCATTGCTGACGGGAAGCCAATCGTCTTCTGAACCCGAGTCCTCGCCCTCTTCCTCGTGTTGCGGAGGTTCCTCCGCGCCAGTCGCCAGGATGTTACCGAGGCGATCATACCAGATGACGGTCTGTACCTTTGAATCGCCAGCCTCTTGGCCAGGATATCTATATCATAGCATGTAGGGCTGAGAATAAGCGAGACTACGAGGAAAGAATCTACCTGTTCACTGTCTTGATTTCGGGCGCCTTACCGGGATCGAGGATGGCATAAGATATTCCGGAGTATGTAGTCCCCAAATCAATGGCGAGGACGAGTTTTCGTTTGAGGCCGTGATAGGGGGGGCGATTGGAGGCCATTGAACAGGCGAGGGGATAGGAGGGTGTATGGGTGTACAACGGAGGTCAGGCCTTTTAACCTCAAGCGCCACAGAAAAGCGAAGCAACGACGGTGACATGCTCCAACACGCACGATCACCGATCGTGCAGTCTTTCACCCTTTGAAAATAAATGTGGCGTCGAAGGGTTGTCAAAGGGCTTTGAAGATTCACATCCATGAGGCGGACATGACATGCTTACGCAACTTGCTCTTGGGTGACCCTTCGAGACGCTTCCAGTGCATCCAGCTAGCTTGTCTCTGACAACAAGCATGTCCACTGTTGGAGCTCTGTACAACGCCTTCACCTCTCTATTCAACGATACCGCTCAATCCAATTACATGTCATCGGCAGAACACAACAGGCTTCGAGACGAAGGCCAAGAACATCCCGCAAGAGCGAGCAACGTCGCTATAGTACGGCAGCCGCATAGGCAGACCGACCAAGGATATTCGAGCCGGCAACGAGATGTTCGGCAGGGATCCTACAGGACGGGAGATAATAGAGGTTATTTGGAGCAGAAGGTGCGCAGGTTAGAGGAAGCCATTTCAGCGGAAAGAGGCATGAGAGAGCAGGAGGTAGCCATGCGAGCGACTCTTGAACGGCGCATCGAGCAGTTAGAGGCATTGCTGTCCACCCGGACAAACGAACTCGATGCAGCACAAGCTTTCGTATCCACCTCCGACGCATGCACGGACGCTCAAGTGATGGCCATCGTTCACAATATCAACTACGAGGTTGCGCAGGCGGCCACGTTCCTCTCTGAATCGTACGAGAATCACCCTCGCCTGCCAACCGAGAGCGAACTCGAGTCCGGGATAAAAGTATTAGGTAGAGAAGGTGTGGGGTATCTGCGAAAACAGGCGGGTTCAACAGATGAGATGCTCGCGCTGCAGATAATGTTGCAAGGAAATATGACGGATGTCGTCTTTTGGATATCGTCGCAATGGCATGTCCCAATCAGGCGGAGAAATAGAACGGGAGAGCGTGTATTGCGAGGGATTCATCAACGCCTACAAAACTCTGGTGAGCTAGAGTGTCCCAATTTCAACCAACGAGAGGCTTACGAGTCCTCCTCAGTGGCCGAATCTGTAGCGAACAATTGGCGCGCTCTCACAAAACGTTGTTTCCAGTCCTTCTCCGACAGCGACCGCGATGCGAAAGAAACGATGGAAGACGAATTAGCTACCATAATCACCGTTGCGGGCGTAGAGCCAGATCGTTCTGCAGCTCTGGTGGCCATCCGGCAGTGCCTCGAGGACCGTATTTCCGAAATCATTCGCTTAGCCTTGAGCCTCAATAAATCCATCGGACAAGACGTTGTCTCGCATAATCTGAACGCCGTCGCCGTCGAGCGAGGCGTAGACTTCGATATGGACAGGATGATAGATGGATGGACCGGCAACGAGAACCCAACGCGACAGCGAGCTCGAGTAATGTGCACCACAGCGCTCGGTCTGGAGATCCGAGGCCGCGGAGAGTCGTGCAAGCAGACGCTTCTGCAGCCAGCGGTAGCGCTCACCGCTCTGCTTGCACCTTCGGGCAACGAACGTGGTTCGCGTTAGGGGCGCACAATAACCTCCCCGTTTTTCAGAGCCGGTAAGGCTTGCACTCCGTCATATTGACCTCTCCGCTCACGCGTACGCCTTCACTGCAGGGTTTCAAATGTGAAAGCAGGAGTACGGAGCACGGAACTTCTTACTATAATTGGAGGAAATTTTGACCGTGTAGTTGTAAAAGACGTTGAAAGGTTTGTTGTTAGTCTGTATATCGACGATCGGGATTTGGTCAGTAAAATCGGTTGAGACGCACTTCTGTGGGGGTGCATCACTCGCCTGCAGCAAAACGAGGTCTGAGAAGCACGATCAGGCTGCAAGTTGATGTACAATATTCCCATCGATCATGATAGAGGCGTCGAGGAGGAGTTAATCTCAATGGCGGCGCAAAGACGAAGGTCGACTCACCTCAATCGACCTCCTTCACCGTGTGCTTGCATTCCACATCTCCGTGTCTCGAGTGCTAAGGTGTTGACATTTGTCTTGAGCACACAAACACACACGATGCGCAAACTTCTAGGTCGCCTTCGTTATCCACTTTCTTCACCCGCCCGTAATCGGGGCATGACGCCTTGCAAATCGCATATTCACGTCTGCAACCAGAACACATGTTGACCTTGAGGACCAGATCAACGCGTCGTCAGGGGGCGATGCTCAGAGAAAGGATCCAGAACTCAGACCAACCTTTGAGAAAATGGAAGCACTGAAAAGGAGATTGAAGCAGCAAGAGGGTATGATACAGCGCATGAAGGTTAAAGACGATTGGATGAGGAATACGAACTGTAGACCAAGTTGACAATCAGCGCGGTGATTCACCACGAACAGATCAGCGCCCAAATCAAGGCGCAATGTTACGCCATTTCGAGGGAATACAACCAGACGAAATCGCTGTTGGACACGAGGACTAGCGGAGACGTTTTTGACGAGATATTACACGTCGATAAATAATTAAATTGTAGAGAAGCTGTAGGGTTAAACTACGATGAGCCTAGTAGACGGTGATCTGGGAGAGCTGCGGCCGTTGGGTGTTGGGGAGGAAGCAAAGCAGTCACGTACTGTGGAATGAGGGTAGAGAGCAAGCCGTCGGAGGTCAGAGAGACGACATCAACGATGACCTCGAAGTAACCCGCGAGGAAGAGATCCGTCCAGTTTGTGAGGTCGTGGATCGGAACGACCGCTGCCGAGTCCTTGCAACACACTCGCCACATCGAATACTTCTCCTAGAGATCATCCTATGACCCTGCTCGAACCAATCTGCAGCATACATCATCGTCAAATAGCACTTTGGGAGGGATCATGCGAGCACTGAGTCGTTAGTAGTTAGAGAGAGAGAATGTTTCGCTTGCTACAGGAGGCTGGTGAGTCGCTTGATTTATTATTTTACGTCTCTGTTCACTCACAGACATTCTTTCCAGAGCCGGTGGTGGTATCTGGTAAATGGTTTCCATGATACGGATCGCGATGAAATATTTGATTGATTCGACCGGGCGGCACGATCATGAAGTTGTGGCACTTGTTTGTATGAAAACGCTGCATAAGAAGCACAGGCATGCATCAACCCACCGTTCCCATCGATCATGTCAGAGGATACTCGAGGAGACCACAATGTCAATGAGTAATAACGGTGGCGCGAGAAGGTCAAAAGAAGTACCTCAACATCGACGACTGTACCCTCTGTAGCGTCTTCAAGCGCTCTCGCCCTTACCCTCGCCCTGCTCCCATCTATATCTCAGCTTGAAGTGCTATGGATTTGAGCAGGCAAGTACTCACAGTGTTCGCAATGGTCGCTGGCTTCATCTTCCGCCTCCTGCATCTGACCCCGACCGTAACACGAGGCCAAGAAACACGCGCATGCCCGTCTTGCACGAGGATTCGCATCGAGCTAGAGGCCAAACTAAACGCAGCAGAAAGAGACTCTCGGAGGAAGGAGCAAGAGCTCAGGGATGCTCTGGAGGCAAGGAAAGGGTTGGAGAAGGAGTTGGCGCGGCGGGACGTGGTGATGCAGCAGACGAAGTCGGAATGCGATACGAGGAGAGTCACGATCGCGGGATTGGAGACCAGGTTACGGAACAGCGGCAGCGATCTCGCCGCTACTCGACGGGACCTTCAGAATGCCAACGCTACCGTGAGCCATCATGCACAGACCATTTCCCAATTACAGACGCAATGCCAAGTCCTTTCAAAAGAGCACGACCAAACGAAATCGCTGTTGGACACGAGGACAAGGGAGCTCACAGTCGCGGAGAAGTTCTTGACGAAGCACGATACGTCGACGAACAAAGAGATAGTGGAGAAGATGGAAGGGTTGAACTACGATGTCGCTCAGATAGCTATGAGCCTCGTAGACCATATGTTGGGGGAGACGCGGTCGCCAGAGGTCGAGGGGGTTGCAGATAGCGACGACGAAATTGTTGAGGCCATCCAACTTGCGAGGTCGTGGTTCGGAACGACCGCTACCGAGGCCTTGCAACGCACTCGCCACGCTGACGACTCCCTTCTCCTTGAAATTTTCGTCCAGTCCTGTTTGATTCAGTTCGCAGCAGCAGCCGTCGTGCAGTGGCACTTTGGGAGAGATTATGCGAGTGCTGAGTCGTTGGGGAGGATCTTTCACTCTCTGAAGGATGCTGGTGAGTCGCACGACAGATGATACCCGTCATCTCGAGGTAGCTTACTTACCGACAATTTTTCTCCAGAGCCCGCCGCGGTATCTGGGCAATGGAAGATCCTTACGCGACGCCACGCTCGACTCGCTTTTGAATACGACGTTGACCCGCCGGTCGCACTCGTTTCAAGGGCACTCGACATCCTTGCGACCGTTCTCCTTGTGGCAGGGCTTGGACGATCTCGAATGTCTATGATGAAGGCAACATCGGAGTGCGTTGGAGATAGAGTACAGCAGTTCGTCCAAGTTTGTCTCCAACTCAACGACGCTGTGGGAGACGGCACGGTTTCAGCGGTGATGTCGCCGATATGGGTCGCGGCCGAAGAAAAGTGGGATGGACAGAGGATGGAGGTGGTTAATAGCGGTCAAGATGATTCTGAGAGACCAGTCGGGGAATACGGCGAGGAATTCGTCCTGTGTACGACTGGCCTAGGTCTGTTGAGGGAGGAGCGTAAGGAGGATGGGAAGAAAAAGGAACGCATATTGATGAAAGCGAAGGTGGCAATGTGGAGCGTGTTGGACCCATTTTCGGCGGCATAGGTTGTTGTCCGGTCTGTAGAGTCAGAGTAATCAGAGCTTTGAGCTGCAGAGAATATAATTGAAGGTGGGACGAGCTAACAGTAAGAGGCAGGAGGTTGGACTTAGGTTGGACTCCGTTCAAGAGTCTCGCCACTGAGACAGCATTCTGGGCCACACTGAGCACCTCGAACAATAGTGGGTCGTGAGGGTGACACTTTTGCTAGGAACAGCGAGTAGACTGCCTCCTTCTAGTGAATAAAGCAGCACGTAAAGCAATACCAGAGGCTGGATAGCCTCAGTTTAGATTGCGAAAAAGCGGACAGCGATGCTTATGTCAAGGGCCGTGTCGTCAAATTGCACAATATCTTATAAACTTCCTGTGAGGATTTCGCGCTTGCAAAACACCGAAAAATGCTTGCTCGAGCCAGAGACTCCGACCTAAATTTGGATAGATAGACAAGCTCCAAGATATCATAATGCAAGCTATCAAGATGGTGAACCCCAGCCCTAGTCGTCGTCATCATCCGAGTCGTTCCCCTCATCCCCTCCATGTATCTCTTCCTCCTAATCGCTCTCGAAGAGGTTCAACTCTCCGTCATCGTCGTCGTCATCGGCCTCCTCACGATCACCGGGATAGAGTCCACTGGGAGTATTTTTACCGCGATCCTCCAAGAGTTGGAATATGGCAGGGAGCTTGGTATTGAGGAGATATGGCTCTCTACCGACCCAGCGAACGAAAGCTTCCATCTCATCCTCGACTGTCGTCCTGACCGCGCGCTTGGAGATACTGGTCATCAGGAACTCAAACCTATAATCTCGAGGGCAGGTGTCAGGCCTCTCATTTGCACGATGGAAAGCCCAGAGCATTTCGCGAACTCTGGAATTTTTTGAGAGGTAATTAGTACGGTGAAGTATGAGCGAAGCGCATCTTGGCACTCACTCATCAATACGGCGGTCAAGCATCTGCCAGTTGAGAACCATATCCAGCGTCCAACGAGTAAGGTCCGCATCGTTCACATCGGTGTCTGCACCAGTGACCTCGACTTTGAGAGGAGGTGCATGTAAGGGTTGATCATGCTCCGTCAGGCCTTTGAGTATTATGTCGTTGGCGAATTGAGAAAACTCCTCAGGAACCCACAGCGGGATGATGATGTCCTTTTCCGCGGACAAAGCTTGTTCGATGTTCTCAGCGTACGTGATACGAGCAGCCTTCAAAGATGATTCGCACACAGACTTGACAGGTTCGTTCTCTTTCTCGTTGAATCTATCGAGAGCGTTCTTGAAACCATCAATGGCAAATGAATTATCCCATGGATACCTGTGACGACGTTCAGTGCTGTTGACGGAGTTTTAAGAGGGCGAAACATGGACAGACGAGGGAGAATCGTCATACGCGACGTTTTGAAGGCCTTCGCCATAGCTGTTCGGAGACTGTGCGTTAGGAAAGTTTATAACGAATTGATAGCAAGTGCTCTCACGTATCACTCGCAAACAAGTCCTGGAATATCCTGCAATTGAAAGTTAGAGATGATGAAATATATGAAAACATCTGAAGTACGCACTCGATCTTCCCCGCCACCTCCTGCTCCCAAAGTGCCACATGCCGCATCAACAATTCGAAACCTGTCAAACAGCTCCGTCCCAATGGCTCTGCTGAGACCTGGCAGTAACTCTCCAGCATAGCGTGAGACAAGACAGGCTTGTCGCTCTGGACGACAGGGTACGGGCGAGGCCAGTGGAACGGCGAGTTCTTTTCGCGAAGGCGGCCGTAGTCGTTGACGACTTTTTGAGTCCATTGACGAGAGCGTTCAGCGATGACGGGCAGGGCCAACCCATCAGGAAGAACTTCTCCACGAGCGATTTTGTCGAGTTGTTCGCGGGCGTTGTAAGTCGAGAGAGAAGCCATATAGGAGGGAAGGATGCGTAGTCCAAATCCTTTGTCTGCGTATTTGAATACTCTGAAGTGATGGATGAACTGTACGTTAGATCAAGAAGTTACAATCTTGAAATCGCTGAAGACATACCTCTTATCACGGCTGGCCTTGCGTTCACCCAAGTAGTGACCGTTGATGAGGTCCATCGTGAAGATGTTAGTCCCAGCTACCGCCATAAATCAGCACACCGAATAGCAGGTCACTTGTGCAAGGATACATACTCTCTAACGCACGCACACAGCGCGGCAGCAACCACGCCTCTTTGCCATCGTAACCAGCAGCACAAATATCCAAATCAAAGTTCAACAACACCTCCCTCGGCGACCCAATCAGCTTCAGCACAATCTGCACGCGACGACGAGGCCACTCCGAATACAACGTAATCGTCTGAGAGTTGCGCACAACGAGGAAGGGTGCGCCCTTGGGAGGGTGCGCCCTTGGGAGGGTGCGCCCTTGGGAGGGTGCGCCCTTGGGAAGGTTCGCCTTATACGTCTCGGCGATGTGCTTGATTTTGGCGTTGGCGTCCTCGGGACTGAGACCATATATGTAGAGGTCGATGTCAGAAGATTTCCATTCGTCGGATTTGTTGACAAGCTTGTAGTCAGGGTGAGAAGAGGGGACTTCGGGAGTGAGGAGTGCGCCTAAGACTAGTCCGCCGGCGACGAAGACGTTTTCCCAATTCAGACCAGAGAGCAGAGACTCGGTCATGGCGTCCCATCGCGATTTAAACGCGTCGATGGAGGGTTGAAGAAATACGGCGGAAGCGCGCTTGTTGTCTAGTATGGAGTAGCCGGGCGGAGACGAAGAGAGGACACGAGGAATCTTGAGGGCGCATGGCGGAGAGGTCTTTTTAGGTGCGGTGATCGGGAAAGCCCCAGGGATGACAGTAGGTAAGTCTTTGATGGAAGTCAGCCCGAATGTCCATGATTTTGTAGGGGTTCCGACACTGGCTTTTCGACTTAGGAGACGAAGATACATCTCGTTCCGCAGAATCCTATGATAGCTACTCAGCACACGATGTTGACTGAAATGCGATAGAAAAAATACGTACCATTCATCAACGTCAGGAACCACTCTCTCATCGTTCTCACTTCTCGACTTCTTCTGTGGCCTTTTCTGATCCTCCTTCACGCCAGCCAACCCAGCACATCTCACAACATACGGCAACGTCTCCCAGGACCAGATATCCTTCGTCTGCGGCATGGTCATAGACGCGGCCTTCATAGTCTCCGATATGATCTCAATATCCTTCGAAGGGTTGTCTCCGAGTTCGCCAGAGAACTTGAGAGCATCGAGATTGACTCCGAATGGAGCACCAAGGCCAGCGTCCGCGGCCCGAACTTCATTCAAGGTCTTCTCCCAGGACTGCAGTTGAAACTCGACGGCAGCTTTCGCGAGAGCAACTTCGCCATCCTGAGTTTTGCTAAGGATAATCTTTCGAAGTCCTTCTGGGGCGGCAGTGCTCACGACAGGACGGAGGCGGCCTGCTCTGCTGAATTGGTACTCTATGAATATGTTGTGAGCAATGATGTGTCTGTGCGCGACTCAAAGTACGATGACAGGTTCAGCCGAAGGAACGTACCCCCCGAACTATTCTTTTCTCTGCACTCCTGCATTATTTTGTTGGAATATTATACGGGGGTTAGACCAGTCTATTATGATTATTGGAAGTCTGATGGCAGAGACGCAGCTTTGTCAGTTGAAGCCTGATGATCGACGCGAACAGTACCTACCTACACTGAGCAAGATAAGAAAAAATAGAAAGCAACAGAGACGTGAAAAGTGATAGGCTGTGAGGGTAGGGCTTTTAGTCTGGGGTGAATGGATAATGGGAGGTGGGAGGAGGTGGGTGAAGGGAAAGAAGCGACGCGGTAGAGGTCACCGCGCCTTTTGAAGCGAACCGTGACGCGGCGAACTCAGTAGAAACAACGTAATGTCACCGTGACCTGTCGCGTTGGTGACGTGGCTTCCTGCAATGGTCCGTGCGCCCTCCATGCCGCAGCCCGTCCGCAGGTGTCCTCAGGAGTGCTCGTAAGATAGGCCTCATCCAGATTCGACGGCATCACGTGACAGACCTTGAAATACCTGCTTTTCGCGGTTTTTGGCCGTTCTGCGGTCCACGGTCAATTATTTCGCAAATCTACGACCGCAGTCCTTTTATGAATGCATTTGGTATCCCACTTAAATTAATATCTCATAACAACATTGAGGCACAACAGATCCTTAGGCTTTTTTCTTCGAGGACTCCGTGTGGCACCTGTGTGGCCCAACATCCTGAGTTTTCACCGTTCAAAATGCTAAGGCTCAATTGGTTATGCAATAAAGGGCGCGCCTATGGTAAAGCTACTTTCTTTGAACTGTATTCGACAATTTTGCGGTTGTAGATTCCCCGTAAGTGTCCACCTCCTGCAACAATCAATATTTTACATTGATTTTAGAGGTCGACACAAGCTGTGGCGGCGCAGTCACGTGATGTCGTCGAATCTGGATGAGGCCTATCTTAATTGCTGCGATTGTCCGCAAATTCTTCATCGTTGTCCACCGTGGCGTTCGGAGGAACCAAGTTAACGCGATGAAAGGTGACAATATGTGGTCTGACTGGTTTTGCATGGCAAGATGGCCGAGCGGTCCAAGGCGTGTGACTCAAGCGAAAGCTTGCCTGACAAAATCGGGTTTCTCATCTTCGTATGAAGGCGCGAGTTCGAATCTCGCTCTTGTCATAGTTTTGTTCTGTCTCTTATCGCAAGCACCTGGGTTGCTTTTTGCTCTTAGCAGGATCCACCCGTGTAGAGTAGCCATGGTATGAATAGTAGTGCAAACTAGAATGCGACTGTCAGAGGCTGGGAACTGAAAGTACAGTATTACTGATTGTGGCGAGCGATGTAGCACAAGTGTGGCGTGAACCAATCCCAAATGTATTTTCAGCATCGCAAGGCTGCAAGCTTAACTTCGTCCCACTCACTTCAAAAGTCTCCACTCTAGCCATGGACGACGATTTAGTACTCAACCTCTCAGTCGAGGACAACTTCTCCGGTAAAGCTACTGGAAACGGGAAGAAGGGTGGTAGATGGACAGACAGGTTCGTTCACGGTTCTATCTTTACTAGTAGACTGCATATTCATACGCACTTAGATTGAAGGCCAAGAGGGTCTCGAAACGAAAGACAAGAGTCGGAGAAAATTCTACTATTGACCGTTCACCTCAGGATGACCGTCCCGTCAAGCGACCACGGAAGGAACAGTCGCAATCACACAAACCTGCTCCCAAACCGTCTACTACGACTTCCTCCAACGACCAGCCTTCAAAATCTCGAGCACCCACGCAAATCATCTCCTCTCTCTTCTCATCCAACCCCAAAATCGAGCATGTGTCTGCTCCTGCCTCTTCATTCAAGGCAAATGCTAAACCGAGCAATGCACCTTTGAACGATTCTTCTTCCTTCGCCGGCTTAGGCCTCGATCCTCTCATCATCTCTCACCTTTCAGAAAAAATGAGCATACAAAAGCCCACATCTATACAGCGCTCAGCCCTTCCTGCTCTCCTCGCCACTCCGACGGATCCTTCATCTTCTCGCGACGTCTTCATCCAATCCCAAACCGGTTCCGGAAAAACATTATCCTTCCTCCTTCCCATTATCCAAGATCTTCTACCCTTAAGCTCTCTTTCCTATATCGACCGTTCCGTAGGCACACTAGCCATCATCATTGCTCCTACACGTGAACTTGCCAAGCAGATTTCCGACGTGCTCGAACGTCTTCTCACTCTTCGTCTTCGCTCCAAAGAGGACTCCGATGGCACCTCGACGGACCGTCTTACTCGGTGGCTTGTCTCAGGCTTACTCACAGGAGGTGCAACACGTACGCACGAGAAAGCCCGGCTACGGAAGGGTATCCCTATACTTGTCGCCACACCTGGCCGTCTGCTCGATCATCTGCAGAACACTACGTCTCTTGACGTAGGCAAATGCCGCTGGCTCGTGCTCGACGAAGCGGATAGGTTGATGGAGCTTGGGTTCGAGGAGACTATCAAGGGGATTGTTCAGGGTCTGGAGGGTAGGAGGAAGTTGGCTGTCCAGGCGTACAAGGAAGGGCAGAATGTTGAGAGCGTGGGATGGGATTGGGAGACGCGGAGGAGAACAGTCCTTTGTTCGGCGACGATGAAGGAAGACGTGCAGAAGTTGGCGGGAATGACGCTAGAGAATCCGCTCATGGTCAAAGCGACGGAAAACGACATTCCTTTCCCTACTACTGTTGGAGTTGGAGACGGCGAGAAGGGTATGTCTCTGGCGTCGAGCGAGAAGTTCACGCCGCCGAGTCAGTTGGCGCAGAAGTACGTGGTGGTGCCGTTGAAGCTGAGATTGGTCACACTCGTCGCACTCCTTCGCTCCCTACTCTCCCAGAACTCGGCCAACAGGAGAGGATCAAAGATCATCGTTTTTCTCAGCTGTACGGATTCCGTCGACTTTCATTGGCGGTTATTGTCCAGCTCGACCATGGAAGATGAGGAGGCTGCTAATTCCTCAGACGATGACTCTGATGAAGAGGAAAACGCTGACAGTGACGAGTCTACTCCTAACACGAAACCATCGAAACGACCTTCGTCATCTATCGGCGAGAAGATCGAAGGCAAATCACCACTCCTACCCGAGGCTTCGATCTTTCGATTACACGGCTCCCTTCCCCTCGCCACTCGACTGGCCTCGCTGAAGGGCTTCTCGGCACTCCCGTCATCGTCCCCCAACTCCCCCGCAGCTTCAATTCTTCTCTGTACATCCGTCGCCTCTCGCGGTCTTGATCTCCCTCTGGTACGTGCAGTAGTGCAGTACGACCTTCCAACAGAAGGTGGAGCTACGGAATACGTACATAGGGTAGGAAGGACAGCCAGAGCGGGCAAAGGAGGTGAGGCGTGGAGTATTGTGGCGCCAAGCGAGGCGGAGTGGGTGAAGTGGGTTGAGAACCGGATGCAGGGCTCGACAGAGCCAGGTGCTACGGACGAGAAGGAGAAGGGTGCCGCGAGAATAGATGGGGTGAAGATGGAAGAGGTGTTGAAGAATGGGTTTGGTGGGAAGGGGGCAGAGTGTGAGGAGAGAGCGACAGAAGTGCAGTTGTCGTTCGAGAGGTGGATATTGCGCAACAAAGATGTGGGTCTGGTCTTTGCTCTCTATTCTATCTCACATCTTGCTGAACCTCGCTTTTGTGACACGTAGAACACAACACTGGCACGCAAGGCATTCCAATCCCACATGCGAGCCTACGCCACACACCCCTCAGACGAGAAACATATCTTCCATATTCGACACCTCCACCTCGGACACTTGGCCAAATCATTTGGTCTGCGTGAAGCTCCTAGCTCCGTCTCTGCGTCTTCGCATAAAGGCAAAGGATCTGCATTCTCAGCAAAGAGGAGCGCAAAGGCGCCTGGTCCAAAAGCTGGAAAACCTCAGGCTCACAGGAAGACTCACGTTGATCGGGATGAGGATCGTGATGCAGATGCGGAGAGAAGGATGAGGGAGGCAGTGAGGGCTCAGGGAAAGACAGTGAAGAAGGGAGGTGTGATGGCGAGGTCACAGACAGACGAGTTTCAGGTTGCTTCTGGGGATGCACTGGAGAGGTTGGTCAACCGTATGTGAGGGTTTTGGGCAAATTATTCTTTCATTGAACTGTATATCACGAACTCGTTCCCGGTCATTATTAATGTCTATGACATACTCACAATTGTCTGAAAAGAGAAAGTGCTTTCTACGTTTTTGTCATGAACAAGAATAAACATTTACGCCACATCTGAGTTTCGCCGCCGGAACGATAGCACGTGCCTCGGAAGTCCGAACAACAGTCGGATGCTGCTCCTCCGCTACAAGTTGGCTGTAATCATCACCACTCTCGCCTCTACCTACCCATTCAGACCTTCTGTATCTCCTTCCTCGTATCTTCAACACTCTTCAGCTTTATAATGCCCGATAATATTTGGTCGGCATCTTCAATGGCATACACATACGCAGAATCGTATAATCCAAATCTGACATGTTGCATATGCCGGTGAGTTGATGGTGTCACCTTCGGCTGCTGGATGCAATGGCTCATCTCATAAATAGCATGCCATTTTTTGAGCCAGTTACTACTAGGACATGCTCACATACCTTCTGTCGCGATTGCATTCTCCATGCTATGGAGGCTTCGGCGCACTGCCCAATAGATCGCTCGCCGTTAGTGTTGGAGGACCTGCTACCCGCGAGCCCTGTGGTCAGACATGTGCGTCCATTGTAACGGATAATTGAGACGTTCACGAACTTAAATACACAACAGCTGGTCGAGGAATTAATAGTCGAGTGCCCACGTCGGTCCTCAGGATGCACCTATACATGCCAGAGACAGCTCCTTGCATCTCACGTCGACCAATCCTGCCAATACGTCATCATCCCATGCAGGGATCCGAGCTGTACCCTTACCCTCTTGAAAAAGGACGCGGAGAGGTACGCCGATATCTGCCCTCATCGTTTGGTTAAATGCGAAGGATGCTCCTTGGAAGTGATGACGGTCGATCTCGAGGTGCGCATGCTGCTATTCATCTTCAAAACCATCACCTGGTCTGTTCTTATAAAGGATATATTCTGCATCACAGGCACATCAATTGGTTTGCACGGCAACGACGAGCACAGTCTGTCAATTCTGTGACCAAGAAGTCTCGTCAGCGAGTTTGACCACTCACGGCGCGACCTGTCCAGACATCATCATCCCGTGTACTCATTTCTCCAACGGATGCACATGGACTGGTCCACGCCGTAATCTTTCAGACTCACATATATCCGTATGCCCATACGAAGCAATCAAGGGCTTCTTCAGTATCGCTGAAGCTCGAACCGTGAAGCTTGTCGAGGAGAACGAGTCATTGCGACAGAAATTAATGGCGATGGAGGGCATGACCCAGATCATGAGGAGGGAGCTAGATGCTGTCAAGACGACACTAAGTCCTTGGTACAAACCGGAAAGAGCCTACGAGCGTCCCATCGTCTCTCAAAGGCCAAGCTACTCACAATCAGGCCATGACCTCAGGGAGAACACGCCACCCATGTCTGCTCCTTCAGGTGGGGACCAGTCTGTTCCACCATCGCAAGGCTTTTCAGACGTCCCTTCGTCCCTTAACCGCCCGCCGTACAGCGATGTGGATCTCGCCTCTTACTTCCCGCCAGCTCTCGCAGAATCGCCGTCTTCGCAGCAAGCATACGAATCAAGACAGAACTTTCAACCGCCGCCATCACTCGATGCATACGCCAGTCGCAGCCCTCCTGCGTCGTCCTCTCATGGCAACGCCTTTGATTCCACGTCTTCGATGCCTATTGCGCCCCTAAACCTCAGTACGACCCTCCCGGGTACTCTTTCCAGCATGCACTCCTCGCTTGAGACTCTGGCGTCCTCTCATGATACCCTTCGCCATCTCACGGAACTCGCTATCTCCTCCGAAGCTGCGCGCACATCGGAAGAACTCGGTGCTCTTCGCGCCGTGGTCAATGGTTTGCGAATGCATGTCCACGCGATGATGATGGACAGAAACACGAACGCCATGTACACTGCAGCATCTCCATCCTCCTTGGGCGGTTTCCTGTCGGAAGAAGAACGAAATCGGTCGGCAGGCTGGGCGTTACCTCCGAGGTTTTACCCCCTCCCGCACCCTCTCCCTTCCCCTGGATCTGGACCCTCACATCCTTCTCACTCATCGTCCTCGACCTCCATTACGAAACTATAGTCGGAGCATGTCACAGCGACAACAACAACGACCGCGCACACGCACATGCAAGCACACGAGCGTTCTCATCGCAGACGTGCATCACATTGCTTTTCGGCCGTCCGTCTTCACACCGCAGCTCTTTTCTCGCCGGCTCCCTTGCTCAAGAATTCCGCACGGTGCATCTAACGGTATCATTCGATTTCTACCCTCATGCATCGCATTTCCCTTCATCCAACGTAATGTGGAGTCGCGTTTTTTATCTCGCTGTGCTGCATGGTTAATTATGTCCATAACTATGTGCACCCTCCGGCTAGGGCTTTGTATTACCATTGCCTAGCTCTGCCCGTACCCTCGATTGAGAGCCTGCCCCTCCACCACGAAGTTGCCCGCTTTCTACGCGAACCAAATACGAATGATGTGACCCTACCGCCTGGTAGTCGGTCCATCAGCGTGGACGCGCCGGGTGCAGATTGGGTGTTGGACGTTGATACGACGGATCTTCTAACTAGTAACCGGAGATCTGCTCCAGATCCAAGCACTGTTTTCTTCTGCGCTAGAGCTTGAGCGACTCGGCCGACGAGGCACCTGGCAGGGTGTCCGCATCTCGGTCCCGCTCTGTTGTGCTTTTCTTTTGCATATGTTTACTGCTTCTGCGGATTGGCTGGGAGATCTGGTCCTTCACACATCTCGCAAGACTGTGCTGAACGTTCTGTACTGCCGGAACCCTCCAACCATTTCCAGCGTTCTGGACTCGCCCTCATCGAAGCAGTCGGGTTCAGATCTCAGAGCGTGACCAAGTGGACGTGTCTTCGGGATTATTTAGTCCGGCTAGCCAAGAATGTAACACTTTTAGACTCTCCCGTGATGTCGACGTCGTTCGAATCTCCTCACGCTGGCCTTTCCCATCAAACTAAAGATAACACTAACTTCTCAGGGTTGGTGGTATTTCCAAGACTCGACGACGGGATCTCAGGCCAACTTGGAGGTGCACCAGTTGACTCCGGGGATTGCTGCAGCTAGGCACCTCCTTTGAAAGCCCCGGTCTCGTCAATCCTTCGCGATTTTTCGCCGCTCGTAGTTTGCAATGATACGAGAAGTACACGGTCGGAAGCGCTGAGAGTTCAGCTGTGTTTCGCCGTCTGACCCGATTTTCGAGGGTGGGCGAGTGGGCCTCGGGGGCATTCGTCCATACGTCTATTCCTTTCTGTGTCCATCCTTCTAGGTATCGACTACGTCAGCGATGTGAGCTCACCAAAGTCAGATGCTCGAACGGTCTCGGGCCTCAGACTTCTTACCTCTTCATATCCGGCGGCGACAGTAAGTCGACCAACTTGAATGAGCGCAAGTGTGCTGTGCAGTGCATCTTCCTCTTCTCCCACTCCTTTCTGCATGCTCTATACCGTCCGCTGCTCTATCTTGAGCGCATGATGAAATGCCTAGAGCTTGTCCGATGTCAGCTGCGTCTCGAGACAAGGCGCAGACCAAGAGCGGTTCTCACAGTTCCCCATCCTCGCCGCAATTCGGCTTTCCTCTTTCCTTGTTCCACCACGCCGGACCGCGCGGGCCGCCCATCTTGGGTGTGGGTGTGGCCCACGCTCGATTCGTGCGGGGCTTGTCATCGTCAACAGCTCCCTAGCCCACGCAAGGTTGTCCTTGAGTCCATAATCGTCATAGAACGGAACGAGCAAGATGTGTTCTGCCAGACTTTTCTCGCTGTTTTTCTGCAGGTGAAAGGCAACTTGTTGCCCACACGTCATGAAGTCTGCGAGTTCGCCGTTCCATCCTGCATCCGTCGACAGTTCCGTGTCATTCGTTTTCTGGAACAAGCTCAGAGTAGCGCCTACATCCCCTTCCTCCCGATGCAGCATCATCCGGAGTCCGTTTACCCGCCTAGCTCTTTAGCAGCCTGAGGTCGTCCGAGCTTATAGCTTATAGCCTCAGTAACGGGAATCATCCTCCTCTTACGGTTATCCAGCACGCTGGCAGACACCGCATACACTAGCATATCGTCGGTGGTGGTGGTGGTGGTGGTGGTGGGCGTGAATAGAGATATGCACGTATCGTCGATCACACAGCATAGCGCACCATTGGCTGCTTACTGTACTCCGCCGAGCTAGCAGGAGCGATCAATAAGAGAAAAACTCAAGCTCTTAGTTCACGGCTTCTTCTTCGTTCTTAGGTTCGCGTCCGCATTTACATCCTCTGTGTCCCGCGTCTTGAATCTGATTGGAGGCCACTAGAAACTAGGTGCTTTTATCTGATTGGAGGTCGGAGTCGACCCGCGCCAGCGTGATTGGACGGCGGCCCATGGCCACTTATTAACTTAAGTACCTCACGCCCAAACAAGTCCACTCGGACGGAGTGCTCGTCCATGCTGCAGTCTGATTGGGTGTCCAACAACCTGAGGGCGCATAGCGCAAGAGAGTCTGAATCTGATTCGTATCGCAATTGGCGGTTCAATCAAACGCTGTGACTTGTCGTCTGATTCGATTCTGATTGGTGGCGAACTACATACATACCAAAGTGTATCAGAATAGAGTGCTGTATGTAATCCATGCAAACGTCAACGGATGCATGCATTCTTTGCTGGCCTTGCTGGCCATGGTCCGTGTGGGTGTGTGGTCATGTATGCCAACGCCGACCCGAGCGGGGTACATCGATTTCCATAACTAGACTTTACGATTCGGAGGGCGATGCAGCTGAGTCGGACGAATCAGAAGCCTCCAGGACATTTTAGAATTACCATGGGAGAACAAAGAAACCCGCACATCTGGTCCTGACGTCGTCCAGTGGCTGGGATCGGTCGCAGCGCTGAGCTTGAAGCTGGCTCGCTACTGAATATCATTTAGGACCCAGCGTGGGCTCTTCCACCCCGATCCTGAACGTGAACGTTGAACATTGAACGTTGAACATTTGGACCTCACTCCCTGACTCGGGACTAACTAAAAAATGCAGCAGTGGTATATACAATAAGTATTCTGAATCAACTATGTAATAGCAGTAAGCGGTAACGGTAACGGTGACAAGGTAGCATATAGACAAAGACAAAGGGAGCGACAGAACAAGAACTTCAGAGTTTGGACACGGAAGACAAAAACACAAAAGGCAAAAGATATGAGAGTGAGAGTGAGCGGGGAGAAGTGAGGGTGAGGGTGAGAGTCGAAATAGATAGATAGATAGGTGGGAAGGAAGAAAACGCGAGCAACGATGGATAGGTAGGGAGTAGATTCAGAGAGGACGGGGATAGGAAGGAAAGAAACGTGAATGAGAGACTTGAATGGGGACGAATGTGATGGCAATAGACGATGATGACATATGGTACGGTGCGAAGAAACGAGAGCAAAGAGACGAGACGAGACGAGAGGAAGAACGAGCGAGTGAGAATAGCGTTTTGAGCATGTCAAGAAGGACAGGAGATGGAAGGAGCGTGTAGATATATAGAGTAGATGCCGAAGACCGTCTATTCGAGACGACGGGGACGGGTACGTGTGTGTATGTGTGTGCGTATATGCGTTGGAAAGTGAGTGCGTTTGTGAGTGTTTGTAAGTGTGTTGGTTTGTAAGTATGTGTTGAGTTCAGGTATGAGTCGAGTAGGCATGAGCGTGGCGTCGTGTCGTGACCACGTACGGAGTACAAGTACAGGGTAGTACAATATGCACAGCGCGCGAGCGGACGACCAAACGCGCGGGGACGGAGAGATAGATATCTGTGATGAGGCGGCGTTGGAAAGACGAAGGGCGAAAATGAAAGAAAAGAGAACGAACAAATTATGTATGGCTCCACGAATTCTAAAGTAATAACGACGTCTCAGCACAGGATCGAGGCAGGAAAGAAAAACAAAACCACAATCGAACGCGAGAAAAAAAAGGTAAACAAGCAAGCAAGCAGGCAAGCACAAATAATCGAGAGATAAGAGTAATGTATAGATAGGCAGAACACGGTGAAGGAAGAGATACACGCAATGGGAATGGAAATAACATCGAAATGGAAATCGCAGATGTCCGTACATGTTCAGACGAACGAACGAAAAACTTGCTGAAAATCAAAATCGAGACTGAGAAGGGGGAAAAAGCGCGCAAGGAACGAGTGATTGATAGAATATAGTATGCACCTCTCGAAAGCAATGTCACCTCCCAATGCACTCAAAAGAGAAAGAAAAGCGCACGACACAGAAGAAGAAAAAAAAAGGAGAGCAGCTCACGCCGACTGCCCATACCTCAAATCCAACATCTGCTCCTGCACCGGCTGCCCATGGCCAAACTGCGGCAGGGGCAGATGCGAATGCGGCATCTCATACCTCTGCTGCTCATACCCAGACCCAGCAGCCTGACCCTGTCCATGCCCATATCCCCCAGCGTCCCGCTCAGTCCACTCCGCATAACCATCGGTCACACCAGCAGATTGAGGTTGGGGCTGGGACTGGGGCTGGGATTGTGCATGAGCATGAGCCCCGAACGTCGGAGGCGCAGATGCAGGAGGTGCGTAATCCAATTGCTGCTGCTGCTGCTGCACCGATTGACCCCGCCCAGAATCCAAAGCGAACGCGAGCTCGCTCGATGATGTTGATCCAGCACGGGAACCATCGACTTTCTGATGCTGATGCTGATGCTGGTGCTGGTGCTGTTCGTGGTGAGCTTGATGCTGATGATGCTGCTGATTGTCCGCCGCCGGCGCCGACGATGGAGAAGACGATGATGAAGCGGGAGAAGGATACGTCGCCGTGCCCACCGTCCCGTCACTGTTCCCATCACTGACACTACCGCTGCCGTTCGCATTGACCTGGGAGGGACCGAGGTGGTCCATCTGCGAAGAAGGTCCGAGGTGGTCTATATGCGAAGAAGGACCGAGGTGATCCATCTGCGAAGAAGGACCGAGATGGTCCATTTGCGAAGAAGGACCGAGATGGTCCATATGCGGAGACTGACGAGGCGAGGAAGAGTGCGCATCCAAATGCGGAAGAGACCGCGTATACGCCTGTCCATACGGATGGTTCTCGAACTCGAACGAGCTTGAGCGCGACAAGGGAGCGTCGGGTGGAGATTGTGACTGTCCCTGGGGCTGGGACTGGGACTGAGAGTGAGAGTGGGCATTAGGTTGAGCGTTGGATTGGGGACTGGACTGGTTGGCGTTATCGAGATGAAGCGAAGTGAGCATCTCGCTCGCCGAGACGCTAGACGACACACAACACAAAAAACATGAGCATCACCGAAGAATCGTAGCGCAGATGCAATGCAATGATCAAAGAAAAGAAAGAAAGAAACACGCGCACTCACCAACTCCCCCTCCTCGAAAACGCCTCATCCCCACCACTCGCCGCACTCGTCGACTCACTACTAATACTGAACCCCAGACTGCCTATCGAGCCCCTACTGCCTCTTCCCATCCCCACTCCTCCTGCTCCTCCTGCGTTCATACCCATGCTCGAGGTGGTATGGATGCCCATGCCTGGCCCGAGGGGTCGATGCATACCAGCACCGCCGCCGACGCCGACCGCGATCCCATCCATACCATACGCCCCGTTCGTAGCGACAGCGACGCCTGCGTTTCCGTTCACACCAGTATACCCACCCTCCGTAACGCCATACGATCCCCCTCCCATCGCATCATCACCAGCATACCCCGCCTCCGCCCCAAACCCCCCCGCACCCCCATTCGCATTCCCGACGTCCGCACTCACATTCCCATTCCCACCCGCCTGCTCAAACGGCCCCACCGAAACGACCCCCGGACCATACCCCCCAACCCCAACCCCAACCTCATACCTCATCCCCCCAATCCCTCCATATTCCACCCCCAGTGCTCCATACCCCATCCCGCCAAGCCCCATCCCCATCCCTCCAAGCCCAAGCCCAAGTCCTCCGAACCCGAGTCCAAACTCGGATCCTTGCATCCCGACGTCCGCAGCATGAGGTGGATAGAAGGCGGAGATGTCGTCTTGGGGGTAGAGGAGTTCTTGTTTGAAGTTTGTGTTCTCTGTGGGTTCGTTGGGAGCGATGTTGGCGTCGTCGCGGGGCGGGAAGGTATAGCTCGTTAGGGCCGAGTTGAGGTTATCCGTGGGTAGCGGTCGGGGTGAATCATGCTGCTGCTGCTGCTGTTGTTGCTGTTGCTGTTGCTGGTGCTGGTGCATCGAATACATCTGCGACTGCGCCTGCATAGGCCGCACCGCGCCCAACTCGAGCAAAGACTCCGACGCCAACGACGACGCAATCGCCCCAGTCCCGAACGGATCGATATTACTCCACGCGAACGGTTCCTCCATAATGACCTGCTGTTCTCCTCCCCCATGTCCTCCTCCCCCATGTTGCTGCTGCAAAGGCGACGACCCAACCCTATACCCTCCATACCCCTGCCCTCCCTGTCCATACCCCTGCTGGTTAACATTCGAACGCATCATCTGCTGCTGCTGTTGGTGATGATGGTGTGCGGTGACAGCAGCAGTAGCAGCCTCCATATCCGCCGGCACCGATTTCCTATGCATCAGATTCGGACGGGACGGCCTCCTTCTCATGGGACTGAGAGGGAAGGGCTCATAGCGACGTTCGGTGGCTGGGTGGTTATGGTGCGCGTGGCGATCTGCGCCTCCGAGGCTTGCGAAGCGTTGACGTTCGCCTCCTGCTAGGTTCGTTGAGGCGCCCCCGAGGCTTGGACGACGACGATCGTCTATTCCTACTCCTACGCCTGGAGCGGGACCAAGACCGAGACCGAGGTGATGCCGCTCATAAGGAAGCGACATCCGAGGATGTGTTTGGGCGTGAGGCGGGTGAGGTGGATGGGCGTGAGGTGGATGGGAAGGAGGAGGAAGTAAATGCGAAGAAAGCTCGAAAGACCCATGTCGGGAGCTCGAGACAGAACCTGAGTGCGAACCCGAGCCGGAGCCCGAACCGGAGAGGGAGCCGGAGAGGGAGACTGAGAAGGAGGAGGGGAGGGATTCGAGGGATGCGTTCGGGTTCGGGTTCGCGTTTACATTCACGCCCACGTCCCCATTGTTGGGATTAGGAGACGAAGATGGCTGAGCGAACTGGGGAGGGTGTGGACGATACGGATGATTCGAATTCGAATGACCATACCCCTCCGAGATCGACGCGCGCATCATGGGCATAGGCGGGTGCATCCCCGTCGTGGAGGAAAACCGGGGATAGAGCGCGTGCACTGTAGCGGTATGATTATGCTGATGTACGGGCGTATCGAGTTGTAAGTTCCCGTTCCCATTGTTGCTGTTACTGGTGTTGGCGTTGGCGTTGGCGTTGGCATGATGAGAGGTGGGATGATGAGAGGCGGTAGTAGACAAAGCGAAATGCCTCGCAAGCGGCGCACACGGATGTTCAGCGAGCTGATCGACCGACCGACGATGGTAGGCTTCATCTGGGAAGCGTGCTGCAGTGGGGAACGCATTCGGATGAGGAAGGGGAGGAACGGGCGGGACGGAGCTTGCTTGATGGGGGTGATGGCGATGCGAAGCATGATGAGAAGGGTGCGAAGAAGAAGAAGAGTGAGAAGAAGAGGAATGGGAAAAAGCGACGGCGGGGAGGGAGTTGCGGCGGAGGTCGTAGATATCTGCCGGAGGTGGGTGATGTGGGAAAGAGCGTGCGTGGGGAGTTTGGGAGGGCGAGGCGGAGGAAACGGAGACGGAGTAGGTAGGTGCGGAGGCGGACGGAGAAGACGTGAATGGGGAAGTGGACGTCGATGGGGATGGAGTCAGGGACGGGGACGCGGCGGCTTGGGGAGATTCGGAGGTCTGTTGGTGCTGTGGGTGGTGGGAAGACGGGGAGGTGTGCGTGGACGGGGAGTCGGCTGGGGGAGGCGGGATGCGGATGGATTCTGGTTGGATCTGTGGGGAGCGTGGCGAGGACGACCGTGGCCTCAACTTTTTCTCTTTCGCGCGTCTAGCAGGGAAGGGAATCGTGCATGTCAGAGACTATTTTTGGACGCGGGAGGAAGGGAGGGGAATAGAGCGGAGAGAGCGCGAACGCGTCGTGGTGTTTACCTGTTCTGAAACCAGACCTGCGAAAATGAAAGATAATGAATGCGCAGATGAGCGTGCGCGTCGGGAGGGCATAGGACGAGGAAGAGCGCGAACGAGGACAAACCTGGACCTCGCGGGGGGACATCTTGAGATCGTGGGCGAGCTGCTTGCGTGTGATCGAGCTCGGTTTCTTGTCGACGACGAAGACGCTCTCGAGACGCTGGAGCTGGGGCGGGGACGTGCGCTTGCGGGTCTTGACGGCGTTGGGGACGTAGTTGTAGAACATCTTGGAGTCGACCTTTGCGGGGTCGACGTTGTTTGGGATGAGGGAAGGAATGTAGGACCTGTTGTGGTGGAAGGGCTCTCTGTTGAGGTGGCGCTGGCGGGCGTTGGACATGATAGCGTCGAGGGGGATCGGCTGGGGCGGGATGATCGGCTGCGGGAGGAGGCCGTCGTGGGTCGCTGGTGGGCGCATTGCAGGCCACGCAGAGGTATATAAAACGAGAGCAAGTTCAGCGAGAGACCAGAGAATGATAACCCGTCCAAGGCACCCCCACGCCCAGCTCCCGGCCCAGCTCCCATCCCAATCCAGATCTCGCTTCCTCTCTCCCTCGATAGATTGAATCTGTACATAATCCCGGCCATCACAACAACACACATAACATAACATTAATATCTACCCGAGCCCACAACTCCTCCACAACACACCCAACTACAGTCCGCTCCAATCGTATTTTGCTTCCTTTCCCCGCAACGCTACTGCCCTCCGCCAAGCCTCCCCTGTTTGATCATCCCATCATCCCGTCCTACTCAACACGTCTTTGCGCCCCGCGACTGTCCTCTGCTCTTTGCCAATCACTTATCTCCATCCGTCTCTTGATCCCACTTCGACACCTCTTACCTTACAGAACAACGCTCCTCCAAGGACCAATCTGAACCTTCCTTCGCGTCCAGACCCCAACTCCACCGGCGGCCCGCCCATCCCGCTTCTCTCCCTTCTCCTCCTTCTCCTCTCACTCATCCCTCCGCTGACCACTCTCCTTCCCCAGCCCCAGTCTCACTTCACTCGCGCGACTTCCCACCCAACCTAATGCTGTCAAATTTTCAGATCTCAGGCTGCTCGTTGATCCCATCCCATCCCATCGCGTCCCGTCCTGTCATCGCTGGCAGGATCGTCTCTGTCTCTGTCTACATCTCCTCGATTCCGTTTCTGTTTCTGGCCTGGCCTCGAGTCTCACACGCTCATGCTTTGTTTGTGTCTGGTGTCTGTTCGCTTGATTCTGTCGCTCATTCTGGCTCGTTGATGTAGTATACATACTCGGTTGCACATCAACACTGCGCGTCTACGGGTCGTTTCTCCGATCTTCATATCCACTCGTTCTCGGTCTCATTCGTTTTGCTTTTGCTTTTGTTTGTCCGCTTGTTTGATTCTGTCGGTCATACTGGCTCGAGCGCGAACGCATTGATGTTGTATTCGGTTGCACATCATCGATGTCAGATATCAGGCGTCAGGTGTCGACTCGTCTACGAGTCGTTCCTCTTCCTCTTCATACTCGAATCCATATTCGGGTCCACATCCACTCTGTCCACTCTCTCTTCGGCTCAAGCTCATCCGTCGTCTGTTCAGTGTCTGTCTATTCAGGATTTACGCCCGTGCCCCGCCCACGTCCACGTCTACGCCACAATCCCGCCGTGCCCATCACGATCACACTTTATTATCGTGCATCGCATCCTAACACACGAGTCTCTTCAAGTTGCTGGTGTTTCTCCTTACATGACATGACAGGACACGAAACCTAAACCACACGAAACGCTCTGGAGCAAACCAGGACCAACACCAAAACCAAACACATAACAACTTGAAAGCACCCCTTCAAACGCTTCCGATGAACAAGGACTCTCAGTCTCAGGCTGAGGTCAACCTTGACCAGGCATGAGCTTCATCGTCTCTCAAGACCTCAAGTTTCAACGACTCCTCGTATGTTCGGCGGAAGTTGAAGGAAATACTGTATGAATGTTACTTACCGCCAGAATACATACTACTGGCAAGTGCCGTCTCTGACTCTACCCACGAGCCACCGTTTGTCGTGTCGTGTCGTGTCGTGTCGTGTCCACGGGCATGATGACACTCTCGACCTGCAGAACTAAAAAGTGCTCTATATACGCTATGCCCATGGTCATCTCTCTCTTTGAACCGACAAACTCATTCATCCATCCATTCATTGATCGAGTGAGTACCACCGCCACGGCTGACTGACTGACTGATCCTGACAATTGAACTCGAATCTTGGAAGCCTCATTGGCGCTGAAGCACGCTGAAGCATCACATCTCGCTTTCATGTGGCTGCTGTTAGGACGAGCCTTCGAGGTTCCCTTCGATCCCGAGCGACCTTTCTCTTTCCCTTTTCCGATTCCGATTCCGATTCCGATTCCGACCTGCATGCGTCTCTCCACAGATCTCAAGAACCCACAAATCCACAACCCACACGAACTCACTCACTCACGTACATACCCACCGGCGGCAACGAACCACATCGCAAGTAAACTGTAAGTATCCAACGAAGGTCGGTGTACTCCCCCCTCCGCCTGCGCATCCTCATCCTCCGAGCCCTCCGAACCAGCGAGTCGCCCGAGATGCCCTTTCGCCGGACACCCTGTGGTGATTTGGTCGTCCGAACCATGCATACAGTATTCTCAGATCTCATCCTTCTCTCGTCAGCGTTCTGCATGCATATGGTTCTATCACGCCAACTGGTCGCGCGTCCCCGTCGTCTCGTATGTATTTCGCGATGGATGAATATCGATGCTCAGCTCACTCCGATTCTTCTTTTTTCGTTCGTTCGTTCGTAGGCAACTTGAAGAGCGAAGATTCGAAGGTTTGAAATTCAGTCTTCGGCTCTTGAGCGCGAGCTTTCGTCGCACATAAAGTTCACGACCACACGACCATGCATGCATGCACGCATGTGGATCTGCGCACGATTCAGAGTCTACCGTGACTACGGGGAAACAAGACTCCCAGGCTCGTCAACTGGTGAACTTCTCGGCATCGGGATTCGGCATCGAACGAGATCTGCGCTCGTTCCATTCCATTTGCCACCATTCCACTCCACTCCCAACTGCACTCTATCTCGTTTCCCAGTTTCCCAGTTTCCCAGCCATGTGCATTGGCATGCGGTGAAAGTGAAAGAGGAAGGGATTAGGATTGGATTGGACAGTGAGAGGTAACGGTAACGGTAATAGAAACTCTAAGTAACCATCGTCCGGATCCCAAGCAGAGCGTTCGTTGGAGTGCTAGTACTCTGCTGCTACTACTGCCACCGCTACTCAGGCTAGGGTACTACACACGCACACCTCGATGTACATACCGGAGGCCTTCCTCATCGGAACACCGGGGTATTTGGGCTGCGGGTGGCTAAGTTCTTATCCAAGTTTTAACTCCCAGTGCTTCGTTTGATGTTCATTATAATGTTATCACAAGTAGCCTGCAACTTGCAGGGAAGAAACGTCAAGGATCGCACCCGAAAAGTAAGTTCCGCCGGCATCGCTTGTACTGACACCGGGACGCGTACGAGGACCATCGTGACCAGATGTTCTCGCTATTCTTGAAGCTTGAGGAGGCGAAGGACCGTCTATCTAGTATCTGCTGGATACGTTCTTCGATTTCCATGATTTCCGTTCTGTTTCAGATTTGGATTCGGACCCTTTGCTTTTTTTCTTAGAAAGCGTTGATGCATGGAAGTCAGAACGCTAGTACTGGAGATCTTGCACGCGCGCCACACGCTACATGTTCCTTTTATTGTCGATGCTGTGTCTCTGCGTATGCGTATGTGTATGCGGACGGTGATTGCGAACTAGGTCTGCCATCCCTGGTGTTACCGACGTATGCATACGAGTACGACCACAACTGTACTCGTCAAAAAAATAATAATGTGTCGCGGCCTGATTAATGGTCATCTAACGGGTGCGTATCTACTACCCAAGTCCTTTGTTTTCCGAATACGAATCCTCGTATATGCGCATGAACTGACGTATACGTATTTGCAGCGCCTCTGATTCCTCCTAGACGGACTTCGAGGAAGGGTCATGCACTGCAACTACTCGAATCATCAGCTCGACACAAATATTAATATACGACTACTTACCATAACAGCAACCGTGACTGCCAGCACCGCCGAGGTCATAATTCCGGTCGCTCAGTCCATCGTACTACTAGCAACGCATCGCCATTCACATCTGAATGTTAGGATCCTCCGAGGTTTCCAAGGTATAGCTATTGATCCTATCGATGCCATATACTTGATGGATTGCTCATGTTCAGATTCGCGATATTTCCGGCCAGTTGATGTCTATCCGCTGCGCTTTGACCTGAGCTGTCGTTGTCAGGCCATGCTTTCTTCATCTCAACCTCCGAATCTTGCTTATTTCGGAGCCTTCACTCTCACAGTACACGCGAACTTCGAACGAACGGTAGCGACGTCAAGAACATGATTAATGAATCGTTACTTTGCAATTTCGACTTCACGGTCTGCCTTGAAGAGGGTTCGAAACCTTTCGGCGAGTTCCAGCGCTCGCTGCTCACTCTGTGATCCGCATCTTCACGTACGTCCAGTCGAAAGCTGTCAACGTATGCCATCAAAGTAATTAGGGGGCACATCGTCAAGTTCTTCATCACATTCTCATGGAGTACTCACACCCAGCTAGCAGCCTTCGGTCCTGCTTCGGATCGATATCCAAGTCGACATCGTTTTATGTCTGTCGATCCCCTTCAAGTATGCTTTTACGCCTGTACCCAGGTAGTAAGTTACCGATCGTGCGAGCGTCGTGTCAAGTTTCAACTTGGCGAGACTCTAGTCTCTGAATCCACTGGGCCTACGTCCGACTCGGAGTAAGTTTACCCTACAGAAACGCCACTGACGAGCTACAACTTACATACATATCCCCCTGTCCAAAGTCTTTGTGTAAGATGCGGGCGGCTATTCTCGATCCCCAGTGGTGTTGATGGGGGTCATTCAATTACCAGGTACGTTATGTGGTGTTCAGTACGAGCATCATTCCGAACTATCCATCCCATCATGCCGATACGTTCGAATCCTGTCAACCTCGACATTCACGTCGGCACCTGGCTTTGCTTCTTCCAGAGAAAAACAGAACAAACGGCAGAAAGACATACTCAGACACATCCACGGTGTCACGGACAAGAACAGTTCTCATGAGCTCGTGTGAGTACGCTTGCTCTTGTTACAGTATCAGAAAACACACCCGAAAGAACTGACACTAAGTAGTCTTCACTCTTCTATCTGCCGACATTCAGCTCACGCCAGTGATCATGAGCGGTAGAGTACGTATGTCATGCTAACCGTCCGGCGCACTGACGCCACCTCCTACCTGTCAACATTGACACAAATGCCACATCGCGGAGTCCGCGCGATGTGATGGATTCCGGGTCCAGACGGCGGGCAATTGGAATTGAAGGACAAGATATGCCACTGTGCGACTTCGCGACTTCCCCGTGCTTGCTTGCACAAAGAAGGTGTCGCGAACTTCAAGTTATTGACGCTTGCCGCTTTGAATCATCCCAAATCGATAGGATCATATTCCCGTAACACACGGGCAACTCGGCAAACTCCTCGGGACATAACTCTCCGTCCCGAGAGCTCACCTGGCCTTTCTTCATCACGATAATTTATCATCAGAGCGGGTATCCTTCTCGACGAGAATCAAAAATCCCGCCGTGCGGCATACATAGTGGTGTGCGGTGATTCAACGTGCTCGTACTCCGACCAAGACCGGAGTGCAAGATGCTGCTGTAAGGAGCGAACCGTTGGGGCGCCGCGTCGAGGTTGGTTCGAGGGCGACAGGCGAGTCTTAATATTTACCAATTCCGAATCCGTACCTCTTGAACCAAGACCTAGTCTTTGCTTTTTGCTGATCCCTTTAGTATAGGGGCATTCGTCGACTCGGAATGACCAGCCGTTGTTCTCATACTTATTTACGCCACTATTCGGTCAGCGGTCAATGTTTATTGTACGTATTTTACCTGCACAATGCTAGTGTGAAAATCGGACGCCTAGAGATACCAATGGTCACCGCGTCGTCGAATGTGGCATCTCCATCGCCTTTTCAAGCGAGATAACTCATTCTCCTTCAACTCACCTCCTGAGTTTCGACGCCATTTCATCCCCACTGATTTCATGTTAGCGCCATTGCATCAGTCTCCACCTCAACGCCCGAGCTAAAATGATCGGATTTTTACTCGCCTTCGACCCGGACCATGCGTCTTCATCGTATCCTGCCCCATGCGCCACACTCAACGTTATTATTTGACCGTAGATTCCAGCCTGGATTGGCACCTCCCTCCGGAAACAGCCCATCTATCACCCCGACGCGAAATTCCCGTACAGTGCACACTCGGCTAAGAGGTCGTCGTCGACTATCATATCATACATACTAGTATCCTCGCACTACTTCCGCCCCGAGATCCTGTCAAATAAGTTTGTTCCTGTAAAACACAGCATCTGATGTCCGCTTGCGTCAAAGTGAAGAGGATAACTTAAATCCATATGGGCTAGCGAGGCACTGTAACCGTCTCCTTCCGGAATCCGAGAAAAACGCATCTCCGCTTGTTTTTTTCCGCCCCTTGGTGAGCGGCGACGTTCGCTGAGCTTGAGCTGAGTTTTAGGTCACGGTATGGACATGATAATACATCGCCTAAGAACGTGCACCTTCCCGTGCACTTATGCTGTAGAGTCCCAATGGGCTTGTGTATCTGATGGCTTTCGCTGTGAGTAGAGCGTCTGACCTTTCGTGCATTTCCGTGACACATTAATATGATGCTAGGGTGACCAGTGAATAGCACCCTTGCTAAGTTATCGAAAACGTCTATCGGAGCCGACCTTGACATCGAGCGATTTATCCATGTCGCCCCCCGAACGACGACGAAGACAAAGACGAAGCGAAAGCTCTCCGCACACAGAGATCCAACCTACGCACTCCCCATTGTGTCCTATTTTGCTTCCATGCCAATACGCTAACCCGTTTTACGGCCAAGGTTCGCGAAGAAAGAATGACGGTAAAAAGGTCGATCACGCTCGCGGATGCTGATCACTTCCTTTCTTCCGACTCTCTCCCGCTGGTCCTGGTCTTCCCCTCCGAGCTTAGTCCCGGGCTAAAAACCTTGACAAGCTCGGAGGGAGGTCAGAAGCTGTACCTGTGATAACATCCCATTCAAATGCACGGCCGCCGGATATGCAGAGCCCCTGAACGCCTCCAGATTGCCTCGAGATGGACCAGACCCTCTGAAGGCCTTCGAGCTTGAAGTCGCAGCGAAGAGGACATGCCGGCGGTGGTCGGCGAGCATTACATGGTGAGGACGGGCGGGATCTGCGACCAATCACCAACTCGCGCGGAGTTCACCGTTTCTGAAACAAACTAGCGAGAGGGATAGCGGGAAATCACGCATAGCACGTCCTAATTTTCGGAAGGCGAGTTGAAAGTATTTACCTCGTGGCTAGCGCTCGCTCGGTCTAGACAATACAAAACAACATGTGTAAGATTGCATAAGATGAGTATGAGCGTACGAACGACTGGACGGGTTCCGACAGGATTAGGACTATACGACAAAACAAAAACAATGGGGGATAGATAGCACAGGCAACGACGAAACGAGACGGTACGAGGACTGTAAACATTCGACGAGTATACGTGCGAGACGAGACGGGCTAGCCTGAGAAAGTAGTTTATGGTGTTATAGTCGTGAGGATGGATTGATGATGATGTGATGGGTTTGGGATGTGATTGTAAGATCGTAAAGACCGTGACCAGTCGTGAACCAAGATCGTAAAACGAGAACCAAGGACGTTCGGACGTTAAGAGAAAGGTAGAAAATCATGAAGCGGAGTCGTCAATCAAGAGAAGGAAGTGAAGAGAAGACAAAACAAGAGAATGGGTGAACCATACTGAAAACCTAACGTATTCTGGGGTGAAGTTGCTCATGGTTAAGAAGATATAAGGCGGTATATGAAAGTCACGAGCAATATGAAGGAAGATAGACATAGCAAGAGTGAAACCAAGAGGAAACAAATCATAAGCAAGAAGTCTAGATACGTACAGTGCAATGCCGAGAAGATCGAAGGATGGGTGTGCACAGAGAAGACGGGAAGGTAGAAAGTGCAAGCCGTGCGACACCAGTTCGAGGCTCCATAACCAAGAAAAGGAACATAGACGGGTAGAGTTAGTGGGGGGTAGACGGAGGTAGGATGAAGAAGCAGGTAGCGCAATAGAAAAAAATTATGAACGGCAAGGCAAAGGTCTACAGGAAGCTTTAAAGTAGAGTAGATAGAATAACGGATTGTATGGAAGGTTGAGGATCAGCGAATAATTAGGGTGGTTGAAAGAATGGGTGAAAAAAAGCAGTGGCAAGGGGTGAGGGATCACGGATGAAAGAAGGTAAAACATCCTTGGAATCACTACATAAAAAACCGAGACAAGGAAAGGGGAAGAGAAGGGGGTATGTATAAATAGATATCAGGCCGTGAAAGAAACTAGGGATGACATCCACAAAAAAGGAGACAGTAGAGACACACTTTTGGACAGTAAATATAACAGGTGATGATGAGATATAGGACGAGCAGATATGGAGACAGCAAAGTCCGAACCGGTGAGGCGATAGCAAATGCAACAGATGAGACGACGCTCGAGATACCATACAAAGACGGAAATAAGGGACCAAGAAGGATGATCGAGGATCGTCCGAGACACACTATCGTAGGAACACTTGAGCACAGATGAGGGAGTTGGCGAAGATCCTTGAGATGCGAGTGACGCGCTATGGGGAATCGACAAGATGGTTTACAGATGGGAACAGGCGTGGTTGCGATGCCGGGTCGGTGGAAATCGATGAAAACCGAGATGAACGATGAAGATGCAGAAGAGTACGAGCAAGCAGGCAAGGACAAGTAACCTCGAACCGGTCGAGTACTGCCCGAACCCTACGATTCCCGCATCATCTGCTTCAACTCAAGTCCATCGCATCCGTCTCATCATCATCAGAGCTACCCGCGGTTCTCCCCAGAATCTCCTCCAAGAAGCCCTCCGGGACCGTCGCCAACGGACTAGCACAGAACATCGCACCAGGGCCCGCGACGCTCCCATCGGCAGCTCCAGCCAATGCTCGCTCACGGATGCACTCCATGGCTTCCCTCGTCCTCGACACGATCGGGTGTGCCCATACGGCATTGATGTCGACTCGCATCGAGGGGTCCGTTCTCATCATGCTCCATATGAGATCGAAGAGCTCTACAGAGTCACCTTGGTCGACCTGTGAGAAGTCCTCTCGACGGAGCCGATGCCATGGTTCTCCTCTGAAGAGCACCAAAATCATATCATAGACAACGAAGAGAAGAGAGGAAGAGACCGCAAAAAACCAAAGAGCACCCACGGTGGTCATCGTTGAGAATAGAACGACGGTCGTTGGTTCATGTCGCATAGAGGTGATGGTGGCGTGGCAGGTCGTGAGAGGACAATACGTTCAAGGACGCGGAGTGACGAGGGTTGCGAGTGAGTCGGAAAGGCCAAACAGGACCGGGAGAATGAATGAATGATGAATATGCAATTCCGAAAGTGAAAAAAGGTAAGTGGGGAACACAGTCAGTCAAGTGCTTTCGAACAGTTTCAATGGATGTCACGCACTCTCCAGGAACAACGATATTCGAAGCTGTCTCTAACATGGTCATCCCTAGGCTATTCAATCGCACAACCCGTTTAGTATGAGAATCCGCAAACCAGCGAGAAGAGACCGGGACAACGAACCTGAAGATATCAGCAGCCTTGCCATAACATCCTTGAAGGACCTCCGGGGCGAGGTACACCTTGTCGCCCTCCCGTTCGAAACCTTCCGCCCGCAGGAGCTGGAGAAGGCCGTCAGAGGCAGGAGATGCTGCCGCAGCAGCTACTAGGTTTGGACGCGGCCACAGAGAGGCCATTCCGAAGTCTCCAATCTTGAACCGTCCTTCTCCAGTGACGAAAATATTCGCAGGTTTCAAATCAAGGTGGATTACTCCCGCGTCGTGGATGAAGTGAAGACCCTGGTGATGAGAGAACATGGACAATACAGAAACAGAAAATAAGGTTAGAGACGAGGAGATAAACACCAGAGCAAGGAGAACGAGAACGTACGTTACTGAGATCCGCCAGGATCTTCCAGACGCGCGCCTCATCGAGCTTCGGGAAAGCCCTCCCGTACTCCCATAGGAAATGCGCAAAGTTGCCAAGTTCACAGAGCTCAGTCCGTATGTACAGGGTTTCGTCCTGTTCCCAGCTATCGACATAAGCCAGAACATTGGGATGACGGGAAGTTGCGCCGTGCGAGGAGTCCGCGGCTGCTTTGGAAAGGTGGTTCAGGACGTCGACTTCTTCGCGGAGACGGAGACTGGTGTGGCACGACGGTAGTCGAGGAGAGTGTGAGAGTGAATACGGATGAGCGGTTCCCAAGGATGAAGAAAGGGGATCGATTGTTATCGCAAGATGGCCAGGATAGAAGACGGATGGACCGATATAGAAACAAAGTGTTCAGAGACGGCGATCAGTACGTTGTGCGTCGTAAGAGAAAGAAGCACAGAGTATGAAAAGAAGAGAAGGGAGACGGAAAGTTCAAAGCAGTGCTTTCGCGACCACGCGATGTATGTTTTGGACCAACAAACGCCCACAAGAATAACGATCTGATCCCAAAAGTGCGAGCGGCGCGGCACTTCACTTCGGGGAAACAGACAACACAACGTTCGACGACTGGAATGGACCGGAAGACACTCACCGATGCCTGGCACCCTCAAATCTCTTCGACTTCTTCACGGCCCAAACTTCCTCGCCAGCTTCTTCCTCGGACGCCACACGCCACACACTGGGACTCATTGACCTCTTCCTCTTCACCTTCATCACCTTCCCGAATTCTCCACTCCCGATCTCCCCAATCTCGTCGAACTCCCTCTCGAACCGCCCCATCCCTTCCTCTTCCTCATCATCGTCTTCACCCAACATGGAGCGTTTTCCAAACGAGAGAAAGCCGAGCGACTGTTTAGGCCGCAGGTGAGGGTGCTGTGGCAACTTCGGGACCTTGAACGGCGAGCCACCCGAAGCCTTTGTTTGGGCAACGCTCTGTTCCTTCTGCAAGGGCACATGTTTCGAGCCATTCACATGTTTGCTGTGCAAGGTTGGAGAGTTTTGAACAGTAGACGTGGCGGTCGAAGAGGATGAGGTAGAGGTGGTCCTGTTCGAAAGCGGCGAGAACCGACTAGTGAATGTCGGTTTCGAGGGCGAGAGGTTAGAGGGACCTCGAGGAGGGGGAAGCTTGAAAGCTATGTAGACCACAAATGACAGCTGTCAGTAAATACAGAACAATGCGAGAGAGTGATCCGACTGAGACAGCAAACGCACCTCCGCTCTTATCCATCGTAGGTGTCCCCGGCGAACTACCCTCCCCACTCCCACTGCCATTACTGAACGTCGAAAGTGCACCGCTGCTACTTCGCCTCAACAACCAGCTCCTCCCAGCCACAGCCGTAGGCCTCCCCAAGCCCAACCCCTCATACTTCTCGCTCGGACTCGTTTCGACCACGACCAACCCTTCATCATCACTATCATCCTCCACCTTCGTATTCAGCTGCAAAGCCTGCGCTTTCTTGCCTTTCCCGCCGAGCATGGGGAACGCAGCAGGCAGACTCTTCCTTGGTATCTTCGTCGTCTTCTTCTTCCCCGGCTTCGCACCCGTCACCGCCTCTCCGCAATGACCTCCAAGTCCTCTCCCAGCACCAGCACCCGTACCAGCCATCGCACCCTTCTCCCCCACAAACTCCTCAAAATTCACCACCTTGTTCGTCACCGCACTCTGCCACGGCCTCTCCCCACCCGTCCCAAACTTAAATGCCGTCTTCACCTTCTTCTGCGGCGTCCCCGGCGGCTTCTTCCCTCCATGTCCAGGTCCCACAGCAACAGGTCCGCCCCCGCCCCCCATACTCACATCACCCAGACCAGCGAGATGATCGTCATTATGGTGATGTTCGTACTTGTTAGACTGAGCGAGAAGGAGCGTGCGTAGTATGAACGCGTCCACCTCCGAATCCATCCGCAGCGCCCCATGCGCGATCGCGCCCTCGAGCGAGTTCCCAGAGTTGGACGCACTGACGACGCCCGGGTCCTGATTGTTGTTGAACGCGTTCGAGCTGAAGGTCGTCGAGTTGGAGTTGGGAAGGAAAGGTCCCGGGCCGTGGAAGTTGGGCCACCCGGACGTAGAGCTCGGTTCGAAGCCGGGCGTGACGAGGTCGTTGTAGTCGTTGTCTTGGTCCGAGCTCGCGATCGTGCTGACGCTGGTACTTGCCCTGGGCATGATCATGCTAGGAGCGGCGTTCGAAGCAAACGCGTTCGCCATCGACTCTGACCTTCCAAAACTGGGCCTACCCCGCCCTCCCCTTCCGTCATCCCTCAACTTGCCTCGAAGTCCTCCAAGTGGCAACGGAGCAATGGCACCATTAGACGACGCGGTGCTCAAGTCCGAATCAAAGTCAGAGAGGCCGACACCGGAATCGCGAGGCCTGTACTTCTTCTCCAGTTTCGGCGGTGGAAGGTTGAGCCCTGCCAGGAAAGAACCGGTCTCCTCAGATGAGTCAGAGTTGTGACGACCATGACCATGCTTCGGCAAGCCGTCCTTGAGACTGAAGCTCGGAGCCCCACTCCAAGACCCAACGCCGAACGAGCTGCTGAAACTGTCGTCTCCAACTCCTCCAAGCCCTCCGTCGTCGTCTCCAGACCGGATCGGGACACCCTTCTTCTTCCTCCTCTCCACACCCCACTCTTCGTAACTCGCCTCCCCAAAGAATATATCCTCTTCGTCGACTTCCTGCATCTGCACCCCAAAGCTCTTGTTACCAAGGATCATATCCTCGTCCGAGATCTCGCCCATCTCCTCATCATCATCCGACGTACCCCTCGGCATGGGCGAAGAGCTCTGTACCACTGTAGTCCCTCCACCTCCAAGCCCACCACTGAACGCGTCTTCATCCGCGCCCCACGGACTCGACGCCCAACTATCGTTCCTCTGAAGAACGCCAGCCCCCGCATAACTGTGCCTGCTCGCCATCTGCGGCCTCCCAAAGAGAGGTTTCGGGGGCGGGCCGAGATGCGGGGAGTGTAAGTTGATAGCACTCGTGAACGACTCCGCAGATGAGGGAATGTCAGCGAGAGAACGACGATTCGGGGTAACCGTAGGCATGATGGGATTAAATGGTGGAGGTGAGAAGGTCGACGCCATAGGAATTGGTGGGGGTGGAATGGAAGGTCCGAAGAAGGCAGTGGCGCTTCCGCTTGACTCGGTGCGCCGGAAGTTTCCTTGCTTGACGGATTGGGTACGGGTACGAGCCGAAGAGACGTTGGAAGCGTTCATCGTGCGACGACGTCGAGCAGGAGAGGCAGCTGAATTGACAGAAGAGGCAGACGAGTTTGATGACGTGCGTGAGCGGTTGCTGTGACGAGTGCTTGTTCGAGATCGGTTGTTGGAGGGGAAGGTGATGGTTGGAGAAACGGCAGCTGAGAAAACAGGGGATGGGGATGGGACGGTGCGGGAAAACGTAGGGGCGGGCAGAGTCGATGGTGGCATCTGTCCATACAACGTGTTTCAGAATGGTTTAGCACAAAACGATGGGGTATTAGGATGACAACGATGCGAAAATGCAAGATCAGCGATTTTAGATCGATGTCGGCTGCGATGATCACTCGGTCGTGAGTCAAATAGCTCATAGTGCCTATGGAGCCCTTGTTGCATCGTGCAAGGTCCAAAGCCACGAGTCTAACGGCAAAAACCGATCATGCACCCAGAGTGTAGTCACTCTGAGCAAGGAAGAGACATCGTACAACACTTCAAGAAACTGGTGGAAGTAAAAGACACACAGAAGAAAGGACGCACCTGGACAGTATTCTGGGCTCTCAGTTCTCGGCTTACAGGCCTGTTCCGTGCCAACCTCTTAGTGACATGTCCTCCAGGTGAAACGTCAACAGCATCCTCTCTGCCATGAAGTTGGAATCCTCCGGGAGTGAACTCTTCCTCATCACTGACAGCACCCTCGTCTCCACCGATCTTCAGCCTGCCCATGGACCCCTGACCACCTTTCAAGAACAGCTCCTCATCGACACCGGATGGACGAGCCGGTGTCTGAAATCTTGGAGCGGAAATTGGACCGAGTCGATCAAATGAACCTTCGCCTGCTGCTTTGGTAACACTGAGGGGAGTCAGCGTCTGACCGCCTTTGGGAAAGGGTGACTCGACGGCGAGAGACGTAGGCTTGCGCTTGACACCTGTGGTATTGTTGGTCGAAGGAAGGGATGGTTTGACAGCTCGCGGGGTTTGGGAATGAACTGGTGGGAGACGGATTGTGGGCGATGTCGGGGAGAACGTGAGAGGACTGAACGGGCTGTCCGGGCTCGTTGGCTGCTTTTTGTTGGAAAGCACAGGTCGAGCAGGCTGAGTGGACCCTAATCCGATGGGAGATGTACGTTTGATCGGGGTCTGGAGGGCGTTGGATGAAGGAGTGTGGGTGCTTGGACGAGCGGTAGGGACGCGTCTAGACGCGTTCGGGGCTTGACGCGACTTCTTTGTGCGCGACGGGGACCTTCTCTTGTTCGAATTGGCAGGAACGGAACTGGTTGTGCGAAAAACGCGCGCATCCTCATCGCTGTCGTCCTCGATTGGGTTCGCGGGCAGGCCGTGACTGAATAAGTTTCCAGAGGTATTCGCGGTGGTGCGCTGTGGAGCGCGCAGGCCGGCAGCAGATCTCGTGCTTTTGGGACCGAGTGGGCTGGACTGCACTGGATAGTCCTCTTCTGCCCACGTGAGGGCTTCTTGTGAGAAGAGGGACTTGCGCTTGAGGGGCGAAGAGGGGTGCGGCATGGTCGTTGTCGATGGCGAGCGCGGACGTTTCTTGTTTCTGAGGTCGTAGGGGGAGCGCATTTGTGATGGATTGATGTGGTAAGAAAGAGGAAAAACATACTGGCTGGCGTCGCGCGCGTGCGGCGGGCGGGAATATATAGCGATCGGTGTTGGGGGCCTTGAGGACGTACGAAAGCAAAGCGGTCGAAGAAAGGCGGACAATGGTCAGGCCCAAAACAAGCCTCGCGCTGTGCCCACGCCCACGTTTGCCTCCGCCAGTCAATAAACGGGCTCACGTGATCCGGAAGTCACCGTGCACAGCCTTCGTAATTGTGCCGGCGGTGGCAAGTGCCACATCAACATGTTCTCCAGATTCACGCTCTCGTATAACGATTATAACGAAATGTCGGGGGTGTTCGACATATGTCAGCGCAAAACATGTCTTCCTACGTTCGAGCCTCGACATACAGCTGTGGCGCCAAAAGTTTCATCGCGATCGAGCCTGCTGGTCCTGAGCGTTCACTTCGACGAGTCTTGAGCGATGGGTGGTCCAGAAACCTTCATAGATCCCCGTAACTATATCCTGGTGCTCTGCAATGGCTGGTCTCCGCTCTCCATCCGACGAAACCGACATATTCTCTCTCTACTCTCAGCACACCGAGTCAGGACCATCAACACCCACCAAAGCTCACGCCAACCCACCCGTCGTCTCTCCCTTTCGAAGAGCACGTTCGGTCGCGCGGAGAAATCCAGGACACCTCGACAACGAGCTAGCCAAGACTACCATAAACGCCCTTTCCGCCGTTCCAGAGGACGGCGAATTCATAAGGTCTCGTGTGGCACCCATGGGCGCTAGCGCGATGCCATCCACTCCTCCGCCCAAACGCGTCTCACTCGCTGATCCTGGTGTCTCTTCTCCGAGTCCCGGATGCTCCACGAAAGATTTAATCAGCCAATGGGAGTCCATGAGCCCTCGGGCGAGTACATTTGGTCAAGAACAACAGGCGACCTCCAGAACGGCCACGATTCGGATTCCACCTCGACCGAGCACTAAGAACTTACCTCCACCTCCATCCAACCCTCCGGACAAGAAACGATCGCCCCTCCGCCAGTCGTTCCGCAATATTCTTTCCGTCTTCGGGAAGAAACCCAAAAACAAACCGACCGGTGTTGTTAACTCGACCTCAGACGACCCTTTTGTAACTCGCTCCTCGAGCTCTGAGACGTCCTCAGATACTGCACTCCGCTCTGGCTCCGTCCTCTATTTCTGCAACTCTTCTGGGCCTGCTTGGACACCTTGTACCGCAGGCCTCTATCCCACGCACATATCTCTCCAAGGTGACGCCACCCAGAAGATCTCTCTATTTGGGTGCACAGACGTCCGTTCGGTGTCACTGAAGGAACTCGGTTCGGAGGAACTAGATACCTTACCTCGCGGCGAAGGAGGAGACGAGAACCCCGATGGTCCAAAGGTTTTCGAGGTTGTGTTTGCTAAAGGCGAGGATGGAGAGAGGACGCATAGGTTTGCAGTAAGAACAGTGAAGGATCGGGCGTGGTGGGTTAGTGGAATCTGGTTAGTCTCGGCTCTCTCGCTACATCTTCTTGTTATGAGGTATGTACGAAATACTGACTATCTTTTCTGTCCGCGGTATTCCTAGGGACATGATCATGAACGCGCAAGAGAAAACCATGCGCGCGCGCACCAAAGCCGAATTAGTGAACGACCTTCACATCGACACTCTCACCGCGAACGCCCCACCCCCCTTCTCTTCTGTTGTCTCCTCTTCTGATGCACCCAAAACAACAAACTCCCGATTCTCCCTCGGACCTCTAACGAACCCCTACTCCGCCTTCGTACCTTCCTCTCCAACATCCAAGACCCCAACACGCTCTCACGACGGTCTCCCAGCTCCTCCACAGTCTCAACCCTTCGCGAGCCCAACGACCAAGTCTTACCTCTCACCTTCGACAGTCCCTCGTCCATCTTACAAACGCACCGACACGAGCAGCACCGCCGATACTACCAATACCACGAGTTCGACATCCTCCCGCAGCCCCTCGATCCTCGACCTCGGCCACCGTTCCGTCGTCCGTCAACGTCTCGCCGCTATGCGAAACGGCCAACCACCGCCATCGAGTACAGCCCACACAAGAAGTTCTCCACGAGCGCAAAACTTCGGCGGTGGCGGTAGTAGTGATGCTGGAGCATTGTCTCCAAGTTGGCAGAGCCGGGGCCGTAACAGCCCGAGCAAAGAATATTCGGATACTGGTACCGCCTTGACGACGCCTGCGACCTCGAGAGCACCGAGCGAGTGCGGATCGACGAGTATGACCAAGTCGAGGCTTTCTGGAGTGACTCTGGCTGTCCAAAATGACGATTTTAGCTCCAGCAGTCTCAAGCGTCGTCCCGCTTCTTATTGCGCTTCGGAGGAGATAATGGATGATTATATGGATGCGCTACACGACGACGACGACGAGCATGGGCACTCAGCTTCGCGGTTAACCACTCCCGCCCAGTCGATTATCGATTATTACAGCGACGGGCCAACGACGAGTCCTGTCTTCGACTCCGAGATGGCAGGAGCTCGGGACAATGGGAATACGTCAACCGGGACGGATTCAGGTGCTCTGCACTCCAATATCCAGGACATAGCCTCAGGCCTCGATCTCCTCCTCTCCGACTCTGAGCATCAGACTTCAGATCTATCCAGTCTTCGGGGCGCCACCGCCACACTAACTTCTCAACTCAAGTCTTTGCACTCCAAAAGCGACGAGACGCGCGGTAATATACTCGCCCAGGGAGAAAATAACGGAGCGAAGGTTAACGAAGTGAAGAGGGTTGTGGAGGGCTTGAAGGCGATGATTGAGGAGGGGAGAAAGGGCGGTGAGGATGATACGAAGGAGTTGAGGGGGATGGTTGAAGAGGTGAGGAGTAGGCTGAAGGAGTTGCCTGTTCTTTTGGGTGTGGTGGAGGCTGGAAATGGAGATGATGTGTCGACTGAGGAAGGGAGGGAAATCGTTACGATGGGGAATTTGAGTCCGTTTAGGAGAGGAAAGGACAAAGTGCTTCCGGCCGAGCCTGGACATGCGGGAGGTGGAGCGACTCTGGATCAGGAGCAGGTACTGTCTTTTTCATTCCTAAGATCTCGGCGCCTCGCTGATGAGTGGGCTTCGTTATCAGCTACAGAACATCGTCGGCATGCTCGAGCAAGAAAAGGAGCAGCGAGAGACGCAGATGGCACAACAGGCGGACAGTGTACGATACCTACAAGAACTGAACACGGTGCGCCACACCCTCTTCCCTCTCTTTAGTACAATCATGTTCATGTATATGCCTTCCGCGTTCGTTTTGTAGTGGCTCGAAACCTTCGTCAACACCGGAACCGCCCAGATCCAAACCGTAGCCGCTGGCGTACATCAACTGTGTTCCGACCTAGGCCATCCCCTCACCCTCCCTCCTCCCCAACCCGCACCCTTCGATCCCGAAAATCCAGACTCCCAGCCTACATCTATCGGCGGATATCCTGCGCCAAACGAAGGGATGGAGAACAGACCGCCGACGCTGATTGAGGATTTGAGAGAGCTATTGGCGCAAACGAGGGATAGGCAGGAAAACGAGAGGGGCGTGATGGACGGGGTGGGCGAGCTTATTGGGACGTTGAGAGAGGATATGGCGAAGAATGCAGAGATGCGGGACGCGTTTTGTGAGTCTTGCTCATTTCCACTGCTTGTGACCAGGGAGTTGTGATCATTGAGGCTGATGCGAACGTGTTGATGTAGCTCTTGAGTCCGTCTTTGCGCTAATGAGCCGTCAGAAGCAGGAGCAGGAGGGCATGTTACAATCGATAGCAGCAGGTCGGTCATTATTCGTCTTTCGTTTGTCCCGGATTTGTGGGCTGATAAATGGCACGTTTCTGCATACAGAACTGTCCAACGAAATTCGCGGCGAAAGGTTGAGATTCATCGAAGCCATGAAAGAAGCTACAGCTATCAACATCGGAGGTGCGTCCTTCTCCATCTACGCGAGTCAACGAACACAACACTGATCATTCCTCTCTGCAGTCCATGTTCAGGAGTTCAAGAAGGAGCTCACGCGCGAAGTCATGCTCATGACCCAAGATGTCAGTAGGCTCCAACGCGAACGACAGGCAATGGAGCAGCAGATCGCGGACCTGTTTGCGTTTTATGGGAGGCAGAAGGCACAAATCATGGTGAGCCTAGCACTTTCATGCTGTGCTGTTCAGCTGGTAAGGTTCTGTTGAGGCTAATCTACGCCTACAGATTCCTGGGCATGCTCCACCCCCCCAGCAGCAGCAGTACCTTGTTCCGCCACCTCCTCCCAAGGGCCGTTACTGAGAAAGTATAAGATCGGTCGAAGTTCGTCGGATAGGTGTATTGGGATCGGTGTTTGCTCATTCATTCTGTCTACCACCAAGAAATACGTATATCCAATAAACATGGGTCGTATATACAACGATATCATAGCAAGGATGCATGGAGGATAGCACGGATAGCAAGGTAGACTTTAGCATATCAAAACGGATAGAGGTCATAGCATGGTTCAGAAAGGGCCAGTACGAGGCTGAGTGGACGCGCTTCGGCGGCTCACTTGCGCTGAAGATGAACGAGCAGCACTTGCAGAGTTTACGGAAGCGTCGATGAAGCGAGCAGTAGCGGCGATACGGAAGTTGGCGGGGACGACGGTATGTCTGGGCGTAGAAAGACATCTCAGCAGAGTCGTATTTGTTGGAATCATTTAAACTCACTCGTAGAGGGTCTGCACGTCATAACCTTCCTGAACGCAGACGTCTCCCTGTCCGCCCATAAGTATATCATCAGCTTCGAGGAAGGAGAGTCACGAAAAAGATGCTACGAACATGCTTCAGCACAATCGTCAATGCGTTCTTGGATCCCTTCGAGTTCGCCACAGAGGCCGTCTGGTGCTTGTGGTGCAACCGGAAATGCATCTTCGCCGGCGCACCGAGGGATAGAGAAGCGACGATTGGTCCGAGGCCGGGCTCGGCATCGGAATGGAACTTTTCGAGGCATCAGCTCCCCGGCAAAAATGACTAGTGGTTCGAAGAATTAATGAGCACTCACAGACATCTTCTGCCTCTCCATGTATGCCGCAGTCAGAATCTCGTTAAATGTCGCCGGCGTGCTGAGCTTAAGCACCTGGTTCACCCGGTCATGGATCAACTGCAGAGCATCGACGACAGCTGACGCTGCGCGGTCTAGGGGGACAGTGCCTTCTGTTCCACTGATATACTGAGTAGTTAACACACATCAGCGACCTGTTCGGGATAGTTCGAGAAATGAGGCTACCTGATACGGAGCACCACCTAGAGAACATAAAGTTAGAGTCAGCAACGAATCGAAGGGATGATCAAAGTGAACGAACTGTTCTGTGAGAAGTAGTTGGAAAGAAGCTGGCCTCTGCCTAGAAGAAAATAGTATGAGCATGGAGCGCCATGGAAATATGGGGTAAAGAATGGTACATTTATGCTGGCACACGCGAGGAGGAAATCAGCATCGTATCTAAGCAGGAGAGAGTGTAGAGACATACAGCCTGCAAACTCGCTCGGCGTAGTTTCAACGTCCCATCAGTGGCCTGCTCTTGATAGTCACGAAATATTTTGTGCGCCCTGTCGTTGGCCCATGCACCATTGGGACTGATGACATGGATCTTGGCGCCTCTGCGCGGACATAAAATGAGCAACAAAGTAAGAAGGAAGCCGGTGAAGGGAATAAACTGACTCGGTCATAGGTAGTTTGTACGTCCGAAGAAAGACAGAGCACTTCTTGCCGTCCTCCATAAACCACCTCAATGCTGACAGTTTCAGGACGCCTATAGTATGCAGAGCGGTCTTTAATGATCAAATGGCTGAGAAATGATGCGAGCTCACCTTTATCAGGCATCGGAACTTTGGAGATGGCGTCCGACGAATCCAGCGTCCAGAAGTGTTTGTGCTCCCTGATGCCCATGGGGGCCTTGATTTGAGACTGATCAATGAGATTATCATCAGGATAGTATCGAGATGTAGGACTGAAGAATAACTTACTCCACATGACTTACACTCCCAGCATTCCCACTTGCAACTACGATGATATATACATGGGATTATTGTTCATCTGCAGGCTATACCAAGAGTAAGGGCTACTTACCGAGAAGAAAATCTTCCACATTGACGACAATGCATTCCCCGTGTCTGCGTCAAAGTGTCACCTTTAGATATATTAGGTGGCAAGGGGCGAAGATCAGGTATCGCAGCGTCTTCACCCAATGGCAACTTCAAAAGGTCGAGAAATTCTGGGTTGTACTCGAGCTTCTGAGGAGCTCCGTGGTCCTCGCCAGTGCGCCAGAACATCGTGCACGTTGGGTTCAGACACATGGCTGCGTCAAGGTAAACCAGGGAGGAGGTTCGGTTGCAAGACAGACAAATGTGCTGAGGGATGGTCGGATAGAGGCTTTCAAAGGGTTTCTGTCAGTAATATTGAGATAATGAAGGGCTACTTCCATACGTACTACATTTGCTTCACTATGATTGTGCAAGTGCATCAGAGAAAGCCTTCATAGACAATTGCGCAACACTCACCAGACACTTTCCTGGAAATCACTGTGTCAGACCTCTTTGCTCTCTTAGCCCATCTCAATTCCATGTCCAGAGACTTGGCCTTGTCAGCTGAAACGAAAGCGAGGGACTTGATAGGAGCGTCGCTGTCCATTTCGTTCGCTTTCGCATCCTGAACAAGCTCATTCGACTTGTCAACGAACGTGGGTGGTATGGCAAGGCTGGCTGGCTGGTCGACGCAAGTTGGATCTGTTGCATAAGACATGGCCTCAGAGTATGGAAATGGCGAGTGGAAAATTGCACTACCTTTTTTACACCACCAAGGCAGTCCTTGCTCCTCGCACCATTGAAACGCGAATTTCCATCTCACTACGCCCTTCTCACTGCTGCCTACCCTCTGACACTCAGCTGTCCAGACCAAACCATCAAAAGGGTAATCACTCATGGAGACGCAAATGAGAACCCACCCCACGCATGAGTTATCTGATACCAGCCAAGCACAACATACGTATAACCTTTCACATCCAAATCGTACGGGAACAGCCTGTACTTATCGTCCGCGACGATCACGAGCGGCTGCCTGTTCTCGTAGTTGTTGAGAAGAGCGCGAATGGACTTGTCCTCTGCGAGCTGATCACCCGCAGCTTGTGTATGCAGCTGACCGCTGCGAGAGTGAACAGCCTCAGCCTTGCCTCCTCTGATGAATCATCAAAGCAAGAATCAGTCAAAGAGAGGGATATGAGTAAATGACACTGCGATTCACCCATGAGATATGATCAGTTTGCCGTTATGCTCGAAGACATCGCGACTATATTGACGTCAGTGTCCGCAAATGTAGTAAACCAGACAGGCAAGCATACCTAGACGCAAAAGCGCTCAGGAGATAACCTTTCACGCTCTCGTTAGAGAAGTAGACGCCGCCCTGATAACTATTGAAGTGGTCGAAGGACTCGCAAAGCTCTTGTCTGGTCTAAGAACGATGTCAGTCTGATGCAGCGCCGGGAATGGCTATACACGTACCTCGGCCCATATTGGCGGCGTGATCGGGATGGAAGGGCGAGAGAGCGGTACATCCGCGGGCAGTTCGTCGTCAACAGGAAGTTCCAATGGAGGAAGAACGAGTTCACGAGGCTGTTCTAGAGTGGTCTGAACAGACTCGTGAGCATCGCCGGCATCAGCGTCTATTTCATCAACCCAGTTCTCTAGACCTCGCGCTAAGTTCACGGCAGGGGCTGAAGGCGTAGGCGACTTCGTCCGTGCTTTTTTGGTCTGCGGTCCTTCGTTTTCCATTGCAAGCTCGATGGACTCCTTCGTGTTCAAGACCCCAATCTTGCGCTTTGCCGTTGCCTTCTGCTTTTGTGACGGGTCAGTCGGCTTAGAGAATAAGCCTTTGGGCGCAGGAGAGGGTAGGAAATATTGTTGTGGTTTCTTCGCGGTATTCGGACGCGGCGGAGGTTTGGATTCCCTTAGTTGAATAGTTGGGTCGCTGCCGTTGTTCGCCGAAGATGGTGACAGAGGCATCGAGGTTTGTGCGGTCGTGTGATCCACTAGCGCCTCAGTAAGTGTCGCAGAAGGCGATTGCGGCCTGGCCGTGGAAGGAACAACAGGATGCTGGGTCACAAGGGACACAGCTCGACCTGCCGGTTTCTGCGGCGGTTTCTTGAAGACTTGCGTCATGAGCGGAATCGACGCGGTGGAATTCTGTGAAGAGAAAAAGCGAATGGTGCGAGCGAAAAATCAGTGTTATAATATACTTGTCCCTGATCAGAATCAATACGCACCGTGTCCGATGGGGCATCGAGCAACTTGTCGACCAGCTCCCTTTCCCTTTCCCGTCCAGAGTCAGTTTCAGATACAGTCGAGATCTCAGGAGTAGTCGAGGGGTCCGGAAAGATTTGTTCGCTCCCAACGTCTGAGACAACCTCGGAGGACGCTACATCTCGCTTCACCTCAGCCTTCCCCTTCCTCGGGAAATGCAGTGACTGAATAATCTTGATCGTCTCACAATTCTTGTCGATATGGGCTTTCGTTCTCGTCTGGCGGTCTAACTCCAGCATCTCAAACGTGTTGACATTGACGGGTTTCGTTGTCGAGCTTGTATGTGCTTGTGATCGTGGTTCAAGTGCTTTGGCCTTGGCATCCTTCGTTTCCTCAGAGCTGGCTGACGGTAAGGATGTCCCATGAGTCGAGCTCACCATCTTCTGCTTGTCAGACTTGTCATGGGAGGTCGATGCCTTCGCGGGTCTATGCGTCTGTTTTCGAGGAGAGGCCGACGTATCTGAGCCTTCGTCTTGAGGGAGAGGAACGATGACGGGCTCGATACGAGGCACCGTAACTGATCCCTCCACTCCCGAGTCCGAGCTCTCCGAAACTCTGCGCTCGTCTGAGGTTTCCGATGATTGTTCAGTGGTTGTGGGTAATTGTGGTAGCTGCGTAGGGTGTTCAGCCAGCGAGGTCTCCCGATCAGAAAAAAGTGTTGACAGGTACGTTTTGTGAAACACTCACATTGCGTGACACAAGGCATGGGGAAGGAAGCTTGCTTGGAAGACGCTGGACAGTCAGTACCCGGTCCAAGGTGTCCGACACCATGCTAGATTCGACCGAAGGATTCGGCCCCGCAAAGTCGACCACTGTCGTCGAGGGTGAGTTACTCGAGGTCAATTGCGTATCTACCGGATTCGGCGTGTTCTTCTCGAGACAAGGGGGCTTATTCTTCTTGAACTTCGGATAATTCCTTGTCAGCGTCTCCCAGGGGAGGCGCGGTGTCGTTTTTGATGCAGATATCTCTACCAACTTTTGCTTGCTCTTGCCACTCATCGCTGCAGTCCGAACCCCTGAGGCAGAAGCATCCTTTCCAGAACCAAAACTTCCAGTCTGAGTCCTATTAAAGGTGTTCGTCGGACGTGAAGTTTCGAGACGAGCAAGCGAGACAGATGACGACGGAGTAGAGAGGCGATTCTTGGCCGCATTCGAGGACGCGACTGCAGGAGGTCGTACAGGTCTGGAAGCTGATGGACCGGGAGGAGGCATCGATGAAGATGGCTGACCAAATTCGCCAGTGATTCGACGAGCGGAAGAGCCAGAAGGTTTTCGCCCAGACCCGCCTAACAAGTCAGTGAACCTGGCTTTGTCGCTGTAGGAACCTTGTTGTTGCATGTGTGAAGAAGCTTCCCTGCGTGGACGAGAAGAGAGAGGAGCAGCAGGAGGAGCAGTGTATGTAGATGGTTGATGCGGAAGGGCTACAGAGATGGAGTTCGAGTGAGCGGTCGTTGTGTCACCCGCTTGGGTCTCATCTTTGTTCCTTGAGCGTGAGAGTTTTGATCCGACACGTTGGCCATGTGTCTGGGCTTCGGCCACGGCCGAAACCTTCGTCCTCTTCGTTTCTGCTGGATCCGTCTCTGATTCCGACTCTGAGTCGATGACCTGTCGACGCTTTCTCTTAATGGCGGTAGTGTTCGGCGCAGCAGCGGGGGAGGGTCCGTCTTCTTCAACAACGCGAGTCGCGTGTTTTGCGGTCTGAAGAAGAGATTCAGCACCCATGTCCTTGGGGCCCAAGCGAGGGACCCGACACTAACCTTCGACTTGGACGGTTCTGTTGCGTCTTCTTCTTCTTCTCCTCGAATGCTATCGGCTCGTTTGCGTTTCCCCCTCTTGTCTTTCGCGAGCGCCACAGAAGGGCCAACCAACTCCTGCTCTTCAAGATTGTCCACACCACGACTCCTTAGCTTCTTCCTCTGATTCTGACCTTCCACCTCCACTCGACGATCGACCATCGCTGTCGCTGAGACGTCTTGTTCGGACTTGCGTTTCTTCCTCTTGCTCTTTGTCGAGTCCTTCACGGCACTGGCAGATGATTTCTCCACCTCGGTACTCGTCAGAAGTGAATCACGGTCCTGACGTGAAGTCTCGTCTCTAGTGTTGACGTCGGCGCCGTCTTCAGGACGAGTTTCAGAGGCCATGGGGCCATCGCGCTTCAAGGAGCGACTTGAACATATAGGAAGCGATACCGAGCCGGGGTGTACGATACGAACGGAGACATAATCTGTCTGGTTGGAGCCGCCAGGGAGCTCATTGGCTACAAACAGTGGCAACAATCGCACTATTGAGCGAATTACCACAGTTATATTATCCGATAGTGAAAACTTACAGGGTACGAAAGGGTCTACAATCGACCCTGATCTCGTTCGTCTATGAGACAAAACATCCTCAGCGGCCCCACCCTCTTCGGCGTCTTTTTGCTCGACGTCTGCTATAGATTTCTTGCTAGACTTTCTCGTACGAGAGGCAGTGATCGTGCGACCAGGATCACCAGCGAGCTGGTTACCTGCGAATGATAACAACAATAAATTTAGGCTTTCACTACGCAACGGGAAGTGAATATAGGAGACTTACTCAACACAGCAGCATCTACGATCGCGCCAGACCTTGTTCTCCTAGGCTCGAGAGCTTCACGTTCTTGATCCGCTACAGCATTCCCATCGATGTCCTCCTGCTCGATGTCGACCCGAGAACGCTTCTTCCCTTTCTGAGCCTTGGGCGTCTTTACCGTGACAACAGGCGCGGTCTCAGATGTTTGAGCTTGATTAGACAGTTCGTCGAATGTGGCAACGGCATTGACGGAATTGACTTCGGGGGGTGCATCTACTGCGTCGTATGGAGTCGCTGCAGAAGCCTGTGGTATAGACGAACGATTTCGGCGCGTTTTCGGGGTCTTTGTAGGCACGGTGGTCCCATCTGGGGCAGCGGAGTCCGTCGGATGAGGTGTGGCGAGTGGTGTGGCGCACGAGGTCCGGCCGCGGGTGGCAGGTCCGTCTTCTACAAAAAGAACATCATAATCAGCACATATACTCGTGAGCATTACGGTCGCTTACGCGGGAAGAAATAAGAGTGGATATTACCCATTATTTCAGCAGGCACTTCATCAGCCGTCCTCGACTTCGTTCTCCCCGTCCTCTTCCCCGAGCCAGAGTCAATGATGTTCGCAGTATCGACACAAGCACCGACGGTATTCTTCTTCTGGACAAGCTCCCTTTCGTCCTTCTCGCGCCTTTTGAGCTTCACGCTCTTTTTAACTGATCTTGCGTCTGTGTCCGCTGTGGACGATACGTCGGGAAGAGGAGCTGGAGTCGGGACGGATTCGGACATAGAGTTCAAGATGGGCTCGTGAACGACTGAGTTGGCTGGTGCATCTTCTCCAAGACCACCATCAGCAGACTGAGAAAGCTCGTTCGTAGCCGCCGACCGTAAATGTGAATCGTCATGGCCTTCGTCGACGCGAACAGGGTCGGCGTCGGCGTCGGACACCACAATACCCTTCCTCGGACGGCCGCTGCCTTTCTTTTTGGGTCTCAAAGGAGGACCATCGGACTCGTCCACCACATTGACCGATTCTCCGGGATTCTGCTTCGACTCTTCACTTCGCGTTTTCTTTGCGGTGCGGGCGGCGGACGGTAAAGAAGCGGATATGGCCTCGGAGAGAGCGAGCGAGTTTGGGTTAGATTTCCTTGGTCGGCCTCGTCGTTTAGGCGCAGGAACAGGCGTAGACACAGGGGCAGAGTCTTCTGTCTGGGCCACATCCTGACTCGAAACAAAGCGACTGGGGCTTGGCTTGGCTGTCTTTGACTTTTGATGTGGGTAGAGGCTGCGGACTGACGTGGTCGGCCACGGGCCACTTTCATCCTCCGAGGAGACCCCGTCATGGTCGTTGTCTGACCCTTCCTTGCCACTCCTACCCTCAGCATCCCTCTTCACATCCGAACTCACTCCCTCTCCCTCCTCCTCCGACCCCAGAGAACCTTCCTCTTCTCCCGTTTGTATCACGGGAGGCACGAATTTGCCCTCGATCCCTCTCCTTTTTCTCTCCTTATTGATCATCCTCACCAACTTCCTCTCTTCCTCCCACTCCCGCTTCTCCATATCCTCATCCGTTTCCTCCAAAAACTGTGCGGAGTTGCGGATAATCTTCCTCAGACCCCAATAAAAACCGGCAAAGAACGCCACCGCGGACTCATCCTTCGATGTCACCCTCGTAGCATCAGAGTTGCGTGAGAGGTGAGGCCTGCGAGGCCCGGCGGGCTCGTTGGTATTGAAAACGAAGTTGAACCATGTTTGAGCTGCTCTTAGCTAGATGGTGATATCCCAGGGATGAAGAGTAGGATATGTGCGTCAGTAACATGCGATTGGATATTGTGGACATGTGATGGAAAGATGTACGACTCGGACGTAACAGCGGTGAAGTTCGCGACTGCCACGCGGCAGCGAGACGCGTCAAGACGCGTCGTTCACGGAAGCAGAAGCCAACGTCTGCTATCACCACTCTTTGCCCCATAGCGTATTCAAAATGCACGACGAAGAGAGGACCTGACCGACTCAATATGCGAAGAAAGAACGAAAGAAAACTCACCCCGAAACTCCCTCTCAGCTCCCTAACCATTTTCTTCCCCCAATCCACACCCTCCTTCCCTGTCTCCTTGTCTTTGCCCTTTACTCCACCCGATCCGTCCACCAATCTCTCTCTACCATCCTCCTCATTAGCCCGTAGGGTAAACCACGACTTGAACGGTTCATCCTGGAGTAGCGACCGGTCATTCCATGACCGCGGGAAACGCATCTCTGGGTCGTGTTCTGGGCTCGGATCCCGAGCAGTTTTAGTTTGAGCGCGCGTCCGTTTTGCTGGTGGAGGCGACGGCGAGGATGAGAAGTCTCGAGAAGGTGCGTGAACACTAGTAGGAACGGGCAAGTGTTGGATTATTGGAGGAGGAGAGGGCGTCAGAGGCGGGAGCTCTGAACTCGCATCCGAGTCCCCGTTGTCGTCCATTATGGCATAAGAAATTTTGAGTTAGACGGACGGGGACCTGTTCTGGTGCAAAGTTTGGCTTTGTGCGATCCGCGACCCAGAACGAAAGGGGAAAGAGACGGAGAACGAGAGAATTTGTATGTCGTAGAGTGAGAGAGCGGTCTCGGGACTCAAGAAGCGGCAGTGCCCCTGACTATATAAATTCGTTGGTCCTCAAAAAATGATCCAGGATGTTGGCTTAGGGTTTCGTGAATGGCAGAATCAGGGAGGGCACTGTATCGTGTAAAGACGGATACCGTAAAGACCGCTCCGTAGCCGATTTTCGAGTCCAGAGTCCAGTGGGAAAGGTTTCAGAGTGACCACGGCGAAGTCCCACACCTGCACATGTTCTCGATGTGATCCTGGCATTTCGTCGGGTTGTCAAGCAAGCAAATAAAAGGTTGTATGGATGATGCAGACGCGGTCTCGTCTTGGATCTGCGGAAAGCTTGCTGTAAATAACGGAGTCGCGGAGTGGATTTAGCAGTAAGTAGTGTGGCCCGGATTCCGGAATAAGGGAAGGGCCACAATTTGCGACTTCATCCGCAAAACTACAAAACCGATCAAGGTAGTGCATAGAATCACAAGTAATCAAGATGCAGAGGTATACTAGCTATACAGCACATATCAGGCTCAAACGATGAAGCCATACGAAGTACATTGGCACTGTAGTAGTCCGTCTACTCTCATCTACGGGTGAAAACGTCGTCCATCCTCTGCGTTCAGCTCTGCTCCACCATCATCACAGAACGATCTCTTCGTAGCCACACGGCCCCTCACAATATTAATCTTCACGCCTTCGTGATCTCAACCTCGATACCTTCCGTGAGCGCGTTGCTAAACGGACATGTCTATACCACAAGTGAATCGAAAAAAAAACGATCAGCACCGAACTTACGACCCTCAGGAATATTTTTTTGCCACACTGCACAACGCCAATCCTCTACAACCCACTACGGAAAAGAGAGGGCGAAAATAAAATGCTCACCGCATGGGCAGCCTGAATAATTCCATCATCATCCACCCCCTCCACGCACAGACCTACCCTCAGCCCAAGCGCTGGCCCGTCTTTCCCTCCGTTGCCATTACCATTCGTGACCCCTCCATTCAAACCATTTCCATTGCCATTGGACCCCTCCTTCGGCTCCGGGCGTCCCAGATAAACATTCGCGTGCACCTTCGCGTCGTCCGCCGCATGTGGTTTCCCAGCTTTAGAAGCGCAAAGCTGAATTGCCCCGAGAAAGCAGGCTAACATGGCATGGTGGGGCGTGCATATGTAGAGAAAAGTGGAGAACAACAGAATCATGTTCGGTGAACTATTCGGGTAACACCAATCAACACAATGACGAAACGGTACTCACAACTATATCCCAGCGCAAGCAACTGCTCCGGATTATGTCCCTTCCCACTACCCCCCGCCGCCCTCGGCGGTGCCATATCGAGCTCGAGCGGCGCGTCGCCTCCGCCCTCACTAATTACGTGACCTGAGCGGCCGGGCCCGGAGGCTGTTGCTGTGGCGAAGTACTGTAGAATGGACTCGGAATGAGCAGGATTGTCGAGGCGGGGGAATGGGAAAGTCAGTTCAGGGTTCACGAAGGGGAAGATGGGGCAGTTATGAACGGTGGCAGGATGTGGATGTTCAGGAGCAAGGGGTAGGTTGGGAGTTGGAAAGGAGGAAAGGCGCAGGAAACAAACGTACGATATGGTCTCTGATCGTAACAATCGATCTTCTGCTCTGCGATACACGCATCGTTCGTAGAGTTGGGGTGGTCGCCAGCATATTAATATTGGTACGCGTTCTCGAAAGACCGCCATAACGCGAAAGTAAAAGTGCCGTCCTGAGTCGCGATACAGACATCGTTATTTCCGAGGGCTATGAAGCTATTCGAGTCCAAGAGTAGTGGTGCTAGAATAGCGGAGAAGGCAAGTATCGCAATCCGGGGTAGACTGGGGCAGACAGAGGTTGTGGGGAGAAGAGAATGTGGGGAACCGAAACCCTTGTTGCATATGCATTCCGACGCCAAGTTCATATACTCCAAGGTATGCATTTCGTGCTCAGGCACAACTGAACGAGATGATGCAAGAAAATGCATGCACCGGCATTACTCCCTGAATGGGCACGACAGATACGACGGAGCCCTGCACAGTGGCGAGCGTTGTCTTGCCAGTGTGTGGACGGATCAAGGAATGGAGCAAGAGAAGGTTAGCCTTCACAAGGCTGCTGCGAAAACGGTCAGGTTGAGTAAGGATTTTGCGCTCATAGATGACGCCATAGGACGATGGACAAGACGGAGGAGGATGGTCTTGGGAGGATTCGGTGATCCAATGGGGAGAGATGGCGTGGCGAAGTGATGCTGGTGGCGTTGCATTGGTCCGAAAGCTTGGTGCGTCATCTCGTGGTGTGAGCGCTTGCGAAGGCGTGAGGTTCTGCTCGGATTGGGTCGACACGCAAGTGAAAACACAAGAAGTACGATGACACGACAGAAGAGAAAAGTCATACGGAGACACTACATATTGCTGCCACAGTCAAGTTTACGATGCTGGCTTCGAGGAGGTTAAAAACCTCATTTGGAGACATTGACCACGGCACCATGCGCGAACGCGCGACTGTACGGGCACAACTAAAACGGCACAACCAACACGACCTGATAAGACTCGCACAGTTGGAAGAAGAGTGACCCGAACTGACCTGATGCGCAGCGTCGATCAAGTCCTGGTCCTGAACTCCGTCAATCTTCAAATCCACCGAAAGCCCATATCCGTCGACCTCCTTCGCATCCCCGATATGGACATTCGCGTGCACCGTGGCGCTCTTCGCCTGGTCTGACTTGCCCATCTTTCCAGCCGAGACTTGGAGTGCCGTCAAGAAGCAAGCTATCCATAGAAGAGTAAGACAGCGAGGTCAACCTGGGATAGGAGCCGTATAGGGTCAAGGCAGACCTGCGTAGCCCATGGCCAGTAGCTGTTCGGGGTTCTGACCGTCACCATTCCCGCCGAGAGATTTCGGAGTGGCGAGGCGAACAGATAGACCAGCATCGTCGTCGGATTTGACCTCGCCATCGCGACCTTTACCGTGGGCGGTTGCGTGGGCGGTATACTAAATTGCTTGAAGTCAAGAAAAGCGTTGGAAGACAGGTGCTATGAGCTCACCAGAGGGGACTTAATAGTCATGAGGTTCCGCCTGAGAACAACATTGTGTTTAAGAGACGAAAACCGAAGCGCTGCTCTTGGAGTCGAAGAGCGGGAGGACCTGAGGAATGCGTTCATGGCGGACTGTTAGGAATTGAAGCTGGCGGTACAGAAAATAGGGATTGTGTAAACACAATAAAGCGTTTCATGATGCGCCCTTTTGAATGCGAGTGGAATGGGAAGTCAATGAGCAGAGCACGACAGGCGCGACGTCAGAGATCGAGTGAGAGTCGTCGAGCAGAGCAGGATCGGACGCCACACTGCTCACCTTCCGTGTGGCACCCGTTGTCGGACTTCGGCTCGGAGGCTCGCGGGGAGGGTGAGGAATCACTAGTAAAGATTGAATTCCTAAGTGAATTATGTGGTAGGTAACATCCTCTATTGCAAACGCTCACAGTACTCGGTGCGAGCATTGAAAAGATCTTGTTGACATATCGAGGCATTGCTTGCTGCACATATCGAGGTTTTTGGCAAGTAATCAACATATTACCTTGTCCAAAGTTTGACTTACTGATCTGGTCACTCGGCGGCGTATATGAACAACATCACCGATAATGTACATTTCAAAGGCGTAGTAGCAACGTACATGTATTGAGGAGGGGGGAACAGTAACAAACGAGACGAGAAATACATTCATACAATCGTACAATGCGGGCGGACGAGACTGCGAGTTTACACGACGATGAGAGGCTTCAAAAAAAAAGAGCTTTGAGCCGCACGTATTGAGAAACGGGAGAGAAGACCAGACACACATGAGCGAGAAGTCGACGATCCAGTGCCTAGACGTCAAGGCTGTTCTCAGTCGGTAGGAAGATACGAAGTAGAAGATGGAGAACGAACCAGGGCAGCGATTCACCAGTCAAGATATCCACCAGATCCGTCGACAACCAGGCGACGAGCAACATTCAGAGAGAATGCAAGAGAGAGAGGGAGGGAGGGAGGGAGGGAGGGAGGGAGGGAGGGAGCCGAGACGACGTCGAAGGAACAGACGAAGAAGCGTGCAATCCGCCGAAGAGCTAAACGACAAAGATTGTCAGCTACTAGCTTAAAGAATTGAAAAAGAAAGGGACGAACGTCTGGCAGCGAATCGAGAATCAAGACACCCGTCTGAACCAACGAGACAAGAAGCAGAGAAAAAAACAGAAGACGAGGAGAAAGGACAGTGGGGGGACAGGGGAACGACGAGGACGGAACTTGTGTGTGTTTGCGCTCAGTCAAGGGTGTAGGTGATGCCGTAGAACTCGGCAGAGGGATACTTGGCGAGGATCTGCTTGATGACCCACCAGATGGGCGTACCGTAGGTGACATGGTTATGCATGCCACGAGGCATTCCTGAGTGCAGAATTGCGAGCGCGTCGCCCGCGCCCGTGAAGATAAGGGAGCCGGAATCGCCGTGGTCCGAAAAGTCGCCAGAATTCTTGCCATAGTTATAGATGGCCACCTCTCTAGACTCGAGTCCGAGGTCGGTGCAGGTATAGGCATCCATGCCGGAATAGCGGCCTAATGTAAGCTTGGTCGAGTTGCCGTATTTGGCGACAATATAGAGGGGGTTACCGTCCTTGTCCTCCGTGTCGGGATTGATGAAGAGGCGGCGAGGTAGAGCGCGAGTGATGGGGAGCTGGAGGTCTGCTGGGATCTTCCTGCCCTCACGAACGGCAGCGATGGGCCAGAAGAGATCCTCGAGCTGACCGGCGTTGTATTGATTTCCTGAAGAGTTGAATTGTCAGTAAACAAGATCGGAATGAGAAATGGGACGTAACGCACCTAAGTCGACGACGTTACGCTCAAAATTCTCGAGCTTCACCTCATCGACCGCGAATGTAGCGATGTCGCGAGTGTAGTGGTGGTCGTCAACCCTCACGGAGATCTCGGGAGCCCAGTCGACGACACCGAATTTGCGATTGTTGATATCCTGCCATTGGGCACTGACCTCGATGAAGAACGTCTGGAGAATGGCGTTATCTTCGTCCTTCTCGTCCAAGGCATTCTTCTTGCGTCGCAGGGCCCTGCTGTCTCCCCCGCCCGACTCCAACTTGGACTCCAAGTCGGCCAATTATCCGGCAAGTCTAACGACATCGCGGTGCCCTGCGTAGACAGCATCTTCGATCTCGACGACGGCACGAGCGAGGCGGCTATCACCGCAAACAAGGATGTGCTGAGGGTTAACTCGTAATGGGTGGACGTTTCGACAGAAGCGACGTGTTTGTTGGTAAGGGCGAGGATCCTATTGCTAGGACCGCCGTTGCTGGTCTTCACCTCCCGGAACAGGAACGTGATGGTGCCCTGGGCGTCGTCAGACTGCCTGGCGATGGGGATGCCAAGGCCAGTGTTGAAGGGGTGGCTGAGGCCGAACTTGGGGCTGGTCCTGTCCTCGACGTTCATCAGAGGCGGGCCGGCAAGCCTTTGGACCGACCCTTCGTACCACTCGACTACGACCCCGGTGATCTGGGCGTCATTGAGAATGTGAAGGATGTCGGGCGTGGCATTACGAACAGCCACGGCGTTGGTGGTGTTGGGACGAACAGCGATCCACACAACAACTGGGCCAAATTTTTCCTCCTGGCCGTCCTCGACGATCGAGAAGCGAATTGTCTTGAGCGCGGAGTACTGGAGGCCTTTGGCCTTTATCGATGCCAGGATCTGGGGGGCTACGGTATCCCACACGGCGTTGAGCGGCGTATTGAAGACGCCACGGGCAGTCTTGGTGGGGACTTTGAAGAAGCGGGCTCCAGGCGGGGGTGTGGGGAAGGGGTTGGTCTCGATATCGGAACGCCACAGGAGTTTCGGAGGGTCGCCGGAGATGCCGTGATACCAAAAGTGCATCTCATACTTGGAGATCAGGTCGGGGGCAACAACATTGGTGCTGAGCTGTGAGTAGAGGGTCTCGGCCTCGCTGATGGGAGAGGCGGGAGAGGTGGGAGAGTCTTTTGGGGGAGCCGGGGCCGTGCCATACCTGCGCTTGAGACAGTCCACCGCGAAGCAGGTCACGGCTGATAACGCAAAAAGATGTGAGTACGTGGGAACTGAAACGAGCAGAAAAGAAGACAGAGAGACTTGCTGCCTAGGCGCACGGGGTCGGCCCTCACTTTTTCGACAATATCTTTGATACCCGGAGCAACGCCTACAAGGTGGACGGAAAATCATGAGTGGGAGATGGATATGCGTAATGACGAAGCGGCTCACTTTCACCAAGGAACCCGAGGGCAATGCACTCTTGGTCGGTCAGGTCGACGACCTCTACGAGAAACGCTCAGCACTCGTAGCGAGGGTGAACGACGGGCGCCACTCACTCTTGTTCCTATAAGCAGGATCCATGGCGGCAAAAAAAAAAGTGGGTAGCAGTAGAGCGCAAGTAAGTAACTCGTCGATGGGGATGAGTTGAGGCACGATGACAAAACGCAAAGAGGGGTGCTTTAGGAGCCTCGAGTGAGCCAGTTGAGTCCGCCGTGAATATCTAACGATCTCATTGAAAGTAGGCAACAGTAGCGATCGCCAATTATAAGCTCTGAATACTGTATTTGGTCATTTAAAGTGCTTTTGTAAATATATGTGGTCTATTTCATAGAGTTGAGCGCGACGGGACAAATGTTACAGATCGAGCGAGAGTCGTTGAGTAGAGCAGGATCGGACGCCACACCTCTGACCTCCGTGTGGCGCCCGTTGTCGGACTTCGGCGAGGCTGCTCCGGCGTGCTCCGACGCCGCCAACGCCAGCTGAGTTGTGCTCACCACCAGCAACATTTGCTGCTACTCACTGTCCCCAACGATGTCCGCCCTCCGTCTCCTCTCCCATGCGTCCAGACGCGCCACTGCCACCCCTGCCACCCGTGCCCTTGGAAGGAGAGGCTACGCCGAGGTGGCTGACAAAATCAAGCTTTCCCTCGTTCTTCCTCACCAGGTCCGTCCTGCTCTCTTCCTTGCAGTCGTCTTCTCGAACTGATTTCTTGTCATATGTTGGTTTGTGGTCGTGATCGAACAGGCCATCTTCTCCTCGACAGATGTCGTCCAGGTCAACATTGCCGCCGCGACCGGTGACATGGGTATCTTAGCCAACCACGTTCCTTCGCTCGAGCCTCTCCGTCCCGGTGTCGTTGAAGTTCTCGACTCTGCCAATTCATCGAAGAAGTGGTTCGGTGCGTCATGCCTCCTCGTATTCTGGAAATTCTGAGTCGATGGCTCATGTATTGTCCGGTGTCATCTGGGATGATTGTGTGGGTGGGTGTGGTGGAAATGTAGTTTCTGGTGGTTTCGCTACCGTTCACCCGAACAACAAGCTCACCATCAACGCTGTCGAGGCCGCCCCTCTCGAGGACTTCTCATCAGAGGTACGCCACTCTTTCACATTATTTCCATTCCCCTTTGCTCGCCGTCTCCTTGCTGCAACCATTGCTCTGTGCACTCTTGAACTCGTCTCACTGATATCCGTTCCTCCCCTTCCTTCCCACAAACTTACCCCCTCTTCATCCCACCCCATCGCAACTCACCATCCCACCCAAACAGGCAATCCGTGCCAACCTCGCAGAAGCCCAGAAAGTTCTCTCCGGTAACGGTTCAGAGGAGGACAAAGCCGAAGCTCGTATCGAAGCAGACGTCTACGAGGCTCTGCAGCATGCTATCGGCGCAAAATAGACGGTGGACATGCCTTGAGTGGAGATCGCTAGTTTGATGCGTGGCGTGTCGTGTCGTGTCATGTAGAGGAGAGGTGGTTTGATGCAACTAGGAGCCTTTTTGCTGTGCAATGCGGGATTGTGGTGCTCTGGTTCTGCGACGACTGTCGCTTCTGAAGAATCAGGACTCTGCATTGCGAAGTCACGGCGGCACTCGTATCTTTAGGTCCTTTGTGAGGAACGACAACAATCTGTAAGCGTGGGTATGGTGTCTTTCGCCAGCTCTTTGATCGTTGCCTCAATTCGTTTGAGTGTGGGCCGGACAGTCCGAGAAGTCAGTCTCGGAGCAGTTCAAGCAGAGGCTAGAGCAGACAGGATTCCTTTCAACAACCGAATGACAGACAGAGATATCATACACCGACACAGAGATGAACCAGATCATATGTATGAAACGAGAAAGACGCACAAGACAAGAGACTCAGGGGATGCAGAAAACAGAGAAAACGATACAAGTTGAAATCGTGGCGTGTCATGATATGAAGATCCAAGAGTGAATTAGTATGCGATGGAAAAGAAGGGGAAACAGATATATGTACATGTGCAGGGAGGTAGACGACTCCGAAAGCAAACAGATGACAATATGGACAGAACAACCAACGACAAACCAATAACGTACAGCATTACTTACACGTCTAAGTCCGAGAACGATCCAAGAAAGGGAGCAGGAAAACAACACAAACCAAGAAAAGGAACTCTGAACGCCTGACTCAGGTCCACGAGTTCAGGTTCAAGCCCATAAGGGGTCCCTGAGGACCGCCATCCGCCCCGAAGGGTATGCTGGCAGCGAAATTGAATCCATCGAGCCCCTCGCCCTGCCACTGGTTCCACGGCCCTGGCATCATCAGAGACTGCGGCTGGTATAAGCTGGGATCAAAGGGAACAAAAGAGGTGCTCGTGGTCGAGGGCCCCGCCGCCAAGGGGGATGAAGGCCCTAGCGCGAAAGACGAAGAAGGCCCCGGCACGAAAGAGGACGTCGAGGGCGCAAAGTCGAAGGAGGGCGGTGTCGGTGCTGGGGCACTGGAACCGAGGGCCAAAACGCGCTTGATGCGAAACTCGAAGTGATCGTATGCCGCCATGTGGTCTACGGCCATCGCGCTCGACGTGAGTTCGACCATGTCGCCATCGGGGTGGACGTAGCCCAGCTTGGCATCTTCAGGACTGACCTGAGTCCTGAGACCTCCAACGCTAGATGGTCCGGCCGTGGACGAGGACGAGCTAGAGGCGGGGTTTTGGCCTGTGGTATCGGCGAGGAGCCGAGGGTCGATGACCTTATCCTCGAAGCGCGTGCGAGCGATCCTGGTGAAGGAAGGCATCCAAGTCGTCGAGTATCCGCCGGAGAAGGACGTGCCCGCACCAGCTGAGCCCATGGGCATGAACGGCTGGTTGAGGGAGCGGTTGTGGAACGGAGAGTAAGATTGGGGGTGCCGCACTTGGGGGACATTGATAGGGACGATCGCCGACGTCGACAACTGTGAAGCATAGAGATAGGCGGAGGGGTTGGTGGTGAAGTTCACGGATGGAATTCCGATGGGCTGAGCGTAGGCAGACGAGTCGAGTGCGGAGGATGTGCAGGGAGGGGCCGAAGAAGAGGGATGATCGGATGGAGTCGTCGGAAGGGGAGTGTTTTGGGAAGAGTCATCATCTGCGTCAGAAACCTCTTTCTTAACGCCAGACACTACAGCATAATACTTCTCTTTTGCCTCCCTCTTCTTCGGCTTGAACTTGTAATCCGGGTATTTGAGAGCATGCCTGCGCTTCTCCTCCTTCGCGAGCAGTTCCCAGTGAGCCTTCTCCTCCGGCGTCAGGGCGCGATACTGCTGCCCCACCCAGGTGCACATCGTCGCCGCGGCTACCGATGCGGTATACTTCATGTATATAGCCGATTTATAGATCATAAATTGATTCCTCGGTCTTGGAGCGTGGTCCTGGGGCTTGCGGGAGCACTTTCGCTGGGGTGGAGTGGAGGAATGGTCATCGAGACAGATAGCGCCAGCGATCTATTAGGGACAACAGATATCAAAAATACGAGACAGAGGATCAGTACATGGACGTGTGAGGTTTGAGACACGGGAAAAGGACGAACCTCGTCGTAAGCGGGGTACATCGCAGGTGCCTTGTTTGGAAGGCCGCGGATGGTGACAGTGTTGGTGGAAAGAGGTCGTCTCTTTTTGGCTTTCTTGGGAACGGTGTCCTTGAGGGGCGCCTCTTCCTTCTTCACCCGGGAAGCGGTCTTTCGGGTCCTCGTCGGAGCCATGCTAGGATTAGGGAGGGTGGTGGGGAGAGCGAAGACAGAAGGAAGCAAAAGGAATGTGGAGCGGCACAGTCCGACCGATGTCAAGTTCGAAGTGAGTTGGAGGGGGTTTGGATAAAGGACGAAATAGCCTGCGGGGCACCTATTTATATTTTGCTCCCATTGACCATGGAAACGAAAATCTGCCCGTGCCGTAGACGAGATCGTGAACGTGTGCAGGGCAACGGCGCTAGCGACAAAAAAAGGGTGGCACATAAAGGGGAAAGGCATACAAAGATCCACACTTCCATATCTGGACGGCAAGCGAGGTCATGTTGCCAGAACAACACCACCGCGCGCGAGCACTGGATCGATCCGGAGGAATAAATTAAGGGACTGTATGCCATCGGGACGCGGCTTTCTTTGTTTTTTTCGGTGGCATTTTGACTTTGAAATCACGAAGGCAAGGTCACAGTAACCCTAGCGGGGCCATGGACCTTATTAGGAAGTGAATGCGGCTGGCACACGCCCCGCAAGCCGTAAGAGGTTTCGGAAAGCATGGGCCTTCAAATCACCTTAGCACTATGTATTGCGCTTGTTATCCAAAAGCTCAGAGGCGAGCAGGAAGTTGAATCGTGAAATGACCCTCCTGTTTTTGACACCAGAGCTAAGTTATTGGGAGGGGAGGACCCGGGGGTGGAGGAAGTTAAACGTAAACGGACACGTGTTGAAACTGGCTAGAACGGACTTTACCGAGCAGGATTGAACTTAGCGCCGAACCAGCGCCAAGCCCGGGAAGGCGGCTCCGTGCCACCATTACATGACCAACCGACACGAGCAAGGGGTTACGGCAGCGGTTTATGACGGACAGTTTCTGACGAAGAAGAGACAGTCTCGATTACAATGGATATAGACAGCGATAACAGGCTCGATATTTACAAGACGGTGAGAGCGAAAGCGTAAATTGAGACAGATGAACGCAGAAATGGAGAGCGAGAAGAACTTGGGGAGTGAGCACATGACGACTATCAGAAGAGGCCAACGCGAAAGCAATGTCGTTCTCACTACCAGCCACATTCAACGCAAGTGACCTCGATTTGACGATGGAGAGGAAGGCAGAAGTAGGGGTTGCTGTATTACTGATACATATCCATCGAACTCGATCTCACGATGGGGCTAGTATCGAACTACGACCGAGGGTTGGCGTAATGTTCCCCGACAGGGTAACAAAGAACACCATACATCGGGATCGACCTAGTGGCGGGGGAACGGTCCGAAGGGTGTTGAGAGGTGGAGGAAGTGGGAAGTGATGGGCCGTATTGCCAGATGGAGGGCCTATTGTACGCTTGAGATGAGCTCAACGTAGGGGAGGTTTCGGGCGTCATGTAGGCTTGCTCTATCCAAAGAGCATGGCCATAAGCACCAAACGACCGCATCGCGAGAGGCTGTAGATGGGCGGGCGGCACCGGGACAAGTAGAATGTGGTTGGGGAAACCAGACACGAGGTTGCTCTGCGGGTCTCCTAGGGAAAGAAAGGGAGATGGCACCTGTGCCGGTTGTGGTAAGGCTGAGGAAGGCCATGGCGACGCCATGGATATCGACGTCGAGGACGATCCCGTTCGTCCCAACGATGCTCTGGTTCCCCTCGGACCAGGATCCTGGTGATGCTCAGCTGGACGGCGTAGGTACGATGTGCTCTGGCGCTGAAAGAAAGTCAGAGAGCTGGAAGAAGAATGATAAGAGGGGCGGAAGGGATGAGCTCACCTCGACGATTGCTCTTGCAGGCATTGTGACATCGACAAGGGGTGCTGCAGCGATTTCGGGGACCAGCAAAGTAGACGACGAATCAATCGAAGGTGTAGAAGTGCCAATGACTTTCTTGAGCTGCCGAGGCTTGTATCGATACCCGGGATTCTGCAGTAAATGTGCGGCCTTGACTTCTTCCTGTCTCTGCTTCCAGACTGCCTTCTCGTCCTTGCTCATAGTCCGCCATCGTTCACCGACAATACGAGAAAAGTCTCGCTGCGAGTGACCGTGGGGAAGAAGGCCCGACACCTCACCGTCGTGAGCGGCAGCCCTAAAGAGCATAAACTGATTGGGCGGCCGAGGAATATGGCCATCCTTTTTCTGGTTTTTCTTTGCGGACCGATCCTGATCAATGCCCTTGAGACGATGAACGAAGAGGCGTCATCGGCACACGATATGTATGTAAGTCAGTCGATGGAAAGTGTTGAGTTGTGAGTGGTGGGTACGAACCGGAGAGTCTTGGTCAACGCTCATTTGTTTTCCTTTCCTCGACGGAGCCATTCTACAGGCCGGACGAGACGCGAATCGGAGGGTTACAGGCGAGCGCGATGCGGAGAGAAGCGGAGTGAGATGCGCGAGTCGCGGAGTGAGGCGGGGGAAAACAATACGGAGGGGCGGAAGAGAAAGGGAAACAAAATTTGTGGCGTTTTAAATGTCTCAGCATAGGCGGCACAACAGCGGGCCTTTGTCGACCAAATGGACGTCCAAATTTGGATTTTCCACCTGCAGTGTCATTGGTGGTGCCAACGTTCGAAGTGAAGACGTAAATCAGAGAAACCTCAAATCTATTCCGGCCCCGGGGGCATCAGGAGCAATGTCACCTGCCTGCGTAGATCCCTCAGGTACGGCCACAAGAACATCGCTCGGCCCTGATTAACCACCGGTCCAAACCGTGAGAGATCGCTCTTCTGCGATCAGTGTTCTTGACATTGTTGTTTATTAGTATGGGAGTAAGATTATCTGATCACATTCTTGTACTTGTAAATTCAAAGGTATTAGAGGAGAAAGAACATTCACGTATTGTGTGAGTTACGCGGTACTAGGCTGCCTTTGTTTGGCTGGGCACCGGATAGAATCTCGCAGCACGTTAAAATTACCATATAGAACTGGAGGAAAACGGATAACAGGGACGATAATACACTTGTCGGTATGGACAGTTCTGGCAGTAAATAGATGGGTTGATGGCTGATTCGGCCCACTTATATCTCCATGGGAAGCGTTGCATAGCTCCTCCATGCTACCAAACCGACGAGGAAGGCGAAAAAGAGCGACTTACTTTGAGTGTAAAAGGTATTGTCGCGCGCCGTGCAGTGCGTCGATGAACAATTCGAAGTACTGTACTTTTTCGACCAAAGGTTCATCAAGAATTTACGTCACCCATCAGTTTCGCCCGGGTCACGGTTCAGAAGCCGTGCGTGAGCGTGACGGGACCCGTAAATGGTTCAGAAAACAACGTAGGCGCTTGCGAAAATGATTATTTTGTGCAAGCGCCTGCCGAGGTCACTGTTCGCTCACCCTGCGTTATGCGTGAGGTCACGCAGTATTTTGTTCGGTTCATCAACGCGGAGAACGCGTGACGAACCTTTGGTCGAAAAAGTACAGTACTAGAAGAGTTTGAGGTCAGATTCTGCCTGCCTCCGAGCGGAGCAGGCATCTGAGCAGCGTGAGCAAGTCAAAGGTAGCGGAGAGTGGACGACTTTGACCGTCCAAACTGTCAAAGTGAATTGGGGCCATATATGCAACGACATTGGTGTACAGCCTTCAATTCCGGCACTGCCAGGTCTAGTCGGGAACAAGGACTCGGAGCAACTCGACCTAAGCATAAGCCAAAGAAGAAGGGCTCTAAAATACTCGATTCATCCATCTCGAAATGGTTTACCAGAGCAGACAACTTACAAGTATCCTGTGAGCGGAGAAGGTGGGAGGACAAAGAAGGTTGCCAATTCGAAACCGGCGGCAAATGAGCCTGGTCGGACCCCGATCACCTCCGTGAAAGGGCTCGCGTGGCCGGCCGTTTTTGGACTGGACGTCGTCACGTCGATGAGCGCTTGAGCCAGGGAGCCTCTACAACTTCTGAAGGTCCACCGTCGATAGAACTGACGACTCACGAGCATTCCGCTATCATGTACAATGCTCTTTTGGGTGTCTGCGTTGGCCTCCGTTTTCAACTGCCGTCAGGCTCGTCGAACGCCATTAGTACACTCCTCGCTCCTCCTCAGGTTATCTGCTGACCACTCGTTTCCGATAGTACTGGACGCATTATCTCTTGCATGTGTGCATAGTACTTTCTGTCATCTTATGCTTTCTCAGAGCTAGGGTCAGGAAATGTTAACACGCGCCGAAGGCACAGTCACCAGTGGAGCAACTGTCCAGCAACTGCCAAGATAGCTTTCTGAACTAGGTAGTAGGAGTGAAGATGACAACAAGACGATGGAAGGACTGGTAACAGGAAGACAAGTACTAGCTGCGTAATTGTTTCTGTTCGTTCTCCCCCCGACCTGCGAGGCCGAGCTGGTGCGGATTTATGCTAGGTTCTTCGACGCCCGTCGACTTGACTCTCCGAGTCAGCTCCTCCATCCTCTCCACGTCGAATCAGCGCATACATATCTTGTTGTCACCGGAATAATCCCTCTCTTGAAATATCATCATGAGTTGTCCTCGTGCCTGTGCTCGTGGACCTGTATTTCTGTCTCTATTAAAGCCCTTCGTCCGTCGTATCCCTCCCTCTGGTCGACTCCAACACATGTGCCTTTTCCAAACCCAGTGATGTGTCCTTTATTGTAACAGTGTAAATCCTCATCGTCGAAGGAATGCCTACTCACACCCTAACATCGATACATTCCGAGATAATCAGATGCGACCGAGAACCATCCAGAAGGGATCATGTGCTGAAGCTCGCTCAATTGGCTGAGGCGCCTCAGAGCATCGTTGAAAGGCTTCAAGGTTTCTGAGAACACATTACCCATGAGCTGAATTAGTACCAGATGAGCACGATTTGCCGTGAGTACTGTACTTTTTCGACCAAAGGTTCATCAAGAATTTACGTCACCCATCAGTTTCGCCCGGGTCACGGTTCAGAAGCCGTGCGTGAGCGTGACGGGACCCGTAAATGGTTCAGAAAACAACGTAGGGGCTTGCGAAAATGATTATTTTGTGCAAGCGCCTGCCGAGGTCACTGTTCGCTCACCCTGCGTTATGCGTGAGGTCACGCAGTATTTTGTTCGGTTCATCAACGCGGAGAACGCGTGACGAACCTTTGGTCGAAAAAGTACAGTATGAACGATTGTCTTCCTCGATCTTCGAGTCAGGATTCCGAGGCTAGTGAGTATGATCCGAGTTTTGAAATCTCCGGCGTCGTTCGCTCCTCACGCGTCCCATACCACCACTCTCAACAACTTGCCGATATTCAAGTGCGAACGATGAGAGAAAATCCCAATTAAGCAAGACGAGACCGAGTCGGAATTCATGAATTCGCGCAGACCGTGCGGGGTGAAAGGGCGGAGTCGCCGCGGACGACGGACGTTCCCGCAAGAATCTGAAGTTGAACGAGCCCGGCGTTGTGGCTCAGTGCCGCTGCGTGGCGGAAATTGACACATGTGTCACGATGAAGTTCAAGCGAGGAGAAGGGCTTTGATAAACGGCGAAGGACTAGGCAAAAAATGAAGACGAGGCACAGCAGGCGACAGCAGTATGAATTCCTTGATAGGTATTGCAGAGAAAGATATGTTCGGAGAGAGGACGATGGCCAAAGTATATGAATATATTCATTTCTTGAGCAACCGAAACGGACAAGGAAACAAGATAGCTGTATCGATAAAATGCTTGAGGAGAACAGCAGCGAGGTAGCGCTACGAAGAACGAGAGCCAGGAAGCTAAGCAAAAAGCAGATCCGAAATATTGATGACGGAGAACAGACAGAAATGTCTTGGAGGAGAGCGGAATAAAATGAAGATACAGCAAACACATCGGGGAGACAGGATCGATCGCTGAGAGTGGTGAGAATAACTACCAATGGCGAATATCCTCAAAGGCGTACTCGAAGTACCGCCCATGGCCAAACTGGAAGGGGGCACGTATATCCAACTCCGCAAACATGGCAGCTTCGCTACTGTCACCGACGAGGGGCATCGCAAGTCCAGACGGAGCCTGTCTGTTCACGTCGGGGTTGGTGAACTCTGCGGGCAAACTTCCATGTGCGAGTGGAGGAGTCAACGACGCAGACGAAGCGTTGGTGGTCGGAGGACTGGCGTGGTCGTTCCCGATGGAAGTGGCAGGAAAACCCCAAATCGCAGAGTCGTTAAACGAAGGCGTTGGCCATGGGATCGGAGGAAGCTGGATATAGCCAGCGGCCTGCTGTGAATGTGACTCAGAGTACGAGTCAAAGGCCACGTCCCCAAACTTATTTGGCGACAACGTGAATTGGTTATTCGTCGACTGTTGGGGCCATCCCGAAGGCGTCTGAATCAGCAAGGGAAAGGACGAAAGTAAGGTCAATATGCAGGTTCGAGTCAGAAGCGAAGGGAATGGACGTACCCGAGGGAAAGTGTGAGACGAATGGTGATCCTGGTAAGTCGAAGAGCCGCCGGTCGCGATGCTTAGAGGGGCGGGTCGAGAAATCGAGGGCCACGGAAAAGCGAGAGCAGGCAGGGGGAACGCCTGGACTGAATATGCGGGTTGTTCGAATTCGTGGGGGGTTGTGAGACGGGGACGGGGATGGGAGGGAACGGGACCACGCATGGGGTCCATATATTGATGGCCTGCGGACGGTGGGACATTGAACTGGTCAAGGACGTCGGGACGTCCAATGTGGGGAGTTAGGACCGGCGCTGGTGCGTGGGGAGAAGCGAGAGAGGAGGATGACGGGAGTGAGGGAGGTAGGGGATGTTGTAAGCCGTCATCGAGTGGGGTACGACGCGCCTTTTTCTCGCGATGGCCAGATTCCTTGGGTCGCACCTCCGCGTAGTCTCTCTTCCGTTGCTTGGATCCTGCTGGGTTTTTTCTCGGCTTCGGTCGGTACTTGTACCCTGGATTCTTGATTTTATGCTCCTCCGCCTCGACAGCCGCCGCGTCCTTGTAGGGCTTCTTTTCTGCCTCAGTCAGAGCCCCCCAAGCCTTACTGGCGGCTTTAGTGACCTCCTGCTGCCATTCGAACGGGTCCATCTTCGCATCCTCAGGTTTCTCCAGCTTCGAGCTGAACATGCTGCGAAAGTGAATCCAATCATTTTTCGAGCGCTTGATGTGCTCATCGTTATGGCCTATTTTGCTGCCAGGGTTTTCCTTGGGTTTCTGGGGATATCAATAAGCATCAGAGACGCAAAGTGAGGGGTAGCAGTATCGGGGCAGGGAGAAGAGAAGGGAGAGGGAAAGACGCACTGGGGCCTCAGACTTAGGGGCCTTGCGTTTTTTCTTGCCCTTTTCCTCGGGAGCAGGTGTCGGAGTCGTAGTCGCAGGCTTGTCGTTTTGTTTCTTTGCCATCGTCGTCGAGGGGCGGGGGCGGAGAGACAACGGATGCAAACTGGCGGAGATCGCTGAGCTGATCGGAGGTGGGGAACAAGGGAGGATGCGCGGAACGGGGAATAAAGAGAGGACGAACAATACTCCGCCCTTTTATACTGTCTCAGAAAACGATGCTGGCAAAGCAAGGTCAGCCAAAGTATGAGTGGCACCCCAACTCAAGGCGGCACCTCAATCGGGCACGTCCTTTCCAACCCCACGCGCCCAGTCAGTGCCATGTCAGCAACGTAATGAGCCGCAAAAAAATGTGAATGTGATCTTAGAGTGTGGTACTTTCCCACCCGCGAGGGGCGAAAGGCGCGGAGCCCAGCTAGGGCCGCGCGCGTGTCGAGCAGAACAAAGGGCGCAGATTTTGGTGACAATATGGCGTCGCCCTTCTTACGCTATACCCATTGTATATTCATACCGAATAAGGAGAAACAGGACGATGGGGCTTGGATTTCGTTTTTAGCGTTTACGTGAGTTGAGGAGCTTCGGGAGGCAGGTGCTCCCCCACATTCCGATTCGAAGCTAAGCGCTGTCAATCAACGAGACACGCAATATCAGGCGACAGCCTAGTGCCTGGATTTTCTCCATTTCTCACCGTTTTCTGAATCCCTTGGGAAAATACACTGTGAGGATCCGTTAGTAACGGTGGAGACCACCACAAATCGAGGGGAAAGGCGATTTTATGCCCGGCACCCTGCCGGTGCCTTCGCGGACGCGCATTACGCGTTACGTGTAATTTGCAAACCTTAAAAAATATTCGAACAAACGTTCTGCACGAAAAGGATTCAAAACAAGTCCCCACCTTCTCGAAGCAAACGAGGCACTGGCCAGCAGGACGCAAGGATCCCCGGTTCAAAATATGAGACAAGTTGCGGCTGGATCACGCCGACAAACTCGAGATGAGATCAGAATATGCATTGTTATCGATTGGCACCAGTTTGGAGCGGTCAAGGAACTCTGGAAGCAGAATACGACGTCGAGGTCAAAGTCAAGGGCTGTGCTACCGTAGCAAGGAGAACACTTGAAGGCGATGATCCGACGTGCCAATGCTTAGCAGTTCCCAAGAATTCTCATCCCACTACGCAAGCCGAATTAACCGCCAGTCGTGGCACAACACTCATGGCCGAAAGTCGTTCTCCAAGTCCAGTCGGACAAGAACAGCGAAGTGAGATGAATAGAACTGCACGACTCGGAATTCGTAATTCGGGCTCGACCCGTTGGTAGACCCCGAACACCTCGCCCGCCCCGCGTTCCTGCGCCGACGTGTGCGCGCTAGCGCCACGCATACCAATTCTCTCCACTTCCCTCCAACACGTCCTCCGCTCGGTTCTGTATACAGGTTTTCTCGGTCGGTGAACAACGAACTGGACGCAATGTCTCTCATTTTGACCATCTTTGCGCTTGTCTTCGTCTCTGAGCTCATCTCATGGATCGGCAAGTCTGTCCTGCTCGCCTTTGTGAGTGTGGCGCCACATCCCCACCACATTTCATAAGCACTCAATCTCTGTTCTCACCATTTGCGTTGTGTCGTAGGCTTGGACGATATACCAGCGCATCTTCAATGGCGCGGCCGTCATACGCCAACGTGAGCTAAAGACGGAACTGCTCGCGAAGAAGCAAGAGCTGCAGCAGACGAGCGCGCAGGACCAGTTCGCGAAGTGGGCGAGGTTGAGGAGGACAGTGGATAAAGGGCTGCAGGATCTTGAGAAGATTAGTTGCGTGTCTCATTATTTTGGCTCTGTCGCTCAAAGTCCACACTTTTCCGTCAATGTCCCACCTCCCAACCTTCTTCGCCACTATTCGCTAGTCTCTCCTTAGAGGCTATACCGGTACGACCCTCACCATCCACCCTGTACTGACCGACGCCGTTCTGTCTCTTATTGCGTATAGATTCTGAGCTTAGCTCGTCTAAATCATCATTCTCCATGAAATTCAACACCGCCCTTTGGGTCCTCACGACAGGTGTCCAATTCATCGTAGGCTGGTGGTACCGCTCCGCCGCCGTTTTCTATCTCCCACCGACGTGGTTAGGTCCATTGGCTTGGTTCCTCGCGTTCCCATTCGCGCCTGCAGGTGCGTTGTTCGTCGCCTCCTCAGCTCGGTCCCATTTATTGCATTCATCCTTCTCGCTCTGATGTGGCGATTGTGGCGATATGGGTGCTGATCATGCTGACTTTGTCTCTTCCGATGTAGGCTCCGTGAGTTGTGGCGTGTGGCAGATGGTGTGTCGGAGAGTTATTAAAGTCGGTGAGAGGGTCGTCAAAGATTTGATGGGTACGTCTTGTTTCTCTGTGTCATTTCCTATGCCTCGAGGGTGTCCTTTGTGGATTGGTCTGGCTTGGCTCTCGGTTCCTGCGACTATTGCACGGAATGGTTGGGACGAATAGCAGAGTGCATCACAGGTGTACCTGTGTCACCATTCCTGTCCGGTCTTCATATACCACCTGTCAAAACACTCATAAGTCGCGGGACTTGTGTCGTGGAGATCAATGTCTGTAGCCCACCAGACCGTCCAGCACTGTGGTTCTCGGGTCTACCCAATCGAGCCTATGCGAGGCCAAGTCATGCTGACTTCCTTTCGTCTATTTCCATCCAATACCACAGCGGATTCCGGTGCTTCCGCCGCACCTATCGAGACCGAAACGGAGGATCAGAGTTCCACCAACGGTACAGAGAAGGCGAAGACGAAGTCAAAAGCTCAATGAGGACTATGAACGGCGTTCCGTTACCTTGCCATGGCTAGGTTGTGCGTTAATACAACGGACGACTTAACGCGATATGACGTGTCTCGTCTCATGTTCCATCCCCATGGTCGATGCGTGAAGGCGAGCATGAGAACGTTCGTTGCGCCGAAGACTCACCGCCAGTATCAAGACTCCTTGAGACATGCTTGAGCTTGCTTGACTGCTTAACTTTGGGTTCCAAGAACAGACATTATCATGCCTATTGAACTCCGTGGCCCTTGTGCGTATTTTCGAGTTTAATCATGGTCGGCTCGTGTTAGGTCTGGGAACCCTCTGTCGAAGTGCGCTCGGTGACATAATACCCCCTCTGCTGGGTTGATCTATATGTTGTGAACTCAATCAGAGTTTAAACTTTCCTTATTCACACGTCGTCTGGTGCTGAGTCCTAAAAGCGTAAACCACGGTGTTGGACCGGGAGCTCGCGAGGACGTTCGGTTTTAACATGACACTGGAAGACCACGAAGCAAGTTCAACGAACGGTGAAGTCACGGAAACTTCCTGCAGGTCGCAAACATCCGTCGAACGTAGATCCTAGGAGATTCACGTGTATTGTTTGGAGAGGATGGCTATGAGGCAGTCTACGTAGACAGTGACTCTGAAAATGCTTCTACACCACTCGCTCGTTCGCATCTGATTGACCGGGAAAGGGTGCACGAATTCTATTGTACATTGTGGCGGTCTCGGTATGTCCAGATTCCTCCACTTCCACAAAAGCCGAGCGCCAGCCCAAAGGCAGTCCGTGTGGACGAAGAGGGTCCCCGATAGGCAGCAGGAAGAGCGTCGGGACTGGACGTGAGACGGGGTGAAGTTGCGGAAGAGAGTTCGCGGCGTGGGACGGCGTGGCGGCGGAGAGACGGAGAGTTGCCATTCTTGGCCGCATGTGATATCCGTGGACGCGACTTGAGCATGACGTCCTCGATTGAGCGGAGGCTCCTTCGTCTTGTGAACAGCGCTCCCGTCCAAGATGCGGGAACGGATACTCGGAGTGCCGTGCACCCACACAAACTATATAATGCCCCTCAACATCCCAGCCGGTTCAAACGAACATCCCTGCCCCTCTTATCCATATCTCTAACGCTACGAACATCCCCACACTCCCACAACTACGATAGTCATGGTACAAGGCGTATCCATCAACACCCAGGTCTCCCCCCAGGCTCAGGAGCATATCCTTACCGAGGAGGCACTCAAATTCCTTGCTGCTCTTCATAGAACCTTCGAGTCCACTCGCCAGAGCCTCCTTGTCGCTCGCGAGTCTACCCAACAACGTCTTGACTCAGGTCTTCCACTAGACTTCCCTGCTGAGACCGCACATATCCGCGCTGAGCCATCATGGCAATGTGCTCCTCCGGCACCCGGACTCGAGGACAGGAGAGTCGAGATTACGGGCCCGACAGATAGGAAGATGGTTGTGAATGCGCTCAACAGTGGCGCGAAGACGTTCATGGCTGATTTTGAAGGTGCGTTTATCCGTCTTTTTGTCATCATTTTCTGCTGTATTTATCGACATTTCTTGGACATATGAAGATGCTTCTTCGCCAACGTTCAAGGCCATGATCGAGGGTCAGGTCAACCTCTACGATGCCATCCGCCGCCAGATCGATTTCGAAATCGGTGGCAAGTCGTACAAACTCTCACCCAACCCCGCTGTCCTCATCGTCAGGTAAATATTTGTTTTTATTCTATACGTCGAATTTTCGCTCACTAAACCACTAATTCAGGCCTCGAGGCTGGCATCTCGACGAACCCCGCGTCACCGTCGACAACACTCCCATATCCGGCTCCCTCTTTGACTTCGGCCTCTATTTCTTCCACAACGCCGTCGAACTCGTCAAGCGTGGCTCCGGTCCTTACTTCTACCTTCCCAAGATGGAGCACTACAAGGAGGCACGGCTGTGGAACGACGTCTTTGGCTTCTCGCAATCGTATATCGGCATGTCGCACGGGACTATACGTGGGACCGTGTTGATTGAGACGCTGCCTGCGGCGTTCCAGATGGAGGAGATCTTGTTCGAGTTGAGGCAACATTCGTCTGGTTTGAACTGTGGACGGTACGTGACCTTTCTGTGTCTATTTGTGTGCACGCATGCTTATTGGACTATTTATTCTTGTTTTTTTGTAGATGGGACTATATCTTCAGCTTCATCAAGCGCCGTCGTGCTGACAGGAGCGCCGTCCTCCCCGACCGAAAAGACGTCACGATGGAAAGCGGCTTCATGGACTCCTACGTCCGTCTCCTCATCCAGACCTGCCATAAGTAAGCTCTTCCTCCGTGCTCCCCTTCCTCTCACTCTGTAACTTACGAGCCACGTTTACAGGCGCAAAGTCGCGGCCATGGGCGGAATGTCCGCTCAGATCCCCATCAAGGGCGACGAGAAAGCCAACGAGATCGCTATGGCCAAAGTCCGTGCCGACAAGTATCGCGAAGTCTCGAACGGACATGACGGGACTTGGATCGCTCACCCGCTCATCAACAAGATCGCGATGGAGATCTTCAACGAGCACATGATTGGTCCTAACCAGGTCCGTTCTTCTCTCTACCCATCCCGGATCTCTACTCCTGCTCACCCTTTATTTTTTGTCCATAGTACCACATCCGTCGCGAAGACGTCCGCGTCACCGCCGCCGACCTTCTTAACACCAAAGTCCCAGGAAAGATCACCGCCGAAGGCGTCCGCGGCAACGTCGCCACCTCCCTCGCCTACTCCGGCGCCTGGCTCGGCGGCAACGGCTGCATCCCCCTCAACTGGCTCATGGAAGACGCCGCGACCGCCGAAATCACGCGTGTCCAGCTCTGGCAATGGGTGCACCACGGGTCGAGGCTGGATACGGGCGAGCCGATTACGGCGGAGTATGTCGATAAGCTGGTGGACGAGGCGGATGAGGAGGTGAAGAAGGCGGTGCCGGGGATTAAGGAGGAGCATTTGAGGATCGTGAAGGAGTATTTGAAGACGCAGGTGAGGAAGGCTTGGCCGAGTGAGTTTTTGACGAGCGATTTGATGCCGTATTTGGCGGCGGCGGATGGGGTGCCGGTGAAGTGGCAGAAGAGCTCGTTGTAGATTTCTGTGTGCGGTTCCTTGGGTTGTGGCCTGAGCTTTTCGAAGGAATGTACGATGTTACCACCTCTCAGTTTCGTGTCCTATTAGTTTTGCGGTCGCGAAGTCATGCGCTTTTGTATTATAGTATCTGACAGCTCTGTAATGTTTAACGACTTTCAATGATACGAGCCACTATTCCCCAGACCACCTCAAGCAAATCTCAGGGCGTATCAAATCTTTGTCGCAAATTATGCTAAGCTCTAGTGGGCGCCTACGCCACACATTCGCACAACTTCACTTGCTCTGTAGACGCTCATGCATCATGTTCGACAAGCGTACGCGTAGAGACGGGCCGCCACCAGCACCGGTGAGTTGTTTGCTACAATGCTAGAAAGTCGAGCAGAAGACTGGAGGGAATCAGTTGGTAGCAAGTATAGTATCCACCGCAGAATGAGTTCTTGCCCACCAAGTCGACAATGGAATGCTGCTGTAGAAGAAGATGCGGAATTCGGTCATTTGAGCGTCGTGGCTTGATTGTGGCGAGGGCCGACTCCGAGTCCTGCGACGCGTATGCAGTTGGCACTGGCATCTGAACCACGAGGCCATATCGATAGGTTCAAAGGCATCAAGCAGAAGCAGAGAGAAATACCGATGGAATTCTGTTGGCAGTATTCGAAGCCGAGGAGCGCACATCACGCATTGCCTGCGCAGGCCTGCACGTCGACTTCTACGACGTCGTTAGCGTATCTGAAATTCAATCCGGCCGAGGCTGTTGCACAAGAGATAGCGCAAGAAACGCGAGTTCAAAGTATCGTGCCTTGGGGTGCCAACAAGCTCTGAATACTCTGCTCAGAGAGAATGCTCGAGATAGTTGCGCGACATGAGAATGAAGATGAGAGTCGAAGTTAAGACGCGGCGGTGGGCCCTGCCAGTGGTGGGCCACAGCACAGCAAAATCTGTGGCGAGAGTTGGGTTACGAGGGGCAGGCCCGCCCGGGCCGTGCATTTGGAACTGAGCTTTGACTGAACTTGTCGCGCCGCAGGTTCGTTTCGCATAACCACCACCTCAGCCCCTTGCACGACTCTGCTTCATACGAGGAGTGCCTGCCTCCCTAGGATCGCTTGGAGATCCTGGATAAGATATGCCATCTTCAGTAACTTTTCTGCATCAAAACCTGATAGACCTTGGGAACGAGTCCGACCTATCCTAGGGCCGCCACCTTCTGCCGTGCATGACAACACAGCCCAGCACCGAGCTTTGTAGCCTCGAGGCAACTTGCATCCCACGCCTGAACTTGCCTTATTTGATTCTTTCCTTTTCGAGCAACTCCGTAGCTTTGCTTTGCTTTGTGCTTTGGCCCTTCCGCCAGCGTGGTCCAAAAATGGGAAGTTTTCTGGCTCGGAATCTGGGGTTGAGCTCTGAACATGAGGCTCTTCGTATCTCGCACTAGGAGAGCTTTGATTTCGAAGCCGTGTGGCTGAGAGGCATAAATAGAGGATGTTCGAATGGGTTGGACGTCCCAGTTCACTCCGCCTTCATCCCATCGTACCTTGACTCGCACCACACAGATATATCTTGCCAGTCTCAATCCGTTGCACTTGTCCTCATTCTTGCCTTCGTCTACGTCTCCACTCTCCTGTTCGGACTCCCATATATCACTTCAGCTTGCTCGTCCTTCCTTCGCCTTCTTCGATCTCAATAATGGCAGAGCCCAAGTGGACGCCCGCCGAATTCCGTGCCCATTATGGCGGGAATTTTATTAGAGACTCGACATATACAAAGGTGTGCACGCTTTATCGTTTCGTTAGTACATGTATCATGTCTGAGCATCCTCCATCTATAGTTCTGCCGCGTCAAAACACAGGACTTCGTAACCTGCGAAGTAGATGGCAAACCAGAAAAGCGTCCTCGTCCCCCCAACAGTTTCATGGTCTTTCGTGCTTGCTATGGCAAAGAAGGCTATTCACTCCCATCGGAATGGAAATATTGTTATTCACAATTCATCAGTCATCTGTGGCGAGCCTTGTCCAATCAGGATCGTCGCCCTGCCGAACGGGTAGCTGAAGAACTCAAAGATGCGCACACTAGGATCTTCGCCGGTTACAAGTACCAACCCGGGTTGAAGGCCAAGTCACTCCAACATGAAACCGAGGCTGAAGGCGTGGATGGGCGATCCCAGGTCAGCAGGTCTTCAGGACCTCAAAGACAGACAAAGACCACGATCATGGCTAGGCTTCAGGCAACATCATCGCCCTCCCGACGCTCGAAGCGCCGCTCTACCTCTACCAATAACTGCTGGGTCTCGACGTGGCCCCTCTACGACCCGAACGATCAAGACATCCAGCGCTATCCCACCCCCACCCCTAGCCCCGCCCCTTCCTTCTCATCCACTTCATCGCCCTCGAGCTCCTTCTTTGCTGGTTCGTATGACTATGTGCCCTCGCCATCGGTACCCTCGCCACTCTCCTCAACCCCCTCGCTCGTCTTTACTCCCACGTCCCCCACCCCCACATCCTTCCCGGTCACTCCCACATCACAGAGTTCCCCCTCCGTCGCAGGAACATCTGCATCCCCGATTCCCCCGTATGCCACACCATCGTTCGAATCAGAGGCTGTGTCGCCAGAATCGTGGGATTACGAGGGTGCAGGGGCTGGGAGTCCGTCGAGCGGCTATGGCTACTGGGATAATACCTGGTTGGATGAAATGGGGATGCAGCAGACGATGAACGAGGACCTGTATCAGTCGTCATCGACGCCGTCCATGTCCTTCTACTCCAATCCAGTCCCCTCCACCTCTCAGCTCGGAGCCACGTCGCCAAGCTCATCGACACATCCACACCCCATCGCTGATACCTTCCCATGGGACTTCGGCCTAAGCCCCTTACTCTCGCAATATATGAACACAGAGACGTTCACGCCCACCTCCCCCGATCAAGGGTACTCACCTCAGTATCCCGACGGATTTCTCCCAACAACCTCACAAGAGGACGCATTCTGGTACGACCCGAGTACGTTGACATCGCAAGGTTCTGCATATGATCCATCGTCTTCGGCGGTAGATACGGGTGTAGATGCATCAGACGAACTGGAGGTATGGTTGCAGGAGCGAATCGCTGCGGGGACTCAGATCGGTGGAGGGGGTGAAGATTTGTGGGGTCATGGGTTTGCTTGAGTGTTCGTCGTGCTGTATGCTTCTTTTATTCTCTCTCATCTATTGTTTGCGTTCTGTTTTTGTTTTCGCTGTTGTCTTTCCGTTGCTATCCTGCTCGTCTGGCTCATCGCCTTGTTTTGCTTATTCTTCTAACTCATCTATATATTCTCGCATCATCGCGTCCTCCATGACATTTGATTCTTTTCTTTTTGTCCTCTACATAATCTCTAACCCTCTCCTTGATCCCTCTTCCAATTACTTGCTCAATATCTCGTGACCGCCGGGACTTTTTTTATGCCTTCACTTATTGTCTTTGCATTCGTCGTCTCTCGCATCTGTTTTCGATATAATAGTCGCTTTCGAACCACATCATGTATTCATCTTCTCCTCCTGTATACCCTGTGGTTCACCCTTTTCTTTGTGTCTCCGCCGCTGTCTTGCTCTTGCTCTGCTGTTTTGACTGTACATTGGACTATTTCGCGTATACGTTGCACTACTGTCTTTCATCTCGTTGTCTCACTGTATTTTTCTGGTCGTGACCTGTTATATCTATAATCAATCTGCGATTCTATTGGTCTATGAGGTTGTTACGTCCCCATTTTATCAAGCATCGAGCTTCATTCATCACGCTGAGTTGTGCCACCGCCACTCAATCGAGAGAACGCGATCACGTGCTGCCTCCTAATGGTGTAAACTTTAAAGTCAAAGCGAGTCGCGACTCGGACTTTTCCCACTGTGACTGTTTTTCCTGGCACTTACCACCGTCGGGCGATGATGAGTGCAAGAATCTATTCGAAGGCCAGACGGACATCCTTTTCCTGAATGTAAAGCCTCCACCGCTCTATAATGTCGCGAATATTTACGAGCTAAGAAAGAACAGTGACCAGGCCACTTTGCTCAGCTACGTAGCATATAAATTCCGTGAGTCCTTTCATGCAATACCCTGCAATAACATGAGGTACATAACTTATCAACGCGATCACGTGTTATGCCGTATACGTCAAACAATAGGTTCCGTAAGTCCACGCCCCTGCCACAGATGAGCAAGTCGGCAATCGTCTGTACGCGTTTCCCTCACCTCCTTCCCTTTCTGCCACCACCTTCCCGACCATCTCTTGCCAGCGGCCCTATGGCTCACGCTTCAAAGGAATCATCCCCTGCCATATCTTCCTGTTCGGCTTCCTCTTCCTCGACACCCCATGCGATCGCACCTCTCCTCCGTTCCGAGCCGATTGGGCTTAAAAATCCACTCTTGATCGTGCAGGCGCCACATCTCTTTTCCGCTCATTATCGTGCGTTTGGCGACAAGCCAACGTTGAGGAATCATCCTGCGCGTTTTCCTCGTCAGGGGCCTCATGCTTCTAAACCCGTGCAAGGATGTTCGACGCACACACCCTACCACTGCCATCCGAAGTCGTATCATCTTTCTCCCCTTTCGACTGTCACATCTGTGTTTCAAGAATGCGGCTCTTCACGATCTCTGCAGAAGACGAATCGTTCTGCGGCGATGACTTCCTCGAAAAATTGTCAGCCTGATATCTCGATGGATACCACACCAGAGCTTGGTACGCGGATACGGGCCCAGTCCCAAGTACGTTTGGACTTGAAAAAATATCTCTACCAGGAAGCAGAGGCTGCCGCAGTGGAACGCTACCGCGCCGAACGAGCTGCACGAATGCGTCGAGAGACAGAAATGCATCTAGAGAGGATGGAGACTAAGAGGAAGGAGCGTGCCGAGCGGTCTGCACGTGAGAGGGAGCAGTTTCAGCAGGAGCAGAGAGAGAGGAGTTTGGCATTTCAGCAGGAGATTAGGGACAAGGCGGACAAGTTGGCTGGCGAGATGAGGGATACGAGGGCGTCGATGGAATGGCATGATGCGAGGAGGATTCAGAGGGAGCGTGAACGAGAGAAGGAGGAGGCAATGGAGGTGGATCAGGAGGAATGCTCCTACGAGACTATGCTGGAGGCGATCGAATTGGCACTGAGGCAGTTGCGGATTTGTGATTGAGTGGCTCAGAGTATGTATACAGGCAGATGGTGTTCTCTCGCAGATTTATTTCGAATCTGGTGCTCGGTACATGTGCTTGTTTTATGTTTGTGGTTACACCGACTGTGCGACTTTTTCTACCTTTCGACTGTATTTATTTATCGTTCTTTCTACATAGTCTATCAATTTACGAAACCATACGAACCGCATCGATACCTATTGTATTCTTTCGACAAAGACGTCTCCTGGGGGGTACGACAACATGGATCTCGATGGAGATTCAATGGAGGTTGAAGCTTGAAGAGCAGAGAGTGGCGTCTGTGGCGAGCTAAGCGGAAGCATCCGGCTGGCGCCTCCCTCCTCCCTCCCGTTTTTGATTTTCATCTCGTTGCCCTCGCTTCGCTCATCGCTACCGACCCCTACAAGTCTCTCGACGCTTTGTCTTTGGAGCTGTGCTGAGGTAATGATGCATATCAGCCTGAAAACTCTCGGAGGCGCACCAGATGCCTGTTTTCCTCGATCTAGCCTGACGCTGCATCCGGACTGGCTCGATTTTCCTTCCCAGCGGCCAACGTCGTTTGCTACTCTTCGTCTAGGTCCTTGTGTACAATACGATAACATGCATCTTTCCACACTATCATTTGCGGAGAAAACCCTGAGGTTGAGACTGTTAAACTCATAATGTCTCGGCCAGGATCCTGACATCTTCCGCCCGATTGAAAGGCCGCCATCTGAATCCGCCACTCAGCTGCCAGGGCCGGTTCGGAACCCTCACCTTACGCTCAAACATCCCGCACTTGTGGCCGAACCGTCATGAATCCTTCCGCGACGGGAGGCATAACAATCTGCCTTTGCATGGGCGAGGGGTTTTATCTGGCTTAACACCCACCACTATCTTCTTCGCTTGTACAACATCGATCGTGCCGCGCGCGAACCTCAAGGTCTCTGGCTATCGCCTCCTTTCTACCCACATCCTTTGTTCTCTTTCTCCAGAATAATCACGACTTCCTACCCTATCCATATTTCCACCTTCGCACCTCATCCTACAATGGCGTTCACGGCCTCCCATTGTCGCAACCTCACAGGCTCTACCATTGCCAACGAAACTATCCTCTTTGTCGACCTCCTGGCTTGTGGTGCTTCTGGCGCAGTGTACCGCGCCGTTGATCTCACTTCGCCCGACTGCGACCAGTACGCCGTCAAGTGCATGTCCAAAGCCTGCTACGATAGTTCTCTCACACACCACCTCCGCCACGAAATCCTCCTGCATCAACGAGTCTCAAAACACCCTCATATCCTCACCATGCACAGCGTATACGAGGACGAGTCATTTGTCTACATCGTTCTCGACCTGATCAGGAGTGGCGACCTGCGGAAATCGATATACGAGAGGAGGGCTCCTTACTATGGAAATGACGAGATTGTGAGGGCTGTGTTTGGGCAGATTGTGGACGCGGTGGGCTATTGTCATAATAAGGGGGTTTATCATCGAGATTTGAAACCCGATAATATTCTGACGAGTGAGGACGGGAAATCGATCTGGTTGGCTGATTTTGGGCTGGCGACGGTGGACAAGAAGTGCAAAGAGATCCGAACGGGAACTCTTCCCTACCTCAGTCCCGGTGCGTCCATCTTCACTCTTGGTGCAGCCTATTTTGCTGACGTGTGTTTCTTCGTGTAGAATGTCTATCAGAGGCGCTCAGTCCAACGAGTGGCTTTTCACCTCGACAGAGCGATATCTGGGCACTCGGTATCATTCTTCTCAACCTCATATCTTCGGCCAACCCTTGGACCATTGCCCATGACGAAGACCATTCCTTCAGTGCCTACCTCCGCGACCCACACTACCTTCGCCGCCGTCTCCCCATCTCTGCCGAAGCCAACGACCTTTTAAAACGCATACTCCATCCAGACCCATTCAAACGCCTCTCGCTACCCAAAATACGAGCCGAAATAACAAAAATCAGTACATTCTTCATGTCACTGGACGAGATCGAGAGTGGGACACCACACGTGAAAGCGTGGCATGACAAGATGACGATGAAGATGTGCGGTGATGGGCCGCACGGTGCAGTGAATGTCCAAGTGTTGGACTCGCCAGCAGACTCGGAGTACTCTATCGAGATGCAGAGCTCGAGTTCGAAGAGCAGTATCGAATCGTTACGCGAGGAGTATATTCTTCGTACACCTAGGATCCACTCGCAATCCACCGACGAGACTTCCATGGATTCGAAGCAGGAGTTCAAGACGGCGGGGCTTGTGCCTAGGGCAGACCTCGGGACTCTTGAGGGAGCTAAGGTTGATTTCAAGTTGGAGATGTTGATGCAGGACATTCTGGATGGATTGGATGATTTCGAGAAGGATTCCGACTATGAGGACGAACTAGTTACGACCAAGGTTGTATGTTAGCAGTTATTCAGGATTGCGATCTCGTTGTATCCTACCTACTCTAATCCATGTACTACTTACTTTCGGATGTCGCTATTGATTAGCGATATTCCAGCAAATTTACTTGATTTTAACACAATCGTTGGGGACTCTGTATTGGGCAAAGTGGCGTCCATGGGCCACATCTCCATTAGGTGGCGTCAGCTGGTTCAGAAGAGAAGCAGCATTTGAACGCACGAACGTTTACCTGCTTGGGGCATCTGCCTCTGATCTCAGTCCCTTCTACAACTTCGCCCAAGTGCGATAGTAGCCATGCACTCACAGCGTGCTACATACAGTCGCTCGACTCGGTCGCAGAGCCAATCGTCCACAGGATACAACACACCGACAATGACATCTACACCCCATGCACCACAACGATCCCTCAGTTCGACGATGCACGTCAAGCGCATCACACTCACATCTAAAAAGAACTGGTGGATGGGTGCGTCTCGCTATCCGATAATATATCTTCTATCTTGCTTAACATGAACATACAACGAAACTTTCAGTCGAGCTAGACGAAGAAGGCAAAGACTCGAATGCTCCTGCGCCACCTCCTGCCCATCCACCACATCCACATCCATCTCCATACTCCCATTCCCACTCACACCAGTTTCCCCCTTCAGAGGAGACGATTTACAACGAATACACGACCTCACCACCTCAGCAAACAACATCAAAACTCCGTCCTCGCTCGCCACAACCCTCTGACTCCGTCCGTAGGGGACAAAACCCAGTAAACTCCATTTTCTCCTTCCCCACCCCGACATACTACTCCGCCCCACCAAATCCAACATCTGCTCTCCTTCCTGTAGCCACAGGATCTGTCTCTGAGCTCTTCAAATGTATAGTCAAAAAGCCCGAGACCGTCCAGCTCGAGATCAACGGTGAGATGCAGTCGAACGCACCGGACGTCGCGGCGCAAACGCTCGCCGAATTACGCGTCTATACGACCGTACCCCGGCATAAAAACCTTCCCGCCTTTCTTGGGTGCTTAGAGAATGTCGGGATGGTGCTGGAATTCATCGAAGGGAAGACGCTGTACGAAGTTCTGAAGGAGACGCCCGACATGACGAGGTCGAGGAAACGAGATCTCCATAATCAGCTCTTGGACGGCCTCACGCATCTACACGCTTCCGGACTCAGTCACGGCGATCTATCACTTCTGAACATCCAAATCACACAGCATGGCACACTCAAAATCCTCGACTTTGGAAGATCAGTCCACGCAGACTCGATCTACATGCCGCCAGACTCGGAGGAACCCCTCGACCCATTCGCGCATCTCAAGCACTCACATACGCGGTTTCCTCCGCAGAGGCAGGTGGAGCAGATACATCCTGGGACGAGGCCATTCAGTGCGCCTGAGGTGTTGAGGGGAGAGTGTCAGGATGCGCGGTTGGCGGATGCGTATAGTTTTGGTATGGTAATAATTTGCGTGGAAAGGTTGACGATGGTCGACGTGAAGCCGTGGGATCAGAGGAAGGATTTATTGCCGAAGGGGTTCTTGGATGGGTTAGAGTTGTTCGGGGAGAGATTGCCGCAGTATTTGAGGAGGTTTGATACGAGGAGGAGGTTGGTGAGGGAGGATATGGTGGTGGTCAACGATGATGAAATAATGGTATGCCTATTTCCCTCCCTTTGAATCGCGCTGAGACTAACTGCGTACACTCCCATCTAGATGGACCCTTGAGCCCCACAGTCGAAGTCATGAAAGTGTAGTAGTAGTATCTAAACCCTAGTCTCGACAGGACTTGTAATCGCGCCACACATCGAAACGACGTTACTGTACTTATGAGTGTCTAGCCATCTGGTCACGGCTGCTATAATTATATCTCCGCCCACTCTCTGAAATAGGCGCTATCTTTCTTAGTAGCTGTATACCAGAATTTCTCTTGTGCATATTGTTGACTGTACTCTGTATTATCTAGCGCATCTCTGTTGGCTGCGCCTGTACTTGTGTAGTGGATACCCATGTCTACGTTTTGCTGACAATTAAACACGTCGTTAGTACTAACAAACTGACTTCTCGAGCCAGGCCTGGCGATGCTCAGGCCTCAGGATACTCAGACGGCATCGTGGCGAGGCAAAATAGTGCAGAAAATCTCCAATAAATGTCGACGCGTCCCAGTCACGTGCCCTCTCGCCGTCATCCCGTGTTGCGCGCCTCTGCCGTCGCCTCGTCTTCACCAACAACTTCCACCACCAACCCTTTTGCTTTCTTCCTCTCGCCTTAATCGTCTGGTTGTACGAGCGCTCTTCAAGGCTTGATTGTTGGTCTGCTAGCCCCCGTAATTACTAGAGCCACCTCGACATGGCGACAGTCCACCCCTCCCGTATGGGCCTCATCCCACAAGAAATGGCTTCCTCACCACCTCCCCGTTCTTCGTACCGCTCTCTGAAAGACGATCATGACAGGGACCGCAAACATGCCAAGGATAAGGATAGGGAAAGGGAAAGGGAGCCCAGTAGTCGGGATAGGGATAGGGATGACAGGAGGGACGGAGGGCGTGACCGTGACGAGGAGAGGAGCCGGGGCAGGGATCGTGAGAGGGACAGAGATGAAGACAAGGATAAGGATAGAGCGGGCGGCAAGGACAAAGAGAAGCGCGTACGCATTCGACGTGCGAGCCCTGAGTATGAAGAATATCGTCGTCCGGCGAGGTCTCCTCCTCCCCATCTCCCAGCTCATAGCGGAGATGGCGACAGAGCTGGAAAGGACGGTGAGGCTGGGAACGGAGGAGCTCCGTGGAGGAAACAGGAGAACATGTATCCGCCGAGAAGGGGTGATGGAGGCGGTGGTGGTGGTGGTGGTGGAGGCGCTGAAGGTGGACATGGGTATGGTGGAGGTGGAGGTGGGTATGGAGGTGGTGGGTACGGTGGTGGAGGGAGCGATTACTTCGAGGGGTATGTGTCCTCTCTTAACTCTCTTTCGTATTATATGAGCGAAAGCTGACGATTACGTTTTATCTTTGCAGACGCAGACAGCAGAGACTGAGTACCACACTGAGTATCTGGCCTCCGTCGCCCAAACACGCTCATCGCGAACTGTATGTCCCTCATTTTATTAAACAGATTTCATGTTTTGATCTAGCGACTTACAACCCATCCCGGTGTCTGCTTCGTATTTCTAGCTCACCCGAACGAGACTCAAAATCGCGCCGTAGCAAGCACAGCAAACGTCGTCGCTCTCCCACTCCCTCCGACTCCGACATTACAGATAGCGAAGAAGAACGCCGTCGTCGCGAAAAGAAGGAGAAGAAACGTCGCGAGAGGTCCGAACGCAAGGACAAAGACAAGGGCCATCATCGCAAAGACCGAAAAAGCTATTCCGACGACGAGGACGATGAGAGAGAGCGGAGGCGAAGAAAGGAGAGGAAAACGAGGTCGAGGTCGAGGACTCCTCCACGCAAGGAAAAGGAGAAGGAGAAGGAACAGGATATGAAGATGGACGTGGAAGAAGACTGGGTCGAGAAATCCGCGCCCTCTGGAACTTTCATCCCCGACGCGTCCGCCTCGTCTTCATCAGCGCTCATGCCCCCACCCTCTCACATCCCTTCCCACGCCAAATCGAATTCCAAGGCAGAAGACGACGAAGACGATGACGACGAAGTCGGTCCTCAACCCCTTGTAGTTGCATCCTCCAAATCCAAAAAGGTCGACGAAAGATCGTACGGAGGGGCCCTCCTCCGTGGTGAAGGTTCCGCCATGGCCGCCTTCCTCCAGGATGGCACCGACGTCCGTATTCCTCGTCGTGGTGAGATTGGTCTCGACTCGGACGAGATCGCAGCCTATGAGCAGGTGGGGTACGTTATGAGCGGAAGCAGGCATAGGATGATGAACGCCGTGCGTATGAGGAAGGAGAACCAGGTTATCAGTGCGGAGGAGAAGAGGGGTATATTGAAGTTGCAGGAGGAGGAGAGGCAGAGGAGAGAGGCGATTTTGAGAGAGGAGTTCAGCCAGTTGTTGAACGAGAACCTGAAGGACGCAGAGAAGGGGAGGAAGTGAGTTGGTGGCTACAGTGACCGGAGGTTTGGACCCTCGGGGAGGGGTTCTGTCGTGGCTTTTTTTGCTCTTTTGATGCTTAATTTTGTATAACGTATGGGTTCTGACTGTTGCCTCAGACGTTCAGCGTCGCAAAATGCACCCCAAAGGGTCGAATATCATGCAATGCTGTTATTCCGTGTTGATTTCCATGAATGATATCCGCAAATCCGACAATAAATACAAGCCTATATGAAAGTGAGCTGAAAGGCCCTAAAGCTCCTGGTGAGGAGCAGCCTTGCTATCCAGACCAACGAGCTCGACATCGAAGACAAGTGCTGAGTTAGCCGGGATGACGGAGCCAAAGCCTCGAGAACCTACGAACATATGAATTATATCATCAGTTTTATAGTGCAGCCAACGGCGTTAAAGAATAATACGCCAGGTGGTGAGGTCAACGGAGGGAAGAGAACAGAGTGGGGGTAGGTTTGAATACTGACCGTAGGCCTTGTCGGAGGGAATGGTGAGGATGCGCTTCTCATTGAGACACATGCCGACGAGACCTTCATCCCAACCCTTGATGACCTGACCAACACCGACTGTACAGGCTGTCAGAATAGATGTGGGGCCTTAGCAAGCAAGGAGTGCATACGAGTCAAAGGTAGAGGTGACCCGCGGTCCCGACTGTTAACAAGCAAGCAACCACCGTAAGTATCGACACGAACCAGAAGACGCCCGACCAACTGACCTCGAGTCGAACTTGTTGCCGTTAGAGAAGAGAGTACCGGTGTAGTGGACCTTGATGGAATCACCCTTGGCCGCTTTGACAGGACATTCGTCTGGCAGGTAAGTCGTATCAATCTGAAGCTCAGTGGGAGGGCTCTTGGAATCGGGGTTGGCGCTCTCAGCAGCAGCGACCAGACCGAGAGCAAGGAAAAAGATCCACTTTAAGAGCTGCATTTTCGTTGTCGTGAAGAGTATGATATGTCGAAGATCGTAAGACGAACAAGGCTGAGTACGCTGTGCAGGAAAGTAGAGCCTGCGATTGTTCGACGTGGCGCGTTCGTGTTCGTGTTTCGTGGTGGCGCGTCGGCATCACGCGCAATCGTGGGAAGAACTGGAGTCAGCCGAGGTGCCGCTTTGTCACCAACTGTACAGAGCGTGCTCGTCGTCCCAACCTTATTTTTCGCCCACCGTCGACAACGCCCACCGCCGCCGCCCGCACCTATCACGATGGTCTGTAGCTCATCATTTTTTTGCTCGTCGCTGTTGGAGACGATGTCGAGGAGAATGTTATGCTGACCGTACGATTGGGATGTCTTCAGCCTTCCCAAAAATCTTTCAGGACAAAGCGCATTCTCGCTAAGGCTTCGCGCCAGAACCGGTACGTTCAATCCTCTGAAAGCTCTCGTTGGACGGTGCAATCGTGCTGACCTTGACATGTATGAACTTGCAGCCCCATTCCCCAGTGGTTCCGTCTCAAGACCGACACCAAGATCCAGGTTTGTTTCTTCACAAAACCACGATGCGAAGGAGACCTACCGTGCACAGTTTTGATACTGATTCCACTCCCTTACCTTTCAGTACAACGCCAAGCGTCGTCACTGGAGGCGCACAAAGCTCAACATCTAAGCGCTTTACCCTTACCTTCATCGCTTCATCGCGCTCGCTTTCCATGTCGTATCCCATTCGGTAGATGGACAGCCAGCTTCGGGTCGGCTGGGTGCTGGGGAGGGGCAAGAAGGGCCGGCACTCATCACTTCACGCACGCATCCATGTATTCCTCTCTGCTATTGATCTCCTATGGCCCTTCCTGCAACAAAATATTGAGCATGCACTTACACCCTCAGACGTCGCTCGTTGAAAGCAGGCATCGTTGATCGACTGCACTGAGTCTACTCTTCTCTGGACTTGGGTCTGCACCGCTTCAACGAATTTCACAGATCTGTATCCTACAGACCTCATCTACTCCTGTCTCTTTCTTCGACTGCCTACCCGCACTTCTGCGCAAACCGTCTCGATAGTCACTTTGTGTCAATCATCTCAGTGCTCCTAGCACGGGGCATATACATCATGGTATACATAGCCATAACCTCTGGTCTGTCTAGACGTACGCTAACCTCTCTTCCATCCAAACGAACCGTAAATTATTCTCGTCAAATCTAGGAACGAACCCACCCATAAACTCCTGGGAGTATCTTATCTTGGAACTTTGTGACCCCAGGATTTGTTCGCTAGCTCCCTAGCGGATGGCCCTTGCGCCATCCAACTGTGGCACCTTCATCTTACAACCTTGACTGACATAAAACCTGACGTGGCAAAAAGCGCCAAAAAGGTTGCGACTTCGACTTCGCAGGTTTGAATAAGCCATTAAATCACTGGTACGTTCAATATCGTGTTCGTCATAACGCTCGACCGAGGCCGCCACAAATAAATAATCCAGTCTCCGGAAATAATCGACCATAGCAAGTATACGTTCGCCACTCAACCCCGCGCTCCATCCAGCCCCCGACCGCCACCTTCGCATCTTCGAAGCTTCGTGACCGTATCGCTTAGACAGCCTTGCTCCCGCGACCCCTGCTAGAACAGCACTGGACCATAGCACCCGTGTCGACGCTGTTGCCGAGGTGTCCACCGTATGGCTGGCACTGCTTCTCCGCCTCGTTGAAGTACGCCTGCTGGTTGACGGCGGCGCAGCAGTCCTTCGTGACCTGCTCGTCGGTCTCGCCTGAGCCGTCAAGGTTGGACGTGCAGATTTCTGGGCCACCTAGGGAGGAAAGAGGACTGGTTAGTGGACTCGGACAGGCTGGAGGTCGTCGGGCGAGAGGTTTGAATGGAGACAGGTGTATACCTCGCTTGTAGATGCCTCCCTCTGAAAGTGAGTCGATAGTCAGCCTAGATGATACAAGACGAAAGTGAAGACAAGGATACATACCAGAGTTCTCAGCGGCGGGAGAGGCGAAGACGGCGACGGCGGAGGCGATAACAGCGAGGAGAGTGAGTGAGAAACGCATGATGATGATAGTGGTGAGGGTCGTTTAGTTGTGGTGAGGTGTTTGAGTGTGGAGGAGTGGAGGAGTGGACAAGATTGACTTGATACTAAGACAAGGTCGAACCACGAATGCTTTTATACCTGCAGGACTCCTACCTTCAGCTCGGTACACCGACAACAGACTTCATGTTCGAACGTTTCCAGCGCACAAGTCGTATGCATTCTGCATCGCTATGTGTGGAGCATCTTCCACTAAATTAGGGGTTCTGGTTGTTAGCGAGACTCATCCTTTGAGATGAACGAATTGTTAGCTTGTAGCGCTCATGGATGTGGGACAGATTGCTGTGGCCCGCCTGATCCGAGTCGCGCCAAGAAGAATTCACCGTCGATCGACAAGGTAGGTTGGTCCAGTGATGCTGTATACCTGATTGTTGTCCACTGGATGAACTTAGGGCCACGGGTCGCAGTGTTTTTGAGTCGATATACCATGAGGAGGCTTTGCGGGCCAACGAGCGCTCACCGCGATGGGGTACGTTTCATTCGATGTGAATACGGCACTGCATGCGGATTATATATTGAAAAGAGTCCTAAAAATCTTGGGGTGGACAGGTGAGCTGATGGACGCGAAACGAGACGGAGTTCACTCACCGAAAGGTATATCTGTATAATGAATCGTGCAGTAAGTCCCCGAGAAAACACGAAGACATCTCCCATAACACTGAGCAGGATATGGCAGCTATCAACTGAGCAAGGGTATCGTTTCATAGGTGAATTGTTTGGCCCAGTAGACAGGATTCTCTTTGTGTGTCTTGTCCTCTTTCACGGTTTGAGTCTCATTTGAGGTTCAGTGTGCGATTGCGTGTGCATTTGAGGGACAAGCCTGGTTAAACTTCGAAGAAGGAATTGCTGGGGAAAAAAATGCCAGCTCTTGATTACCACTGATACATTCAAATACAAACCAGTCGTCCGATTACACACAAGTGAACATGATCTATCCACCCACTGACATTCAAAAGCGACAGAGTCCAAACGCTATGAGACTCCCATTATACCGACGGCCTCTTCAATTGCTCTGCTTCGATCCCATCCAGAAAGGCTTTAGCCCCGTCCTCGTATTCTTGAGGGCAGGCGGCTAGGTAGGCCGTGCGGAAGGCCTGGTACAGGGGGTCGCGAGTAACAGGGCGTGGATAGTATGGGTCGTTGGAGAAGAATGCGTCAATGAGGCCTTCTACGTTCGACTGCCATTCCTCCCGGTCGAACCGCCGCATTTGATTGAAATCAATCACGTAGTAGCGCACCCCCAACCCTGACCCTGCCATGACAAACTCGATGTCCCGGCCATCATATCCAGCAACCCAATGGATTCGTCCGAGCATCTCGCCCATACCTCCCGCTACTTGATCTAGACCAATCAACTCACCGCCCTCGAAGACACGGAGCAAGGTAGTATACCGGGCGATGTCAATAGGGAAATTGATCATCGAGCCGATGGATTGAGAGGGACGAAGAATCTTTCCGAGATAGAGGCGACACATGCGAGGTGGTTCGACGTTCTGACTGCGAGCCTGTTCGGTGTAGAATAAATCGCGAACGGACGAGCGAACTTGTATCGGTAGAACGTGTGCTCGGTCCATGATGTAGGCCGGCACATCAAAACCTTCGTTCGTAAATAAATTGTTGTTGATGATAGGACGAGGGTCCTGAGACCTTCCCAGGGCATGCGAAGTCGGGAATTGTATGAGTTCGTCCGTCGTTGGGTCGTAATAGGCGACGGCGCGCGGGATGGCGAACATGGAATCGGAATTGCAGAGTGTATATAGTGTATGGAGAGCACTGGCCTCAGCACGAAGTTCATCTGTGCGGTCCGGGAAGTGTATAACTTTGAAGACAAACGGTATTCCTCGTACAGAGTAGACAGTAGCGAAGCTTCCGGCACCGATGCTGGTGGGAGCGTTTGGTTCTTCTGCAAAAGAGTGCTGGTTAATGACTACGGCTAGGTCGAAGGAGGAGAATATGTTACGACTGTGAACGATTTTCTTTCACGTCAGGTGTAACCGGTTGACCAGAGCTAAGAGAGGAGTGCAAAACAAGACACTTCCTTGAGCGCTCTTGAGCGTCGAAGGACGAAAGGGCACGTGACGGTCGGAGCGGAGGGTTCACATTTTAACTTGGATTTCGAACTTGTGACGCCCAAAAGTTAACTTGCGCAAACTTGTGGCTGTACAAGTTAATTTGTCCCCGATAACTTGCAAGTTCGCAAGCTCGCTTGGCTGTCAAACTTGCGTTTACGAACTTGTATAGCTTGGCGCACTTGTGAAACTTTTGAGATTATGAGGCATCAATGGGTCCTTCTACCACTTGTATACTGTACGTCTCTGCAGTTAGACGACGTCCCCTGTCCCCAGGGGCTTGTCGTGTCGTCTATTTGCGTGTTTGTCCTCATGTCCCTCCGTCATCGTCGTCTAAGACACCTCCAAACTCGAGCGGCTTCGAAGCAGCAAAATTGTACTACATGCTTTTGTGGATGTTAGAGGGTCTGCAAATGGTTTGGCCAACGCATCATGACATCCAGGCCTCGCTCATCTCGCAAGCATTTGTATGCTTTAAGGTCAGGACAACTTATCGGAGGAAAATATGACGGCGTATCTTCTCCTTTGAGCGGCACTGTCGCCTGTGTCCCCTTCGCTCACGATTGTGTCGCCAAACTCTCCTCTTTCCCACGTTGTCGCCCTGTCGCCTAACTGCAGAGACGTACAGTAGCACTTACCATGCCCCGTCGGACATACCTACTGTACATGTGATCAGACTTTTGACTATTTGGTCTCGTACACGATCGCCAATGCGTAGCTGGTCGTTTGCCTGTGTACCTCAAGCATCACAAGTCAGGACTTGGATACTGTAGATGATGACTCCGCGGACACATTAATCAAAGGTCATCATAGTTATTAGAAGTGCTAGCTCAGAAATGCATAGCCTGCCTCCTACTAAGCACCCGATGCTGAGATTTCCACTACTGGCACCCACCAAGTTATTACTTGTAGCATGCGAATAGCAATGACTTGGGCATCCCCAGTATCCAACTGTAACGAGACTTTTATAGCGACTAGATATATACTCAACGATCACACTTGGTTCGACAAACTAGGCTACCTTAGTTAACTTGCAAGTTAGCATGCGTGCTCTACAAGCTCGCTTGAAAAACTTGGCCTTACAAGTTTGTTCAAGCTTGCGTTACTGCAGTCATACAAGTTAGATCCAAGTGCCCACAAGTGAATCATACACCATGTCATAAGTTGATCAGTGTGCTAAATGTAGCAGTGGAAAAGGTATTTCGGACACGTGCTGACCGGGAAAACTAGAGTGAAGAGATGTGTACAACCGTACGTTAAAGGATCGAGATGACCAAAGACCAGTGTTTCTAACATAGTTAAACAAGAGGTGACTTCGAGTCTTCACTCAGATATAACCCGTACGTGTGAAGTTTACCACTCTGTTTGACCCGAACGGAACGGGAGAATTATATCATCAACGTAATCCCAAGGATTCCATCTTTGCAACGGCCGGTATCGCCATGCCGGGCATCTATAGCCCATCGAGAAAAATCAAATCTCCGAGGGTAAATTCCAGCTAGAACGATAGCTCGAGAAAACCTCACGCAAAAGTGTACGCAGTGAGGTTTTAAGCCCGCTATAACTGATACAAAGTGATCGACGAGCGACTCGGTGTAGGAGCAACAAAGATTCTCAGTTGAGATACGCGTTAACATGAGAGAGGGAGGATAACGATGTAGGGCCTACCAGGTGTGATACTTATGGGTGCCATCGCTGGTGAGCTACACGGTTATCGAACATTATAGGAGCACAAGTGCGCCACAAGTGAGAGGTACGCAAGTGCCACAAGTTCGTTCCATTAAGTCATGCCCAATTTGGCAGGCAAGTCAAGTTACAAGTTCGCGCCACACGTTAAATTGCGCTGGCTCGTCGGAGCGCGAAAACGGGGGGAGACCATAGGCAGAGCTGAAATATAAATGGACAACCTCCGCTTGAACCTCTGGGCCCCACGCTGTTGATATGATAGTTCTCTGGCAACCCAATACTGCTGTCGTTAGTAGGCTCAGAATAGATTTCGAGCTCCTTGTGCTTTGCTAATCAGCTGCTCGCCGCTATGTTGTTTGGATACTTACTAGCACCGACGCTAAGTACGTGCGTTACCGAGTTCGCTGTGAGGAACGCCTTTGACGTCGCTGCTGAGCAGGGACCAAGGTACAAGCAGGGAACGACGAGGGAGACGGCGGAGGACGTGCCGCCCTTCGCAGATTTATCTCGCTTGCCCGTGATGAAAGAGTCAGAGAACAAGCAAAGTTTGACTGAAGCACCGACGCCGTCTGGCGAGATTGAGAGTCCACTCTCACTATACCGTTTCAAATTCGAGCACCGACGTTGCGAACCTGAGACGTCACCCCAGTTGAACATCAGGACTTCGTGCTAGTTGGGCCATATGACCCAGAGCTCAGATATAAGGGGGAGTGTGTGTGCTGCTAGCAGCAAATGAAAAGAATTAGACATTAGAAGATTGACTGTGCATAAGAATAACCATAGGGCCATCTGAAAGATTCAGAAGAAAAGGAAAATCAAATATCGTACAACTGAGAAAGCGAGCGTAAGCCATCAAAGCCATCGACCAAACCAGCGAACCTACCACATTGAAATCACCTGAATCACAAGGAAGAGTACGACCGTCGCCATACGATCATGAATGCTCCAGCACTCCGCGAAGGATTGTTTTTCTTCTTTCAAGGTATCAATGTTTGTCAAGAGTACTGCTAAAGGGCCTCTCCGGTGAGATGTGGATGTGGCGTTGAGCTGATGTAGGATGAGGCTACACTTCGTCGATCCAGATCCCAACCATTATCATCATTCAACACTCCGAGAGCCATGCTCGACTCCGGTGCCTTATAGACCCTTCGTGGAGGTGCGGGACTGGGAGATGGCGCACGTCCTCGGGCAGTACGGGTGATAGGAGGACCAAAGAGGAGGAGTTGAGGACGCGTAAGAAGAATGAGTAGAACGTTGAGGAAGCCTGAGAGCCCGTAGAGAGACGCGGCCTAGAGGAGGTATGATCAGAAAATGTGAGGAGGAAAGAGCAAGGGGCTTACGACGAAAGTGGCGGCGGAAGGGACTTTACTCCCATGGCTTTCGAGACCGAAACCGATCCAGCGGACGACCGACAGCGGTAAAGTGACGATCGAATAAACGAAAGGATATCTGAACGTGAAAATCGACAGAGGTTATCAGCTGCCAATAAGAATGGAGATATAAATCGATACGCACGCTAGCATTGAGAGCGCACGACGTTTGCGTGCATCGTCGTCCGGGATGTTCCTTGCGCGATGAAATCGGAACCTCCACCATTGAGATGTGTCGACGGAGAGCATGCCTTGGCTCCATAGGAAGAGAGGTACATAGACCAGGATGGATGTAAAAAGAGCAATCCATAGCCAGAGGTACTCTCCCGCGATGCGTTCGCCCTTGAACTCCTGTGCGATCCAGCACCAATACTGTTATGCAACTAGTGTGAGCATGTTGTACCTGCCTGCCATAATCAAGATCACATACGGGAGTAGGAGTCTACCAACAGACACGTTCAATAAAAAGAGATAAAGATGGCATAATTCTTTTTGGCGTACCACATAGAGGTTATTGGGGTCATTATGTATACCAGAACTAATCCCGACGAGCAGTGCTACGAAGAGCCACACCATCCCAACGAGTGTAAAAGCAACGGTGCGATTTTTGGTCCCAATGCGCCAGAAGACGCCGACAAATGTGTGCACCGCGATGATCTAATGACGCTGTGAGCTTGAGAAAGCCGAGGAATGAACATGTTCTAAGCGACATACTATAGTAGTTATTGCTACTCCGGTTTCTCCTAATTCTTGGATGACTCCTAAGACGTCAAGAGGTGAGTGGGAGGGTCTGCGCATGGTTTAATAAACTCGTACCCTGAGCTGTACAGTATGATCCTTTGTACGTCTTTCCTTCGTTGACCCATTTCATATCCATAACTGATCCAATAGCTTGGATCAAGTCAAACGTGAACAACGAGAGCTATACAGTTGAAAGTCGCTAAGCATGCGTGGATTGAGCGCGGATAGTGTGACAAAACGGCGAACCATGTAGATATCTGTTGGCTCCTGCACAAGTGACCACTGTCCTCGAGAATACCTCGAATGCCGATAGACATTGCGCTACCCATCGAAATTGCCCATGAGCAACCCCAATAAGTAGCCGAAAAATTGCAAACGTACTATGATGAACCCGAAAAGAACGAAGATTGCCAACACTGAAAGGGTGCTTGCCTCTGCGATCACCTGCACGCAACATCGACGTAGTGAGTCTTGCAGTGCGAGAGAGGCAGTGATACAACGGTCAAACTCACCGTAAGGCCGATACTCTGACCGGTAGTCAAACAAGATAGAGAGGAATAGCCGTTATTTTGATCCTGCACAGAAATAAACCATTCTTCTGCTGAACAATTCGACATCGATACCAGGCTTGAACCGCCTGGACGAAAAGGCCGAGCAGCCAACGCCGACTATGGCGAGGGATAGCAAACGACAAGACCAGTGATAGAGGACAAGCAGGGGTGCAATAGGGACGAGGGCGGGTGCATCATTCCAGGTTTATCATGGCGGCCTAGGGGAGATAACAAGCATATGTTTACTCAGGCCTGCTGGAAATTACTTGGAACGCCAATGTGGAACTTTCGATTGTGGCTGAGTTCCGTGGAGATTACGTCTCGAGGCGCTCGACAGAACACTTCCGACAGCTATCGTCGTCATTGACAACGTGTACGGACCAGTAAAAGCCAAGCAACCGCATCGTACCGGCGGCTCCTCCCGCCGCCCTAAATCTTCCAAAAACCAATCGAAAACGATAAGAAAATACGGGTTTCTACAAGACGCAAATCATCGTTCAAAATGAACCAACCAAACTGACTGTTTGGCATTGCTGTCTCACACGTCCCATCAAGTCACCGCCTGTCACCGCCCATTCTCTCAGCCCCCCTCTCTTCCGATTCGCTCGCACATTTAGGACGACGTTCTCTTTCGCAGTCTAAAGGAAGGAAGGAGCTAGCCGGTTGGATGGTTGTCTGCTCTCTTTGCAGGAGATTGGGTTCATGCCAATTTCATCACGTTCCTCTTCCACAAGACGCTTACCTCGAAGTCTCGACTCTTACTGCTGGACAAGGGAAAGTTGTGTTTTCATAAGGTGCATCTACCTGATCAAATTCAAAGGAATAATATCCAGCTCTATTCATGGAGCTCTATTTCTGCTGTTTCGACAAGAAAGAGTAATAAGTTTGGTGCGTGTGCTCCGGTCTCTGTCCTAACTTCTCACCATTTACCTTTCATTCCCACTACGGCTCCGCCGTCGCAGTGTGCTGCTAGCTGTAGCTTCTTAATAATGACCTTCTAGGCCACGCAGCGGAATTGTGGCTCTCCGCTCGGCGATGTTGAAAGGCAATCTGCCTAAGATATACGTCCTCAGTTTGACCGAACCGAGCGCAGGGTAACTAGGCAGATCGTTCAATCGTTCAGTAGGCTTGGCCAAAGGTTTCGCCGCACGCCCTTGCACAAGGAAATCTGCCTGGCTGGCTGAACCTCGGTCTCGTATCCAGAACCGTCATATAGAATTCCGGTTCACAGCACTGAACTGGTCAGCACGCCGTGCACGATGGTAGTGGTGCCAAGAGTAAAACCTTTGGGTCCTCTCGAGAAATTCTAGTATCACAGGTAGGTCAAAGCTGAGGCGGACAACGGTTTTAGGTGAAATACAACAAACAAAATCTCGTAGATCAGTGGAGGTCCAACATGATGCATACGGGAACGGGTCCTCTAGCGAAAATAGTTGGTGATGGTCGAGCCTATGGCCAAAACTGATAAGCAGATCCGTCACGGTTTCATGCTATTGACGCTGCTGGCCCCGCATAACCGAGGTTTATTCGACTAATTGAGCGATACTCATTCTGAGAGCCGAAAAGTAGACCCACGTAAGGGTCTCGTCGTCGGCAGTGTTCTTGAGACAATATCAGCATAGACGCGTGCAGTCAGGTTTATTGTTTTAGAGCATTGGTCGCTTCCCAATGTCTCAACTAGAGACTGGAGGAGTACAAGGTGAGGTGATGCAGGAGAGTCTGAGATGGCCCTCGATCTCTTGGGAAGGCTGAGGATGTGAGATTGCAGAGTGAAGCAAGGGCGGGATCATTTGTTCAAGACAAGGGGGCCTGCGGCCGTCGGAGTCAAAGGTCAGTGCTTCAACTCCTTCTGGCTCCACAAGACATCCACATTGATCATGTCGAGGTGAAGTAGAAGAAGAGCAGAGCCCTTACTCCAACATCGGGAGTCCCTGGGAACTGGTGTGGCCCATACACGGGTCAAAGCGAGTAAGTAAGGAGGAAGTGGCAAAGACAGAAGGCGGCGAATACCGAGACACGGTGGCACTGCTCTTTGTGGCACAAAGCGCTTTCGAATTTGACACTCAGCCGTCCAATGGGAGGCCAATGCCCTTGCGTGTCATCTCTTTCGAACACTCTTGCCCATCCTCTCCTCATACTTTGCTACTTCCTCCCATCCTCTCCTCATACATTGCTGCTTCCTTCTCATCTCTCTCACTCGACGCCTTCCAAGCTCAAAACTATAACACATCTTACTCCTACTCCTGGTGAGTTGCCTCGATAATCTTCCTGTGCCCTTTGGTAACCTGTGTCTCTCTTTCAGTGCCACAGTGCCCACCGACACTCATGCCCAAATCAGTGACACCCTCGGCGCGACCTGCGACACCCTCGAACGCCAACCCAGCCCCGCTGGACACCCCGACCCAAGATGACCCGACAAGACGTGTGTCATCACCATTGCGCTCCGCGAGCGTTATCCACTCGACCTCATCCGTGGGCACCGGTGTCGATACACCTGCTCTTGCCTCTGGCCCCGATCGAGAGTCTGTTCTGTCCACTGCTACCGACAACGGATGCCGTGTCACGATCGAATCCAAAATCGCAGCTGGTTTGAATTCGTCCGCTCGCGTGCGGCCCTTCATACCAATTAAGCTCCCCAACTTCCGCAAGAGCAAGCACGTCGGCGCTGCGAGTCCATCGCTTGCGGGTCAAGGTGAAGGTTCCTCCGCTGCTCAGCTCGCCCCTAAGGTGCCGATCCCCGTCATCACACATATCCAGGGGCCGGTGCAAGAACACGCTAAGACATCTCGTCATCCCGTACCACCGTCATGGAGAGCCGCTACTACCCATAATTCATTTCTCGCCTCGAATCATCGCAAAAGCGCAACCGCACCGGCGTCTGCTCGTATGGCACCGAATAGCCAGTCTGTTTCAACTAACGCGGACGCGGACGGCAAGGGGCGCTATACGAATAGCAAGGCTCGGATCGCTACCCTCGCCATAGGTGAATGGCGCGCAGGTACCTCTGTTGGCGCGACGCCACGTCGGGCCTTGCCCAACTCAAAGGCGGTCAAGATCGCTGACGGTAAACTAGCTGACGGCGCGACCACGTCCGGTGCGGCTCTAGCCCCTCCGAATGATACCCTTTCTGCTAGTCTCTTCGTTACGAACAAACAGAGCCCTCCGTCCACCGCTCGTCGGGAACCGGAAGCTCCGAATGCATCGTCGTCGAAGGAGCTCCATAGTAAAGCGAACGCGTTGAAATCGGTGCCTCCCATCGAAGGTTCGACGCTCACGAGGACGAAGAAGGGACAAGATCCAAGAGTCGAGGGCTCGAAGGCTGTAAGAAAGGGTGAGTCAGACCATATCAGGATTCGGGCATCCATGATCGCTGAGGATATAAATTCTTGCCCTTTATCATCCAGGTCCACGCATATCGTCCTCGTTAAGCCAGGCTAAGCCTCAGACCCCTCAAACCTCCTCTTCGAACGCGGTGATACCACAACGCTTCATCCAGACGGACAAGAAGAAGACTGCGATGGCCTCGAGAGTGAATTCGAACACATCTTACCAGAGTTGCAGGCGACCACCCCCCAACGCCTCGTCAAGCTCGAAGACGGGGAAGAAATCCGTCACAGAGGACCCTCAGTCGAAGAAAGAAGAGTGCCCAAAGCCCAAGAAGGTAGTTATGGCGGCCCTTCCATCGGAAGAGGACATAGCCAAACTCGTCATGAAGGACCCTGTGATTTACGAGCTGGTCGGTAAAGCACAAAAGAACAAGACGATTCTGAAGGACCTCTATTTCAAGAAGGCGAAGCCGAGCCTTGAGGATGATGGCGACCAGTCCCTCAAGGAGACAGTTGACGCGTCGGTGACATCCAAGGATCCTACGCCGGCTGCCAGCGCTTCCAACTCAGACGCAACGAATACACTTTCGGAGACGGCACCGTCCGAGGAGGTCAAGCCATCCACGACGGGCGCGGGGGGCGAGGGGGATATGCTCACTGCTGGAAGTCGCAGTACAACTTCTCCAGAAGTGTCCAGTACGTTGTCCGGTTCTCCTAGAACAGGTATTCAGAATAAAAGAAAAGCCGATGCTGGAGAGACCTCCACTCGGGGGAACCGAGATGATACTCCAGTGCGTAGATGATCTACCCCTTTGTTATACCTTGTCATCGCTTACCTTCTCCGATCATTCATTCATGTAGTACTCTGACCTGCCGGCTCGTCCATCGAAAAGGCATCGCGTAGAGGTGGAGCAGAATCTTCCCACTTGGCCGGGTGCCCTTTTGAAGCGACCATACAGTCGCTTTTTCTCTCGATCTCCCTCAGTCGCATCGTCCGTGACTCTAGTAGGAAACGGCGGAACACCAACTCCCGAACCGGACAAGGTTGAGCTCCGCAAGGAGAATCCGAAGCGTCAGCTCGAACTCCTACCTGGTGACAAGCCAGTCTAGTCGGCAAGGCGAGCTCCGTACCAAACGGAAGATCACAGATGGTCCGCGTGCGGTGATTTTTTGCATGAGTCTTTGTGCGAGTTGGGATATGTTTTCGAACGGATGTGACTTGGATTGATGTACGATGATCTTTGATTTTTAATGTGTATATAGTGAAGAGCGCAGGATGTCTTCGCCGCAAAGGGCGAGGTGTATTTACAGTCCTGTAAGGACGTCGAAGATCGCTCATCAATCGATACAGTGGCTGTATTGTACATCACGATTGTATTAATGTATTGGAACTAAGAAGTACAAATCTTCCTCTAAGTATCATACATACCAACAAACTCAATGCTGGTCGTCCATGGACTCTATTGAGTCTCTACAAGAAATCGGAGCATGATGGCCTCAACATATGCGAGCAACTAGATATAGTCCCTTTGATAGAAACAAACCCTCTTCCCCCTCAAGTCGAGCTATCGAACGCTCATTCTGGCACCCCCAACCTGTCTGCTTGCTTCTGCACTGTAGCTACGCTCAAATGCGACCGCGGCGTGTGGCTCATCTCGAGATCCCAACCATCGTCATCATTCAACCCTCCAAATGGTCTACTTGAGTCAGGTTCACTACGTGCGGGTTGCCTAGTAGGACTGGGAGAGGGTGCACGACCCCGGCCGGTACGGACGACTTCGGGACCAAAGAGCAGAAGTCCAGGACGTGTGAAGTGCAGCAGAAGGACGTTGAAAAAGCCTGAGAGACTGAAGATAATCACGGCCTGCGAGGGGTGAACATGAGTGTGTAAGTGAATATTGGTGCGGCCGAGCATGCGACGAAGGACAGCACGGTGGAGATGGGAGTGAATTAGCTTACGAAGAACGTTGCGGCAGAAGGGACGCTTCGCCCTCCGAATGTGGTCCAACGCACGATCGAGAGCGGAAGCACGATAAAGGAGTAGACGAAAGGAGATCTGTTCAAAATACACTTAGTTTATCAGTATTGTTCGTAAATAGAGGGACAGAGGTATACGATAAAGACATACGCCAGCATGGAGAGCGCAAGTCGGCTTTTATCCGTGTCTCTCTCCGAAGGGTCGCTCGCCGTACCCCTCTTCGAAGAATCACTCGGACGATGAATGGTGAATCTCCACCATCGGGATGAGTCGACCTTGAGCATACCCTTACTCCAGAAGAAGAGGGACGTGTAGGAGAAAACAGAGGTAATGAGTGCAAGCCAGAGCCAAATGTACTCGCCGGCGAGGCCTTCATGCAATTGGTATGTCGGGGCGACCCAACACCAAAACTTCCATTCAAATAGTGTAAGGACGGAGATTTCTGGAATACGAGGAAAGTGACATACGGGGGTGGGCGTCTATAAGCGGAGATTTGTGAGCAACTTGAAACGAACATCACTGGGAAAAATCAAGCACGTTATACAGGTCGTTCTTGCTATGGTGTATACCGGCACTTATTGCCACGAATAGCACAATAAACAGCCATTCGAGACCTACAAGGGCCAGAGCGACGATACGGTTTTGAGTTCCTATCTTCCAGAATACACCGACAAATGTGTGGGCGGCAATTATCTTTGAGAAATGTGGCGATATGAGTAAACGCAAGAACATGACATGTAGTGTGCTGTATACCAGTGTAGAGATGGCCACTCCGCATTCCCCAAGTTGTTGTACAACGCCTAGATGAATAAATGAGCGCAAAAAATGTAGCAAGCTCCACACGTTTCTACCTTGAGTAGTACAATAAGTCCCTCTGTAAACCGCACCATCATGTGCCCACTTCATGTCAAAGACAGATCCAAGAGCTTGGAGCACATCCGCAAAGAAGAGCGAGAGCTGAAAACACAAAGTGTCAGTCAAACAGATCAGAAGGAGCCACGACGAAGCGCTCAGGTCTTTATTGGGGAACGGCTTACCATATAGATATCCATAGGAGACTGAACTAAGGACTTCCCTTCTTTATACTTCCAGTTTCGAAACGCGTTTCGCTATTGGTAAACATATGCATTAACAACCACCCTATAAATCCCATATCGAACGTACCGATATGAGAAGAAAAAGTACAAGGATGGCCAAGACCGAGACAAGCCCCGACTCTGCCGTCAGCTGTAGTTGAAAATTTTAACAAACAATGGATAGTAATGGCATGTATGATGAGTGAGAATTGTACACAATTGTGCTTGGATGGCTAGCTCACAGAGAGACCGATACGCTGCCCTGGAGACAGACAGAATCCGCTTGGATGCGGGTTGACGGTGTGGTTCTGTCCATAGTAGTCTTCACCGACGCCAGTGGAGCAGTTCAGCCACGGGGGAAGGTCTGCATACCATGAAGAGATGTTTGACATGGCACTGAAGAGAAGGGCAGAGAGCAGAGCACGCGGGGCAGCAGAAGACGGTGGTCAAGAGGAAAGAGTGACAAGGACCGTGGGGAGGCGCCCTTGCATGGACGGAAGCCGTAGACAAGCCTGGCGGTGCATCATTTATTTTAGAGATGGTCCAAACATAGACGCTGCCAGGCAATAACAAGGATATTCGCGTCACTAATGGAGGAGTCAACCCAGATAATGCAAGACATAAATTTTGATCGTAGCGCTGCCCCGGGCCACCCGCCTAACCTTCACTGACATATCAGCGCTTCGGCGACCAAGCGCTGTGACCTGCATTCTGGAGCACAGCGCTAAGAATCTGTTAGTTTTTGCTTTATAGAAGCCGTCGAGCAGGGTTATAGAAGCAAGTCAAGGAGTAGTGAAGCGGCAGCTACGGTCTTCTTCAAGTTCAAGTTGACTGGAACAAACTACTACACGCTGCGGGCACTTCCGGAAGGAGGGAATATTTGCCCCCGGAAGTCCTCCGAAATGTTCCGTTGCCCAATGTGGTCCTGCGTGACTTTGGTACTATCAGTGGCCCTATGTTCGGACAAAACCGATGTTTCGGACAGTCCGAGAACTCGCCCAATACCGCACTGTTTCGCCCAGTTCAAAGGCCCATAAATCATGTTAAATGGTCTACAGACGATATCCGCAGTCGTTTGGATGCAGTTGTGGCAGCGGGATGTCGAATGGGGAGGGGGTCGGTTCGGACACTTTGGCGGGCGGGGCTGTCCGAACATCGATCCCGCTCGTGAAACAACTACCTTCCTCGCATTACTTCTCGTAGAAATTTGTACGGACATGTAGCTAATGTAGAGAGCGTATGTTCTGCTGAGTTTCATCTCGAGAGGGCTCGAAATGCGGGAGCTAGATTTTTTCTTGTCGGAATTGTCCGAACATAGGGCCAGGGACAGTACGCAGCAGGCTGTTCTTCTCCATGAAAGACTCTTTCTTGCTTTCTGGTTATCTCTCATCACGGCACTGATAGCTTTCCGTTGCTGTGCTCTCGTCATGATAGAACTGTCATGATACCGCCACTACCAGCACCAAGTAGTAATTGCATAGTTTTGGACACTGATGCTCGAATTCAGAAGAGAAACTCCATTACTTTCAATACTCTTCGTCCCAGAAATGCACTGGTCTACCAGAAAGTCTTTCTGATGTCTCGGCAACCTCATAGATCGCCGCTAAGTATCAAGGCTGTAACAGGTTGTAACCCTGTGTTCGCTGACTTCTCGTCAGAACTTCATCGCTTCGCAAACAGAAGGGTACGTTTTCAGCAGCAGATACAGTATGTCGAGCGTCAGTCACCTACTATCCTTCCTGCTGGGGCATCTCAGTTTCTAGGAACCACGCTCGTACACAGGTCATTTTCTGACACCTCGTGCGACCTCAGTCTCTAAAGCCGTATTTGGGACTACGCTTTCTCTTCTGAAGTTGCGGTCGATGGTACCTGGACGTCGTATGCTCGCAGCATCAAACCTATCCCAGTCGCTCCTTTTGCCAGGTTTGACCTTCTTACCATAAATGCGTGGACTGCACACGAGCATACGTTCGGATCTCGAAGAGCGTCAACAAAAAAGGCTACGACGGCGGACTGCTCAATCTCAGTCAGGTTTACATTTCTTCGTCTACTGTACTTTTTCGACCAAAGGTTCGTCACGCGTTCTCCGCGTTGATGAACCGAACAAAATACTGCGTGACCTCACGCATAACGCAGGGTGAGCGAACAGTGACCTCGGCAGGCGCTTGCGCAAAATAATCATTTTCGCAAGCGCCTACGTTGTTTTCTGAACTATTTACGGGTCCCGTCACGCTCACGCACGGCTTCTGAACCGTGACCCGGGCGAAACTGATGGGTGACGTAAATTCTTGATGAACCTTTGGTCGAAAAAGTACAGTATATTATCTTATTGCCCGCGGAGGTGATCAACAAGAAATGACTGGGCGTCGTGTAACCCTATCTAGTAGTCATCATAAAGGACATTCCCTGCGATCCCATCGTCACTGATCCGCCATTGCCTCCATCATCAAAGACTCCCCTCTCAAATCCCACCCGCACTCGCCCCGTCTGACTCTTACCCATCATCACTGGCACTCCCACTTGCGCGCATCCTATTGCCGAATCGCCCTCATCCCTCCTCGCCCGAACCACCCAGAATGCATGTTTTATACTTATGACTGCCGCTACCCTATCATGCTGCTGCGATCCTCTGCGAGATTCGCCGTTCCCAAACCTCAAAGTGTATCGGAGGAGATGCACGTCCGTCTGATCTGGTATGATGGAGTTGTTGAACTTGGAAGAGAATGAGCTTATATTTGCTAGCAGCAGGTTTGGATTCGAGCGTGGCTATGTTGACGCTGTACGACAGCTCTTCCACGGGGTCGCGCATCGTTCTGTTTCCTCAGCCGATCCCGCGATGTCTCGTAGCTAGATGCGAAGACGAGGTCCGGAAGGGTCATTGGGCAGTCTGGATGCCAGTAGTCCTAAAGGCTCTCGTAGTCTATCTCTATCTATAACCACCACTATAGATATGGAGGAAATGGCCATGGAGGAGAGGTCAAGATCGCCTGACAGCAGCAGGGATGGAGATCATGATGCAGCAGACGACCTAGAAGGGCTGAAGCTTCTGCTTGCGGCATAGAGACATTGCCGTGATATCAATCTACATGCAGACGAGCCGTGCAATTATACAAGTAGGGGACTAAACAGCCCGTAAAGAATGTCACTGGCCGTACCTTCGCCCTTCGTCGTCGAACCTTCCGTTGAGTCTTCGATGACATTCGCAAATTTTTTTTGGCGCAGTTGACGCAGATATTCTTCGTCGTTTGCCAGAGAATTCCTTCGTCATTCGTTGAAGAATTTCTGTGTCGTTTGCCGGGGATATTCCTCGTCCTTTGCCGGGGAATTTCTTCGTCCTTTGCCGGACGGTTGTGGGTTGAACGCTGAACAAGCGGTGTGGTCCACATATTCTTGTCTCTCAACGACAACGTAAACCATGCTATGAACGCAGAGACCGAGAGCGTAGGCTTCAAGTCAGTATGATGAGGGTATTTACCGCGGAAGAGGGTCTGCTTAGTGCTACTGACTGGAAATGTGGCACCACTGGGCGCTACTCCTTAATCATGAAAAACCTCAGACCTGCACATCAAAATAAAGGGTGAAAGACAGACAGAACTCGGTACTTAGTCGGCCACACCGCTCGTTCGACCTACGACGGTGCGGCAAAACGACGAAGAAACTCCCCGGCAACTGACGAAGAAATTCTCCTTGAATTCCCCACAAAATGAGGGAAGAAATCCCCCGGCAAACAACGAAGAAACTCCCCGGCAATCGGAATCGCTCTTTGTCGTTCCTTCGTGAAACGCACGACAAAGAGAAATGACCCCTGCATGTGCCATGGAACGAAAAAAGCCAGTCATCCACTTGGGATGAAGCACAGACGAAGTACAGACGATGGACAATGGACGTCGTCGTGGTGTAAGCTTTCAAAGCTTCGAACGAGATGCAGTCTTGCATGGTGTCCTTACCACATTCAGAACTAACCCAACGTACCACAGCGACAACTGCACACCCCCTCACCAGTATTGCCTTCAACCGCACACATCGCTGTCAATCACCGCCTCACCTGTCTCCTCACCTCTCGCAAACACATCACACATCCATCACACATCACACTCACACATCACACATCACACCCCATCGCAATGTATGTATACGTTACTAGCATCAAAGAAAAAAAAGAGAACAAAAGACAAACAAAAAAAGACAAAAAGAAAACAGACAAAAAAAGACCAGAGTAGGGTAATGTAGAGATGTACAATAAGAGTAGAGAGTATGTCGAGTGGGTCGAGCGTGTCGAATGTGTCAAGATGTCGACTATGTCGACTATGTCGAGTGAGTCAACAAAAGGACGAACGGGCAGAGGCAGGAGCGGGCGCAGAGTGGAAGGGAACCCCGAGGCGAACAGGAACCGGAACCGGAACCGAAACCGAAACCGAACCGGAGCAGGATGAAATAGAAGAGGAAGAAAGGGAAAATGGATTTCAGTTGGGTTGGGTTGGGTTGGGTGTGTGGAGAGGTGATGTGATGACGGATCGTGGATCGTGAACGGAAAAGGAAAGAAAAAAGGAAAAGGGTTGGAAGAAGCAAGCTAAGGACTGAACGCCCTCGATCTCACCATGCATAAATAAAATGAACTGTCAAAAGCAAAGGGGGGTGAAACCAGGAGCGCTAAACGAACGGCTAGAAATGAAGTGTGGGTGGGTGAAAAACGAGAGCGAGCAAACGGGGAACCGGCAGGGCAGGCAGGCAAACAAGGCAACAAAAAATGAAAGAATATATGAAAAAGACAACGGTTGTAAACAAACAGGGGCTAAACAAAGGGGTTGAAACGAGGACGGAGGACTATGTTATGTGAGGCGAATAGATAGATACTGAGGATTGAGATCTGAGACGGGGAACATAGAACAGATTGGGCTGCGAGGGATGAAATCGATTGGAATTGGGATTGGAATTGGAATAATGGACGATGTGTGGATTGGACGGGGAGCACGGGGCAGAGCAGCGGCAAGGCAAGACGAGAGGAGATAGTGAAATGTTCGATAGGGGCTCGACATTGAATGAAGCAAAGGAAAAAAAAATATTGACGTATGGATACTTGGTTAGGATTGGGATGGGTTGGATGCGACCGGGAAAACACTGTGCAGTGGCGTAAAGACCGGCGACGGGTAGGATGAGCGGTCTGAAACCGAAAAAGTCCTTCTGTACTATACAGATAGACGGCGGGAGAAAGTTGATACGGGGAGCGTTGCGGGTGTGTATGGCGACAGAGGGGGGCGAGCGTAGATGAAAAGAGAGGATCGACGGGGCGAGGAGAGAAGGGGAAGAGGGGGAAAGGGGAGGTAAAGTGTGTACAAGCATGCATGCGTTCGGCCGGCCGTTTCGTTTCGCGTTCCGAGACTCGGGGTATTCGAATGGATAGGATGGACGGACGGGGAGAGAGGGAGAACAAAAAAGTGGAAAACAGCTATAAAACATTATGAGATCTTGGGCCGTCGAGTGCGATGTGATGGTAATGCTGGTTCGGCCAGATAGGTAGCAAGCAGGTAAGAGACGGAGACGGAGACTTAAGTGGCTAGTAAAGTTGAACTTTTTTCTACTCTTCGACTCTTGAGCGACTACTTCTGAATAAACCTTACGATCGTGGCGTGGCGTGGCGTAGTTGACGAGCTTGGACTCAGGAGGTGCGGAGGCACAGGCACAGCTCAATCGCGAGCCTCGCCGTACCATGTCATCGACGGCATGCGTCTCGGGATAATCACCCTACCCACGAAGCCCAGTCAGCGTAAACCCAAAAACCTAAACGGGCCGATCGCCAAACCCGACGAAAACCTATTGAACGGAACGTACCTCAACAGGTCGCCGTCAAACTCAGCCCGCACCTGCGCCAGGTCGGCATCGTAACCAAACGAGATCCTGCGCTCGAAATGACCTGACGACCGCAACCGACGACGAAACAATATCCCCGAATAGACAAGGTTTTTCGGAGCGGAACAGGAACAGACCGAGTTTAGTTAGCAACGGGGGTTCCAAACGCGGACGACCAAAGGTGGGGAAATCAAAGCGCAACAAAAGGAAGCATGACGGAAAGGACGAGGATCGTGACGCGCGATGATGATGCAAGGAGCTGAAATGTCAAGTAAGGTTTTAACTCACCGCCACCCGATTCCCAAGAGTCCGCCACAAGATGCAATACCCTTCGTCTGCGCGTCGCCAGCGTGCTAAAGGGGGAAAGTCGGCGTATACGAAGGAGAGAAGCAACGGAAGAATCAAGATGAGTCAGATCATGATCACAAAAGCAGACACGGCGAACGGAAGGTAACAAAGAGCGAAAGGTAAAATAAATAAATAAAAGGCAGGGTGACTACTCACATCCCATCGCGGCGGAAGCCAGGCAACCTCACAACCAGATTGTACTCCCTCGTCAGTGTTTCCACCGCGATCCATGTATCCGGCGGTGGAGGCGCGTGGGCAAGGAACGGTTCATGCGGCCGATAGTGATTGGAACGCTCGGGGCCTGGAGGGGCAGGGGGCGCCAGGATGGTGGGTGGTGCAGGGGGAGGTATGCTCGGTGAGGGTTGCGCGACGGTCGGAGGAGGCACGACCACAGGTATACGGGCTGCCGGTGTGGACGGAGAGTACTCGGAGTGGGAACGAAAGAGGGCTGCAGATGGAGGTGCTGCTGAGGATGAGGCGGAGGCGTTATTAGCGGTGGCGGTATATGCCGGAGGGGCCGTCATCGATGAGGCCGATGAGATGGTGGAGGATGCCGATGAGGATGGGGGATGACCCTGAGCGACGGCGGAGGAGGAGGAGGCGGAGGAGGGAGCGATGTCCATTGGAGTGTCGCGCATTTGAGGGGCGACGGAGCTCGGAGCTGGCACGGGATCGTCCGCACTGGCATGCTGGTCCAGAGTCTGCGCCTGCTGTGGTGGGGAGAAGAAGGAGGGAAGGGTGTAGAAGGGCGTCTGGGACATGGGAGGGAGGGAGGCTGTCGAGTTGCGGTCATACCAGGTCGGCGAGTTTGGGTTCGCGGGCTGAAAGCGGCTTGGGGGGACCAGGGGAGGGCCCTGGACGCTTGGGGAGGAAAAGGGACGGTTGAAAGGGTAGACGGGGGTCGGGGTGGCGGCACGTGGTGACGCGGGACGGGAGTTGGTGGCTGATGATCCGGAGCCGTCGCGCGTGTGACGGACGACGGAGTCGTGAAGGGAGGCGGAGTCGAGGGAGGGGGGGAAAATAAAGTCTGCGCCGTGGTCGAGCATGTTCTTGGAAGTTTTGTTTGCGGGAGGAGAGGGGAGAGGACGGGGGTCGCGAGCTAGGAGAGGGGGGCTGGGGAGCTGTGTGGGAGCGGAGTCGTACGCGGGCGGCTGGTCGTCTTCATGCAAAGGTACATCGGACTGGAGCTGGTGCTGACCAGGAGGGGCGTTGGATGGCGCAGAGTGGGTGGGCTGGTGGTGGGCGTGGGACGACGTTGTTGAAGTCGGACGGTCGTCGAAGAAACGGAAGGGGGCGGGAACCTCGCGGGGAGTGTCGAGCGACGAGTGACGCTTCGAGTACGATGTCGTCCTGCGACCGAGAGTGGGACGGCTGCCTCGACCTGAGTCCCCGTTTATCGCACGAAATCAAGAGAATCAGCCAGGATTCGCGCAAATATTATCCGATCTCGTCCGCCACATGCCACTTCCGCACCGTCCTCTCACCCGAGTGCCTGCCCCGCCGTGACGAACTCGCCCAGCCGCCCACACGGCGCACCCCCAGACGATCGCCCGCTTCATAAAGACAAGGCGAGTGTTCAGACACGGACAGTGCTTACCTGGCTGCTTCTGCTTCTCTCGCTCCGTCTCCCCCTCCTGTCGGCCACGGACGTCGTCCCCGTCCGACATCGTCACGTCCTCCAGCTTTTCTTCGACACGCACCGTTCGTGAGTGCAGGTCGCGGTCCAGTCTGAGCTGCTTGAATGTGCCTGCCAGGGGCGAGTTCGGGGGCGCTGTCGACTGCTGCGACGAGGTCGGCATAGTCGTTGCACACACGGAGCAGTGGGGTATCTATGGTAGGTGTAGAGGACGAAAAGAGAAAAGGAGCGGAGGGACGGCCTGTTGAAGGAGTGGGGAGCTGTGGCTCGTGCAGCGCTCGGCGCGTCTCCACAACTTGTCCTGTCCTCTTCTGATCCCCGGCAGACCGGCCGCGCCGACGACCGTCTTGACGTCACCACCCTCTCCTCTTCCTCCTCACCTTTGAGCTTTGCATTCTTCTTGGAGCCTTCCGTGGTCGCCGCTCGTTGTCATCCCTTTTCTGGATTTGTTACCTCTAGCCAACCCTCTCTGGTGACCCCCGACTTGACCACCGCAGAGGTCACCGGTCACATCAGGAGCATCTTGCTTGCATGCGCACTTGCACAACACCTCTCCCTGCCGACATCTGTCGGGGCCTATCACGCAAGCTCCCCGTCCTTCCGCGCTTCGTTCTTTTCAGCCTTCCCTTGGACTTTTCCTTGACGTCACATCACACCGTCCAAGTAACTACGCGACGCAACAATCGTACCACCTCAACGCACTTTTATCTCTCCGCCCTACTTCGTCCCAACTAGTACTCAGGCTGCCGCACAATCTCCACTTTCGCAAGTTGAACAACGTCGCGAGCGAAGAGTCAAAATAGACCCGATCTTAGATCGTGCCCGTGCCCGATCGTGCGTTCCTGCGTGTGTTCCTGCGTGCGTGCTTACTAGCCTGCTTGCTTGCTTTGTTTTCCATCTTGCAATTGCATCTTGCTCCTCATCAAAACCTTGTCAGCGCCCAACCTTCCGAATCGGGTCCCCGCTCCTCTCGCTGGCTTATCTCCGTTCGTTTGTCCTGCTTCTCACATGCACATCCCGGTCTTTCGCGTATCTACATATCTATTCGTTGACTACTGAGTCTCCACCACCGCTTGTGCTGTTGTGTGTATCTTTGGAATGGAACGGTGGGACGAGGAAGAGGAAGAGGAAGCCTGTATTCTGCGATGCTTATCTGCGTAATCTGAGTACGGAGTACGGTGTATTGGGATTGAGCGACTTTACCCGCTTCGGATGTGTACTCTCAGCTAGTATGCACTTACACACGATCAATAGGATTAGGAACGTCGGAACCTCGACTCTTTGACTTCCTCGGATCTGAGCCGTCTCTGAACCCGCCTCCGGGACTCGAATATGCATCATACAACTGTAACTGTTGTGGTATGAACTCGTACGAACATTAATATTAGGATGAAGAATCCATAATCCATATACTGATACTGATTCAGCCGGTGGGAAGCCTACATAGCTCGGAGCGCCCTGTGCTTCGAGCAGCGCTACGCCGTACCCATATGTGTACATTGCTCCCGTGTGCGTATGAGGCATATGAGGCATGACGACTTGCTATGTTCGCAGGGCGTCTATACACACTCCCTGCTGTGTATATCCTCAGGCTGCTGCAGCTGTGCAATCGTACCTTCAGGCTACTACAGCTATGCACATGCTCACATGCTTGCATCCTTACAGCTGTAGGTGACAGGTCCGTGCTTCGCTGCCTCGGTGAGAGCCTGTGTTACTGTATGCGGGTTCCGAAACACTGCCAGGCGCCATCGACCACCTTCGACAGACATACGTATATGGTTCTGACATTCAGCCGTTCAGCCGTTCAGACGATTATTGGAGCCGACTCCGTTTGCTGTACATGTTGTGGTTGAACGTTGAACGTCGAGGACTGAGTACTAGGTACGATAGCTGTTCTGGTCGTGTTTGGATTTGGATTTGGATTTGGATTTGTGTTTGGGTTTGGTGTTTGGATGAGCTCTTGATTGTTTCAGTGCTTGGTGGCTAGCTGGTAAGGTGCCTGCTCGACCTTCAGAAGTTTTGTTCGTCGACATGACATGACATGAATCGTTTTCTCAATATTTTCGGGCGACACTATACTTGTTTTATCCTCCTCTCTGAACGTTCATCCTCCCTCGGGGTATTCGGGTCCTTACCACGATTCAGACACATGTCCGATCTTGTGTAAAGACGAAGCTGACCATCCTATCACCCTCCTCCCGTTACACTACTCATGCATCAAAATCCTACTTGTCTGTCTCTCCACACACCCTCCTGGACCCGCAGTACGCTCGCCGGGCTTTTTCCTCGCCGAATCAGCGGCCATGCCATCTAACACCAATGTACTACACATGAGCATTACTCGTCGCCCATTGAGATACCTCGCGGCAGGCAACGTCTGGTACTCGCCACACCCGGGCCCACTACACAGCCGATGCGAAATGAAGCCACAATACAGTATCGTTCGCCTCGAATGTTGTCCTCCTTCCCTGTTCCCCTATTCATCTAGCTCGGGGCCCTCGGTCATACCTGCGCGATCTTGTGTAAGCAGTCCGTACCCAGCAAGCCTATCATACCATCCTCGTTGCGCTCTTGCTAGTGTCCTTGCCCTACTCCATTAATTCACTGCGACTGTATCAATTCTACTCGGTTTGACCACGAATACACTCTACACATCGTCCGCAGTACGCTCGGGTTTCCTTCGCCGTATCAGTGTCCACAACCACTACACATATATGCCAGTGGCCATGCCCTCTACCAATCTACTACACATGAACAACAAACGTCGCCGCTCGTACCGTATCACCGAGTCTTGCACTACAAATCAGGAGCGAAATACAATTGCGACGGAACTGCCATGCTTCTGAGCAACACAAATTTTTCTCGAAAACCGTTCTGCAGGCTGGCTGGGTTCTTCTCTTCAGCATCGACGGCCCAACGAACTTCGGCGGGCACTGCGTCGCCGAGCTCGCTGCTCGATTAGTAGCAGCTTCACTACACATCGTTGCTACTTTCACTACAAATCCGGGTGGGCTCGGCGAGGCTGCTGCTGCTGCTGCAACGCTTCATCCGAATCATCACGGCCCCTTACCCTCTCTTACACTACAAATCGGGCCCTTTCGCACACACCGCGACTGTACGAATCAGGCTGAATCAGGCTGAATCAGGTCGACGTCCCTATCCCCTAGCTACAAATTCGAGATGATCTCGCACTACTAATACAAATCTCATTCGTCCATGCCATATACGCCATACGGACTCTACAAATCCCCCATTCTCGCAGCGAAAGAACCCACGAACGCGGGCCTCATGTTCTCATCTGAATCCTCGCACCATGTATCTTGAACTTACCCTCTCGAAGGCCTTCTTCCTCCTTCCTCCTTCCGAATTCCCTTCCTCCTTCACCCTTCCGAGCCCCATCCACATACCCACCGCCCACCGCCCACCGCCCACAGCACACAGCACACATCACACCGCCGTTTCTCGCCGACTTCACTACAAATCCGCAATCCGCACTCCGTCCTCGGGTTCCTCGTCCGTCCCCGCTTATTCTAAGTATGCTACAGGAGGCTACAGGCTGACTATCCAAACTACAAATCACTAGTCAAGTTATTATGCGAGACGTGCATGCCGTTTGCCGGACAGATTCACTACAAATCTACGGATCCGGGCTCCAATCTGAATCATGGCGGTAAGTACTGGGCGCCGTTTCCGGCCTCGAGGACCTCCTTGCTTGCTATTGTCTTGAGTGTGCTTGTGCTTGTCACTTCGGCATCGGTTCACCAGCAGGTTCCTCGTGGGACTGCATGGGTAAGTACTTACTGGGACTGGGGACTGGGGACTGTAAGTTTTCATGGGAGTCGTCTAGCTACTATAGTGTCGGTGTCATTTAGGCCGTTCGGAACTGAGTGGCCGAGTCATCATCGTGCGTGAGCGTGGGATATAGTATAGGTGAAGGAGGCCCAAGAAGCAGGGAGGAAGGTGGAGGGTATAATGGAGGGGGAGATGAAGCAAGCCGGTCCGCGGTGCATACTCAGGCTATCGTTCGATGGATCAATTTGTAGTGTTTCGGGAAGGACGGGGCTCCTGGCGCGTGTACTTACTCGTTGTCTATTAGTATAGTGTTCTTTGTAAGTCAGGTTGGAGTGGCGTAGAGTGCTAATGGGTATGAGTGAGGACATGCGTTAGAGGTGCTTGACGAGCGTTTTGAGGTCAGTGCGAGTTCAAGCTGGCAGTGTGCTTATACTTAGTATGGTTCCAAGTTGACAAAAGGTTTAGAGAGTTTGAAGGTTGTGGCCGTGGCAAAAGGCCGTGTAGATTGGGTGAGTGGGGAGCTGTGAGCTGTGAGTCTGCAGCCCTGAGCGCTGAGCATTGAGGATGGATTTGTCGAACAAAGACGAAAGCTAACGAGGACGAAAGTGCTCTGCTTGATGTGCCACACCGAAAGGGGGTGGCGACAGCAGGAGATCAAATCACGGAGCTGAGAATGACGTCATGACGGACTTGGCGATCTAATAGAGAGCGTGAAATCGTCCAAAATCGAAACTCAAAAGCCGAGACTGGAACGGTTGATGCTCCTCAGTGGTGAGCGCTCGTGCCGGTGGAGCGAAACTCGATTGAGTTTCGCTCTAATCTCCGAGTTTAGATTCTCGCCGATTTCACGGTCTCTAATCTAATCGTCTTGAACTTGAAGCGGTTGTGGCACCCCTTCGTGTTCGCTCTCCCTTCCAACATCTTTGATTCACGCTGGAAACAAAATATGTACGTGGCCAAATACCCATTGTATGTCGCCAAATATTATGTCTTGTGCCGCGTCGTAGAAAATTGATTTACAACCATCTGGACGCTCGACACCGTCAGAACTTATCTACCTCCTGCTAGTGTTAGTAGCCTTTGAGTCTCACCATGCGCCTTCGCCTCCGACGACTTCCAAGCGGACATCATCAGCTTCAGTATCCAACACTCTCGCATAAACACGAGCGACGTATTTTTTCCCGATTTTACTCGACAGGGACTTCAGATGACTCGAAGGCGGGGCTCCCTCAACCTAGCGATCTCTTGGAACAGTACAGAGGGCTCGTAGCACTAGGAAAGTTAAAATATGACCCCGAACAGGTCAGAGTAATAATGCATGTGCGTACATAATGTGCTTTTTTGAATCTACATGGTTAACTTACTAGGAAGAAGAGATTGATTGACTGACTGTATCTCTCGTCAGCTCAGGAGGTTGCAGAGGGATCTGGTTGACTATGCGCCTCCGGTCTTACCACCGAGATATCTACGAGGGGAACCACAATCCCAGGACAGCTTAAATAAGGTAGGAAGCGAAGGAGATCCAGAGGACGGTGAACCTTGGTGGTCATACAGCCGGAAGGAGGAGACGGAAATTGAGACGAGAGCATTGACGAGAGTGAAGAGCCATGTGGAGGAGTTGACAGAGTTGGATACGCCAAAGGTGCGCACCATCTTCCCCTCTCACTCTCTCTCGCTATCAATATCAACACATTGTTCCTCGCTGACACCAATTCAATGGACAGGGCCTCTTTCTCACCGGCCCTCCAGGCTCCGGTAAAACCATGCTCATCAACATGTGGTTCGCCTCCGTCCCCACACCCTACAAAGCCCGTAAACACTACAGTCAACTCATACTCGAGATATACCGAGCGGCATGGGAAGAAACGCAACGGCGTATGTCAGCCATACATACTTCGCCGCAATCTTCTCCACTACATTCTACGTCCTCCGAGGAAGAAAGACCCCGCTGGACGAAAGGTATTCGGGAACATTGGCGCACACTCGTTAATACAGGCTCACTTCCGACCTCTTGGACCCGTTATCCCTCCTCCCGAGCAAATTTGAGCTCGATGTCGGCGGCATCCCAGGATCCACCGATAGCATTCGTAGTCGCCAAACGGCTCTTATTACACCATTGGCTCCTCGTCTTCGACGAGGTCCAACTCCTCGACGTTTCTAGCGCCACGCTCCTCGCTGACGTCTTATCGTGGTTCTGGCGGATGGGGGGCGTAGTCGTCGGGAATTCTAATAAGGTGCCGAAGGACTTGTATTTGGGGGGAGTCGCGAGGGAGAGGTTGGAAGGTTTTGTGGAGGCGTTGGTGGGGAGGTGTCCGGTCGTTGAGATGGGTGCCGGTGGGGAGGAGGCGAGGGATTGGAGAGAGGTTAGGGCTGGGGAGAGTGAGGGGAGGAGGTCATGGTTTACATATGGTGAGGAGCGTGAGTTTGAAGAGATGATTGAAAAGGTTACGGAGGGATCACAATCTTCTGGTATGTTTGCTTTTAATTGACTGTACCAGCAGAGGTATTTGACATTCAATAGTTCCTCAAACCGATACACTGCATGTCTTTGGTCGACCACTTCACGTTCCATGGACTCTTAGAGACGCCTGCAAGTTCTCTTTTGCCGAGCTCTGTGATCAGGTGAGGCCTGGTTCCTACACACCTTAATTCAGCATCTTGCTTTCGTCCTTCCTCCTCATCCTCTTGCTGAAATCATCGAATCAAGTCGCTAGGCACTGCCGATTACTTGACCATCACCTCGACCTATCGTACCATCATCATCACGGACATCCCAATCCTGAAGCTCTCCTCGAAGAACCAAGCCCGTCGCTTCATCTCGCTCATCGACGCGCTCTACGAATCGCGATGTAATATCATGTGTCTCGCAGAAGCCGAACCTGAACATCTTTTCTTCCCCGAGGCCGTTGAACCAGCTAATTCATCCGATGCGACTGCTTCTCAAGACGGCGTTGGTAGTGTGGCATTGAGTGGAACTGAAGGGGGAATTCAGCAGGTGAACGACGACGTAGATGTGATGATGGCCGAGTCGGTGTGGGAGACACAAGACGGGTACAGACCGAATATCTCGAGCTACGCGGAGCCAAAGATGAGGGAGGAAAAGGCGCCACCGGCGGCTCCACTCGCTCTGGAGACGTTATCCATATTTTCCGGTAAGCTTATCTCATCCGTCCAACTCACCTCGTTGTGCTCTTATGTTATGTACGACGGAAGGTTTGGATCGCGCTGACACGTCGTGAATTGCAGGCAAAGATGAGCAATTCGCGTATAAACGTGCGTTGTCCAGATTACTCGAGATGACGAGTTCAAGCTATGCGGCGGAGGAACTATGGATGCCGTTGCCCTCGACCGTACGCAAGTGGGAAGGAACGGGCTCTCGTGCTGCTAGTACCGAGTCCGTTTCATCCACGATTGCGAAGCCTGGGTCCCAGAGGGCGGGCGAGACGGGTGGACGAGATGTGGGCGACTTTGCTGCAGAGGCTGCATATTCTGGATCGACATCGGCGCCTTTTAAATCAAGGCCTGAGGCGCCGAGGATAAGAGAACATCATATGTGGGGCGTAGGTGGATTTGATCTGCCAGAGGAGGAGATAGACGGCATCGATGTAAAGCATACGGACTCTCAGGACAACAAGAAGTGATTATACTTAATGTTCACTGGCCGGATGAAAGATATTAGGAAGGGGTACGTATGAGCGTTGGACCGCTCACCAGGCTTGACACTACGACAATCAGTCAGGAGGCTAGTCGTTACAGCTGATTGCCAGTAGGCTACAGGGCTCGCGCCACAGAGCCTCTTCAGGTCTCCTTTCACTACATGGCCGACATTTTGTTTTAAACCATAACATAGCCAGCCATTCAATGACTGAATTTCTAGAGAATCAGACTCATAGGCTCTCCTTCTTTCTGTAGGGGATAAGTGTGAGGTTCTTGACGCTCTCATGCGCGCACGAGTGCACTCAGGCTGGTGCCACATTGCCAGACGCGCCTTGGTCCTCCGTCCCATTATAATGTTCGTTGTAACAAGCAGTGGTTATAACCCAATTGTAAATACTGCCATTATATAAGGACAAAAATCGTACGAGTTCGTCTTGAACCGAACCACCACCTTCGCGACTGGAACGCGTCCTGCAACTCTCCCTCTGCGTTAATTACCCTTGCCGACAAACTCGAACTCTTAATATGCCGGTAAGCCTTTATAAAGCTCTCCTCTCCGTCCTTCATGTACTCATTGTTTTCTGTCTGCGCGCCGGATGGTGTTGCGTCTGTGGTTGTCGCCCGCGTCATCGAAAAAAAGCAACAACAAACGCGTCGCCGCGGACGACTCGGACCAAGAACGCGACGCGACGAACAACGCGTCGAAATCCAAGGCGAAAAGAACAAGGGCTCCTGCCAAAAAGGCAAAAACGTCGGCGACCGTGGAGGTGAGTCATTCATATTTTTTTTCAACATTGATGTCTTGGGTGTGGAATCACAGTATAACGGATATGTTCTCTGGCTGAAATGTCTACAGGAACAGCCGGCCACAGATGATACGAAGAAAGATACCAATGTGGTCGAGAACGCTGCAGGAGAGATAACGGAGGGTTCGAAGAAGGATGAAGGCTTGAAAGATACGGTCAGTAATTTCATCCATGAGCGATTGTGCGAGTGATCCTTCCTCAGTCCGGACTCCGCCTGACGGGGTTTTATATGTTGTCGAATAGGCCGCACCTGGCGCCGTCCCAGCCACTACGGTCGTTTCTCTGCCCGATAATGCGACTGATACTGGGGCGTCTGCTCAGCCGTCTGCTCTTCCTCCATCGCCTCTCTCCGGTCACTTCGACCTCTACTCCATGCATCTTCCATTCCTGTCCAAAGTCTATTTCCCTTCCAGTGGTAGCAAGACCGAGCCCGACTATGAGAGTCTCTATAACGCCATCCTCACCTACCAAGCCAAGCCCGACATGTCTGCTCGTGTCTTCCTTCCGGACCTCGCACCCGGGGTGCAAAAGACCAAGGGTCGGTTCAGGAGCTCAGGAATCCGTGACCCCATGGAAGAGCTGCCATTCGATATCAGCATATACGCGCTGAAGCCCAAACCCGCCTCAGGTGCAGGCAAGCTCACCTTCACCTCCTCCGAGCTCGACAAGTTCATCACCCCAGAGACGTGCACCTCCTCCGATACACCCGGAGTCTCGGGAAAGATGAAGATTGCGCTTGGGTGGGGTTGTGGGATCGCGGCTTCCTCAGGCGTGTTCAAGATGAAGGGACCTGTGTGGTCTAAGGTCAAGGCGTCCGCGTCTGGGAGTGAAGGGTCTGAGAAGGAAGTAATGGAGATCTTCGAGGGACACTTCTCGTTGAATATCACCCATGGCAGCATGTACTCTAGTAGAGGGCACGGTCCCGGCAGCCATGTCAAGTTGGCATTCTGGGCGATTCGGGCGAGGAAGGATGGAAAGCTAATTGGTCAAGAGCGCGCGGATGACTGAGGTGGTGATGCTGACGGGGATGCTGATGGTGTTGAGTAAGATGGGGGCAATGCGGACGATGATTTGGGTTCTGATGCCGCTCTTTCTGAGAACGAGGATGACGATGGATATGGCGGTGGCGAATATGGACATAGACGGTATAGGCGGCGTCACGGTGATTACTATTGACCATAGTTCAATGAGGCCAACTTACTTTACGATATCGCGAGTAACATTCCTGTGTGCTGGACGATGGTCCAATTGAACTTAGGATCCTAATTTTCAATCCCAGTCCCAGGAGCACCCCGAACTAACGATACTGGCAGTTGTGTGACTGTTGGAGCCTGATGTTTAGTCCCAAAAGAAAAGAAAGTGCACTCATCGTGGGCAGTTCATACCTCCTGCAAATTTCAGACCAGGTCTGAGAGTATGCTTGTGCTGCAAGCCTGGCGCATAGGCTCAAATACAGCCTGAAATACGGAATTTGCGTTCAAAGCAAGTTGTCGACTTGCGAAGGACCAGTGCTTTCATGGACTCAGTCGACAATTGCTCTTCTTGTATGTATCTACCTACCATACAAAGCGCCCCTGG